ATTCCGAGTTCTAGCTCAGAGTAGGAGCTCCTAATTCTAAGTTCAATTGAGAGCTCTGGCGCCTGGCGGAGCTGTGGGTGAATTAGAGCTTCGGGCTCAAGATCACTCTTAAATATCAGGCCCATGGTTGGGTCTTCCTGCTCAATTCCAATTGACAGATCCTTCTAGGCCTAACTGTTGAACCAGTCAATGTGTAAGCTCCGCTCTCGGAATAGAAGCTCAGCTGGCGCACACCCAGTTGTAGAGTGGATTTGGGTGTTCATAGCAAGCACTACTTCAAGTAGCCCATTCTTCCATTCTATAGACCCATGATCCATTTTCCATGCCTAGAGCTTATTCTAAACTACTCCATTTGCCTGCTCAACTAGGCCTTGCGTTTGTAGTGATCATAGTGCTCTATTTACCACCTAAATTCCATACTTCCGTAGTAGAATAAGGAGAGCCCCTTTAAATTCCTTCCCATTATCAGCTTACATAATCTTAGGAGGTAAGAAAGCTGTAATGAATTAAGTAAAGCAGTCTAAAATTAGCTCTACGTGCTTGCTTTTTAATGGGTAAAGCTATGTATACTTTAAGAAGTGATCCTTTATATATAGAATCCATTTATACTACCTTAACGGCTCGTGGTACATGTTAATTAGGTTGATTTAAACCCTCTCCTACACCTGTCTACTTATAATAGGGACTAATGGAGCTTTTGTAGTATTTAGTCGGTTTAAGGTGTAATTCTTAGACTGTTTAAGTATAAACTCTACATCCTCTCGCTTTATTCTATAGTACTATTACTCAATTATAGGCTATACCTTATTCTAGCCTATGTGTAGAAGCTTAAGGTGCTCTTCTATAATAACATTAAAGACCTCTGCTTTCTAAACCATATATCAAGCGTTTAAGTACCGTACGTTACTCTTTCTATAGAGCTTATTATCTATAAGCTCAAAATTAGACTACGTACGATGCTTAAGAGCCTTTGCTTCTTTATGTGTTACTTTAAAAGCAGCTAGGTTCTGTAGTATTATGCATATACGCTCCTATTTATCATATGAGAGCTGCTCACGATTGTAGTAAGTTGTACTACTTATATAGGCTTTAAAGGCAGTACGCACATCGTTCGGAAATGGATTAATTGAAGTAATAGTAGCCATAATTGCGTATATAGGTGTATAATATGAAGCTTCAATACTCTATTCTACTATTCTAACTACCCCGCTCCTTGGCAGGTTGGCGGTTGGGCCGGCCGAACCACCAACCCAAAAGTTGGTGGTTGGGCCGGCCAGTTGGCCAACCAGAATAGTTGGTGGTTGGGCCGGAACACATACAAGCGAGCAGGACACCCTGACCAAAACGCGTAGATGATTAAACCAGAAAGGAAAGGTCTTGGATTTATGAAAAAGCTAGCTGCTATCGCTTTTGCGCCAAGACCACGACCAAAAACATCCGTAGTTGTCAGCCTTCCGCCTTCCCTGCTCCCGCTCTGAGACCATCGCGGCTTTTACCTGCCTGCCTCAAGACCAACACTTCTCCACTTGTGGCGGCGACTATTGAAGCGGCCTAAGGGCGCTTAAAAAAGCAGAACAATTGATTGATTTATGAAATCTGCCTCGGGTGTTCCAAATGGCCGCATCCTGTGTGCCGCCGCCTGGAGGGTTCCCGGGGTTCCTACCGCCACACAGGGTTGGGGGTTTCCGCCGCCGCAGGGGGTTGTTAGGGGCCGCCAGACCACCAACAGAGGGGAGGACGAGAGGGATGCGAGGTTGCAGGGACGGAATGGTTTTAGTGACCAGAGATAGGGTTGTAGATTAGGTAGGGGAAATGGCGTTTTTATGCTGCTGCTAGGATGGAGTTGGGGTGCGGGGTTTTAGTTTTTTGCGAAAGGTGAGGGGGTTTTAAGGGAGGGTAGCAGAGAGGGGCTGATGTTATACTTGTACGAGATGCGGATACAGATGGTGCTAGGCTAAACAGGAAATAGGATTGTAGTAGGCGTAGGCACTCGCTCCATGCCTTCTTAAGATTCCGAGTAATGAATGGGAATGAATGGCACTTTCATAACGAATCCATATTGTTACACTGATTTCGTTATCCTGCTCCGAATCTCTGTTATGGCCGTCGAAAAACACCCAATGAGCATTGACTATCCCGAAACGTGATACCCTACCAACTTTTAACGATGATCATAAGAGTCGGATAGAAACCTGTACCTAGGCCCTTTGGCTTTTTGGATAGCTTACAGTATCTCATTATAGCAATGCCATAATTACTATCCTGTATTGTTATCGGTTACGGGACAAGATGTCCAAACACTCCTTTCACGATGCCCATGGAGAGATGGCCAATTATTCTGCCTCCCGCCCACAAGAGGCATCTCTCTCGCCCTCTCTTACACGCATTTCTGCCCCACCTCTAATGGCAGGCGGAGTTGAGACGTTTCGTCGCACATTTGGAGATTCGAAGCCACCTGATATATCCCGTAAGGTCTCTGCATGTGCGGCGTGCCGGAAACAGAAGGTAAGCAAAAGGCCGAAAAACTCGCAGAGCGTACTCGAGGAGGAACAAAGACACGTGACCTCGCACGAACACGAAAACAGATGAGATGCTGATTGAAACAATAGATAAAATGTCACATGAGAAATTCTGAGCCTCCGTGTATAAGATGCCGGAAGCGTGGCTTGCCGTGTACAATTAATAGGAGTTTACAGATGTTGTTGGAGAGCGATGAGGTGTAAGCTACTCTTTTACGCCCTCAATTCCATTATTAAGATGCTTCTTTCTTTTCTGCCCAAAATGGATAATAATAGGAGCTGATATTGCTAATTAGTTGGAAAGATCGACTTGGCTTGAAGATGCAGAGAATGGAAGCAGCAATGAAGATGCTAGCTGAGAAACTCGCCATGCCTGAGCTTCTTCTATTTGTTGAAGATGAAAATGGAGATCTAATAGATCAAGAAACTACTGGCGATGACAGAGGAGGAATTAGTGCACCAATCAATTTCGTCAATATTGGGAACAAGTCGAAGAATGGGCTAGCTGCTAAATCCCCAGATATCACTCCAGCATCAGTACCAGCTTCATGCTTGCCGGAAATTACGGAACGATCTTCTACAGGTATCCTCACCGCAGATACTGGGACAGAAATGGACTTGGTTACTCGTGGTATAGTTTCGATTCGAGAAGCTGACGATCTCTTCAACATGTACCACGATCAACTAGATCACTACGTATATCGGATTATTCCTAACCACAGCACTCTTGCGAGCGTGAGGAAGGGATCGCCTCTATTGACAGCTGCGATATGCACTGTCAGTTCATTACATCATCGTCCATTGCGCCCGCTCTTTAATTGTTGTTATAAAGAATTCGTTCGTTTGTGTGCTATAAATGCGTTCTCAAGAAAGAATACGTTGGACGATATACGAGCTCTTTGCATTGGCGCGTTTTGGCTTGATGAAGTATCGTGGATTCTTGTTGGGATGGGTGAGTTTACCGCCATTACAATACCTAATGAAGCTTTCTAATGATTTTACAGCCGTGCGAATTGCAGCAGAGAAGCAACTCCACCGTGCATTCATGCATATTACAGAAAATGATCCCACCTACTACCTCCAAGCCCGCCTTTACTATCTCGTATATGTCTGCGACCACCACTTCTCGATCCCTTATGGCCGTACTCCCATGACAGGAGAATACGAAGCTATTCACTCTACCTCAAGCCTCCTTGGTTTCGCAGATGCTACCGAAGACGACGCAAGACTCATTAGTCAAGTAGATTTATGGTCGACTGCGAGCCGCATCTTCTTGACCTTTGGCACTAACATCTCTCTACCTATTCCAACGAACACGATAAGTCAGCTCCGGCGATTCAATATCACCCTTGATACCTGGCGTGCGGATTGGAATGAGAGATTTGTGCATAATAATCATGTCGGAAACTATCCGCGTAAAGGCGTAGGACTCCATTACCATTTCTTAAAATTGTATCTTTGCTCACATGCCTTCCGTGGCGTGCGGAAAGCACCCAACACACTCCAAGCACTATCTCCGGAGCTGAGGGAGATTGCCGAAATGGCTGTAGCATCGGCAACGTATATTCTACGGACAGTCAATGCTGACGTGGAGTGGCAAGGCTACCTAAACGGGCTGCCACTATATTTCGATACAATGATCGCCTTCGCAGCCGTATTTCTTATCAAGACGGCAACTGAGTACAGCGGTACTGTAAAGGTTGATACTGCGGAGTTGCTAGCTTTGGTAGAGGAAAACATGCTTGTTTTGCAAGAAGTCGGTAGGGGAATGTCAGAGAACCATCTTGTAGCAAGGATCGGCGAGGCTATTAAATTGCTGATTGAGCGCCTTAAAACGGCCGGAGAAATGTCTCTGGGCGAGGACAAAGCACCTGATGGCGGGGTAGGAGATACTGCGGTGCAAGCGCTTTATATGCAGGATTGTGCAATGGCCGATGAGTTTGACTGGGTAAATGGCACATTTACTGGTTCGGCACTGCAGGGTTACGATTTATTATCACCGCACAACATGCCCTCTGGATTTGAAGACTGGACATTTGGGGTTGGAGACCAAGGAAGTGGAGTTCCCAGATAGAAATAGCCAGATTTTATAAGTCTATAATGACGTTAATAAGAGCACATTTGGCTCCCTGTGTGGACTTCCGTGCACCCTTGACAAAGCACCATACAAATTTGAGTGCACAGGAAAGCTGCACTATCAATTATTCTGTAGTTAAGCCTAGTGAAATCCACAAACACCCTTTCCTCTGCGGCTAATCGCCGTTACAACTGTTCTTCTTCCTCCCCTCTCCTACGTTTAGCGTCAAAGTAAATAATTACTCAGGGTAACTCCAACTTAAAAGATGTTAACTTACGTAGATTGCTTGTCTTGTTGTTTTTAAAGGCGTTAAGTTTGCGTTTATGAAGCTACTGTCTTCGCGTACTTTGCTAGCTAAATACTACAGTCTATAAACGCTTTTATACAATTTCCCTTTGTAAAAGTTTGGGTTTGAATCATAGGTAAGTCCCCGAAAAAAGAAATAAAATTATAGTCTACATTAGAGTCTGCACCCTTATCAAGTGTATACAATCCCAAATATCAATAGCAATTTTGCAAAGTCCTCTGTGTGTTTCCCTCGATTCATTCATTGCCTTTTATCTTTCCAAATAACCCCGAAACACACGCAGCACTTATACCATAACCTCACTCTCCTGAGCGACAGCATCTTGTTTTGAGAATGGTGCCGCAAAGCCATATCTCTTCCAGCCTACTTCATATTCCTCCCCGGCAACGCGCTCTTCGAGAAGTTAGCATCCTGGACTAGTGACGTCAAAAGTTAAAGCGATTAAGATATGACTAACCATGATCCGGAGGGAAAACAACACGTCTGTCAATGTAGTACTTTTCTCTGAGATCTGGTCCATCTGCTGCAGAGTGATATGTTGCGTAGACCATAGTGCGCGACTCTGGGGTCCGGTTTGCAAAAGACCGATGAGCAAGGTGGGAGCCGAAGAAAACAATATCGCCTTTACGGATATATCAGTAAGACAAGTTAGGACTGGAAGACGGACAACGTCTATGTACCTGCTTCAAGTGGTACAAGTACCCACTCGTGACTGTTTTCCCAGTCTGGATGTATTCTCCCAGCGTGGATAAAATCAACCTTCATGCGGTGCGATCCTGGCACGACTTGTAAACATCCATTTTCTGGCGTTGCGGCGTTGACGGCGAGATTCGCCGTTGTATGCTCGATTTCTCCGATGTGGTCATAGGCTGGGGCATCGAGGTGGGCAAGGAATCCATTGCCAAAGCCGCTCTTGTAGTTAATCTTGTCCTTGAAAAGAAGCATCTCCTAGGCTTGGAGTTAGCAAATTTAAATCTGGTTACTCTTGTATGTAGAAGTTATGACTTACGCCTCTAGTGAGCTGCGCAATAACACCCCTCAGATTCTCTCCACAGAGTAATGCCTTGAACTTAGGATGGTAATCCACGAAGTTCTCTGTGCGCATAAGTTGTCTCTCGCCATTTTCGTTTATCTCGTCATATGGCATCCATTTGCCTTTCTCTCGTGGCCAGCTTTGCACCTCTTTCGACCAAGCTTGGAGTTCTTCTCCGGTCACAAGATTGTGTTCTCCGGCGCGGATGAGCAGATAGCCATCGCTATTGTACTGAGCCACCTGCTCTGGAGAGACAACGTATTTGTGCATTGTAAAAATAGTCGCGACGAATTGGTAACGTTACGAAAGGACGGGTAGATTGAAACGGGATAAGGGAAAGAATAGTGTTAAAGAATTGATGTAGAAAAGAAAGGAGATATCGCAGGCCAAACCTTGGCTCTTTCTATAATTGCTTGGATACTCTAAAGGTTGTCCACATATCACGTGCATCTCGGACTTCTTTCCGACAAACGTGCGACTACAACTAGTTCAAGTAGTGCGGGGAACCTTATCTTATTCCCACCACTATCGAACGTCGATCTCAGACGTTCTCTTGGAAAAGGCACGTTGTTGAGTAAATCAATGGTTATACGGGTGCACGGATGTGAATTCGCATTTTTAGTGTTGCGGTATAACCTAGACTTGCGGACCTTACAACGTGTATTTATAAGCATTAATCCTTGTTGTAAACAGGCCCCCGGAGCCCCACGACCCCCGTAGTCCCCAGCTAGGCTCCCCACGACAACTCCATTAATAGCTGAGTCGCTAATACACGTGGCGTATCGACTTGTGGGTGGATGATGTTCGTGTTGACGCAGATGATGTGATAGAGCTGAATCTCGGTGGGAAGTCCGTCGTGGACTGAACCACCGACAAACGCTGATCCTATGTGCCTCAGGTAAGTAGAAGAAGGATACATATCGAATAACAACAAAAGAAACATACTTCTGCGACTTTCTTTCTCTCACATTCATCTTTTTGTCACTCAATCATTACGAATATGCTAGTCGCAGCCCCAACGCCGGTCGAAGCTCGCGCTAACGAGATCATCACAACTCTCTTCACATTTATTGAAGATCAGGAAAAGACCGAATACCTAGGCGAAAGAGTGTCACAGCTGCAGCATTCGCTTCAAGCCGCACATCTGGCCCGCCAGTCCGATGCTGATAATGAAACAATTCTCGGAGCATTACTACACGACGTCGGGCGATTTATCCCCACCCTTCACTCCCAGATGCCAAAAATGATCGCCCCAGATGGTGAATATGTGGGGCGCGCAAGCCATGAAATTTTTGGAGAGAGATATCTAAGGCAATTGGGTTTCAGTGATAAGATTTGCCAGTTGGTAGGCGCTCATGTGATGGCTAAGAGATATCTCACTGCTGTCAGAGAGGGGTATTATGAGAGCCTTAGTGAGACGAGTAAAAAGACTCTTAAGTTCCAGGTAAGTTTATTTACTCTTCTTCTCGTTGAAGAAGCACTAAGTTATACAGGGTGGAATTTTCAACGACGCACAAGTTGCTGAAGCACGGAAAGATTCTCTGTTAGAAGAGAAATTGGCTGTGCGAGTTTGGGACGACCTGGCGAAAGATCCAGATATGATTGTCGAGCCTATCTCATTTTATAAGGACATGGCTGTGCAGTCATTAATCAATAGTCTACAAAGCCCCGTCGCATAGGGTTGTATAGTCAAAAAATTTAAATCAATCACTTTTATAAGTTCTTAAAACAAGTGTCGTTGATGGTTGTAATCAGCTGTTCTTGGCAGCCTTCTGTTAGCGGCCCCATATCGGCGCCCTGGTGCAATGTGAAAACGGGGCAGCCGTTGTAATCGAAGAACAGGCTGCCAAACTTTCTGCCAAACAGCTATCCAAAATGTTCGTATTTTCTGAGTCATGGGTTGAAACTCCACTCACTAGCTTCATGGTAATAGAGTAGAACTTTAGTCAGGAGGGGGTTGACAAGTGGTTCGGAAACTCACTTGTCCCGGTAGATGCCGCAAGCGCTGGCTAAATGTGTATATATATGTGTGTATGAGCTGCACTGCACTGCTGGCTGCAGACAAAATGACTTCTCGTAGGTTGGAAATTGTTATCAATAGTGCAAATGCTGATTGTGTTTCAGACCTCTCGTCATATGTGACTGTTCACTCGAGAACATATGCTCTTCCAAAACAGCCAACCGTGGCCGTATGCATCGATGGCTTCGATCCAGAATACCTAGCGCAAGGGATCGCTGATGGTATCCTTCCAAATCTGGCCTATTTCATTCACCACGGATTCCACACCACTGCAAAGAGTTGCATGCCTTCATTCACCAATCCCAACAATGTCTCTATTATTACTGGTGTCTCGGCCTCTATCCACGGCATAGCTGGAAATTTTTACCTCGACCCAGTCAATCACGAAGAGAAGATGATAGCCGATGCAACTCTCCTCCGTGGCCCTACAATCCTCCAACAGTTGTCAAAGCGCGGCGTCAGGGTAGTAGCAATTACGGCGAAAGACAAGCTCCGCCGCATCCTCTCGCACGGTCTGGAGAATGCAATCTGTTTCTCTGCCGAATTCGCCGGCGAAGCTACTATCGAGACTAATGGCATCACTGGTGTTGAAGAATGGATCGGCAGAAAAGCACCACTGCAATATTCTGGCGATCTGTCACTGTACGTCCTAGATGCAGGTGTCAAATTCATCGAAGAAGACCGTACCGATTTCATGTACCTCACGCTGTCGGATTTCATCCAGCATAAACACGCGCCTGGTGATAAAGATGCGAACGAGTTCATGTCTGCCCTAGACCAGCGCATTGGCAGGCTGGCACAGCTCGGCGCCATTGTTGCTGTCACCGGGGACCATGGCATGAGCGACAAGAGCCTCGAAGATGGGACACCAAACGTTTTATACCTGCAAGAGCGCCTGGAAGGGAGATTTGGCCGAGGCAGCGCACGAGTAATCTGTCCTATCACGGACCCTTTCGTACGACATCACGGCGCACTAGGCTCATTTGTGCGGGTGTACGCCAAATCTGCCTCTGATGTGTCTTCAATGCTGTCCTTTATTAAGTCCCTTTCTGGAGTTGCTCTTGCGCTTTCAGCGGCAGAGGCTGCTGAATCTTTAGAGTTACCACTTGATCGCGAAGGAGATATTGTAGTCGTGGCAGTGAAGAACGCCGTCATTGGATCGAAAAAGGAAGAACATGACCTATCAAATTTGGGAGAACACAGATTGCGCTCCCATGGTGGTTTATCGGAACAAGATGTGCCAATACTGATGTCCATACCATTGGGCAGCCAGCTAGCTGAAGGAAAAGCAACATGGAGAAATTTTGATATCTTTGATTTAGTTCTAAATTCGCAGACCTAATTAGCGTACTGCCTAGGAATATTTTCTTATAGAGCAATGAACAATTGATAAGGGTCCCTTTGGTATGAACTGTACTTTTGGTATACTTCGCGATTAATATGATAGATCTCTCTAGTAGAAACTCTGGCATAAGTAGAAGGTGAGATTGGAGCTAACAGCAGCATATTCCTCTATAAATGTATAAACATTCGTCTTCATAATTATTGTCAGATTGTCACTGTCTATTTAATTGTTAAACTATTCATAAGTTTAGCCAATGTAATAGGTATATAGTGGTTACTGTGGTTGGTGGAAAGTGCATAGGCGTGCACTTTTTGCAGTTTGAAAACCAAAGATAGATAGTACATGGCGCCCGTCCCATCGAGTATGTATTCGAGTTAATCGGTAATCGGGAACGGTACGTGCACTGGCGTGTCACCTAAAAAGTTTAAATCCCACGCTGCGAAATTATTGGGTCTGGTGTAATTTCGGTATTTGCCTTGTTGCCCAGGAACGCTATTGTGGGTTATGGCTGCGTTAGCCTTGCTTTGGTTTCTCTTAGTAATGTCTTAACCAACCCCTATCGCTCTTCTCTCCGGCCCCTCGCGAGCTCCACCGAAATTGCCCAACGACGTTATGCAAATAATTACTGATGTGGCTCCCTTACGACGTCGTAAACACGTGGCATCTTTGGTCGGCAGAACGCCCTAAATCCATAATAAATACACGTGCGAACATCGATCGCAGTGTTAGGCACCAGCTGCTTAGCTTGGTAAGAAGTATAATGTCGTTGAACGTCGGGCTTCACGCCGACTCGGAGGCACATAGCTGCTACCAATTATTGTGAGTATGTATTAAAGGCATTAACGATAGAGGTCGTTTTGCGATCAAGTAGGAAAACAGGATCGACAAGCTGCTCTTACAAACTGCCTTCGTCTCAATATTTTCACCATGAGTGCTCACCTCGAGACAGCGCCGCTGGCGACTAAGGCCCGTACATCATGGCTGCAGAACATCAAGTTCTTTGCCCTAGCTGGAACCGGTTTCTTTTCTGATGGTTATCTGAATATTACTATGGGTCTAGGTGAGTTAGGATGGTCAACACTTCAAAGCAATGTTAACAGTATTGTAGTTGTTCCTATGATCGGTCTCATTTATTTCAAGGACTCTGGCTCTGTTGTCAAGTCTTCCCAAAGCGATGCCATGAAGGGTTCCCTATCTCTCGGCATGGTATTTGGCCAAGTCGGCAGTGGTATCCTTGGCGATGCCATTGGAAGACATAAGATCTACGGCAAGGAGCTTATTTTGACTATCTTTGGAACGCTCATGGTTATTGTTGCCCCGCCATATATGACTCACGAGGGTATCGTGGTCTGGGTTTGTATTTGGCGTGCTTTTACTGGAATTGGTATTGGCGCAGGTTCGTTATATAAAATTCTCGACAGACAGCATTCACTAATACGGCATTAGACTATCCAATGTCAGCAACTTTATCATCGGAGAACAAACCAGTCAAATCCAGGGCGGTGCTCGTTTCTGGTGTATTCTCTAATTATGGTCTTGGAAGTTTCTCTGCTTCGATAGTCTACCTCGTTTTGATTGTCGCTTTCAAGTCTGCCATCGAAAATAACATTGATCGTGTCCAGTGGGTGTGGAGATTGCTCTTGGGAATTGGAATTATTCCAGCAGCAGCAACACTCTATGGTCGCCTACGCATGAAAGAAACAGTTCCATATCAGAAGTGTAAGTGTACACGTTTATCTTTATACAAGGCTCATTTGGCTGACACAGTCTAGATGTCGAAACGCGAGACGGCCGTGGCGAAACAATCAGAAAGGATCTCTATAATCAATGGGTGGATTTCAAGGAATATTTCTCTGTTCCATTGCATGCGAGAACTCTCTTCGCTACATGTTGCACCTGGTTTCTCTTGTGAGTTCATTTCGAAATGTGCCTATACTACACTAGTGAACGAACTAATAGTCAAAAAGTGACATCGCATTTTACGGAATCAATCTCAACCAATCTCTCATCCTAAGCAGCATCGGTTACGGCGCGGGCAAGACGCACTGGCAAACACTTTATAATACAGCTATTGGAAACATTATTGTTGCGGCCGCTGTATGTGTCTTCCCATTACAAACGAAATACCTCCAGTTTAAGTAATTAACATGAAGTCTAGGGCTTCCTTCCTGGTTATTACGCTGCAATTCCACTCCTTGATATACTCGGTCGCGTTCGTCAACAGTGGATTGGATGTTGCCTTGTCGCCACTCTTTACGCCATTTGGGCCGGTGTGGCAAACATCACCAGTGCTGGCGGTCTCATTGCGCTCTTCACATTATCTCAGGTAGGTTTTCAAGCTCATGGTACAAACCAGACTGCCCTATCTACCTCTCCATATAACTCAGCATCGTTCTGCTAACACTTTGGTCTTAGTTCTTTCTCAATGCTGGCCCAGCAACCACGACGTTCCTCATTCCCGTCGAGGTCTTCCCAACTCGAGTCCGTGCAACCGCCCACGGCATATCAGCTGCAGTTGGCAAATGTGGAGCCATACTCACAACCTTTGCTTTCGGCACAATTACCGCAAAGATTGGACTTCGGGGTGTCTTGGGATTGTTCAGTGGCATCTTGTTCCTCACTGCTTTGCTCACTCTCTGGATTCCTGAGTCGAAGGACAAGACTCTAGAACAGATTGAGAATGGTGATATCTATGGTGGCAACGAATGGGTAGGCTGGAGCACTAAGGATGCGAAGGCCATTACGGCTTTAGAGACGAGCGAGACGAGCACAGCGACCAATTCCTTCTGTAGTGCTGACAACAAAAGACCTGTTGTTAAGAGGAAAGATGTACAAATCGAGGATAAGAGATAATCAGCGTGGGTAGATATAGAGGCTGAGTTATAAGAGATACCTTTTGGAATTTACATTTTGGAAAGGGGCACTAGCAGGCTAGCACGATTATTAACTTCATACCGATATGTTGTAAAAAGAAACTGCTAGGCTGGTGATGTCTTTGATGAGTATTCTAAGACTTGCTGCTGTAGTCACTCTACCCATGAAGGTGTTATTAGCTCGTTACACAAGAGAGTCGCATGAGAAGGAGTAAAAATAAACTCCCGTTCCAAATCGCAAGCTGGATAAAGCACTTATCCCACGGCTCTAAAAATAACCAACGCCATGCTTGGGCTAAGGGCCGCCTGGACCCAAGAGATAAAGATATAGCTTGGACAGCTACTGGATGTATTTTTGTCAACCGAATAATCGCATGTCACAGACGCAAGAGAGAAATCTACTGCCGCATACCCAGTCATACCTAGATATAGAGATTAGTAGGACGTTCTTGCTTGGATCTCAAGCTCTTGTTTTATCAATTCTCCTCAAACGTGGCTAGGGACTACTAGATATGCAACAGGACTCTATGTTTTGTCTTCTTCCAGAAGACATAATTATTAAACTAGGACAGAATTCTGAAGATCCAAAGCTAGAGTTGCTTCCGTTATATCACCTTCAAGCAAGGAGCTTGATAAATATGGGAAAGAGCGGGAAAGCTGTGGAGCTAATTGAGCACGTAGTTAATATCCGAGAATCTACAGTAGCTCAGGATCACCCAGATCGGATTGTGTTACAGTATGTGCTTTCTTGTGCTTATCAGGCTAATGGAAAAGTCAGAGAGGCTAAAGAGCTGCCTAAACAGAAAACTGAATCCTAGAATTAGAAACCTACTGAGAACGCATAACAGTCTAGGATCCAGAAACTAAAATGTGATGTCCTGTTGATTAGTGAAGAAATATCTGCTAACACATGTAAACGGGAGAAAAATTAACTAAATTAGGACATAATTACCATGGTACAGCTGTAAAGTACACTAACAAACACGTCTAGATAGACAAAATTGATGCAGTCATGTTTAATTATGTCCGTATCCAGCAAGAACTCCGTGAGGTTGCCCTCGAAAACAAATAGTTTGCCATGTGTGGCATTAGTGCTTAAAATATCCCCCTGCGCCATGGAAAGGAAACCTTGTTGTTTTTAGTTCGTATGTTGATGTGTAGGCTTTGGTTGGAACGAGTACCTGAGCAAGGGGGAAATAGTTAAATGGGTGGCTTAACTTATCAGCGATAAGAGTAAGATGGCACGATTATTTATCCGCCACAACATTCTTACCGCCGACGGGCCGCAGGGGTATCATTCAGCCCATGCAGGGTAAATCAGGCGATGAGAGATTAGCGAGTCAGGGGAGAATCCGGGGTACGCCGAGTAATCCTAGCGGTGAGTTAATAGGGCACGAAGACCGAAAGGGAAAACTTAATCCTTCGAAGCCCCAGAATGCTCTCGGGTCTCTCAAAACCATTGGATCTGCTTACAGGAGAGCCAGTCTAAGCGGATCGGCGCGGTGTGTTTGCACATCACGCAGCACACGGGATTGGGTCGAATGGCCATCGGGCAAAGGGAATAGACGTGGGCTTACTCTCATAAATTGCTATCCACAGCATCCGAAAGACGCGTACGCTGACTCATTATCGACTTCAGTGCACTCAACATACCACATACTTACATTACTTGGTATACCTTGTCCCTATTATGCCGTAGCCATTGTATACCAAATATAGTATTCGTATATGGTTGTGGCTTCTACCTATACCCACCTTTTTCCCCCCTTTTCCGCGGCTGAGGCTGATGGACCTGGATTGTACATAAGCCACACTTTATTCCTGCCACGCGATCATTTATAGCCTCATAAGCCAGCCCTTAATCACTTACGAGAGACCGGCAACAATCAGGCCGCTGTTACCAAGCTTATCATGGAGGATCTCTAAATCCGCGGCTTGAGAGGTAAAAATAAACCTCACATACTGCGCGCCTGCTTGGCCATCTTATTACGGAACAAACATTGCCCCGTGCTGATGATATTGAGGAAGTGGTAATGCCAACAAGACGGAGATGGATAGATATAAAAGGAGGCGGTTTCCCCGTCTAATTTCACAATCATCATCCTCTTCCATTCACAACATCTTCAGACTCACCAGCTTTTCAACAACCCAAACCAGCCATCAAAATGCAGATCTCCCTTTCCACCGCCACCGCCCTCCTCCTCCTCCCTCTCGGCATCCTCGCCTCGCCCGCCCCAGTTCCCGTTGCTGAGGACGTGGCCGTGCCTGATGACCTTGAGCTCGAGGCGAGGGATGCCAATCCCGGAGAACTCTTCAAGCGTAACGTTCTTTGCAAGATCACCGGTTCTTCCGCAACCGTGAATTGCCGCAGCGGTCCCGGCACGGGATACTCGGTTATTGCCACGGTGAAGAAGGGCAGTTACTACAGCTTCGGTTGCTACAAGACAGGAACCTGTGTCAGTGGAAACTGGTGAGTTGTGCAATACCTAGCCTCTTTACTCACGCCAGCGACCGCAGGGATACATGATTGCTAATTGATTGATTAAAGCACCTGGGATAGAATTTTCTGGGATGGCAAATCCTGCTATGTCAGTGGATACTACACTGATAGCGCGTGCTCTGCTTGTGAGTTTACATTGTTTGTCCCACTTCAAAGGTTTTGTTGTTGACCCAATGCCACGACAGCTGCCCTTGGAAAGTGTTAAATTGGCATATTCAATCACGCGTTTCTGATGTTATGAAGTTACGCAATGTTATTATGACTTGGGGATGGACGCGTGTTGCTCATGTGGACCTTTAGTGGACGGCTTATCTTTCAGCATAGTCATCTTTCAACCTTTTGATTGTGCTTGCTAGGTTGTGGTGGAAGATGACTTATATAACTTTAAATTGACAAAATTACAGGCTGGTTTAACATAATTCTCTAGCGATATTCACAGTAGTGTAAGGAGCAATCGTGACATATTTTATATCTAATAGTATGTCACATAGAGCGCCAGTTCATTATATACCATAAGAAGTCACGATATATGGCTCAGTCCTCAAAGCGAGACTTGATGAAACGAATATAAAATAGTTTACAAAACAGCCGCTATCGCTAAAAATCTATCACCGAATCTATATACATGAATGAGACTACTCGACCCTAGGCCGGATATCCATTTCCTCCCTTTCCAAACCCCAGCAAATGTGGGATGGATCAGCGACTATCTAGCGCTTATAGCTTAACAGCTCTAGCATGGCGTCTGCGGCCTCCAGCAGCATTCTTGACACCGTTTGTGAACCAGCTAACCACATCATCGAAGGTGGCTCCGCTTGGTAGCGGCTTTGCAGATGCGGTCACAGTAACGGTGACGGTGGTAGCCGGGGCGGCGACTGTGACGGTGGCGCCCGCGGAAGTCACAGTGACAGTTGCAGCGGCACTGCAGGCGGAGGTTGTCTCGGGGAGTGGGATAACGGTCACGATGCGGGTGACGGGCTCTTCATCACCTTGGCCGGGGGCGACAACGACAGGCGCGGAAGTTATAGTTGGGAGCTCAGGTGTGTCGACAGAGTCGTCTGGGACAACAGGAGAGATGGTAGTCGTAGTTGGGACTGCAGGTACAGTAGAGTTGGAAAATGGGAATGGTGCGCCGGTGGTGGTAGTTGGGGCGATGGTAGTTGGGGCAGCGATGGTGGACGGGGTGTCAACGGTGGTTGGGGCGGCGACGGCAGTTGAAGAGCCCTCCACTGGAGCTGGGGCAGCGCCGCTGTTGTAGAGTGCTGGGCCAGGGATGGCATACGAAGTCAGGGTCTTGTAGATGTCGATGAGGATGCCAGCGTCAGTGCTCTTATAGAGTTCCGTGCCTGCAACTCCAGCGGGCTTTGCGGTTCCGGAACCGGTGACGACGAGGTTGATGCACTGGGGGTAATTCTGTGCGCCATTCGCATCATAAGCAGAGTGCAGTGCAATGATCTCGTGACGGAGCACGTAGTTGCCTGGTGCGATGTCGGCGGGAATCGTGGCAACCCAGGTGTTGGAGTTCGCAATGAGCTTATCAGAGGCCCAGTTACCAGGTGCATTTGACCCATCGATTAGACCTTCCTCGCCGATCTTGAAGAATTTTAGGGCAGTCTTGTCGACAGTTTCGCAGGCGCCGTTGCAGGAGGCGAGATAGTCAATGACTGGGCCTTTGTGAGACTCTGGCCATGGTGTCCATTGGAGCTCGACGGTGCTACCGGCGGCCACAGTGATGGAAGTGCCGGCATTGGTTGCGCCAACGTGGCAAATGATATCATTGTTCTGGAACTTGTCGGGGCCAACAAAACCATTGTCTAAATCTTGGGGAATCGACCAGCCGGCAACAACAGGAGGTGGGTTGGAGAATTGGAAGGATGGGCTGTAGCCAGTGTTGCTAAGAGGTGTTAGTTTTCCAGAAACAGTATTCATAGAAAGGATATGGTTACAGTTTGCCATTGACAACAATCCCTGAGACCGTGCCATGGGCAGATACGGATGATAGCAGAGCAAAGGCGCTCGCGGCGAAGGCGACTGATGAGAAAGTCATTTTAAACGAGTTAGGCTCTGTCAAAGAGTGTGATATTTTGTAGAATGAGTGTATGTAGTATTGCTTCAGTCAATGAAGAAGTGCACTTAAAAGATGGAAATTGAGCAAGAGGCTCGAAAGATAGAAAGGAAGAATGAATGAAGGTAAAAGACTCTGTCTCTGAATAGATAGAGAAGAGAAGACAGCAACAAAGAGCAGAAGAGAGTACTTATACCATCGTGGCCCAGACGAATGTTAGACAGGCCTCTTCAAGTAAATAATTCCTCGCCACTTACTTACTGTACTTTCCCCTCAATATAAAACGGGGCGGCAAACTAGCCAACCGGGTCGCATCCTGTCGCGCCTCCAACAATCCCCACCTTCCTGCAGAGGAGATTGAAGGATAAGGGCAAGTAGTGTTAGGGTTATCTGAAGTTAAGTGCAAGAGGCTCTTCCAGAACCCCACTATCATCGTGGTGTGCAGTTCTGTGAAACGCCGCGCATCCACTGGCGTTGTCAGACCGTCAGTGCGTTCGCGGCGGTAATTAAATTCGAACATTTTATCTCTTGGCTCTCAAGGTTCACGTGGGGGTTGATGCGCTATGCCACACTATAGACAGTATATTATTCGCGCGAACAGAGCCGCCCAGACGGAAGGAGATTCACCGAAATGGGAGAGGAGATGAGGCTGGACCCGACGAAGTGGTGGGTGGATATGTTGTAGCATCTGCGATAGTACTTCGGACTTCGCTTGCAAATGCGTAGGAAATAAGTCGGTATGGTGCAGAGGGTAGTGTCTCTAATAAATTAAAAAACCAGGCTTCGACTTACCTCAGCTGTGTACAACTCTTCACTATGCAGGAAAAATCAAATGATCGAATTTGTTCCTCACCACAACGCACTAACCTATGGTACAATATACAAAACGAGATTGACCATTGCCATTGTAGTGAGAGTCTCTGAGCGATCTTGTAACATGAGATGTTTCGCGTGAGAAGAGCTAGTCCATAGGCTAAAATAACGAAGGAAGTTGTGACGTCATCGTACGTCTGACATGGGACGAAGCTCAACCTTCAATTGGAATACGACGATCCTCAAAGAATCCATGTCCATAAACTATGGTATTTGGAAGAATCCGTTTGACCTCCAAGTATTCAGCTAATCAACTACACACGGTCAAGCTGACGACGAGGGCAATGACAGGCCGCCACAGCCCCATCGAGCCTCAGCGCGTCGACGCCCCGCTAACACGGTCTGCGACCTTCTTAGTCGTCTCCGTTGCCAACAGCCCCTCCGCGATCCGGACTATTCGCTCCACACTCGCGAGTGTCGACGACCTCACTAAGAACGTCGCCATCCGCGATCTCAAAGCCCAGTTCGCATGTACCGTCGGCATAGGCAGTGATGCCTGGGACCGTGTCACCAGTCTTCCACGGCCGGCTGAGCTGCACCCCTTTATAACCGTTAAGGGTGCGGTCCACAGCGCTATCGCGACGCCTGGCGATTTGTTCTTCCATATACGCTCAGACCGGCAAGATTTGTGCTTTGAGTTCGAGCGGCAGCTGTTGGACCTTCTAGGCGACTCTGTTGCAGTTATCGACGAGACCATCGGCTTCCGCTACTTTGATGTACGCGATCTGCTAGGATTTGTCGATGGCACGGCTAATCCTGCTGGTCCTGCTATTGGCGCCTCGACCCTTGTCGCTGACGAGGATGCATCCGCCGAGGGAGGCAGCTATATCGTCGTGCAGAAGTATATACATGACCTTAAAGGATGGCGTGCGCTCCCAGCCGAGACGCAGGAAGCCATCATTGGCCGCACGAAACTAGATAACATCGAGCTTGACGATGCAGAGGCTGGAAAGCAGTGCAGTCACAAGACTCTGACTACAATCGAGGACGAGAAAGGCGATGAGCATGAGATCCTCCGTGACAATATGCCGTTCGGGTCCCCTGGCGCAGGAGAGTTCGGGACATACTTCATCGGGTACTCGCGGCGCCTATGGGTCATCGAGCAGATGATGCAGCGCATGTTTATCGGGGATCCCCCTGGGCTACACGACCGTATACTTAACTTCTCGAAACCGGTGACGGGCACAACATTTTTCGCGCCATCCGCTACCCTGCTCGCGAGCCTTGATCCTAGCGATTAAGGGCGTAGGGGAGGGTCTAGATGAAATCTCTGTAAATGGGGTGTTACTCACTTAGTTGTAAATACATCAGTTGAACGGTTTTTTACTCACACGAATGTACTCACAGTGTAGTATAAAATAAACCAAATGAATGATTTTTCAACGTGGTGTTGTACTTTATTACTCTTCACTGTTCAGGAAGCACTCAGTGTAGTACAAGGTAGTATTCGGAATAAAAGCGGCCGGGACAGACGGAGATGAGGCTGGACCCGACATGGTTGGTGTGTGGATATGTTATATCTCAATGAGTTGGCCCCTGAAAAATGCAAATAAAAATGGAAAAATTACCTTCCGATGAGGCACCGCCATATATTCACCATAATTGAACACCTTTTCTGACTTTGGCGCCATCTTACACCCTTTTTTTGGTTTGCTTTTAAACACCGGAATTGTAGGGATCTCTAGCCAAATGTTGGCACCACAGTTTCGGGGACTAGAAGCCGCAACTAAATGTGTCTTTTTATTAAATATATTTTATACATAAAGACGGGATAACTAGGTAATAACTGTTTGATTCTACGGGGGCTGAGATGCCTCCACGTTCTTGAGCCAGACTGTTCTGTTGAAAGGGGAGGATGCCACCATTGGGCGAGAAGGCTATGAGCCTAACCAAGATTGCATGCCCTTCGAGCATCAATAGGGCAATGCCTACTGTGTGTAGTCCCCAACCAAACCCGTCAACAATCTATCAATCCCATCCGACATGCTAATATCATTAATATCCGCCATCCACTGGACCAGGTCCCCTTGGTCCAGGCCATCCGAGGGTGCCAAAGACGCCGGCTCCACCCACCATTCATTGTTCTTATCCACCATCATAGTCCTTGTACGACTAGCAAGTGCTTCAAAGATATCCCGGTACGGCGCAGCGCCCTTCCACCGCTCAGCCATCACCACGAGAACAATTGTGCAGTCCGAACATGTACTGCTTAAGTTATCATGTCGGACTGCTTCGCGGACGGCAGGCGAGGTCCACAGGCAGTGTAGATATGTCAGTCCGGCCATGAATAGGCAGTGTAAAGCTCCCCAGGTATAATTCACCGATCTGCCGATATATTGTCGTCTGAAGCCGTGACAGATGTTCTCGGCTGCGTGTAGGCATTCCATGAATACGTTATCTGCAGCGCCTTTACTGTCCATTAGTTGACTCCTGTAGAGGAGGAGAATAGAATAGTTGTAATTGTTATCAAACCAGTCTCGGCTCGCGAATATTGATAGCGCATCACCAACCCGAGGTGGTATAGGGGGGGCGGATGCAAGCCAGTCTTCTAGCTCAGCGCGGAGTTTCTCGGTACAGGTATCGGAAGGATCGGTGGGACTGGTGCGTGTGGTGTCAGAGTAGAGATAGGTGTGGATACGAGCCCACAGGCATCGAAGACGTATAACATGAATTGCGACAGACATCGTTGTTGGTGGGTCGCTAGATGAGCGACGGGGTATCCCACAAATCCCGGCGCTGGTGATATCTACATCATTGATATCCGTGGGAAACTGTGTTAAAATTGATTAGATGAGAGTTCCAACTAATTTGGGTTCGTTTTCTAAGTACCTCCGCGTCGACCTCTTGGAGAGGCACACCTAATGGCCGTCCAAGTGAAGTGGCGGCAGCACAATCTATCCCATACGCACACCAAAATACCCTCTTTCGAAGCTCAAGGCGGAGCGGGTCAGAAGTGGATGAGAACTTTTTTGAGTTACGATGGTAGCCGAGCTCGATGCACTGTCGTAGTGCGAGTCCTGATAGTTTCCTATTTCTATATCAGTGAAGCTCTGATTAAATCAAGCGTGGTGGGAGCTATTTACCAAATCGATGGGCCTGCAGGAGATCGGAGTGAATACATTGCACAACATAGTATTGCTTGAATAGATTCTAGATTATCAAGTGACATCACATGGCTAATGTAGATCTGTGCAGAGGCATATAGTTGCTAATAGCATGTAAGCATAGTTGTCAATAACGGTGCAGGTGACTAGTAGGACTAACCTGTGGTAAGGAACCAGAGTTTGGCAAGAGCAGAGCGCTAATGGCATAAACCTATAATATTTAAATATGAGTTTGCAGGTATTGAGTTCCTAACTTACCATATTCACAAAGAACAAAGAAATAGGGTCAAAGCTGAACGCATCCGTAGCTTCGGGTTCCCCAATCAGTTTCATCTCCCAATGTCTAAACGTCGGCTCATGCAAGAATGGATACTGAGGGTGAATATTCTGGAAGTAAGCATTGCTAAGCGCGATGCCGGCTTCATAGCTTGGCAAAGGACATGGGGAAAGCAGATCCATAGGACCTTCAGAAAGACCAAATGTAGTGGGGGGGTTGCCAGAAGCGCCTTCTCGAAGGGACGAGTTGATTATACGCGAAAAGGCAAAGGTAGATGATGAGCCTAGGTACTGCGGTTCTGCTCCTGCGGCGTAGTGCAAGTTTAGCATCCCAACCTTGGAAGCTAAATCGCTTACTGCGTTGTCTTCCTCCTTCGATTTGAAACCAGTTGGTCGGCTGTCATCCTCGCTGGTTATCTGAGCCCTCATGGAAGCACCTTGCTGCATCTGCTGAAGGAGGCCCTCGAGGAGAGCAACGCGGTCTTCTAAAGTGTCCGTATAATTTCGTGGCTGGTGCCGCTTCGTTGACGGATCTTCTACGAGGCATGCTAGAGTACATAATGAGCGACAACATGTGAGTGGTATAGAAACTAAGTCTCACTTAGACCATGTTTGTCACAATTGGCACATGCTGGCACCTGTGCATCGCACTGCACCAATCAATCAGCCGAATTCTCTTCAACTTGTCAATCCTAGCCATGATTCCCCTTACCTTGAGTTTTCTTTCCTTACAGTTAATACAAGCGACTTGTATTCTGCTCCCAGGTACGCGTGAGCGTGGGGCGCCTTCAGATGTCCGCTTCTTGCGGCTGTTTTGCTGCATGGTAACCCTTAAAGCCAAGAATCTAATTGAAGCGACTCATTAAATGTAGTGGGGAGGTTAAGGACTTTATATAGAGAATTAGACTGCCAATGTCATCCTGTTGATAGGCTATCGCCCCCCCATTTTCTTATCATTTGCGGGGTGTCCCATTCGTAGATGGCCCTAAACGCGGGGTACCCCAGTCGGAGATGGCCCCGAAGTAGTTTCAACCTCGGGCGCATCAGGTAGTTAACATTCATCTCACACTTAATCAGCACCTATATTAAGAAAATCAAGAATTGTAAACAAGCTACCTCTACAATTGAATTAATAGTATGATTTTCGCCACACGAAACCCAGTATACAGGCCAGTTACACTAGAAATAGAATGGAGGTTTGCGAGTTCATCGGCTCTGTATATCGACAGCAATATATTTATTTCATTATCCTACGAGCTTTACTATTGTAGGCCGATCTAATTTAGACCCGGAGCTTGCTGTCTTCCACCATCTCGTTCTCTCTAATACTAGATCTCATAGTTAGCATGACAAACAGATCATGACCCTTCCCCCACCACCAGCAAAATATATCCTCACCTTGGCTTATCTAGGTTTCCCTCCCCGCCCTCATCACTATCAATGCCCAGTGGCCGATTCAGCCTTCTAAATGCGTTGAACCACGGCCCCTTAAACAAGGCGTCAATTTCCTCCACACTCAGACCAGCGATCTCAGGGACCATCAGGTACGCATAGCATAGCGAGATGAAGCACCAGCAGGCGAAGAAAAGAAAAGCTCCCCAGTTGTCAGTCTTCGCAAGAAGTGATGGCAGGCCGTACTGGAAGCCATAGATGAATAGCCAGTGGAACGTCGCTCCTAGTGCGCCGCCGAAAGAGCGGATTCTATCGGGCCAAAGCTCTGCACCGAAGACGTAGGGGAGGATGAGGAGACCTTTGTGAGGAAGACATGATTAGCAAGAACGCTAGGAAATTAGGAAGTGGTTGTCTCAGGCTTACCGACCGCATACCCAAATGCGTGTATGAAGATGGCCGCGATGGCCGCCTCTGACGAAGCAAAGTTGGCAGCGTTCTGTTGTTTGAACTTGATGTACACCCCAATATAAATGTCCGATATCATTTGCAAGGTGATTCCTACAAACAGTGATTTCCGCCGGCCCAAGGCATCGATGAAGAAGAAAGAAGCAATCAGACAGAAAAAGAGCTTCGACATTGCGTACATGCCGCTGAGAAACAAACTCCGTTTGGTATCGCCGCCTAAACCCATAATACTCAGGATTGGCACGAAGTAGGAGGTGATCGAATTTGCACCAGATAGCTGCGCGAGCGCATATGAGACGAGGACTTGCTGCAGACGGCGCAAGTTGGACCTCCTTGTGAATGTCTCCTTGACGATATCAATGAACCTTGGAGGTCCATCTTCCTCGGAGCCACCCCTCGATTTATTGATGGAATCTTCAATACTTCTAATTTCCATCGCCACGCGAGGATGGTCAGAAGGCAAGCCACGGAGTTTGACCAGGGTTCGGATGCCCTCCTCGCGCAGACCAACTAGGAAGAGCCATCTGGGTGATTCGCAAAGAAAGAAGCTCGCGATGATGAGCAGTAGCATAAATATGCACGGTGCGAAGAACACAGTCTGATACTGTAGTCTGCTCACGGGGATATGGGAGTAGGCTCCATAGACGCAGAAGACTGAAACGAACAGCGACAGGCCCATGGCGACACTGAACCACGCACTGAGGAGACCGCGGATTTCCATTGGTGCAATTTCCACAATTGCCATAGGTCCGATGACCGTGAGAGCTCCGATGCCCATCCCGGAGATAATTCGAGATGCATGTAGACCTGACAGCCCAGGGGAAAAACAGGCGACGAGTTGCCCAATAGTCCAGATCACGATATAGAGGCGGTAGGACCATAACCGACCGATGCGGTCGTTAATGAAGAATGATAAAGCTGCACCCATAGCATAACCAATGTACACGAGGGAGACAAAGTTCTTGATTTGCTTTGCGTTTGCCCCGGAGCTAATGTGGAATTGCTGTTGGAATCCAGGCAAAGAGGGGATGACGGACGCCGAACCTTGGTCCCAGGCTTTCAAGGGGTTGTTAGCAAATTCTCTATTTGCAAATATCCCGTAGATTGAGAATATAGTGATGCTTACTCGCAGGAATAGCAGACATAGCAAAAAGGATCGCAGAAAGGATCACATTGCGATTAAAGATCACCTCTCGGGGCGCACTTCGAATTGCTTTTCCATAATTTGCCAGAGGCGATCGGAGGAAAACTTCTTTGACGCCCATCTTTGCGTTTTGAGCCTTTGTACAAATTGTCGTCACATGGTAGGGATTCCATGGTATTTATCTCCGAGGACGCATCCTCATCTGGAAACTGATTGAAGTTGCTCGGAATCTCCCTTGGACTTTTTGAGAGCTATTCCCCGCGTGAGCACGGGTCACCAAGCTAGTAGGCGGGATTTCAACGTCGCTACTCGGATTCTTCCGAGTCAGCCAATCAGTCGAATGACCCCATTCGGCCTGCTCCCTAGTTTCTTAGCTAGACCCATGATTCTTTGTTAGCTACCTCTCGTTTCTCGGGATCCTACGAGAAGATTGGCATCTAAGAAAGATGCGACTCAGGGCAGCATTGCTATTATAATAGTAATGCTGCTCCTAGCCAAACTTCAACAACCTTTGGCTCTCTCAATCTTTTCTAACTTCTCGGTTGTTTCAAAATGGTATCCTCCGATTCCAAAATCATCATCGTCGGCGCTGGAGTGTTTGGGCTAAGCACCGCCCTATGGCTCGCCCGCGATGGTTACAAGGACATCACCGTTTTCGATCGCTGTTCTTTCGATAAGAATTTCTACAACCCTTCAAATGGCTGTGACGGAGCTTCCGCAGACATCAACAAAGTCTTTCGAATGGCATATGGAGAGAAACTAGAGTAAGAACTTTAGCTCCCTAAACCATTCCTATAATTCGAGCTACTACTAAAACCGACTCTGTTCTTAGCTACCAGAATCTCGCCATCGAGGCAAGAGATACATGGCTCTCCTGGAACAAGGAGATAGCAGAAAGCGTTGCTGCTGATCTTCCTCCCGGTCTCACTCCCGAGGATAAACTCCTTCATATCTGTGGATGTTATTTTGTTGCCGAAGGCAGGAAGTTGCACGATTTCTATGCGGAGAGTTTGGATACGATGGAGAAGACGGCGCCGGAGATGCGGAAGATGCAATTCGTCAAGGTATTGAACTCTGATGGGTCGACCGCATTAGATACTCCAGCTAATCATTCACACCTATAGGGACACGAAGAGGATAAAGAGGCCCTACGCAGAATAAGCCGGAAGTGGGTCGAAAAGTACCACGTTATCGATGGGATCAATGGCGGCGACACAAATGGATTCATCGATATCAATGGTGGAATCACTATCGCCGACAAGGTAACTGACCTAGAGACCCCCCCCTTGAAATGTGCTAACAAATGGAATCATTTAAGGCCTGTGTCTACGCACGATTTCTATGCGTCCAAGCCGGCGTCAAGTTTATTCTCGGCGACCCCCAGGGCAAGCTTGAGACTCTGATTACCGCGCACAATGGTCCGGAAAGGAAGGTGGCTGGGATTAAAACGTGTGATGGCCAGACTCACTCTGGTGATCTTGTGATAGTTGCTGGTACCACTCTCTCTCTCTCCCGTCGATTACGGCCTCCGTTTAATAATGCTAATGCCTGTCTGCAGCTGGCAGCTGGACAGCCTCAATCATTCCGGAGGCGCATCGAGTTGTAGAGGCCACGGCCGGCACTGTCGCGTTTATCGACATCCCACGGGATCGGCAGGATCTGTGGGATAGATTCCATCCCGATAATTATCCCGTCTGGTCTTATAGAAGGGGGGAAGGTGATGAGTGAGTTTCTCCTCCTCAGAAGAAGTAGGTCGCGTGCTAATGAACGTTCGTTCAGGTACTACCAAGGAGGGAGCTTTCCCATCACCAAAGAAGGGCGACTGAAATTTGGCTTCCGCGGGCGCAAGGTAAGTCGATTGGTGGGTTGTTCTGCTGCTGAACAGGAGGAGGTGCTGATTACTTGCGGCGGCGCAGTTCACCAATTTCCAAGACCATCCTACTGAACCAAATCTCCGCATCTCGACTCCGAGAACGAAGTACACGAAGGAGCCTATAAACACCGTGCCGCTCTATGGCCTTAAGCTCATGAAAGAGATTATAGCCCAAGCTTTGCCTGAGTTGGTGGAATTTGGATTTACTGATAGCAGAGTACGTATACCTATCCCTCAAAGCTGCCTTAGGATGAACTGACATCCTATAGTTATGTTGGTACACAGATAGCATCGACAATGATGTAAGTAAATGCTACACTTCAGTATCAAACATATTACTTACGTTTTAGTATGTCATCGACTATGTCCCCGGCTACTCAGACTCTCTTTTCATCTGCACAGGAGGATCGTAAGTGCTTCCCCCCGCCCTCCTCGACTAAGACTACCATCTAATATACTCCCACAGCGGCCACGGCTTCAAATTTCTCCCCGTGCTCGGCAGAGTAAGTTGGCCTGTCTCTATAACGGCAGTTTATAAGGGCTAATGCGGGTCGTTGGGTCTCTAGCACGTCAAAGCCCAAATTGAACGCAACCCGGATAACTTCACGTCGTTGTGGAAGTGGCGTGTTGTCGAGGAAGGGAAATCGAACAACGGGCTGGAGCAAGGAGAGACGGGTCCGAGAGAGATGTCCAGGCTTGAAATGGCTGAGCGTGCGTCCCCAATCCTCATATAAGATAACGAGTACTGATAGATCCTTTTTCTTCAGCTGAAGATTTCAAGATCAAACAGGCGGGTTCTAAACTGTAGGAGGTGGACATCAATGTAGTTCTTAACATATTACAATAGAGCATATCAACCTAATCCTTTGCCGCAACAATTATCGACCCCCCCCGCAAAAGAGCCGTGTTGGGTCGAATGGAAACAAACCGCTCGCAGGCCATGGCGCGGAGATATTTCCCTCCATGAACGCTCTTTCGCTTCCAGAACTGCTTACAGATGTGAAATTCTCCCTACCACTGTAATAGTAACTCATCTAGTCATTCCGCTTCATCACGATCTGCAAGAAGTTCAAATGAACGATTTTCGCCATCCCACCCACCTTCAAATCTAGACCTCTCCACGTCAACGCACTTACCATGCGCCCTATGAACGAATTTTCCCTCTACCGCACGCAACCCACAAAAAAACCACTTGTCACCAAAAAGAAGCCTCGAATCAGATCCGCGGACGGCAGATCACCATGGTGAGACATCATCCCCACTGTGATGAGGATATCGCATCACATCTGCATCTTCGGTTCCTGTCCAATGTGCGGGTGCCGAAGTCGCCGAATCCACCACCCCACTGATGTGTACTGTGAAATACTTCCTGTAGGTCACTGCAGAGTGTGTGTACTGTAGGCCCGCAAGGGCGTGGACGTGGACAGCTGAGAGAGGTTCGTTTCATGGATATTAGTGTGTGGAGTCCGTGCTATGCCGTGTCGTGCCTCCGTGGTGGTTTTATGAAACGGGAGGGGCGTGGAAAATGGGTAGGGGTTAGGGGAGAAGGGACGTCGCTGCTGTCACTGGTTGCTTGGGTCAGTATGCGGCGGCACGGCTGAGTGGTTAAATTGCGAATCTGGGAGGAAGCAAGCATTGTTATGAGTTTAATGGGAGTTTAATAGAAGCTGTAAAAGCGGATAGGAGATTGAGTGATTGTGAAGCTGAAGTTGATGTTGATGGTGATGTTGATGTTGATGGGGTCGCTTAGATTACAGTGCTGAGGGGGCGGAGTCTGTTGGTTTTGTGTGTGGGAGGGAGATAAGAGACTCGTTTCCCACATCCATATCCACAGTCCAGAACACATAAACCTGTATTTACAATACATGCTGTATGCAAAGTAAACAACGCATTCCAACTCCACCACGTACGTGTTCTAGAAATTACTGGTAGAGCACACAGTATGAGCACAGCATGAGTACAGCACACTCTGCACATTCTCCGCTCCATTTTCCACACTGGACTCGGTACCACCCCCTCTAAATCATCTCCCCCTCTAAATCATCTCCCCCTCTAAATCATCTCCCCCTCTAAATCATCTCCCTCTGATGATGTCTTCACCCTCAAATGATCTACCTCTCCCCATCCCTCCCTATCCCCCGGCACATCCGGCCCCTGACGCACAAGCATCGCTCATAAACGCCACTACCACCCCTCAAACAAGCCAAGCGAAGGAAATGTTTCGCGACCCCTGCTGATGCCGCAGTAGCGCGCATCTAGCGAGTGCCGATCACCGATCCGCGACAGGCGGCGAAACACCCTAAGCCGCTCATCGCGCCAATGACAGCGCGCGGTCGGCGTGTACCTGGTTTGGCGTACACATCCTTAATTGAAGTTCGAGGCCCAGTCAACGAAGCAGACTCCGCAGGGCGGTGAGTTCTGGAATGTGTATGGTCGGTGAGGGTCCCGTCAAGATGTCTAGGCCATCCCATCTTTTTTGCCCCTGTTCTGCTGCCCTGCTCTGCTGCCCTGGATTTTCAGGGCTTCCTGGTTTTCTTGCTCGGCGACATGCGTGGCTATGCCCCTCCTGTTGTTGCTGTTGTTGTTGGAGTTACCTCCTGTTCTTTAATCTCCATGGGAGAGGAGTGAACAATTCTCGAGTACCGACAACCTGGACGAGTGTCCAGGCCCTCTCAGCTACTCCAGCAAGCTACCCCCACCCCCCCAGTAACTCCCAGATCGCAATTCACTAGGGTAATTTGCTTACTTCCTTTTACTCCCCTTCCATACCTTTCGCCTTCTCTTCTTCTTCTCCTCCATCATCAAGATATTTTTGACATCTTCTTGGTTACTTCACACTCTTTTCTTGCACAGTCCCTTCAGCCTGGTTGCTTTCTTCTTCCAACTTCTCTCCATTCCTTCGAGAAATCAGACCCAGCGAAATCGACTTTCGCTCCTTTTTCCCCAGACCAACCAAGCACATTTCGAACTCGATATCGCTATCCAGTCGACCACCACAGCCTTCTCATCAGAAGATCGATACACAGAGCATTGACTGCTCTCTCGTTTCAGGCAGGCCCTCACCACACAAGAAATTTCTTCAAGACAATCCACCAGATTCAAGATGCAGTTCTCCACACTCGCCGTCGTTCTCTTCGCCGGCTTGGCAACTGCCCGCAGCCACGGACACGCCCAGCGCTTTCAGCACCGCCGTGCCTTCAACGAGTCCTCTTCCGCCGTTGACCTGACCACCCTGACCGTCCAGATCACCTCCACCCATACCGTTATCGGCTGTGCCCAGAACGTCACCGACTGCCCTGCCCGCAGTGCCACCGCTATCCGTACCGTCACCGAGGTCGTTGACTTGACCACCACCGTCTGCCCCGTTGCATCGGCCTCTGATATCTCCAGCAGCGTCATTGCCTCTGCCTCTGCCGTCCAGACCCAGGGTGCCGTTGTCTCTACCGAGGCTAATGAGCCTGTCCAGACCAGCGACAGCGTCCTGACCTACACCCTTGGCACCGGAGCTACCCAGTCCGTCGTCACTACCACCATCAAGCACACCATTACTGGTTATGTCGTATGTCACTCTTCTTTAACACTTCACCTCTTTGCTATATTCGTCTTCCATCAGTACAGTCACAATCTAACCTCTCCCAGACCAAGACTATGACCAAGAGCGGCGGTGCCAAGGCCACACCTGTCGTAGGCGGTGGCCAGGCCAACGTTGGTGGAAACGACAAGGGAACTAACAACGGCAGCGGAAGCGGAGCCGGCAATGGCAACGGTAACTCCGGTGAGCCAACGACCACCGTCCGCACCACCACCACAGCCACCCGCACCATCCATGTCAAGCCAACTGCGTCCGCCGGCTCAGGAACTGGTTCGTCCAACGGCGAGGGCAGCAATGCAGGAAACGGAGGTGACTGCGCCGCACCAGTTACCGTCACCGTCGCCCTCTCGACCGTCACCGTGACCTACACCCCTCCCGCAGCAACAGGCACTACCCCATCTGTTCCAAATGCCGTTGTTCCCGGAAAGGACGCTGTCAAGACCAACGTCGCCGTCGCAACTGAGGCTGCCCCCGAGGCACCAGCTACCACTGCTGAGCCTACCAACGGAGGAGCTGCCGAGGAGCCAGTTACCATTGTCACTATCCCAGTGATCCCAATCCCATACAAGAACTCCACTGAGACCGCGACGAGGCACTACTCCCACTCTTCCGGCTTCCTGAAGGCCCCAAGGCCAACTGGAACTGGAAGCAGCATCCAGCCTGCCCGTACCGGCTGGTTCTAAATGGATGAACGTCGAGATTGTCGCCACTAGGCGTTCAAGCATGGTTTAGCATGTTGCAGACACTTTTCTGCCTTACTTCTGAGCGACGAACAACAGCATGCACAGCATACCTTCAATTCACTTCTTTGTAACACTTTCGGTATTTTCTGACTGTGTCTTTTACTTCCATTTACCTTTTTATAGACAGTTTTATTCTTGGAAAAGGAGGGTTTGAGTCATCCGGCCGGGATATGAATAGAACGCAATTGTACCATGTATACACAGAAATGAAGACAATGAACACCCTACCTGTGCACCTTCCATCTCTTAGTAATACCGTATTTCCATAATATCTCGATCGTAACTTCCTTAACTTCCCATCGTACCTTCCTGTCTCAGAACGCGCTAACCGAGGGGTAATGCTTGGCGTGCTGGTGGGGTTCTCAAGGATGAACCTCCAAATCCCAAAAGGTTCACCAACCACCGTTCCGATAAGCCACTTCCCGCACTTCTATCACGCTCAAATTACACCGCAAAAGCTGCAATACTCGACTCAATAACAGATCCCATTCCAGATATACGATAAAGCGCAATGTCGCACTCTCACTCTCACGAAGGCGCTGGTGCTGGGCACTCCCACGATCCCGTCCAGGCGGCTCTGGATCACGGACACACGCACGAGATCCTTGATGGTCCAGGAAGCTATATGGGAAGGGAGATGCCGATTATTGAGGGCAGAAACTGGGAGGAGAGAGCCTATACTGTTGGGATTGGAGGGTATGTTTCTCTATCTGTCTTTGGTGGCTTAGGGTGAGAGATACCCGAAAGAGATAAGGACTGTATGACACGGCTGGGAAGCTTTCCAAACCAACTCTCATAGTGTGAGAGTTGTCCGTCATGCTACTCACCCATCGGCCTCTCCTGTCAAAGCGCCTCGGCCCATACTCCCACTATCCCCCCTCTCCCAATCCAAACTCCAACAATGACGTAACCGCTAACCTCTCCATCCCCAGCCCCGTCGGCTCCGGCAAAACCGCCCTCATGCTGGCCCTCTGCCTCGCCCTGCGCGAGAAATACAACCTCGCCGCCGTAACCAACGACATCTTCACGCGCGAAGACGCCGAGTTTCTGACCTCCCAAAAAGCCCTCCCCGCCTCGCGCATCCGCGCCATCGAGACAGGCGGGTGCCCTCACGCCGCCGTGCGCGAGGACATCAGCGCCAACCTCGCCGCACTGGAGGATCTACAGCGGGAATTCCATGCGGACATCCTGCTGATTGAGTCCGGCGGTGATAATCTTGCTGCGAACTACAGTAGGGAGTTGGCGGATTTCATCGTCTACGTCATTGATGTGAGTGGCGGGGATAAGATCCCGCGGAAAGGAGGGCCGGGGATCACGCAGAGCGATCTGTTGGTGGTGAATAAGACAGATTTGGCGGAGATTATTGGGGCGGATCTGGATGTTATGGAGAGAGATGCGAGGAAGATGAGGGAGGGTGGTCCGACTATCTTTGCGCAGGTGAAGGGGGGGAAGGGGGTCGATCATATTGTTAACCTCATACTCAGTGGGTGGAAGGCTAGTGGTGCTGAGGCGGTCAGTCGTGCGAGAGGTGGCCCGGTGGCGACGGCGGATTTGGCAAAGTTGGCTTAAGGGGTGGGGAGATGGATTGTCGGATGAGTGTCGACGTCAGATTGCCACGAATTGATGATGCGTGCGACAGGCGATGGAACAGCTTATATTGTCAACTCGCACTAGCTATTATCCAACCACTTATATAACTACAGTAGCTTAGATTATTGCCTATATACTACTCAACCATAGTCTATTTTACTATGCCCTAAAATGTCATGCGTGCTATATATCGTAACACTCCTATTTTCAGCATCATCGCGGGCCTAGCCGCAGCCATAACCCGCGGTCCCGAGCCTCCCACACGCGCTATCTATCTAAGTTATCATGCCATGGGCATTATGAACCCTTCATAGTCTGAAGATTATCTAAACGCTAGGCTGTTAAACCACAGGCCTATGATTTCAGCAGCACCCGACATATTGCTAAAAAGCAGTCGAACACCGCGTAGCCATGGCTCGATATTACCATAACAACATCCAACTTACCTAGTGCTCCCACCTCGAGAAACTCTATGACGAATGTAACAAACGCATTTAAAAGCCTCCCTCTTCCCACTCCCCCTTCCTTCCCCTTTACTTCTCGCACCCCAATATTCCCAGATCCAGTTCCCTACACACCGCACCACACACAACAAACCAGCACCATACACAAAACCAGCAACCCACCCAACCACCCAAAACCACCCACCACCAACTGCAAAAATGAAGTACGACCTAAATGCCTCCCTCGAAACCCCCCCACCCGTCGAACCCCCCACCGAGCTCCCAACCAAACAACTCACGGTCGGGGAACCCACCCCGCGCCCCCCAAGCCGCAAACACTCCTCCTCGCAGGTCCCCACGCTCTCCACCCCCTTCGAGGACGCCGGCGTCCCCACCGAGGGCGAGAGCTCCCCCGAATCCTCCGCAACCTCGTCCCGCGAGGTGACGCCGCCGCCGGCTGCGACGCTTGGGGGCGGCGGGGGGACGCCGCTTTGTACTATTCATGAGGATAGAAAGTTAGCTGTTTCGGGGGGGGATTGGTTGATGGGGAAGCCGTGGGTGTCGGTGGAGGAGAAGTGGGAAGGGGGGGAGAGGAAGGATGATGTGAAGACCTCTACGGGGACTGAGCCGCCGCGTGAGCCAAAGGGGCCGCAGAGAGAGGATGATGGACATGTGGTGAATGGGAACAGACTTATTGGGGACTGGTCGCTTCCCTCGGCGGGGGTGGGGGAGTATATCGACAGTAACGGGGCGATAAGGGTACCTTATGAGATTGAGCAAGCGATGAGGAATACCCCCGCGCCGCCGCATATGAAGTGGACAGCAGACAAGGTTATGAGTGAGATGCGGAGGGAGGAGGAGGAGCGGAGGGAGGCGGAGGAGCAGAGGCTGCGGGAAACGGAGGGGGAGAGGGTGGCGGAGACTGATGCTGAGAAAGAGGAGAGGTGGGGGATGGAGAGGCGGAGGAGAGTCGCGAGGGGGTGGGTGCGTGGCAGTGGCGGTGGAAGGGGCGGCAGCGGGAATGCGGGACCAGAACACGAGGACCCGGAAGAGGAGGAGCTGCCGGAGGAGGCGAATGAATATACACCCTCTGGAGCGGTGTCGCCGGAGATGATCGCTGCTGTGAGGGCGAGGTTGCAGGTGAAGTGGGCGGAGGAGGCGGCAGCGGCGGCTGAGAGAGCTGCTGAGAGGGAAGCGGCTGCTGCTAGGTCGGAGGCGGCTGCGAGAGAAGCGGCGGCAGTTTTGGCTGCGGCGGAGCCGGCGCTAGATCCTGCGCCGACGGATGTGGCGAGAAAGATTAAGGCGGCGGAGATGGCGAGGAAGGCGGTGGAGAATGAACCGCATTCGCCGGGTTGGAATGGAAGTACCTATGTTGATGGGCGCGAGCACCATTACTGCGGCCCGGACTTCCCGTGTCAGATGGAGCCGGCGTGCGATCCCTCTATCAAGGAGATCTGGGAGAAGGGTCTCCCCATCGATCCTGAGGAGATGCCATCGCCGAAGCGTCTTTCGTTCACCGAGCCGGTGCGCGCGTTGTTCGGCTTCAGGAAGTCGGGTCAGCCGGAGATGAAGTATAGGAAGCCTGTTTCCATTCAATCTATCCGCGTCGGCAATTCAGCGGAAACGGCGGTTCTTGACGAGCCACGGTCAAACACTCCACCTGGATCTGGCCGAAAACCGTCGCCCGCCGGTGGCGATGCTGAGAGGGGCGATTGCAGGACGATGAGGGGGTTGAAGAAGGTTTGGGGGTTCTGGACGAGCTTTGGTGGCAAGATGGGGCGTCGAGGGGTGGTGGTGACGAAGAGTGAGGAGAGCATTTCGGTGGTTCAGGGAGAGGATGATACCGATATGAGGTACGAAGCTGCTGAGGCCATTGCGGCTTCTGCGGCTGCGACGAACCTTGCGGCTTCGGCATGCTATCCAGTGGGGGAGAGCACTGTGGAAACGGCGCAGGTTGTCCAGATGACGGAGAGTGGTACACCGATTGTTGGTGTTGAACGAAAATCGGAAAGTAATACAGAGAAATCGGCCACGAAGTAATGGCAGAAGGAAAGAAGATGGATGTAATACAAAAGTTACTTGATATTTGCTCACCTATGCAGCAAAACTACTAATTAACAATACAATTCCAGTATATAAAATTAATAACATATCAACTGCATCGTTCTCTCAAGGCGTAAAAACGTGAATATGTACCGAATAAATCACATGATCTCGTAGTTCATGAAACTACCAAAACGGAATCGTTTCAAAAACCCAAAACGACGAAATTAATTCAGGCGATTCAAGCTTTTCTGTTTCGATCGTCAAATGATGTCATTGGGCGGGGCGCCCCTTGTCTCAGATTCTCAGCGGATAATCGGCAATCTACAGGTCGATCGCGCGCGGTCTTGGCTGTTTGCGCCGATCGTCAGGGCAGTGCAAGAATTTTGATAAGAGATTTCTGAGTTGGGTAGTTGTTATTGTATATACAGTTAGAATGTCTCTAAATTAATGCCGAAGTAAGTTAGAAAGCAATAGGAGTAAGAAGGGTATTCATATTTCGACGATTCAATCGATGTACTCGAACGATTTGGGATCGCGATGACCCACGTCCGTAAGATGATAATCTAGATAGAAAATTCTCATATGAGCGTTCCATTGCATTTGTATCTTCCAGCATTCACTCTATCACCACGGAACTATCCGATATGCAAACCGTAAAGCGCAATGGTATAAATACTATGTAGATAAATAATGGTGCGATCGTTTTCCGAAGAGGGAAACAGTGGAGGGAAGAGTGGAGAGAGAAACAAGAGGAAACAGCAGGAGCGGAACGGGAAGAAACTGGTTGATTTCGTATTTCATGTTCACCAAACAGTCATCCAGCCATTCCCAACGCATTCCCGTGATTTTTAAAAATAGAAAGGCCATCTATCAATCCACTCTCCCGCGCTAAACTTGTTCTAGAGCGGTAGTGGTGGAGAGGAGGAGGGACTCGAAATTTGATACGAATCTGACGACGGAGGAGACATTGAACCCTGCTCTCAGCCCGTCCCTACCATTACGTCTGTTTTACATACACCGCAGACACAACACTCTCTTTACATATTACGACTTTCTTTTGGATATCAATTCCTTAGACAAACGGCTCCAATCGTCGTGGCGAATCTAGAATCTGCAGCTCCTGCTCGCCACCACACCCCATCTTCCCTCAATAGCTTCATCACTGCTCGCAACTGGCACCTCAAACAACGCTCTTGAACGCCGTCAATCTATCCCAGCGGCACCAGCCGCCACAATGCCCATCCAGAAGGCGGACAGGCAGCGACCTCCTCATATCACGATCAACTCGGGGAGCGGGGGAGACATTCTCGCCGTGGAACCACACAGCAACAGCAGTACCGACTCTATAACAACCCGACAGCTCCTACCGCCGCAGCCATTCGCATCCTCGCCGCATTCCAGCGGGACCGCATCGCCAATTTACGGACGGAGGCAGTTCCCCGAAAGCTCGGAGCTGTTATTACCCCGCGGTGCACCAGCGGCCTATCGCCCGTATCGCGATGTCTCGAATGCGACGGACCCTTACTCGACACATTCGTCGCGGCGGACGAGTGCGAGTTCGGATGGGGGGAGATATGGACCTTTTGCTTCGCCGTTTGATGATAGGATAGGAGGGCCGGATGATGATAATGTGAATACGCAGACGGTGACGGAGAAGTATAATTGTGTGCCTACGCCGGGGTTATTAGTGTTTCCGGAAGACGTGGAGTTAGACGATGAGATGCATAACCCTGATCCGGATGAGAAGGAACATAGGGATGGGAATATTTGGACGAGGAGAGGAGCGGTTAATCTTGGAGGATTGGGGTTTCTTCTTTTGGGAATGTTGTCGCTATTTATTATATGGCCGGTATTGTATGTTGAATCCCTCCAGTCGTGGAATACCTTTGATTCTAACAGCTCGCAGAACTGTCGCCTTAAGGAAAAAGAATGCAGGCCACATTGGATGCGAGGCGGATCCGGATTGTCTATCAGATTCAGTGCCACTATTGAAAAATATGAGGACGGGCCTTATTGACCCAGACACACCCGAATCGGTGAAAACGAAGACTTCAAAGGATGGAACGAAGCTAGAGCTAGTGTTCTCCGACGAATTCAAGAAATCCGGCCGCACATTCTACGACGGCGACGATCCATATTTCCAAGCAGTGGATATCTGGTATGGAGCAACGCAGGACCTGGAATGGTATGATCCAGACGCAGTTTCGACGGATAACGGAACGCTCAATCTACGATTCGACGCCTTTCAAAGTCACTTCCTCAACTACAGATCCGGTATGGTGCAGTCATGGAATAAATTATGTTTCAAAGGCGGCCGTTTGGAGGCAAGCATATCATTACCAGGGCGAGGCGACGTCGAAGGTTTCTGGCCCGGATTTTGGGCAATGGGAAACCTCGGGAGGCCTGGATACTTGTCCACTACTGACGGTCTGTGGCCTTACAGCTACGAGGACAAGTGCGATGTTGGTATCACCAAGAACCAGAGTTCTACAGACGGTCTCTCATTACTCCCTGGCATGAGGCTTCCCGCCTGCACCTGCGCGGCCGAAGACCACCCCTCACCCGGCAAATCGCGCTCAGCCCCGGAGATCGACTGTATAGAAGCCTCGGTGGACTTCCTCGATCCCGCCGCTACCAGCAGCTACACAGGCACTGCATCGCAGTCCTTCCAACTTGCCCCATTTGATATCTGGTACCAGCCTGACTACAATTTTATCGAGCTCTATGACCAGAAAGTTACGGGAATGAACACCTATCGTGGTGGTCCCTACCAGGAAGCTTTCTCCGCCGTGACGTTCCTCAATAATAAATGGTACGACGGCAATGCCTACCAGACGTATGGCTTTGAGTACAAGCCCGGAGCTAAGGGTGACCTGGTCTGGTTCGTCGGCGACGAATACACATGGAAGATCGATCCGCGCGCGCTGAGAGCGAACGGAAATATCGGACAACGAATTATCCCCGAGGAGCCAATGGCCATGATCATGAATTTCGGGATGAGTAATTCGTTCGCGCAGGTCTTCCTGGCTGATCTGGCGAAGCTGATGCCGGCGACTATGCGCTTTGATTATATCCGTATCTATCAGGATCCGAACGAGAAGAGTGTGACGTGCGATCCGGTTGGGTATCCGACGACGGATTATATCAAGAATCATCCGGAGCCGTATGCCAATCCGAACTTGACGTTGTGGTAAGTTTTGAGCATTTTGACTTCCATCGGATTTGGTATAGGTTGTTAACAAGTAATAGGGAGAAAACGAACTACGATTGGCCGCAGAATACCTTTGTTGATGGCTGCAAAGCGTGAATGGGGCGTATAGAAGATGTGGGTGAAGTGTTGATAGAAAGCAACGAGATTTTAGTCGCATTGGAGGTGTACAAAAGAGTGTTTCCCCACCCGAAACAAGATAATCGCGAAGCAATCGAGTACCGACAGGGTTCTCATACTTGCATATTTTGCCAGTTAGGTACGTGTCAGGTTGAACAAATGAGCCGGCAAGCTTGGTAGGAGTTTTTGGGATTCGGCCGCATTTATGGCTATATATGAGGAGTTCTGGATATGCCCTGGGATATAGAGACTTTGGAAAGAGGATGATGGATGTATGATGACTTGTAGAAAGAATATATGGATGAGATAGAGAACCCTTGAGTGGAGCGGGGAAATAAAATGTGAATATATCCCAACCTTGGTTTTATGCTTCGTATCCGAGTAGGTGGGGACGGGAGAAAGACTCCAATATATTGAACACGAGAGAGAGACGAGGGGGACACTACTGGTACAATTACTTTACCAGAGAATAACTCAACTTCGATATAACAATAAAAGGCATGTTATTATTACAGCTGTTGGTATCGTGAGCCTCCCAGCTGCCTTCCCTCGTTTCGAGCAGCAGTCGACACTCAAGTAGGGCAATTCCCACGTCTCCGCCAATCAAAAGGGGATATGGTTTAGTGGTATAACGCGTCTTTCGCATAGATGAGGTCCGGCGTTCGATTCGCCGTTTCTCCAATGACCTAAAGAGCTTCTTCTTCGGAAGGGGCCCTGATTTTTTTACTCTTTTTTGCGTCGTCGACAACTTCGGCTGCGCAGCGACGGGCTCCCTGCATTTGGTGCCATGGATGATCATAGGATATCTCAGGGTTTGACTGACATTGCACGCAAGGGAAATCAAGACAGATACATGAAGTCGTGAGTATAGGGTAATTTTTATTTTATATGGACAAAAAAAAATCACTCAAAAAAATCTTTGAAGCTCTCCAAGAGATATACGCACTAAGCGAACCTGCAGCACGTCCATCTTGGCTTTCGCCGGACAAGAGGCAGGATTATAAAAGGCGAAAAAATCGCTCTAGCATATCCGGGAATGTAATTAGGCCATTGAAAACCAAGGATAGTGAGTCCTCGGTCCCGAGACGGATCTCGGGAGGGCCAACTCATGGGTATGTTGGACTGCAAATAGTATATATGGACAAAAGAGAGGACATTGTTACGACGCGGCTGCTTCAACTGCGCTTTCCGGGTAGAAGATGTGTCCCTTCTCTTCATTGGAAACGTAGGTGCCATAAGACGGTACTGAGTAGAGTGTGATCTTGCAGACAGAAGCTGGAAGTGCTCATGTAAAGCTCAATGGCCTGGTGCAACCATTTTGGAATGAAAAGGGACACAGCTTCCACGCTGAGAGCATGGTTGGAGCAGGTGCGCCGGTTGTAGCGATGTTAGGGAAAGAGAAAGGTCAAATGGAAAACATTGGGAAATATATTGCCGTGCGCCACGCTAGTGGAACATACGCTAAACTGTTTTGGGACACTATTGACACAGTGTAAGCCGCCGATTCAATCAATCAAGCACAATTCATTATGCATTTTATATGTTTAGTGTAGAAATATATATATTCATTCAAAAGTGGTTATCAAAACAAGCCTCTACATCGGCAATAATTCTAAGCCGCCTGCTCCATCGTCTGGAAGCTCCCTATCATATTCTTCGTATAAGAATCCGCATCCGACGTTATCGCCGCCATATTGACTCGACTCTGCAGCGTGTTATTCACACTATCAACCACCTCCCTCTCCGCCATAATCTCGCTCATCACTCTAGTCTCATTCACCCAGTACTCACCGGCCTTTCCGCGCAGGCCCTCGTCCCTGTTAACCGTGTTCAACAGCACAGCCGCGGCGCTCATCTTGGATCTCGCGGAATCCAGAACTTTCGTCGCGGTCTCGAGGCGCTCGGCTGGGGAGACGGGGATGACGAATGCGCGGTTCGTGGAGGAGAGGAAGAGGAGCCAGCCTATTAGGCCGTCGAGACCAGCAAGAGTAATGTAGCGGTATGTGTGGGTTCTCCAGAAGAACATATCCAAGTCCTCCAAACGTGTCGCCTTCGCATTCAACTTGTGGTCGTATTCCGAAAGGTATGACATATCCACCACAGCTATAATGACTGCGCAAATCGTAGCAAATCGCCTCCACACTGTGCCTTCCTCGCCCACAAACATCCCCGAGGTTGCCACGGCTAGCACGGCGAGGTTGAAGATATGCGGGATCAGCACGGAGGACATGGTGTAGTAGTAAAAGCTTCTGTGGTCGTCTGCTTTGCAGAACAGGCAGTTGCCGATGGCATCGGGGCCGAATTTGAGGTAGAGGAGTTTCGACTCGAGGGAAACGAGCTTCTCGCGCAACCGATGGTCCAGTTCGGTCAGGCCATTTGGTCGTATGGCGGTGAGGCGTGTGAACAGTACGTCCACGGGTATCTGTATGCGGGATTGTGTCTTTGAGAAGATGTTCTCCTCTGAGAACATCGGTAGTGTCGCGATGAGTAGGATGACGGCTATGACGAAGAGTATGCCCAGCGCTCTAGACACTGCCGGGGGCACTGGTCGAATCGGCCTTCCTGGTTTCTTTGCATTTGCTCGGAATGATCGGTAGTATCCGATAGCCTTGGGTAGGAGCATAGGCCCAAAGAACATAAGGAGCGACTTGATGCTTTTGAGACATTAGCTGGGCTGTTTAATTTTATGTGGCATGGCGATATACATACGTCCCCCATGATACCATCTTTGCGGTATTACTTTGCTAAAGCAAGTTCAATACCTTATATCGTGCGCGAAACTGTGTTCCCAAAAGTTAACATAGCCGTGGGCGCATGGCGCTTACTATTTCGTTGATGCCAGATGGGCTGGCGGCAGAACGACCCCTGTGGGCCGAGCGGTCAGCCTAACGCGGACTAGCGGCTGGCACGATCTTTTGTTATCGAAAGCTCGCAAACTTCACTTTGTTCCTCTTTCAACATCATTTCACAACAATTTGGCCAAGTTTCAACCCAAGGACTGCCAAGTGTACTACATCACGTATTACATATGTTTACTGAGTATATCTGTGGTTATATGCAACCTCCAAGCTAAACAAGCATTTGCATAGCTCTATTTTTCCTTCTTCTCCCCTCAGATCCCCCAGTGGCACTTTCGAAGCTTTGGTGACCCCTTCAGTGGTTTCTCACAGTCAAAAAGAATGCCCAGAACGAGCCCCAAGCACTCTGCCAAGAGTCATCTCACTCGTGTTGCAAGGTCGAGCTGAACAAGCCAAGACATCCTTTGCGTCTTTATTGATGAGAGACAATTCCAAGCCCTCCCCAAGAAAACTTAGTCAATAGGCCATTAGTTCATTTAAGCTATTATGCAATGCAATACCCTAATTGTACAATCTATAACTCCTTTTTCGCCTCTGCCTTTTCCGTGCTCGCCGGCATGCTCGCCTTTTCCCCTCCAGCTTTCATCGGCACCGCCGTCTTCTTCTCCTTCTGCTGCCCCTTCCCAGCCTTCGCCGTCATAACCAACCCCACCACCGCCACAACCGCATCACTAACCAGCAGTATCACAGCGGCACACGCCATCCCCCACACCTGTATACTAATCGACCCCAGCGGCGCCCGCGGACACGACAGCAGCCACTCTGCATAATACGGGATCCTGCCGTGCGGAAGCCAGAACATGGGCTGCTTGGCGTACCAGAACTGGATGAGCATCCGGAGGCCATTTGTGCCGAGCCAGCGGAGGGCCGAGACGACGCTGGTGAATTTGGCTTTGTGGCTGTCGAGCGCGGCCTCTGGTGGGGGATGGGGTTAGCGATGGAGTTTAAGAGGGGGTAGGGGAGGGGAGGGGGGGCGTACTCCTCTTCTCGAGTGTCTCGAGTTTTTTGTCATGCGTTCTGCTGAGTTTGGCCCATTTGGCGAATTGGTCTTGTGCGCTTACGGAGTTGAGCTCTTTTCGGATAGCGAGGTATTCTGCTTGGAGCTTCTTTTGCTCTTTGAAGGCTTTGGATGTGGGTGTAGGGAGGCTGTTATATAGGTTCCATAGCTAGATTCCCCAGGTTAGCTCTCGTGGGTTTGGTGGCCAGGGGGGGACGTATGTTGCCTTACCAGAGTATTGACCGCGGACGCACCTATGGTGTTCACAAGATGGATGGCCAGCTGCAGAATGAAGACGGTGACGAGCAGGGACGGCATCTTTAATTCGGGAGACGGACCCCTCGAGGAACGACACTTGGCGAGGGAGGGTGTGTTGGTGGTAGGATCCTGGGGGTTGTAATGCCCCTGTTTGCTAGTAGCTTTCCATGAAGCTGTGATGTGATGACATGTCTCGTGTGCGCGCGGGGAGCCTCGTTACTTTTTATATGTTGGCCTGAGGCACGGGTCATGCGTCTCATATTTTGTTTGATAGCGAGCTGACTGGACTGTTTCCGTAACGACCACTGAGTTGTTTCATTTCAACGATTTTTTTGTGAAACGATTTTCAGAGTGAGACAGGAAGAGCTTTTGTCTTACTAATATTTGTTTGTGTCATGTGGAAATATACAAATCATCGTTCGGGGCTAATAGTTGTTCAGGCATTTTGTTTCTCGGCACAAGAGCGAAGCTTTGGTTTAAGTTGTGCGCTCTCCGAGACAAGACATATGAATAAAAACGGTTCTGTCTAAAAATAAGCCTCTGGGCCATCAAAATCTAGAGCCCTCTCAGCCCTCTGCAGTCCCAAAGCGGAAGCAGGTTCTAGGCCGGTCTGTTACCGATTGCCCCCCCCCCCAAAAAATGTCCGACGACGAGGCACCTGGATTCTCCCTAGAATATGAGGCGCTAGTCGGGCTCCTCAACACGAGAATATCAGCCGGTCCCTTAGGCATCGAAATCCTCCCCGATGCGAGTTTCATGGTATCTCCTGGCCGCGTCGCCGAGATCGTAAACAACACCCTCGGCGTACCCAAACCCGTTCTCGCCAAAGCCTTCATCGCCGCTCGTCGGATCTTCTTCGAGCACGTGGACAACCTGGCCGAGAACGCGGAACTCATCCTCGACACCACCTCCATCATCCTTCTCTTCGACCCTGAGCACATCACCGCTGCCAATGCGCGGAAGCGGATCTGTCTCGGCTTCCCCTACCGCGCGCGCTCTGAGCCCGAGCAGCTCAGGCGGCTGGAGGAGGAGTTATGGTTCAGCAGGTTTCTGCTCATTTCGAGGCTGAAGCGGCATAATAAGTCTCCGACGCTGTGGGCGCATCGGAGGTGGCTGATCAAGAACTTCTATTCGTTGGGGGGGTTGTTACTGGAGCCGAAATGGGTGCTGTTTGAGATCGAGGAGGTGGGGCTGATTTCGGCGGAGAACCATCCTAGGAATTACTACGCGTGGGATTATATGCGTTGGTTGATCGCGGAGAGGCCGGGGTTGGATCAGAAGACGAGGTCGGAGTTGAATAGGCCGCTGGCGAATATGATGGAGAAGTGGTGTAAGCATCATACCAGCGATACGTCTGGGTGGTCGTTTCTGGCGTGGATGATACTGCGGCAACCGCAGACCGACCCGCGCGCTGGTCAGAATTTACAGGCCCATGTCGGGGCGGAGATTCTGGACTATGCGATGTTGTTGGGGTTGAAGAACTTGTCGTTGTGGAAGTTTTTGCAGGAGATTTTGGGGTTTCCGAAGAGTGAGGAGGTGGATGACGTGAGGTTACAGTATTTGACGGAGTTGAGCGATTTGAGGGCAGGTGAGCCGAAGGGGTCGGCGTTGCAGGTGTTTGCGACGAAGAGTTTGATTGCTATTGGGAAGTACGAAGAATCCAGAACAGGATTGAAGATGATGGTTGGTGGTTTGGTGGTTTAAACGACCGTTTATGAAGCTATATGAAGATACACCAGATTACGATTGAGAATGATAGTGTCAGTTTTAATGGCCGTCTACGAAGTTATATGAAGAAGCCAAGCCCTCACAGAGAACACTGGGTGCCATTGGGAATGAAGCGCTGCTTGTTATAGATTGTCCATCAACAAAATACTAAGTTATATAATTCCTTCCATCACGAATATTAACCATCCTCAAGAAAATCACCCCCACGAAAACATGAAACACATCCAACTATCACGTTAAAAGCGAACGAAGCTACTGCGCCATGGACCCCATACTCAGCCATCGCTTGACGCATTCATTATCAGATCCAATCCCACTCAACCCAGTGTGCAAGGACTCCTAACCCATGTCACAATCGCGCGCATCCGAACCGAATCTCAAAATCTCAATACCTTGGAAATCAGAAACACCCGGTCCAGCCCATCATCTCCATATCTCTCATCGTTCCTCCTCTAAAACCAAACCCGCATCGATAATCGCTCTCCATAGCATCGAGAATCGCTCCATCACGAAATCAAGAAAGTTAGTCTTAGCGGCTGAAACATGAAACATGCCAGTCCTCCTTCCCTTCCCCGCCCCCCTTTTTTGGTCGTTTGTCGTTTAAGGTACATACCATACCAGTATGTTGGTGGCGGATTTTGGCTCGAGCGGACGGAACGAACGCCCAGACCATGTCATGTTCGTGTCCGTGTCCACTCACCGCGATTTTTGAGCGACAGAAACAGGAATCATAGTGGACGTGCATGCGTGCGTGTGGATGGACGTGGGTTTGTCTGTTCGCTACGGATGGTAGGTGCAGTACCCACCTCTCACTTTTCTTGAGGTTTTGTATGCACAGACAGTTGAGTAGAGTAATTACTGTACAGTGATTACTGTACTGTACGGACAGAACGGTACTCCGCACCGCATCCGACCAACAGAACACCACCAGAACACACAGCAGCGTCGTATCGGGCGTCCATGACTGCAGCAAACTCGTGCTTCATGTGCTGCAAGATGAAAAGACTCGCAGCCAGCCTGCGTGTCTGAGACATGAAATAAGGATGTCCGCCACTAACTCCATCCCCTCGTAGCCCAGCCTCAACTGGTAGCAGTAGCAGGAGAAGAAGAAAGGTTAGCGCGGATAACTCAGCTAGCCAGCCCGTCTTCTGTCCCCACCGTTCGACTCCATCTTGAGTGCCGCCCATAATATCCCTCCCCCTTGCCCTTACTCGCTGAACTGACATCACTTATCGCTCACGAACATGTGCCACTCCTCTCTCCGTAGACTTAGACCCGGCCTTTCCATCAGGGGTTCTCCATCCTCCATGCCGAGTACTCCTCTACCAACGCCCGCTCAAGCCGCACCACGAGATAAGGAGCGCCCTTCCCCCCCTCGCCACGGCGGTCTGTGAGTGGACGGGTGTGGTGTCCAATCTGCGTTCTTGGTCTGCGTTCTTGGCAGTTCGTTCGGAAGCGGAGTGGGATCAGCGCGGATCAGCGGTGGGTGGTGAGAGTCCGAGTTGGTCCGTTTTTTTGTGTGTGGATGAGGAGACGAGGAGGAGGGGAGCGACAGGGGGAGGGTATGCATGGGGCAAGTGGGAAGAGGGAAGAGGACGCTGAGGGAGGGCGCTAGGGATGGAATGAGTGTAGCCGCCGGGGGGTGCGATGGGGTGGATGTAGCTTTTGGCGGGGATTAAGGTGAGAGGGTACTTGGTCAGAATTCTAAATCTTGGAGTGGTTACTGGTGTGTCTTTTAGCCGTCGGGCTATCTGCAGAGAAGGAAGCTATACTAACGCTGTATCCGTCGTATTCTTAGTATTCCGCCGAGGAGGATGACATGCGGCTTTTTACTCTCTTTTTCTCTCCCTCTCCCTCTCCCCTTTTTCTGTGTAGCTGTGCAGAAAAGTGTCTTTCAACGTAGAAACATACATATGTAAACACTATGTCTGTACAGTAAACAAACATGTGTCACTCACCTGCCCTGCCCTGCCCCTAAATCATCGCGTCGCGACACACAAAATCTCGTCCACCAAGTGCTTTTCCTGTCCTGTCCTCCTGCCGCCGCCGCCGATCAAGAATCTCGGGAAACTAGAAACTAGAATCCAGCCTCCAGGGATCTGATTTAGTGTTAGCGTACCTGCAGCTCCCCCTCCACAAACCTCCACATTTCACACTACGATGACCTTCGGACGCTTTGGATCCCTTGGCAACCACCGCTAACCACCGCTACCACCACTGCTGGTTGCTGCTTGCCGCTTTCTGCGCCCACCACCACCACAACCACCAAGAAACATCCCCATAACCTCCTACCTCTGCCCACCCTGCACCTTCCTCCCCTCCCTGTATTCAAGATTCCACTCTTTCTCCACGTCACCGTCACCGACCTCTCTACCTCTCTCCCTCTCTCTTCCGATCCTTCGCTCTAGAGTAGTCGGCTTTCTTGTTCTTCTCTCGACCTGTTCCCTTTCGAATCCGATTTCTAGATCTTGAACAACTTGTCTTAGCCTGCATCTTTCGTTTTCTGTGCTTGCCCATTTCCGTCGTTGATTCATATATACCAGTGCCATTTTCACTCCAGGATATTCTCCAACTCGCCCATACCGATACCACTGCCAGAAAGAAAGAGATCTTGTCGACGACAGCACTGTCATCGACGCGTCTGTCCGGATCACATGGGTCCCAGGTAATCGTCCAATTGCTGTTTCCCAGAGGGAAGGGGAGGGATACCATTCACCTGGCTTGACCGGTGATACTTGGGAAGGAAAGAACGACTCAGACCTCATACTTTATACCGATATACCCTGAATCTACGCCTTCTATTTCGACTACACAACGGCTTCACATATTACTGTCTTCCTTGACATATCGCAGCTTCATTATTCCAATTATTTCTACGAATATTGGTACAATCACAGCTACCAACCTCGAGGTTTTTTAGAACCCAATCGACACCGAAGACATCCGATGATAGCGACTTGAAGGTTGCATTCCTCACAAGTTATCCAAGGATGGTGGTTCTCAACCTCCTTCTACTATGCTTCTTTTCGACTTTGGTGACCGCTTTCTATCCGTTTGTGCCGAAATACAGATGTGTTGAAGATGGAACCTGCTTGGATCTTGCGGGGCGTGAAACCCCCGCCGGTACCCTTGACGGGGCACCGCAGAGGCCAGGAATCTTCAAAATCAAGATCGAGCAAACACCTCCAACAGTATGCAACCCCAGGAAGATACCCCCCCAGGGCCAATGCTAATTGAACCAGGATGATATTCCTCACGACGTGAGGGTAGCCCGCTACGCGGATCAGCTGGCCCGCAAAAATGCTATGAAAAGAGATAACATCTTCCTGACCAGCAAGTCAGATAAACCGACGACGCCGAAGAGTAACGCGATCGACCAGGATGGGACAGACTTCTGCTACACGACATCGATGTTTGTTGGATCGAAGAACAAGCGTCTCCGCATGCTCGTGGACACCGGCGCTGCAAACACATGGGTGATGGGGTCTACCTGCACTAACTCATCCTGCGGAATCCACGACCTCTATGGCCCAGCCGACTCGGATACATACAAGGCGAGTACGTCGACTTTCAGCTTGAATTATGGCACTGGAATGGTCTCGGGGCAGTATATCGAGGACACTATGGGACTTGCTGGATTCAGCTTGCCCGTCCAGTTCGGTGTGGCAAATAATGTCTCGGACGATTTCAACAACTACCCGATGGATGGCATCCTTGGCCTTTCCCGTGTTCCAAATCCAGTGATCCCGGGCTTTGTAGATACTCTGATGGAGAAGAATCTGTTGGAGAAGAATATCTTCAGCGTCAACATATACCGAGCCTCTGACCTGGCCAACAACGGAGAGATTACATTTGGCGGCGTGGATGCCTCCAAATACACCGGAGAGATCACGTACACTGATATTACCGCACCTGGGGCCTCATGGGTCATTCCTGTCGGCGAAGCTGGCTTCAATGGGAAGGATTCAGGACTCAAAGGCAGGAATGCTATTATCGACACGGGAACGACCTATTGCTTCATCCCCCCATCGGATGCGGCGCTATTTTACGCCAACGTAGCTGGTGCTAATGTTAGCGAGGACGGGACCTCTTACGGCGTGCCTTGCACAACCACGATACCAGCCGAGTTTACGTTCTCGGGCGTCACGTATTCTATTCCCTCGAAGGACTGGATTGGTGGCAAGGTGGGCGGTGTGGAGACACAGACCATGTGTACGAGTAATATCTACTCTCGCAACACTACCGAGGACGGGAGTTGGGTGCTGGGTGATACTTTCTTGAAGAGTGTCTACGCGGTGTTTGACCTGGACCAGAACCGCATTGGTTAGTTGTGCGATTCCACATATATGTGTCCCATGCTAATATTTACCAGGGCTTGCTTCCAAACCCGTTGTAGTTACGCCGCCAACACCAGTGTCGTCACTAGGTAAGACCACCCCTTCTTTATCCCCAAGCTCCTTTCCATCCTCTGTCCAGTCTTTGTCTTTGTCTCGTACTAGGGCAATTTCTGACAAGACTCTTTCTCAGCGGCCACCACGAAGACCGCATCTCCATCTCCCACTACCCCACCGGGAACATCCCCACCTGACATTTCCACATCTAACTCTCCCTCTCCTATAGCATCAGGCTCTGCCGCTCAAAGCCCAACCGGTGGCCCTGTCGCCACAATGACCACCGGTTCTCAGGGATTCAATGCCATCGCTGGCTCTTCCAGCGCTCCCACGGGATCAGCTGCGAACCCCACCTCCCCGGACGCTGAGGCACAGTCACAGACGAAAGACTCGTCGGCTTCTTCCTTACTCGGCACACACTTCACCCTCTATATTGCCGCACTCATCGCCACCACCGCTGCTGCCGTCACGGTCTTCTAGATGGCCCCGCGACATCATATTTCTAGCCGCTCAACTCTCTTTCCGAGCTGGCATCACTCATTTTGTACTTAGCGTGTTCTGTTGTTCTTTTTTTCTTCTGCATTTTTGCATCATTCATCACACTACGACGAGATAGCTGGGACTCTCTTGGGGATCGTGCAACGTACACAGGCCGCGGTGGATGGAGGCGGGGCTGTGTGGGAGGCGGGGGGTTACTGGGGGATAGGATACATTCTTGCATTGGCAATGCATTTTGTTTGAGAGGTGGAGAGGGGGGATGATTGTAATAGGGGACGGAACTGCATATATTCATGGCCGGCTGTACATATACATACACTGCATTGTCCGTTTTTAAGGGACGGACTGATACATATTGGAGGGGGGTGCGCCGCGTTGGGAGGGGCGGCGCTGGTAATGGAAACATATTTGAAGTGGTTTTATAGTTTTTGTGCCGTGCTTATCTTTTATTGTCTCCATGTGAAGAATTTACAGCGCCTTGAGGAATGTACTAAGTAGATACCAGTATTTCCCTGTACTTGCTCCATTCACATCTAATCTATCACCAAATTCACGCATTCAACAAAGTGAGACGTCAAGTTTTTAACGCCATGATATGATGGCAAAATTCATTCATATTCCCTCACGCCATAGCTAACTAGCTTTTTACAAACAAAAGAAGCACCCAGTAACACCCAGCAACCTTCCCTCTCTCTATCACAGCCATCCATACAATTGAGTCCTTCAGTACAAAAATATGGTATTCGCCCAATGATGTAGCTGTAGCTGTGATGTGAAGCAACACAACAGAGGTTTCGTATAGCAATAGCGAGACAAAATTAAGCCTTGGACTTCTTCGCTCTCTTAGCTGGCTTCTCGGCGACAGCCTTCTCCTCTACGACGGGGGCGGCAGCGGCTTTCTTGGCCTTGGTAGGCTTCGCAGCGACGACGACGGGCTCCTCGACGACCTTCTTCTCGGCAGCGGCTCTCTTGGGTCTAGTAGCCTTCTCGACGACTGGCTTCTCGACGACAGCAGGAGCGGCGGCGGCAGCCTTCAAGTCACCAGTAGAAGCCTTGCCCTTAACCTTCTTCTGCTTCTTCTTGCTTGGCTCCTCGGTCTCGACGGCTTCGGCTTTGCGCTTAGACTCCTTGACCGGCTCGACTGGCTTAACGACCTCAACAGGCTTAGGCTCCTCAACCACGACCTCCTCCGCAGCCTCGACCTCGGGCTCGGCCTCAACCACGACCTTCTGACGCGGAGTCTTCGGGACGCCCTTCGCGGACTTGAGAGCGGGAGCTTCGAATTCATATCCGATCGCCTTCAACTTCTCCTTCTTCTCCTCTCTCCTCTTCGTCTCCTTCGCATTGCGCTTCTCCCATCCCGCCTCATCGAGTCCGGCGTTCAACTTGCGCCCCTCCATCTTATTCCATGGCACCTTCTTGAAGCGTTTATTCGCTCCCTCCCACAGACTAGCATGGACCTGCTCCTCCGGCACGACCTTGCACTTGAGGATATGCTTGAAAAGCAGGTAATTATCCATCGTCTTGCTGACGATCTCCGCCACGTCAGCGGACGCGAATTGCACGAAGGCGTAGTGCTTGCTGTTTCCCGTCTTGCGATTGCGCGACAGGCGCAGCTGCGTGATGTCGCCGAACTGCTTGAAGTATTGGCGCATCTCGTGCTCGTAGAAGCCGTGGGGGATGCGGCCTAGGTAGACTGTGCCGGGACCGGAGGAGACGGATTTTTGGGCGGCGAGCTTGGCGAGCTTGGATTTGGCTTTTTTGGAGAGTTCGGGGATGGGCTCGCCGTTGTAGGCGGGCTCGGAGGTGCCGTTGGCGGGGGTCTCTTCGTCGTCGTCGCTCTCGAAACCTTGGAGGAGGGCGGCGGTTTGGTCGTCCATCTCGATGTCGGAGTCTTCTTGGGCTTCGGCTTCAGCTTCGACTTCGGCGTCGGCGGCGGGGGCTTTGGCGGCCTTTGCTTTCTTGGCTTTGAGGGCGGCTTCAGCGTCCGGGGCGTCCTTCATCTCCTTCAACTTCTTCCTGTTCTCGGAGAGAGGCTTATCGGCGGCCTTGGTCTTCTTGCCCTTCTTCTCCTCAGTAACCTCGGCGACAACTGGTGTGGCGGCAGCCTTGGTCTTCTTGGTCTTCTTCTCTTCGGTGGCCTCGGCGACGACGGGTGCGGCGGCAGCCTTGGTGGCCTTCTTGGTTGTTGGCTTCTCTACCTTGGGGGACTCGACGACGGCTGGCGGGGCGGCGGCTTTGGTGGCCTTGGTCTTCTTGACTTCGGGGGTGCCATTCTCAGCGGCTGGAAATAGTCGTTAGTCATTGTTTAGATTGATCAAAGGTTTGGTTTGTATGCTTACTCTTGCGTTTCTTTGCAGGTGTGTCAACGGTCACCTTCTTCTCCTTCTTTGCGACCTCGACCTCATCGTCGTTGGCAGCAGCTAAAAATTTCGTTAGTCCGAGGTTCAATTTGTTATTCCGACAAGATAAAAGTAATCCATACCCTTGCGCTTCTTGGACTTGAGCTCTGGTGCCATTTTTTATAATGGTCGGGGTGGGATTGAGGAGGTGGTTTTGTTTGTGAAGGTTCGGTGGAATTGACCTCGTTCCCACCTTGAACTTTTTGAAAAACAAATTGTTATCGCGCGCTAAGATCTGGGGGTGCGGGTGCTGAGGCCGCTAGCGTACTTTTGGGGTTTGGAGGGTCTTCAGGTGGTAGCTTCAACAAACTTAAATCGAAAGAGGAACAGTACGTGTTAATTACGATTTTATTTTCTGATTTATATAATCCGAGAGACGTTCCTGTTGGATATTTTACAGTTTATAACCTTACTGTTCGACTGATAACTTTGTACACTAAAGTGTGCACAGTTGATGGGCAAGGCAACCTATAGCTTCAACGAGCTTCGAAATAGGCGTCAATCCGTTCGCCTCTACGAAGGCAGGAACTTGAAAATGTCACACAACGAAATCTGGGACGACTCTGCCCTTGTGGACTCGTGGAATGATGCCCTCGAAGAATATAAGGTCTGTCAATGTTGTCACGTGAGAAGTTGGATATTGACCCATCGCAGCATTATCATTCTCTACATGCCCGCGGCGAAACAGCTGAAGACGCAATTGCCAACCATGAGAAAGAAAGCAACTCGTCAGTACTAGATTCCATTTCCATCTGCTTTGCGGGACTGAACTCTCTTTTATAGGAAAGCTGCCGAACGCATAACGAAGGAGAATGGCGCCCCGGAGGAAACAGAAGCCGGAATGGTAATGGACGATTCCGAGGGACCGAGGGTAAGGAAAGGGGATGAAAACTCGTCAGCCCAGCAAGAGCATGAGGTAAGGACCCTGCAAGGCAATCTCGTTGAAATCTCCCTTGGCATCTAATTTGATTAATATGACAACTTCAGGTGAACGATAAGGTTTCCCTTGGCGAAGGAGATGGACAAAGCACTACGAAACCAAACGGTGGCCCTTCCTCAGCACAGCCACCGCTGCCGCAGCATCTTATTGGAGCAGGTGAGTTACGTCCGACGGTGGTGGTGGAAACAGCACTGACGATTGCAGTTGGTGACGAAAATCTGAAGAACCTCTTAATGTCGTGGTATTACGCGGGCTACTACACGGGCCTCTATGAGGGGCAGCAGAAGGTCAAGCCGGCGGATGAGGGAAAGTAAGGTGCTAATTACGGCCTAATTGGTCACATCGACTGGGAAAGACTGCGATTCTGGGACGGGACGGGTTTGGGGACAGCCAGGGGTGACAAAAGATGGCCTGATCCCAATACGTGTAAAAGTCCCTGCCTATGCATGGCAGGTCCCAAAGAGTGGATTATTGAAAAGAAGACCCGCTTGCGCTTTGAGTTGCATTCTGTCAACCGTACGGAAAGGTGAAGTGCCATCGAAATCCAAGCGTTTCATGACTGGCCAGGGGTACATCAATATTCGGATTCTTCTGCGAAAGCACGGCGGCAGTTGGCTCCGGCCAAACATATACTGTGGCGTTCACGATTTGGAAAGGCAATGTCAGGTCATGGAGAATACACAATTATAGATTCTTGTACCCAATGGAACAGATTAATAAAATCTCCAATAAGAACTCTTCGTCCGATAATATTTGTGAGGTTGCAGGTTGGTCGACGTGTTGTCGTTTAAGGTTGTACCCCTGGCGCTTGAGCCTCCCGGCGCCGAGGGAGCTCAAACGCGATCCGAGACACGTCTCCGACGCCAAGTGTCGAGTATTCCCACATTTTCCAAAAATGGCCGGCCTCATCGATTTTGGCCTCCATGTTCTATGTTACATTCCTCAGTTCGATATGCCGATACCTGGTATAGTGCAAACATCGAGGCCCTGGCCCGGACGAAGTGCTTGCCGTGCGCATGGGCTGGCCATGTTTCGCGCCAGCCTCCAAGCCCTGGGGTTGCAGTCGGAGTGGAGTATCAGATTCGTAGGCCAATTTCATGCTTGATTTAAGTCCTCGACGTCCCCTACATTTCCTTCTTTCTTCATCACTTCCGCGTTCCAACTTTCGCTTTATTGTTATTGTCTATTTTCTCTCTCATTTTTTATATTCTCGAGCAGGCTCTCGCCACTTTTATACTATTCCAACAGCTGCACTTCAGTTATATACGATCTTCACGTCGTTCAGCCAAAGTCAACACTCGATAGTTATTATTCCTTTCCGCTGAGCGGTTTATTATACTCGCATCTGTCTTATTACAGTCTACGCCAAATATCCTATCCGTCATCATGAAGTTTTCCGCCGTTTCCGTCGCGCTCGCCGCCCTGCCGCTTGCTTTGGGAGGGTTGATCGCAGAGCCTATTGCCGCAAGAAACGGGCACGTAGTAGAAGTTGTCCAGAAGGGAAACCAAGAGCACCAAAATGCACAGCAGCTTGCGAATGTGATTCAACTGCAGGGCAACCAGCATTCCGTCGTTCAAGAAGTCATCATCCTATGGATCAACAGCGGTGCCGGAGCTGCAACCTCAGTTGTTAACGCTGCCGTCCCCACTGCCGCAGCAGCTGCCGCTGCTGCCACCCACACCGTATGCTACCATTTTATTTCTCTCTTTCAAAGTCCTTTGCTAACAAATGCAGGTTGCTGTTGGTGGTAGCGCCGGTCTCGTTTTCGTTCCCGACACTGTCAACGCTGCCGTTGGCGACTCCGTTGTCTTCGTCTTCCACTCCCAAAACCACACCGTCACACAATCTACTTTCGACACTCCTTGCGTGAAGCTCAAGGACGGCATGGACTCCGGCTTCATGCCCAACCCCAACAACACCATCGTCCCACCTCCAATGATGGCCATGCAGGTCACCGTTGCCACCCCTCTCTGTAAGAACCTTCGCTTCCAGGACTTCAAATATCCAGTTTCTAACGTATCCAACAGGGTTCTACTGCAAGCAGGGCCCCCACTGCGGAAAGGGCATGACTTTCTCCATCAACCCAACCGCCGCTAAGACCCAGGCCGATTTCATGCAGTTGGCCATCGCCCAGAACGGCACTGGCGCCGCCGCCAACATCGTTGGAGGAACTACCAGCGTCGGAGCCGTTGCCGCCGCCACTACCGCTGCCGCCGCTGCCGCGACTAATGCTGTCGCCGCCGCTGGCACTGATATGGCCGCTGGCACTGGCGCTGCTGGCGCCGGAGGAGCTTGCGCTTGCTCTTGCTTCTGCGGTGTCTCCAGCTTCCCTCTCGCTGCACAAGGAGTTGGTGCTGTCGGTGGCATGTCTGGTTAGTTCTCTCCAACTCTCTCTTCTCACAATTCCTGATCTAACACATGGCAGGCTCGCTACCAATGGCTGCACTGATGGGTTAAGAGGTGGTTCGTTCGTTCGTCGTTGTGTAAAATTCATTGGCGCAGTTTCAAAACTTGAATTCGTGCGGTACCCACGGCGTCGCCCTTGATAGGCTTGATGCACCGTTCTTGCATGTGGTGATAGATATATGGCTGGATCGTATTTTTGGATGTGGGCTTTAATTGTAGACTTTTGAGAAATGTATGAGTTTTCTGATATTCATGTTCGCGTTCAACGAAGTGACAATCATTTCATTACATGATTTTTGCCTTGACTGCACTGTGCTCCCACTCAGCATTTCCCTCTACCAACGTAATAATACTGATAATACGTGGACACGGGTCTCGTACGACGTAGCAGGACGGCAATAGTTTAGGACGATATGAGAATGCTTTGAAAATATTCGCTTTCCGTTAAAATCATCGCTGAAGAGAAATAAGCAATTCCAGGAAACACGATCTAAAAACAAAAGCCGGCTCTACGCCGGCAACCATGCCTTTCTCCACACTCTCATCTGAATTCCCAAGTTGTTTCTGAACCTTGTCGCCAACCCCCATCATCTTTTCATGAATACCGTCTTGGGAGTTCTACTTCTTTGCGGCACCATCGGCAGCTTTCTTGGCATCGGCTATAAGAAAGACTCGGATTAGTTCCATGTATCATAGTCGTGGGCCCTTCCAGCAGTTTCTGTCTTACCTGCGGCCTGCTTCTCTCTCATCTTGGCAGCGACGGCTTCCTTGGTGCGAGCCATTTCAGAGCCGGACATCTTGTTCTCGGATTTCTGCTCATTCAATATCCATTAGCTGCTATTCCCAGGTCATTTTGACAAGCATAGACTATCTATGCTTCTCGGTGGCGATCGGCGCGAAGTCGTACCTGGCCAGCCAACTTCTTCTGGTTAGCCTCACGGGCCTTATCACGCTGGTTTCCACGAGCCATGTCGAATAAACTTGATATATTGCGACGGGGTCTACTCGAGTGCCTGCCTGGCTAGCTTATAGTACTGCTTTGCTCGGGATGAAACTACGAAAGCGAGGCAGAGGAGGGAGGGGTGAAGTCGGAGAGGGATTATTTAGGCGGTGAGAGAGTTACTGCCTAAGGATCTGACTAATATGGCTAGCGTGACAGCGACTATAAGAAGATAGATAGGTGAATAAAGACGCCGCGCCTGATTTAACCACGCGCCGAAGAGGCTATTATCGGACTTTGTTAGTTATCGGCCAATTTCGCGTGCTATTAAAAGGCATCTTTAAGCGCTCGTATTCCCATTTTATCGGTGCGTGTGATATGAAGGACCAAACCACAGTGGATGGCGGCTATGTTCCTGGCCTTTAGGCGCTTCGCCCCTGGCTCGTCTCGGCTACCAAGGCTACGCCCTAATAGGAAATGTTTGGTTGCGTCTCGCCCAATACAAACTATGAAACGCCAAATCATCCCAGTCTCGTCCAGTCGCTACGTGAACGTCCATACCGCGTTGAAACGGCAGTAAGCGCTGGATAGACATACTCGTGGGTCTGCTCCTATGACTCCAGGCAAAGTATGGGGATGTGGTGTGGTCCACTGCGGCCTCTCTGTGCCCCTGCTTCTTGAACAGTCCGAGACTGGCAGACCAGGATGTAGGACAACGATGTCTTTTGGCATGTCTCCATCGACCAATCAGCACATGTATTGAAACAAAAGGTTTCGAGTCTCAGAGTTGCGTCAGGTAGAAGTAGCAAGTTCTTTTTGTAGCATATTGACTATTGGATGACAGTTGCTGTCGGCAATGATGAAGCATAATAGTGTGGGTCATAAGAAAGGATAGTGATCTTCGACTGTCTTTGACGCCGTGATGTTTGAAAGAGCGCGTGGTGTAGCTTAAATTTTTAATAAAGAGTCATGGGTGCCTCGCGAAGTTGAATAGCATCGATTTCCTATTGTCCGTTTTTCTATTCATTGTCTTGCTCTATTGTCCATTTCGATTCAGGGGACAATAACGACTGTGTCATTCAACCCCCTTCTTCGCTTCAGCACTGGTATATTTGATATATTACCCCATTTTCCACTTCAGAACTGTTCTTTTTTTTACAATATATACCAAACGATATCTCTCTTACCAACTCATTGCTTCGAATCACCAACTACTTGATTCATCCCTTCGATATCAACCAGGCCATTTACTTCATCCCGACGATACCAACCAATAGCTGCCGGCAGCCACAACTCTCCACCAAAACCTACCAGCCCATCCACAAATATAACAGTAAGTGCCTTGAGAAGTTCTCATTTCAGTCGCTAATTGCCTCCTCAGTCTCTCCATTCTCATCCACACATCCGCCAAAATGTTCAACATCCTTTCCCTGTTCCAAAACTTCAAGAAGACTGGCGCCGGCTATGTCATTCTCAACATCATCCGAGTCCTCAACATTATCACGTTGGGTCTTATTGTTGCGGGTAGCTGGATCATGCTCGTCAGGACTGTCCAGACTTCCAACTTCTTTTTCTTCGACGGCGTTACCCACTTTGCCACGAGCACAATCAGCATATTTCTGATCCTTTCAGAGCTCTGTCTCTTCAAAAGCTGGTTCTCAAGAAACTGGCCTTTGTTGAGCGAGGAGTCAGGCCTTATCACTTTGGCTTTGTCTATGACGATTCTGGGTTGCAATCTGCTTGGCAACCTCAACAAGCCTGCAACTTCGCAAGAAGCTATTGGCATGTCATTCTGGAGTGTGGTCGTTGCTGGAGGCATCCTCGGTCTTGTCTTTGGAGTCATCAACTTCATTGCTCATTACGCCTTCCGCATTCGCAAGAAGGGCATTACATCCCGCCAAATCAGAGCCCACGGCGCCAAAGTCTTGCTCGACGACCTACCAAAGTCGGTGCGCAGCAACTCAACTGGAACCAGGTCATTCGAGCTTCCCCAGTACACCAAGGAGAATGAGAACCGCCAGTCAAAATTCAAACTTGGCAACTTCAAGTTCAACAACCCAATCCGCTCATCGCTCATCTCGAGGCCTGTTCCCACCAACACCGAGCAGTTCAAGGAATGGGAAGACCGTTGCGAACCTATCAACAACAAGCTTCAGGTACCACCACCAGCGCGCCACCCAGCCTACACTGCATCTGTGTACAGCCGCAACAGTGGAGCATTTTAGGTGCAGCATGGGTATCATTGGAATTTATGGTGTATGATTGCGTATTGTTTGTTTTAACTATGGAGTTCGGGGTGGTGTTGGTACAGGCGTCGGAAGATTTGCATGGTCATTACGTCCAGACGGGCAGTTCACACTTTATAAACCAAATAATATTATTTCCATCGCAGAGATTTTTGAGTGAACTATGTATTAATGTCTAGCCTTTGAATTGAAGAATACTGTGGTGAATAAAAGATCCTTTCTTGTCGTGTTGGCTGCAATGTCAAAAGTGAGAACAAACTTCATGCCTAAATTTCAAGGCTCCCTCAACCCAGCCAGGTCGATCAATATTTTTGGTATTGAAAGTACAGAACGGACAACCAGTTATCGGGCTATACAATTCCCACTCTCTCCCTCTCTATGCTCCTCGGTCGCACTCTGCGAGCCATTCGAATAGATCGTTTTCCCCAAAGACTTCATCCACTCCACCGCTTCTACACAATGGCGCCCAGTAAGCTACCTGACCCCTCCTCTCCCCCGCACCCCCCATTGCCCTACCGTCGCAAGTTACTTCAACATAGAGCGCAAGCTGACTTGTTGCAGCAGCAACCCTCCCCAAGGATGTCCGTCCAATCATCATCTCCGGCCCCTCGGGCGTTGGCAAAGGCACTCTCTACAAGATGCTCCAAGATGCGCACCCGAACGTCTTCGAGACGAGCATATCACACACAACCCGCGGCGCAAGGCCAGGGGAGGCCCACGAAAAGGACTACTACTTCGTGAAGATGGAGGATTTTGAGGATCTTATTTCGAAGGAGGGGTTCGTGGAGCATGCCCAGTTTGGGGGAAACAGATACGGGACGAGCAGGGAGATGATTGAGAGGTTGACCAAGGAGGGGAAGGTGGTTATTCTGGATATTGAGATGGAGGTACGTTATTCTCTACTTTTGGAGTAGGTGGAGAGGTTGGAGTTCGACTGTGGCTGACAGTAGTATACAGGGTGTTAAGCAGATCAAGAACACAACTCTCGATGCCAGATACGTGTTTATCGCACCGCCAAACTTCGAGGCTCTCGAGTCCAGATTAAGAGGCAGAGGGACAGAGAAGGAGGAGAGCATCCAGAAGCGACTGACACAGGCTAAGGCCGAGTTGGAGTATTCGAAGGTTGAGGGGGTTCACGACAAGATCATCGTGAATGATGATAAGCAGAAGGCATTTGAGGAGTTGAACGAATTTGTTTTCGGAAAGGAGTAAATAAAGTAGGATACATATCTGTGGGAAAGAGTGAGGTGTACAAATGGGCAATTGGGGTTAATGCGAGTAACCCGGCGCTTGGTAGACAAGTAGACAAGAAATAGACGTATTGAGAATCTTGCCGCATAATATTCGGTATCCCAATAGAAACCTTATTATGACGAATTGAACATCAACTTTGGTGCTTGGTGACTTATTTATAAACTTATCTCGGGAAATGTGATTTTATAACCACTATCGCGTCCCGTCGCGCTTACCACCTCGGCTTTTCTTTTACACGCTCCAGAGAACTTCATGGGATTACGTGTCTTTGAGGGATCTCTAAATTTCTAATTGAAGGGTTCTCGGCATATAAAAATGCCTTGACCAAGTTTTCGATGAAGGCCAGGAAAATGCCTCTGTCACGATCTAATTCTTGTGTTGATGTTGACTTCACACTCCGACGCGTGTTTGGCAAGACCGCTTTCAGGTAGGCCATTATTGTTCCCCCGTCACATCCGGATTAAATACGTGCTAATTATATATTCTACAAGGCCGGTCCAGCGAGAAGTAGTCATTGAGGCCCTTGATGGCAAAGACATCTTTCTCCAGGCAGCCACTTCGTTTGGCAAGAGTCTGTGCTATCAGTTACCGGCAGTAATCGATCATGGCAGTGAGTCCAGCAGAGTATAATACACCAGGTCTTTTCTAATCTTAATAGTAACTATCGTCATTTCTCCGTTATTGTCTCTCATGGTAAGTAAATAAAAAGTTATTCAACCTCAATTTCTGACGTCCCACAGAGCAACCAAGTAGAGGCTCTGACGGCAGCTGGAATAAACGCAGCAGCCATAAATAGCACCACCAAGCAATCAGAGAAGCAGCAAATCCTCAGAGATCTAGCGACTGGACATCCTCTCACTCGTCTTCTGTACATCACGCCGGAGTCATGTGCCTTGGATTACATCCGCCGCCACCTGACCCTAGTCTACGAGCAGAAAGAGCTGGCCCGTATCGCCGTGGACGAGGCCCATTGCATATCTGAATGGGGCCACGATTTTCGTCCAGCGTTCAAGGAATTACGATGGTTCAGAGAGAGCTTTCCGGATGTCCCGGTCATGTGTCTGACGGCTACGGCGACGACCAGTGTGCGTCAGGATGTCATCCGAATTCTGGGGCTGAAAGAGGAACGTATAAAGATATTTACCATGACAACAAGCCGACAGAATCTACATTACGAGGTCAGATTCAAGACCGATGAGGACGACCAATTCGACGATTTCCTACGTTGGCTGGAGAAGGTTTATGTGCGAAGGCGAGAAAACAAAGAGAGAAACGCTGAATTGCAGGCACGCGGAGAACGAATAGACAATGTGCCCGGGATTATATACGCTCTCATGCGGAGTGAATGCGAGAGCATTGCTACTCGCCTCCGCTCTCACGACATAGGGGCTCGGCCATACCACGCTGGGCTGAGCACACAAGAGCGGAGTGAGACGCTCACAAAGTGGGTTAACAATGAGCCTGGGTACGATGTGATAGTTGCCACGACAGCGTTTGGCATGGGCATCGACAAAGAAAATGTCCGCTTCGTCGTGCATTGGCAACTACCCAAGTCATTCGAGGGATACTACCAGGAAGCCGGCCGAGCTGGCCGTGACGGGAAAGCAAGCGCGTGTATCTTGTATTATAGTCGCGAAGACCGAGACAGGGCCATCAACAACATTGCCCGAGACCATGCAAGAGACAGGAACAGCAAGAATAAACAGAACTACGAGTCAAGGATGAAGAGTTTGCAGTATCTGGCTGAGTATTGCGAGGATACGAATATGTGTCGGCATCAGTTGATTTGCAGGTATTTTGGAGAGTCGACGATACCTGTTTGCAAGTGGGCTTGCGATTGGCATAAGGATTCCAAGGCGTTGAAGAAGGCTAAGAGGGATGGGTTGGCGAGTGAGGAGTGGGTGAGCACGCAGAGGGATATGGGTGCTTTCAATGATGGGTGGGATGATGAGTATGATTGTTGATGATAGCAAATTTATGAGTATCAAGCAAACCTTATGATTGAGTAAAATCTTTGATGTATTTTTGTAGCTGTGATCCTAAAGTTAGCCTCGATATTTTTCTATCTGTCCTGTTGCCATTGTTGTTAGTTGTTCGTTGATTAATTGCCCGTTTGATTTATTAGTTATAAATAATCTCGAAAATATTCACGAATAATTTTATCTTTAACATATGACTTTTTTTATTTTGTATTCATCCCAGTCACAGCTCAGATCTTCTTCCTAAGCACACCAGAAATCCTAGGTAACACAGAATATGGCTCATCGGCCACCTCGATGTCACCAGGGTTCTCCCACTCCCCAGCAGCGAGGATAGCCGCCTTGACATCCCGATTTATACAGCACCCAACGAGTGCGCTCCATGCAGGATTCAAACAAGCTATTCTCATATTAGCTCCTCTCTAGAACCTCCATAATATAATAACCAATACGTACCTTGTGTAACAGCCGTGACATTATCCTTATTCTTCACGTGCTCCCAAAACACAAAGCTCCCCCCCGGCTTCAACAACTTCCACACCTCCCTCATCACGCTATCCACATCCCCCACCGCGCACAGCACCTGAATACTCAGTACCGTATCCAAGCTCCCCTCTGCAACCCCCTCGCCTCTCAAAAGCTCGCTGTCTTCAACGCCACACGCGATGAAGTTGTACTTATCCCCGAGATCAGCTTTCCTGACCTTTGCAGCAATCACATCTCTATACTTGGGGTTGGGGTCAACCGCGTAGATGAAGTCTACGAGAGATTGATCGTAGCGGTGGATTTGGTTGCCTGGTCCGGGACCTAGTTCGAGGATTGTGCCTCGAGCGGAGCGGACGAGGGAGGGGACACAGGTGGTGTCTTCAAAGGCGATAAAGCCGTTGGCTGTGGATGGGAGTTAGAATATAGCAGTTGAGCTAGAACAGGAAAGTTACAAGTTGTGATGAAGAGGTTTGCCGTGGCAGCATCTCGAATTCGTTGAGGACGTGCAAGTGCGGCGAGGCCATCTTTGCGAAGTGCTTCTTTGAGAGCGGCGTAGTGAACTATTTTTGGGAATTAGTATTTTGATATAGATGAGGATGGGAAAGGAGGATTACATGTGATGGATAGCCAGATGAGCTGGAGTGGGCGGACGATAGTAGTGAGGCGGTCTTTGAGGGCCATGGCGCTTTATTTTATATAAGTTGCAAGTATATAAAGATAACAAATTTGGTGGGGGGGGTGGTGGTTTATATACCCGTTCTGTAGGGTTGGTTAGACCCGGGGCGGCAAGCGCTGATAAATAAGCACGTAATATCAAGAGATGGGGATTCGGGTGGCATAAAGCAAGGCTGGAAGCTGCAGGATTCAATAGCTCAAGCATGACCACCCGCAGTTAAAATCAACCTTTGAGTTCCGAAGATAATGTATTCTATTTATACATTAATATAACAAGAGATGGATCTATTTCAAGGTGACCAGCTCCTCGGCACTTGTTGGGTGAATAGCCACGACGCTATCAAAGTCCTTCTTCGTTGCTCCCATCTTGATCGCAACTCCGAAACCCTGCAACATCTCTCCAGATCCCAGGCCAAGAATATGCAGGCCAACCACCCTCTCATTAGGTCCCTGGCAAATAAGCTTGTACTTCGTTGGGCCCTTGTCCTCGGGCTCCATCATGGCGTAGTACATAGCCGTGAAGCTGGTGTTGTAGACCTTGATATCGTCCTTGCCGTACTTGGCAATCGCCTCGGGCTCTGTAAGTCCAATGGACCCAACCTCTGGGTGTGCGAAAACAACAGATGGGATGTTCTCGTAGTTCAACTTGGAGTCGACAAATTGAGGGCCACCAAAGAGACGGTCTGCTAACCTGCGACCAGCAGCAATGGCGACGGGTGTAAGCTCCCACTTTCCGACAACGTCACCAATCGAGTAGATGTTCTCGACGTTGGTGTTTTGATACTCGTCTGCGACGATTTGGCCCTTGGCGTCTTGCTTGACACCTACGGAGTCCAGACCAAGCCTCTTAACTTCTGGGGCACGACCGATAGCCCAGATGAGCGAGTCGACGTTCTCTAGCACGCCGGCGCCCTCCGAATCCTCGTAGTGGATAGACAGTTGACCAGTCTTAGCGTCCTTCTCGATCTTGTTTTGTTTCGAAAGCTTGTGGATCTTAATACCAAGGCGCTCGTACTCGGCCACGATCGCATCCTGGATCATGGGGTCGAAAGAGCGGAGGAACTTCTCGTGGCGGATGAATAGATGGGTCTCCGTTCCCAATGCATTGAACATGCCGGCGAACTCGATAGCAATATATCCAGCGCCGACAAGGGCGACCTTCTTGGGCTGGGTCTCGATTTCGAAGAAGCCGTCACTGTCCGTGCCGAGCTCCGCGCCGGGAACGTCTTGTGGTGTAATTGGGTGGCCACCAACGGCGAGCAGGATCTTCTTTGCGCGAATGGTAGCCTCGGTGCCGTCGTTGAGCTTGACGGTCGCCTCGTTCTTGCCAGTCACAGTAGCATAACCGTGGATATGCTCGACCTTATCGTTGTCTAAGTTGCGTGCGTATATTCCGTTGAGCCTCTTGATGTATGCATCGCGCTTCGTCTTGAAAAGCGGCCAGTTGAACGGGGCTGTCTCCTCCACATTGAACCCATATGCCTTTGCTTCGTGGATAGTCTCTGCAATAGCGGCAGCGTTCCAGGTAACTTTCTTCGGCACGCATCTACAATGAGGTCAGCACGATTCTTGAGCAAGGGACGTAGAACAGAGACATACCCAACGTTCACACACGTTCCACCGAGTCTCTTGGCCTCAACAGCAATCGTCTTGACGCCGTACATGCCGCTCGCCCTCCTGGCGCAAGCCAGTCCACCACTACCCCCTCCAATGACCAAGAAGTCACATTCCTTCACGATTGGAGCCATGATTCTGGTTGTGCTGGAAAAGTGTCGAGAAACAGAAACGAGTCTGGAGTTTGTTTGTGCAGAGCTAGAAGCTCGAATGGGAGCTGCGCGGGAAAGAATGGTTAAGGCGTTCATAGGTGGTCGCACCACAAGGCGGGGTGCCGTGGATGATTTATAACTTGAGATGGCGTTAGATGGCGCGGGGACTGGTTCAAGGTAGCGTGGGGCCGCAGAATTGATTTGACATGAAGCTAGGTCTCGACCTGCGGATAACGGCTAGCTTGGTTCAACAACACAAATAGTTTGCAGCTTTATAAATACATGCAAGCAGGCTTCAAAGAAATAGAAAATAATTATTCCACAAGCCGATGTTTTGTTGCCACGAGATTACCAATTAATTTTGATTACAACGGATATGGGCCGAGGCTGGCATCGATTCGTAGATTTAGTAAGCAAATCCCGACTTACATAATCATCAGCCTCGTCGCGTCCACTACAGTACCAGTAAATTGTTAGTAAACTGGCGCGAACCACAACTCAATTCGCAGCCCATCTGGACCCTCAAACCCCGCCAGATCCCACCAAACCCCGGATAATGGATGGCCCTCCAACTACTCTCTACCCTTAAAGGGGCGGCACTCAAACAACTCGCGTTTAAATGCGGCGTATCAACTTCTGGCGTGAAGGCCGCTCTCTGCCAGCGATTACAAGATGAGATTCCTCTCTTACCTGGGTCAAAGCCCGCGGGGAAGTCAGGGGCGAAGAGAGAACCGATGAGGATATTGAGTATAGATATGGGAATTCGCAATCTAGCCTACTGCGTCCTCGACGTTCCGACGGATTCCTCTGTCCCCAAACTTGTGGCATGGAAACGCATTGCAGTGTCATCAGCTCCAGTACCGAGCAATGACAAAAGCGAGTTGGCTACAAAAGTAGAAAAGGAGTCTTTCGAACCGCCCGTCCTCTCTGCTGCCGCATTCAAGCTTCTCCGCAAGACTCTCTTGCCCCATAATCCAACCCACATCCTCATTGAACGCCAACGCTTTCGATCCATGGGCTCCCCAAAGATCCTCGAGTGGACAGTAAGAGTTAACATGCTGGAAAGCATGATCTACGCTATTCTCCTTACCCTCCGAGAGGAAGGTGCCTGGAACGGAACTGTGGTTCCAATTGCTCCCGGCAAGGTGGGACCGTTCTGGTTGGAGGGTGAAGAAGCTACCACTGTCGCTTTGGAGGAAGCGGAAACAGAGGGGTCTAGTCCAACCTCAATGGTGAAGACGAAGACACGGAATGCTAAGCTTGCAAAGGCTCTTAATAAAGGAGCTAAGATAGACCTGGTTCGCAACTGGCTGGCCATTGGCGACAGGGTTGGGGTGGATTCTCCGGATGTAGAGGCACTTGTGAAGGCATATTTGGACAAGTGGGACAAGAAGCCCGGAGGCGTTAAGGGGAAAAGGCCGGCTAAAGATGCTGTAGCCACCATCGAAAAGATGGGCAAGCTTGACGACCTTGCGGACAGTCTGCTCCAGGGTATGGCATTCATCCAGTGGGAGGAGAATAAAAGGATAGCTAGAGAAGATGGTATAAGCAGCTTGCTGGAACCAGCTGCAAAGTAATACAGATAAACCCAAATCTAAACCATAATTTCTTATTGTTTGGTATACAACATCACCACACGTCTATTCTAACATTTCCCTTTATTCTGTATGAGGAACAGATGCAAACCTAATGTATAAAGACAATCAAGAGAACCACAAGGAAAATAAGTCTATTGGTATACTGAGATCCGCCACTGCAAAATATCCGAACTCGATTCCATGAACCTAGCGTGTTTAATCCAGCTTTCCCATGTACTGTAGCGAAGATGACGGTTGTATCCGGAACTCGTTGATATTGGATGCCCTGACGGGTGACGTGCCATGATGTTCAGGGTCCGCCCGATGCCAACATGACGCGTGGGGCGAGGCGCTAGAATAAACCGCATTTGCTAAGATAACACGAGGATCACTGCACATAACGGACGCAGGCACGGGAAAATCCGCTCTGGACTGGACGATTATAGCAGCTGGCTGGCGAGGCCGGAAAGGACGATGACTGATCCGAGGAGGACGCTGGAGCCGGCCTTCAAGCTAGAACCGGCACCGGTCTCGGTGGGCGATGCGGTGCCTCCACTGCGAATTGTTAGCTATGGATCTCGCTGGGGTTATACGATGGACACGAACGTTGTGGTGGCGGCGGCATCATTGCCAGCGGGGCCAGTGGTAGAGGCAGAGTCGGAGCTGGAATCAGAGCCGGAGTCGGACTTGGATCCAGTCTGGGTTGGGGCGGATGTCATGGAGGTAGAGGTTGGGAGAGCTACGAAGCGTTAGATTCTGGCACTTGAGAGGCAAACAACAGCCCAACGCACTGATGGTGACACCGCTAGCAAGGCAGGTAGAGGAGTAGATCTTGACGGCTGCAGCCTTGTTGTCGCCGCTGCACTTCTCGGTGATGTTGCCGTAGAAGGCGTCGAGGCCGGACTTGCAGAGGGTTGGGATATCGGCTGGGTTGGATTGCTCGCTTTCTGGGGGTTAGCTGGGCTCGAATAGTTCAGTAGGCTTCGTGGGATTATACCCAAGGGCAGCAATCAAGCAGGCAGGTGGCGTGGCAAGGGCGACGCGTGCGAAAGCCGCGATGGCAACGAAGAAGAATGAGGCGTGCATTTTGGTATCTGAAAGGAGTAAAGCGCGAGGTAATTGGACGACTGAAAATGAGTGAAGTCTCGTGGAAAAGAGCGTTGGTTCCTTAAGGAGAGTGTAGAAGAGCGAGTCTTCTGAATAGTACACAAAGTAATGAATGTGGTGATTGAATCGCTGTTGTGAGGTTGAAAGATGGAATTGAAGGTCAAGGTTCCTGGCGTCCCCGAATGCCTTGGCGTTAGACCCGCACGTCTCAGGAGATTATGTTCTATTTCAGGGATACGATGGAACAGATTAGTCCTCTTTGGGAAATATTATGCACTTCTCAAATACTTCCACTGTCAACGACATAAATGTTCTTTTACTTTTGAAGGTTTGGTCGGAAGTATTTAGTTCTCCAAAGAAGTAAATACTACGCGTACCAGATATCTAATCATCACTACGGAATGGGGAGTTTCTGTCACGCTTATAATTATGATGGTACTGGAAAAGATGCAGCAACAACTCCATCTTGTAACATTCTCGAATTAGAATTGGCTAATACAGCAAGAAAAACAAGTAACGCAGTGAATGTCGACCCATCTCAATGGGTTAGACATTGCCCAGCCCCTTTCAATGAGACTCCTTGCCTTCGCGATTGGACAAATATCATCTCGCTTTCATAAAACCTTGGGTAATAAACAACATATTAAATCTCGACTCAGTAACCGTTCATAGTCATCCTCTGGGAGCTCCTGCTCATCTCACGATCCGCCGCAGGGCTGATGGGTCGGCTGCCGGCGTGTCCAGCAGCGCTGCTCTCCTTCAGGGCCAGAAGCTGCTTGGCACGGAAAGTCTCGTAGTGGATCTGAGACGTCGTCTCGATCAGGTCTTGCAAGTGAGTGCGAGTGAGGAAGTTGCGGAGGTACACAAATTCGCAGTGGTTCTCATCCTCGACATTGATAACACCCCAGCGGTTTTGGCGACCACGAACCTGCTTGCCCGCGACGATGATGGACTTCTCAGAGCCAACAACAGCGAATGGGATGATATCCTACAAACAAGTTAGTGAGGGTCTAGCAAAGCGTATACAGACATCATACCTTGATCTGCGCATTCAGGGCGCGCTCCTCCTCGTCAAGCTCATCGTTATCGTATGGGTACATCTTCAGGTTGTGGAAGGCAAACTCCTCCTTGATTCTCTCCTTGAATGCGCTGCGCTCCTCAAGTGTTAAAGAGTCAGACTTGGCGATAACTGGCACAACGTTGACAACGTCGGAGAGCTTCTTAAGCACAACAATATCGATTGGCTTCAGGGCGTGGCCGGAAGGCTGGATGAAGAAGAGGCAGCAGTGAATGCGGGTATCTTGGATGTAACGCTCTCTTTGAGCAGTGAGCTCCTTGCGGAGGTAGGCGGAGTGCTGGTCCTTGATGTACTTGACGATTGGGTCCCAGCATCTGTCGTTGTTTACTTGGTCGCCGTAACCCGGGGTATCGACAATGTTCAGGCGGAGGCGCACACCGTTCTCCTCGATAATGTGCGACACGGTTTGGATCTCGGTCGTGGAGCGGACTGGCTCATCTGGAGCGAGACGTCCCTTCGAATCGATGAGGTGGGATGCGAAGATGGTGTTGATGAGAGTTGACTTTCCAAGACCGGTTTGACCTAACAATGCAGTTAGCAATTGCCTCGTGGAGTACAATTAAATAAATTGATCTGTAGATCTGTCTATAACATACCAACGCAGATAACATTGAACTGGAAACCGCGCTTCAGGAGCTTGCGCTCGATCTGCGATGTGATGCTGTCGAAACCAACATGGCTCCGTGGGAACACCGACTGCGCTCCTGTTCTCTCCTGGGTAGCAGACATGATGGAGTCGACAAGATGTATATTATTCAGGTGTCCTTGGTTCAATTAACTGGAGATACTAGAAAACGAGGGAGAAATGTGAGAGTGTCGTCGTCTGTGGAAGGTCAAGGTATCTCTCTCCGCGAGGTAATCGCCAAATTTCCCCTACAGTCGCGGGTTCCAAGAACCCCTTTCTCGCCAGGAACTTTCCAGGCTACATCCGGCTTAGCTCTGTCCGACCCCCAGAATTGGCATGGTCCGTGCTCTACGAAAAGCGTGATACGCCGAGACATAGCGAATTTATATAGCTTCATGTAACAAATCACCCAAAATCACCCAAATCACCCATTGTATGAGCTACTGTCGCGACATCGATCCCTAATCCCTTCACAATGGCGGCAGCACAGTCAACCTCGTCGATTCTCTCTTTCCTACTCCCTCGTGTGTCCGCCCCGGCAGCATCGGCCGCTTCGCGCTCTACGACTCTCTTCTCGAGATACGCCTCAACTCCGATCCTTCCTACGATTGCTTTCGCCATTCCCGCGTCGATACGTCTCAATGTTCCTTCTCTGCTCGGCGATATCTGGGAGTCGGTTCTCCGAGCTGTGCCCAAGAAGAAGACATCCCATATGAAGAAGAGGTCGCGCTTCATGGCTGGCAAAGGACTGAAGGATGTTACGGAACTCAACAAGTGCTCAGCATGCGGGCATGTTAAGAGAGCGCATTTGCTGTGCCCTTACTGCGTGAAAGGTAAGATCAAAGCTGCTTGTTGTTTTGGGAGGAGGGACAATGCTGATCATATTTTCTACAGAGATCCAAGACATGTTCAAGGCGACGATGAAGAAGGCATCTGGGACGACTGGGACGACCAAGTCTGAATAAGTGCACTGTATAATTTGGAGGCTGTAAATTTGAAGTCTGATAGAGAGGTCTGGCATTGCAACTGGCGTTATTCAAGGGCGATGGGAAAGCGAAGATGGTGGTAATGGCTACATGCTGTTGCCAATGTGACAATATTGTATAAAATATAACAAAAGATTGATCTCACTAGATAGAGATTGATATGTTACAATATGTATCAACATAAACCTTTGCAAACTTGTGGTGATGGGATATGGGGTAGAAATATCTCGGGCGCGACTCCCAACGTCATCCAGTCGCCAAATTTAAACCCCGCCAAAACCAGCCTTAACCTCTGTAAACACCAGCCTGCCCGCGCGCGCGTACCAAGACGTGGATAGGTGACAATGGTAAGAACTATATGCCTCTTTACGTATGATTCCAGTAGACTAAAACCTCACAGTCCAAACAATACCTAACCACCCACACGATTGACGATGGTATGGTCCCAAGCCTTTCCCCGAATGCTATTCGCATGCTGACCAGACATAGCTCACCCCACCGACATATTCGCAGTCGCAGTGACACCCACACAGCTTCTTTCTGCATCCGGATCCTCTACAATCAAAATATACTCCACAGCCAGCCCCGACATACCTCTGGTGCAAAGCCTCTCCGGTGCACACCCTGTTGGCTGCCACCACATCACAACCTCCCGCTCGGGCACCGTCGCCGCATCTGCAGGATTTGGGGGCGAACTCAAGATCTGGACGATAGATCCCGAGTCGGAACAATGGTCACTGCAGGCAGCAATAGAAGATGGAAACGGGGCGGGCGAGGTTTGGGCCCTAGCTTTGAGTGCTGATGGGCGCTTCCTCGCTTCTACGACGATAGACGGGAGGATAAATGTGTGGGATATATCTACGCCGAAGGCGGAGAAGAAGGTTAGGGAGTACGAGACGAAGGGTAGCTTCGGGCTGTGCGTGGATATGAGTCGGGATGGGAAGTACACGGCGAGTGGGCATGAGAATGGTGCTGTTTATGTGTTTGATAACGACACAGGCAGGATGATGTACTCGATGCCAGGTTAGTCTCCTCTTTTCGCTGTGGTACCACATTCCAACTAACACAGCATATAGGTCTTGTGAAGCCTGTCCGAACCGTCGCATTTTCTCCAGCTGGCTCTCGTCTCGCAGCTGCAGGTGACTCCAAGATCATCGCGCTCTATGACGTCCAGCACGGCGAGCAGGTTGCCAATCTTACCGGGCACGCAGCGTGGGTTTTCTCGGTCGACTGGAGTGATACTGGCGAGTACCTTCTTAGCGGATCTTTTAATGGAAAGGCCAAGGTGTGGTCAGTGGAGTTGAGGACTTGCGTGGCTACTCACAGCGAAACAGAAAAGGCTCTATGGTCTGTGAAGTGGCTGCCAAAGACGGCAAAGAGCGAGGCGTTTGCAACGGCTGGGGCGAACAGGAGTATCAGTTTCTACAGGGAGGCAACGGGTGGTTAGACTATTAGCTAGACCAAAGAAGTTGCACAATATATCCAAATCACACCACTAGAATCGACATTGCCTCCGTGTCTCTTGTACTATAATATACTGACCTCTATATTCTCTCCTATATTTACAATTATGAGGATAGCATTGTGTTTTGCTCCTTAATTCCAACACATAGATATTTACACGCACATGCCGCTCAATTGCTCCGAGCACATTCATCAATTCGGCCCCGAATAATTCAAATCCACGAGAGACGACATGACCTTTTTGGCAAAATCAACCTCTTCGCTCTCACCCGACCAATTGCTGTGGATCTCCTCCCAGACTTCCTCTGTCCTTTTGATGCCAGCGCATTTCGCAAACGCCTTCAAGGCCCAAATCACAGTCCACTTCCCTATATATACATCTTCGTTCCGCTCATCATGATGAGCTTTGATAAAGGCTGACCAAACGCTCTCGAGGCGTTTGTCTGTCCAGTGCGAATACAATTCACCCCCATGGTTTGCGAAGCCATTGAATAAGGCTAGAAATATTGAGCCATGAATAGGCACATTGAATAAGGACATATCGTCAAGCATCCGGGTAGTCATGTGAAGTTGTCCCCCATGAACGGCAAGGTGGTTGATCAAGAGCCGATATGTTCGTATGTCAGGGGCGATAATTGACGTTTTCTTGTACTGCTCAAGTAACTGAGGATCGAACCGTGCGCGCTCTGCGAGTTTAACCAGTGACCGATCCATTTCCCTCCGTTTTCGAGCATCCCGGGGCGGTGGCTCAGCGCTGCTCTCGATATGCAAACGTTTCATACGCTCATATACGTGAATTGCTGCCTGTGGCTCTCTGGCTCGTATGAGAGATGCAATAACACAATTCATAACGACTGTGTCGACAATCTCCCCGGCGTCAATAAGTGCTTTGTATGCACTTCGAACACTGTCGCCGTCTCCACGGAGCCCATGGAAGTATATTAGGCTGACGTGATGGAATCGGTTATAGGGGAGCCCTCGGTTCTTCATTTCTTGGTATATCATTTCCGCAAGGTGAAATTTGCCAGCCTTGGTAGCTGCATCGAATAAAATGTTGAATGTGGCCGAGTTTGCTTCAACGCCCGCAATATGCTCCATCTCCTTGAACATTTTTAGACTTGCTTCAACTTCGATGGTCGTCGGTTTGTCCATGTAGCTTGCCACGAATGATGTCGCAGTATTCCATTCTTCCAGGGTAAGAGAAATAGCATTCAACTTCATATCGTCAATGACGGATAAGTATCGCATCATGGAGCGCTCGTCCTTCCGGAGCACCGTCCCAAGATTCCGAAGCAACTGATGCCTCGTTTTTGCACTAAGGTATGGAACTCTGGGCGATGGGAGTGACCGGTAAAGTTGAAATATGGTCTCGGAATCATAGTATCGGTCCTTCAATGCTTCCCCAAGTTGCTTAAGAATCCCCTCAAATTCGCCGTCTACAGGCCACTGGTATTCTTGGGGCGGCCATTCAACATCTTCTGCTTTGTCTGAAACTGTGAGATTTGGCCCTGGAGCTAGCTGGTACATTTGAACTTCGTCTGAGGAAGGGTCGGGCTGGAGGTCGTAATGGTCGACAAGGGCTAAGAGTCTGTCTTTGCCAATCTGCCCTTCGCTGATAGCGGCACATGCTGATGTATGTTGCTGGCGGCGCGTTATAAAAGTCGAGTGAAGCCCGCTGCTTCTTGGTTGAAATGATTGTAGGTGCTTGACACCTTCAAGTTGCAGACGTCGTGGCCGCGAGGGTCCATGGTCCTTACACTGGCCAGCGCCCACCAATGCTCCTATGAACCACTGCTCTAGCCCAATGGACCCAGCTGCGTTGCGTATGAGAGAACGGCGGTATGGATTTTGTCGTCCTCGAGTAAGTGGTATGTCAGACTTCCCAGGTGTTTTGGAGGGTGCAAGAAGCTGTAGCTTTGCTACCTTCTTGACAACAGAGCCGGTTGTCGACTTGTCAACTTTTCCGAAGAAGGACATGGACCGTCAAACATGGTGTCGCATATTCTGTAATCAGAAATGCAGCAGTGCCATGGCAGGAATGAGATACAATGAAATTTTATATTGTGTCGGCGACAGGAAGGCTGATATGCCAGGATTGGCGCTAGCGTTACTCCGCGAAATAAAGTATTTTGTACGCGACAATGGGTGACCACGGATCTTGCCGAGTCAGAAATCAATCCAAGTCCCCGACACCCTCAACCGCCAATTGCTCCTCAACAGGTCGAAGCAATCGCCCAGAGGCAACCACTGTGCCTCTATAGTGGAGTTTTCAATCATTCTATAAGACATGGGGCGATACAACTTCTCCCCAACCCGTGTCCACCATGCGGCCGCGAGGCTTGTAGAGCGCCGGAAACTTGAAGCCGATGGTGGCATACTCCATGTCATACCGCCATGGTTCAAAACAGTCTCGGCGGTGCCTCCAGGAGGGATCCTTACAAGGTCACAGCCCATACAGCACTCGGAGGTTCCGCGGAAGATTCGAACGAAGAAGCCAAGCAAAATGTACATGCCGACGAACATCAGCTACGAGGAAGATGGTCTCAGGGAAAACTTTTATAGCGACCATCCTTGGGAACTTGCTCGGCCGAGAGTTATTCTTGAACAGGACGGAAAGGATGGGCAAAAGTGCGATTGGAGCAAAATAGAACAGCCGGATAGAGAATTGAATGGTGAAAGGTTAGTGATTGGACTAAGCTTTGGAAATGGAAGCACTGCTAACATATAATTAAAGCGTCATTCAACGGCAATTGTGGCTACTCAAGAACAAGCCGGACATGACGTCCGCGAAAGCCTACGACCAGGCACGGAAAGAATTCTACGCCATCCGTCACCAGGAGGATGTTGAGAGGAGAGTCGCCAAAGAGGAAGCTCTCGCTACTGGCGCATATTTCGGGAAATCGATGCTGGAGATTGGTATGGAGTTGGAGGATAAGACATACGAGTCGTGGAAGGCGTGGGCACAAAATGAAGTTGAGGTTATTGACCAACAACGAAGTGCTCAATATACGGGCGCTGAATTAGCTCCAGCAGAGGAAGCCATCCTGGAGGAGGCGATTGAGGAGGAAGTTGAGGCACCGGCGCCGTCATAATCTGGGCATTTGTTCTGGTAGCAGTGTATCACTAAATCTAGCAAGGGGTTTGTACAAAAAGATAGATAGTGGCATGTACAATATGTAGCGATTACAGATTTCACATTCATCCATGGTTGCTCCGAATGCAACAATGTGCTCACTTGATATACTGATCTCGCGATATTTGGCGTTGAAGTAGAGGTGTATGTGGTGCATATATTTCCAATAATAATTGAATATTTTTATAGTAGGCTGAATATTATGGCTAATATATGAGTTTCACTATTATCAACATTTTGAAAATACACGGCTTGGACATGCAGTCATGGACGAAAGGTAGCAAGGGAGTTAAATACAAGAATTTACCTCTGGGAGTAACTATTGTAATTAATTTTAATGTATTGTGAAATAGGCAAGGCTGGCAAACATTCTCTGAACGACGGCATACTGAGCAGTTAATTAAGATCACGACGTATCTTTGGCGAGGCTGAGGAATTATGAGCTCGAAACCCCTTTTGGGCTGCGACCGCGTTAGGTACCTGCATGGGCGACCCGACAGACTGTAAGCGAGGCGGGAGGTCTGGCCGCTCGAACTTGATAGTGCACCCATCCACATAGCCACTTCACCCAGCATGACTTATTTATCGATGACCAGTCGAATGCAGCGACAAAGGGGGACGACGAACATTTAAGAATGAAGCGATATAACTTGAAGGAACCACCAAATTTATCGCATGTCTGCAAAGGCAATATCGAAGATTACGCATGACGGGGTCCGCAGTGAACAATTCATCAACGAACGGCGCTTCGTCCACAATTGCGCGTCTGTATTCGCGCTTCTCGGAGGAACGTTGAAACGTTGACCGACAGCCCCTCAAACGGCCAACATCAATTGTGATTCTGCGCGAGCAGATCCATAGATTCCTCATGGAGCGCCCCGCTGGACCTCCTTTGGGAGCTGCAACTCAGTCTTCCGGATGGGCCACGGATGGCCCGGCCAGCACTCGTCAGCCGCCTCTAAATAGCGATACCATGATGTGGAAAATGCCCACCCTACAGCGAATGCCATCGGATGGCTCGATGTTCACCTCAAACCCGATATCTACTGCTCAAGTCGTTGCGCTGGCAAGGGAAGCGATGCAAAATGCGTTGGAGGAGAACCAGACAAAGTCTGGGGGAACGGCTGGGATAACGAACGAGCTGAAGCCTGGCATCACGATTGATATGAGCCACAAAAATATCCAACGGTTCCCAGAAGAAGTTGTGGACATAATTAAGTCGGAGCTAGAAAGGTATTTTTTTCAATAAGCAGAACCAGGATTAAATGGCACTGACAAACCGTGTGTAACAGACTTGCGCTTTCACATAATAAGATTTCCACATTCCCCTTACGATTTGCGGAGTGTACGTCCTTACGATACCTTAATGTTCGAAATAATGATATCCGAGAATTTCCTCTATCTGTGAGTCCCGCCGACTCCTACGTTTTATGGCTGGAAGGCTGATTGATGGTGTAGATTTGTGAACTATCTTCTCTGGAAATTCTGGATATAAGCCGCAACAAACTCCGCATCCTTCCACCCGAACTTGCGAAACTCACAGCACTTAAGGTACTGTCGGTGCAGAAAAACCGTATCGAGGACCTGCCGTTATGTTTGGCAGACATGAACTCTCTCCAATGCTTGAAACTGGATGGAAATCCTATAAGATACCCGCCGAAGGAAGTACTGCAGGCCCAAGCCAGTAGCCCGCCCAATGGTATTGCTTTAAAAGAAAGCGAGATAAACGATGTTACTGTGACATCGCAGATCAAGAGATTTTTCAAGCAGAAGCTCATTACGGATCGATCAGAGACGGAATCGGGAGGCGAAGAGTCCAGTGAAGGCGCCGAAACTCCACGGCCGTTGAAGCGAGTTACGAGTGGTCGATTCCCTATCAAAGTTAACGGCAGCGATGTGCCGGATTCACGATCTCCGGCATTGCAGCGGCCACCTCCAATACCTTCGCGGTCTCATTATCGAGGATTGTCACAGCAGAATGCTGCGTTGAGAAGACCTGGTATCATGCCATTGACTATTGGCAATAGTAACGAACGAGTTCGAAGCAACAGTGAGAGTCTATTGCAGCGCGATCGTGCTGAGCGTGCAGACAGGTCGCGGCGAATGGGAGTTGTTTCCAAGAAAGCAAGCGACCTCACAACTGTCGAGGAGTTGAAAACAAATCGGTATAGCCATCTGCGAGGCCTAAGTCATGGGTCGGCAATTCAAAGCGGCAATGGCAGTAACGGCACAAATGGCAACACGAGAAGCCCAGCAAGCCCCGCTGACAGCACAAACGGACGGAGTACATACGTCAGGAGGTTATCAAGCCTCCCTGAAAGGAAGCGAAAATCGAATTCTCCAGATCCGGTTATTGAGGGTGCGAAAGGGATATTGTTTGCTCTTGACCAGGTCCATCCTTTAATACAAAGTTTAATGGGACTCACCAGGGATGGTTCCAACAAAAGGACAAGTCTTGAAAGGGTCTTCTTCAATGCAACAACACATGTTGAAGAGCTCGATCACGACATCCAAGAATACGATACCTACTCTGAAGAAGACGAGGAAGTCAGTCCTCGTTCAAATGCGAATGTTCGCAGGGCGTGTATTACATGCGTCTCAGCCTACATCCACGTCTGCACATTATTATCACGAAACGTCGAATCATTACTCAATAACGGGGACCCACGATATATTCGTATGCTTCTTCTCCATATATACGGGAGTTTGGTGGAAGTTCGAAATGCGGGGACAAGTTTAATTGGGCCAAAGCAGAAAGCGTCTGAGCAGCTGCCACCTTTATTAGAAGATACTAATATCAACACGATCAGACCGTCGGTCCGCGATAAGACACCGACACGGGAGCGGCCCAACCCAGCGTCGAGGATGAGGAGCGCCACGACAATCCAGCAGACGAACAACCTGCGTGTCCTGACGGATTCCAGGAACGCCTATACGAACGGATCTGGCCGGTCTGCAACCATGACATCTGCAACCCCCCGATCGGGAGAATCGTTCACCTCCGTCTCCTCTGCTGGGAGGATGAACGGCGACTTCACCGAAGAAGACCGGCTATTCGAGAGGATATTCCTGGGCCTACAGCAGTCATCTGAAATGGCCATCAGGACATTACCCACCGTCAACGCTCATTTCGTACAATCCAACAAGAACAGCATGCAGCAAGGGACCTACGACCAACTAAAGCACTACTGGCAAGCCCTCAGCATCAAATGCTCCTTCGCCCTCGAGACCGCCGAGACACTCAAAGCGCGCCTCTCCCTGATCAAACTGAAAGAGCCCGGGATCCGCACCCAAGGCGCCTTCTGGGAACTCTGCAACACCTTCATGAGCTCGTACTACAACCTCGTCGTCAAAGTCAAGGAGGTGAAATCCGTCACCTCCCTCATCTCAACAGACGTCATCGCACTCCTCCGTCCCTTACAAAAAGTCATCCGCGAAACGAGTCAGCTCATCCAAGCTTCGCCCTGGTCATTCCTCACTGGCCCCAGCTCGGGGCCAGGGCAACATCACGCAAACCACACGAACCATCCTTCAACAAGTACCTCCATCTCCTATGTCCTCCACTCCCCACAGGTCGCCATGCCCATGACACCCGCGAGTGCTGCTCTCGGACCAGCTGTACAAGCTACCGTGCCCAGCGCGCCGCAGAGCGCAGGGTACGGAGCGGACATGTTCCAAGGGAACGTGTTTGAGCGCGCCGACACCCTGCTCAGTATGGGCGGAAGCAGCGCCTTCTCCTCTCGCGCCGGGACGATGACGTCGTGGGGCGGGAGTGGAGATGGGCAGACTCCTGGGGGGCCCGGGGGGACGTTTAGTCCTACGAATGGGATGATTAGGTATGGAGGGAGTAAGGTTGTGTTTTAACCTTTTTACCACCTTGCTGAGACTGGGCCGCGGGGACGAGAGGGGGGGAGGGGGGATCTGCTCGAAAAAAATCAAGAGAGCCATATAACTGGCCATTTAACTAACCACTAACGTGCACTACGCCACGCCATATTTTTTATCTGCCACAATTGGATCAATCGATGAGAGGGAAGCAGGGCGGGGATATCTGTATTTTAGCCGCCATCTTGTTTGGGCACTGTCTTTTCGTCTTGGGGGGCGTTTTAGTATCATTAGCGTGCGTTGCGTACTGGGTGCTGGGTGCTGGGGGGACTGCGGCAGGGAATAATTGTATTAACTCTCATATTTTTCTGTGTTTTAGTCGCGCGGCCAGGGATCATGATCATTGGGATGTCGGAGCGGGAGTGGGAGTGGGAGTTTACTGGGGGACATGATCTGGCTGGGACGGATACGGTGCCTGGGGTAACTGTTTTTTTTGCATTCATGGGAGGCGTTTTGGAGGGGGAAGGGTGTGGTGGAGTCTTGTGGAGAAGTGAATGGAAATTTTGGAATATTTTTATGACTTTTTTTTGGTTCAGCTGTGTAGGATCGTACTGCTGGGTGCTGCGGCTTTTTTGTGAAGTGTACTGCGAAAGACAGACAGACATGTATTTTTGTATGGGAGGAATTTGGTTTGGGAGCAATTGTTGGATATATATTGTCCTTCTCCTGTAGTTAGATATGTCGGGTATACTCTTGTCTAAAAGATCTATTCATCTCTTTATGTCATGCAGGCCCCCCATCAAGCCTCCCCCCCCTTCCCCCTCCTCCTCAAATTCTCAAACAACCCCCCCTTCTCCCCCACCTCCCCACCACTCATCTCCTTCTCCCTCCTCCTCGCCCTCCTCTTCTCCTTCCTCCCATTCCTACAACAACAACAACACCTAACCTGCAACACGAACGCACCCAGCACCGCCCCAGACGCAACCCACATAAACGCCAACATCTGCACTCCCAACACCGCCCCAATATTCAGCATCGGCTGACTCCTAAGCACATTCCGCATAATCGTAAACATCACCGTCCCCACAACACTCGCCACGATCGTGCAAAACGCAGCGAGGAAACTGAGCAAGCCCAGCCCGCAGCCGACCCAGCAGCTGCGTTCGCGGGGCGAGAAGTGGGGAGAGCGAAGGAGGGAGAGGGGAGAGAGGAGGAGGGAGAGGAAGGTTAGGATGACGCCGAGGAGGAAGAGGGTGAACATTGCGTTGGAGGCGAGTTGGATGAGGTGAAGGATGGTGAGGATGTCGGCGGGGAGGGTGATGGTGGCGCCGGCGAGGAGCTCGGAGAGGAGGATCTTGACGGGGTTGAAGTAGTAGAGGCTGGTGGGCTTGCTGCAGTTGGTTATGCCTCTGTTTGGGGGGTGGGTGGTTAGTATGTGTGTGCATGATTTGGTTTGGGTTGGGTTGGGTTGGGGGGGACGCACTCATCGTTGTAGCCCTCGCAGTAGTTCCATAGGCCGACGAGGTAGAAGTCGTGCAGGCCGAGGGAGCGGGCTATGGAGTTTAGGAGGGGGAAGTCGCTGCCTGGGGTGGAGGCGCGGACGAGGATGTTGGAGAGGTCGATCCTGATGAACCATGTTGACTTTAAGACTGGTTTGACGCTCGTTTGTGCAGTGAGAATCTGTGGGAAGGGTGTTAGCTGAGTGCTCTCTCTCTCTCTCTCTCTCTCTGGGGCTTCCAAAATGGGGAGAGGGGGACCTTACCAGTATCAGGAAGATAAACCCTATGAAGAGAAGCAGGCATGCGATAATGGTGAGCCATTTGCGGGGTCGGCTGGCATGGACTATGTTGTTGTTGTTGTTGCCGTCCTTCAGCGACGGGGCTTTCGTTGTAGCCGGCGGCGATGCATCGTCTGTTAATATGCCGCCATTGCCTTCTGGCTTTGGACCCTTGTGCCGTGACCTGACGGACCTGAAGACGGGGAGGTTGATAGCCATCTAGGCGATTTGTGAGGGGTATCTGTGAGATCTAGCTCGTCCCTGAAGCAAAAAAAAAGAAGGGCGTTGCTTCCTCCAGACTCAGGCACTTGGCATGAGGAAGGAAGGGGGATTCGGGGTATCAGGCCAAGAGCATGGCGGGATTGATAGATGGGACAAGAGATAGTGAATTGGAATCCACAAATGTTTTCTTGCTTGGCTGAGTAGCGTAGAAAGTTTAGAGGATCTCAGCAAACTGGGGCCTACCTACCTATCAGGGCAGTAGACGGGAAGGGCGTGGGCGGGGAGCAAACTGATGTCATGTTATTTTTATGGGAATTATTGGGGAATTATGGGATTTTTTTGAGGGGTATGAGTAAGTTAGCCTGGTATGGTGGACGGGTACTTGGTTTTGGAGGGGCGCAGAGGACCTTGGAGGATCCACAGGTACAAATAAAGCTTGGGACGATCAATCTTAGTTGCTGAAGGAACACCGGGAACGCTGAACGCGCGGATTTGGGGGCTGTGGAGAGGGAAAAAGGGTCCAATGTGAGTGAGGTGTATAGTTCATAATACTGTACAGTTTGAAAATGTAAGCTCGTATACAATGTGATAGGTAATAGTATAGTAATGTATAGTAATGTGCCGTGTAATGTGTAATGTAATGTCGCACGGTGCATATGAAGGGGTGGTGGCGCAGCATATGAGAAAGTTAGTTTAAGCTTCAAATTCAGATGCTGTTTGTTTACGTAGGTATGGTACTGTAGATTAATTAATGTGCAGGGCAATTCCAAGTCCCGTAGCTAATTCAAATACCTGCCGGATCTACGCTCTCTAGTTTCTGCACTCTATACTCTTTTGAACTATGGACCGAGATCCCTTTTCTGATCCCTTCCTGATATTCTGATATTCTCCAGATATGCTCCATACCGTGATCCTGTGCTCCATACTCTGCCCCAAACTGTGGATATTATAAGTACTGTAAGGACTATACTTGCTCACTTTTTACCGCCTGTGGCCTTGTGGAGAGTACCCGCACCCACACACTATCGGCATACGGCACCCACATGATGTCAGAATTCCAGGGGTTGGTTCCGGGCCACCTGAGACCCAAATGTACCCAAACAAAAACATGCTGTAGCCCGCTGTGGGTGGTGCCCGCTACACCCGCCTAGCTTGTGACAAAACAAATCACTTTTGAGACATTCTAGATTCACTCGCTGTCTCTGAGTCCCCCCACCCCGCCTTTTCCTTTTTATATACACTGTTTATATTATAGAGTTGCCAAAGACGGCGATTATATTATTGCATTCGCTCCAATTTGACACAGATACTCTATTGTGTTACTCTCTCTGTCTTTTTCCACTTCCGGTCTGCAAGATTCCACCCGCCACTTCGACTTGTCAGAGCAGAGACTTCGACGGACACTAGATCAGTACTGGCCGGCCCGTAGCCACAGATAAATACCGCAGTGAAGATTGAAGACATCAGAGCGCCGAAGCCGAGTCCGAACAACCACACTGAAGATTGAAGATATCACAGCGTTGAAGCCGAGTCCGAATAACCTCATTGAAGATTGAAGATATCACAGCGTTGAAGCCCAGTCCGAACCCCATTGTCACGGCAAAGAGGCCGACACCTCCTATGAACAATCTCCAACCATGTTGTGGAGCAAGCCAGTAGTGCTCGCATCTCAGATCTTATTCTTCGCCTGCCTCTACAGCAACCCCATATCCGCCCAAGAGACAACAGATGACGGGCTCCTCGTTCTGACCGGCAGTGCCCGCGGCGACACCTCAACAGGACCAACAGCAGCAGCTACACCCACAAGCTCAACAGGAACAGGAAGCAGAAGCAGCAGCACCACCAACTCCCACTCCTCCTCCACCACCAGCAGCACCACCTCCCACACGACCACCACCCCCCCCGACGTCCTAACCCTCACCGGCCTCCCCCCCACCAACTCCCTCAACCAAACCCGCACCACCACCACCGCCGGCCCCGTCCCCACGAACAAAACCCCCTGCAACCTGCACGTCGAATTCTGCACCCGCAAATACAGCAATATAACCCAAGTATGCGCGCACAACTCCCCTTTCGTCAAGGCCAACAACGCCGCTGCCAACCAGGCCTTTGGTGTGGTGAGCCAGCTCGATGACGGGATACGGATGTTGCAGATTCAGGCGCATGTTGTTAATGGGACGGTCTTCCTGTGCCATTCTTCGTGTGATATTTTGAATGCGGGGACGATGACGGATTATCTTACTATTGTCGCGGGATGGGTGCAGAAGCATCCGTATGATGTTATTACTATCCTTATTGGAAACGCGGGGTACCTCCCCGTGAGCACATATACCCCCGCGATAGCGGACTCGGGACTCCTTCCTTACGTCTACACGCCCCCAAAGAAGGACATGGCTCTCTCCGACTGGCCGACGCTGAGCAGCATGATCATCACCTCCCAGCGGGTAGTGGTATTCATGGACTACGATACCGACCAAGACACCGTCCCCTACATCCTCGACGAATTCACCTACATCTGGGAAACGCCCTTCGATCCCACCGACCGCGCCTTCCCCTGCACCGTCCAGCGCCCCCCGGACCTCTCCGCCGCCGCGGCGAAGAGTATGATGTACATCGCGAACCACAATCTCAACACCGAGCTTTCGCTGCTGGGGAACACGTTGCTGGTCCCCACGCAGCCGTTGCTGGGGGAGACGAATGCGGTGTCTGGGTATGGGAGTTTGGGGCTTGCGGCGGAGAATTGTGATGCGATGTGGGGGAAGCCGCCGACGGTGTTGAATGTGGATTATTATAATGTGGGGAATGGGAGTGTGTTTGAGGTCGCGGCGAAGTGGAATAATGTCACGTATAATGCTACGTGTTGTGGGATGGCGGATAGTGGGGGGGTGAGAATGGGGACGGGGGTGTGGTGGGTTGGGGGGTTGGCGGTGCTGGTTTCGGTGTTGTTGTCGTCGTAGATTTGAGATTTGAGGAGATTCTGAGAATGAATGCTTTGTGGGAGGGATCTGCGTGGCGTTATGTGGCGTTTGGGTGGCTTGCTTGCTTGCATCGCGGATGGATGGCCAGGGGCAATTTGTGGCATGGGTGATATTACATAGCGGAGGGAAAAGAAAGACAACATTTGCAATGAAAATACCCAATTTAGATAAGGCATGAAAAACAAACTATTGCCCAGAACACAACGTCAGAAAGGGGTCAAAGACTAGTTTTCATTGAATTTCAGTTCTCATTTGTTCCTCAGTTATAATAAAACTGGATCGCTAGGGTATCTATCTATAAACATGCTACTCGTTACAGGGACAAGAGAAAATATAAAGAGGTGTATCTGAAAGCGATGACACGTTTTCTTTCCCTGAACACACTAGTGGTGCTGTCCCATCCATCTCAAACAGTTATTCGCCGTCTTGCACCACCTCTGCTCGGGCTCCATAGGCGGAGTGAGCTCCTTTTCCGCGTGTCTGTCTCTCCACCACCACCTTTGCTCAGCTTTGATAGCTAGTGAGCGTTCTTTTCGTGTTAATCATTGGTATTATCCTCCTTTCATGCACACAGCCGGAATCGCATATCCCCGCCTCTCTCATATCTTCTTCGCAAACACTTCTCGTCACCATTCTTCCTCTTTGGTTACTCTCCCCGTTAGGCACCCATCCACAGCAAAGATAGCAAAACGTCCTTCCTCATCAGTAATTCTCGCTCCATATCATGCACTCAGCAATCACAAAGACAAAGACGGAGACAAGCCCCCCGCCAATAGCCATTCGCATCTATCACATGCCACCATCCTCTTTCATACTGCCTTTGTAAAATTTCAGCAAACAACAACCAGCAAAATGTATTAAACGCGCGCGAAACTTTGTCGAAAAGGCGAGTTGTAGTACAGTAGTCGTACAGTAATATACACAATCCCCCACGCTCACCTACTCAACCGCCATTAGGGTGTTGGGCACCCTGAGGCGCAGCATCCTTCGGTGCAGGAGCGCTGGCAGGGAACATGAGAGCTCCCACTTTGGCAGTGCGAGGAGCCATCAACTTGTGGTATCTGAATGTTGGCAAGGTAGATGGGCCGATCTGGTTTCCGCGCATGTCGTATTTAACGCCGGGCTTTGTGACCCTGTTCTGGGCCTTGCTCTTCGGTTTAGCAGGTGAGTTGGTGGCTGGTTGGTTGATGCGAAGATTGTCAATGACTTTCATGTCCTCTTGAGAGATATGGGGTACGCCATCATCGACTTTAATGTCCTCTTGAGAGATACGGGGTACATCATCATCATCGTCGATATTAATCGGGCATTGGAGGGAGTCCCCAATGCTGGATGGTGTTACAGATGCAGATGGGAGAGTTGTCTGGCCTGGGGACCAGGCGTTCGGTGTCACTGATGCTGCGCTCGTCATGACTCCCGTGTTTGACGAAGGAACCGGGTTCCAATCCGCTATTGAAAATGGGTCTTCGCTGTCAAATGGGAAGTCGGTCACGGCGTCGAAGTCGAAGTTGTCGAACAGATCTGCGCCACCAAATTGGGATGTAAACGCACCAATGACGTCTACCGGGCTAGGGATTATGCCATAGCTGGTAGTCTCCAATTCTTGGCCTGAATTTGTTCCGGTAGCGTCAGAAGAAAGCTGTTGACTAGCGACTGAGCCATTGGTGACAGGCAAATAGTTTTGGCCTTCATTTGTTCCAGTGAGTCTGGGGGTACCCTTTTGGTTGGTAACCGTGCCGCTGGGCGAGCCCTGTTGGTCTGAGATGGTGCTATTTCCGCTGGGGGAATACTGTTGGCCCTTAACCATGTCGTTGCTTGCTGGATGATACTGCTGCCCTCCAATTGTGCCATTGCCAGCGGGAAAATGCTGCTGCTCTGCAATTTTGCCCTTAGCCTTGCCGTTTGGAAAGTTTTGTTGGTTGGGAGCCGTACCAGTGATGTTTGGAGAAAAGTGTCGGATTGCAACTGTGCCATTGCCGTTGGCCAAATGTTGTTGGTTGGTCCCCGCGCCATTGATGTTTGGAGGAAAGTGTTGGTTTGCAACTGTGCTATTGGCGTTGGCCAAATATTGTTGGTTTGCAACTCTGCTATTGACGTTGGCCAAATATGGCTGGTTTACAACTGTGCCATTGGCCAAATGTTGTTGGTTGGGAACCGCGCCATTGAAGTTTGGAAGACGCTGTTGGTCTGCAACCGTGCCATTGACACGGGGTAAATATTGTGCGGAAGAATTGCCGGCATTGCTTTGGCCTTGTATGTTGGCCGTATTTTTGTTTGTGCATGGAACCTGTGGCGATTGAGCTGCAGGAGCTGCAGGCGAAAAATCAACAATTTGAATATCAAAGTTTTGACTGATTGGAACCCGACGTCCGGAACCGTCCACTTCCGACTTGATATTCTTGCAAAGACCGTCAAATTCGTCGTTGAATTCTGCGATGCTGCACCCTTTAGGCAGTCCCATGGACTCATGGCGACCACAACGCCTGCAGTATTTAGTTTGTACCCAGGTGCTCTTATTGCTCTCCGGAACCCCAGCTTCCTCTGGAGCAGGTTTCGCATCTTTTGGTGCCTTCCCAGGAGCCCACTCTGTCAGATCTGCCCAGGAATCGTTTAGGAGACCACAGGGGGTGCACAACCATTTTCTACTTTTGTTTTCCACCGCTGTAGCACCTGCGACTGATGATGAAACTTTTTTCCAGTGGTCTCGCTGCTCCTTCAGTGCCTTCATATCCTCTTCCAGGGTGCTGCGCTTGGAATCAGAAGCCGATAGGCGTAGATGCTCCTTTTTGGCCAGGGCTTTGAATGTGATATATTCTTCTTTGAGCTCTTCAAATGTGCAGGTCTTTATATTGAATTTAGGACCAGAATCCTTAGAAGCAGTAGCATTTCCTCCCAGCCGAGAGGTCTGGTTTGAAGAGCTGGCGTCATTTGCTGTGATGGGATCATATCCTGCCATAGTTAGTGAAGACTCTACTGCTTCTGAGGAGCAGCACTTACCTAGCTTTGATACCCCGAAAGCAACTACTACCTCTCGAAATTGTTCATCAACCAAGATTCTGTCAATTATAGCACCAAGCTGTGCATCCACGCCGGAGTTTCTCTCTAGCTCAATATCCCCATCCATTGCTGCGAGAATGAGCTGTTGAATCTTCCTCACCCCAGGAGACGTCAAAGGAGCAGTTGCTATATAAGATCTCCAAGCAAGCAACTGTGGCTGGGAAGAGTAAAGAGTAGACGGAGATCTGTGTTGATGTATTGCTGAAATGTGTTCTGGTGCTGGCCTTTTCCTTATCGTAGCTGCTATCGTAGTGTTTACCTGGGAAGAAGCATTTGCTTTTGGTGACTTGTAAATAGGGCTGTATAAGCTCGCTTCGACACCTTCAGCCTTTGGTGATCCAGCTCCACAAGAAACACCACTTGCCATCTGCGTCCCCTGTTCAACCAAAGACAAAGACACTTGGCACGAGGTATGAATATTGTCTTGCGGCTGCTCATATTGCAACCTCTCATCCTGCGACTTCTCATCTTGCAGCTGCTCAGAGGCTGACACATTTATAGTTGCCTTTCCATCAGCCATGTTCCCAATGTCTGGAGTGGAACAGTTCGACTCCGATAGTGAGAGCTTCGGAACCATCTCAACCCTGGATCCCATCGATACAGTAAGTTCTTGGCCCCTATCTCCAATACCTCCATCTGGGAGATCATCTGTCTGCCGTGATGCCAAATGCTTGGTGGAAACAGGTTGGTCGATGACGGCGATGCACTCCCTGTTACACAGGAGGTCAACATCGCTGCCATTTGGCTTGTGTATCTGAGGTACTGTATCTTGTGAAGGCCTACGTATCCTTGGCATGGCTCTGCCACCCATGGGCCAAATACTAGGAATATTCCCATTGATCGGTGCCAATTGGAGCTGATTAGCAAGTTCTTCATCAATACTACCTTGGCAGTCTGCTGATTGAATCGTAGCCAGATGGTACTCCATCGACCCTGTCACCAGCTCCGAAGCATGATGAGGGCCTTGACAAGATGAACAGAAGCCTAGCCGGTGCCTCTGCCTCTGCCCCAGAGTTGGGAAACTTGAAGGACCATCCGTGAGTTTTTCATGCCGGTGATGGGAATTGGGCTCGATATGCTGACATGGACCATAGACTTTACCAGTACGTTCTTGATCTGTCTCGTTCGTAGAGTCAACGCCGATTTTGCTGGCATTCTGTTGTGATAGATTATCTATCAAATGGTGGTCATGGGCCTCCGAAGTGGGATACTTTGTGGCGTGCTCCTTTGAGGTGGACTCCTTGTGAGATTCTCCGTTGTCTGAGAGAGTCGCGGGGTTTATCTTTGGGGGTAGTGTAAGCCCTTGATCTAACCTGGTGACAATCATGCTTGTGGGCATGAAAGAAGCATAAATACCTTCTTCCTGAGCCTTCTGCATCAGTAGCTTGGAGCCATGGCCTGCAATATCTCGTTCCATGTTCTCTTCTTGCAGCACTTGGTCTGCTTCTGCTGGATTCAAAACCAGTTGTGCCCTGGCAGCCAGTGGCAGCCAGTGGCAGTCAGTTATCCTGTCATTCTTTGGAATTCTTGAAAGGCCAAAGGAGTTTTCGTTATTGGTCACGTTCAGGAGTCAGAATAGCTCGGCTTGAAAGAGCACTTCTGATGAACCTCGAGGAGCAATGAACAATGAACAATGAAACAAAGTTTTGAACTGTTGACGCTTAACGCTTGACATTTGTCCTCGAGGCATCGAGGCCGCAAGGCACCGACTTGCTTATCGCGATAGTGTCCCTTATCGGGCAGCTGTCAACAAGAAAGTCACAGGTCGGATTATTTTGAAGCCGATAGTCCGACACTAGCCAGGAGCTCCCACTTGGCAAGACATCTATTGGATGGCCTGGACGTCTATCGAGGTCTACTGATGGATGTGCGGCTACATTAACTCTCACTCCGTAAATTCTCGTACCAAAATCTCTGGGTTACATAAATGCAAAGTGTTATGGAGCTGACAAGCATATTACAATAGGCCAGACACACACAAGCCATATATAGTGGACATTACCTGGGACACCTATATAGAGGACTTGAATATGTCGGTGATTTTGTGCACTGGTAAGCCCCCAATGCACTTTCCTGCTTCTATCCGTCACCCCCTCCACAAAACAAAGATGGCGAACAAAGCTGACGACTGCGTTATTTTGGTTACAGCTGGCTATGACCATACGATTCGGTTAGTAAATATATCCTACAGAAAGGCAGATGAAGGCATGAGCACGTCTAATATCCAGTTACAGTTTCTGGGAGGCCCTTTCCGGAATATGCTCTCGTACTATCCAGCATCCTGACTCCCAAGTCAACCGTCTCTGCATCTCGCCCGACAAGCGCTTTCTTGCCGCCGCAGGCCACCACAGTGTCAAGCTCTACGACATCAAGTCCACCAATCCGAACCCGATCTTGACATTTGAGGGCCACACCAACAACATCACCGGCGTTGCATTCCACTGTGAGGGAAAATGGATGGTCACCAGCTCTGAGGATGGAACCGTGAAGATCTGGGAGACTCGCACCGGCACCGTTCAGCGCAGCTACAACCACAATTCCCCAGTCAACGATGTGGTTATCCACCCAAACCAGGGCGAGATCATCAGCTGTGATCATGGTGGGAGTGTCAGAATCTGGGACTTGGCCGAGAACAGCTGCTCTCACCAGTTGATTCCTGAGGAAGACGTATCGGTCTCGAGCGTCACTGTTGCCAGCGATGGCTCAACCCTTTGCGCGGGAAACAATTCGGTGAGCAAAGCATGGGCGACGTGCACCCCTCTGTGGGTTAATAAGTCTAACCATCTCTAGGGAAACATTTTCGTCTGGCATCTTGAGCAGTACCGTGAGAAGACAACTCTTGTCCCCATCACTCACTTCAAGGCTCACGGCCAGTACATCACCAGAGTCCTGCTCTCTCCAGATGTCAAGCACCTTGCTACCTGCTCGGCTGACCACACTGCGAAGATCTGGGAGGTTAAGGACCTGGACAAGATGATCCCGACCCCGGGAAGCGAGCCCCCCAGCCCAGTTCCATTCAAGCTGGAGAGCACGCTTACTGGCCACCAGCGCTGGGTTTGGGACTGCGCGTTCAGCGCCGACTCTGCCTACTTGGTCACCGCCTGTAGCGATCATTACGCTCGTCTCTGGGAGCTCCAGACCGAGCAGATTATCCGCCAGTACAATGGCCACCACCGTGGTGCGGTCTGCGTTGCTCTCAACGATTACAGTGAAGCTCGCTGAGTTATTGTCTACGGCGGCCAATAGGTCTGATTTCCTCAATCTTCAGGGCGCATTATACCGGGGCGTTCGTTGCATTATCAAGTTGCGGAAGGGCGGATATGGTCTATTGCTCACTGCTGGGGCGTTTATGGCTGCGAATAGGGCGTTGTACACGGGAATACTCTGGTAATATGCCGAGTAACGAATTGCTATGAGATAATGATCCTCTTACTGGTCACTCAATGAAACGAAATTTGCTTTGAAGAAGAGATTCAATTCTTGCCTTGCCTCGCCTCTGAGAAACCCTCGGTTGACTTGATCCAAGCTGTAAACCAACGGGTATTTAAATGCGCCTATAGTTTAAAATGTCCCTAGTCAAGGACTGTATCCCAGATGCTGCTAAAAGCATCCCAGTAAATCAGCTCACCCGTGCCGTCGAACCAGCTCCCATCACTACCCCTTTCCAAACTTTTCCCATACAGAGCAACCGCTGCCTTGTTCTTTTTAGAGCCATCTATTGTCGCATTACGAATCAACAATGCTCTGTCTCCTTTGGCAGGGATGATAATGCTGTGGCCATCTGGGGCCTTCATCATCGCCACCATGGTTTCTTTTCTTGTTTCGCCATCATCTTCTACGATGGTAAGTGACTTAAAGATGCCCATCTTGTCTTCATGGGTGGCATAAAAATCACTCATCTCTGCTGGCATCGGAACTGTTTCTAGTCCTTCCAAGATAACTCTTTTCCGACCGCCATCCGAAAACTTAATGCCTACCCAGACCCTGCCAAACGCTCTTTCCACGCGCGCCATTTCTTCTGCCGTCATCTTCGAAAGCAACCGCCTATTCTCAGGTTTGATCTTCGGCGCAAGTGCCAAGATTTTATTCTCTGGCAGGATGGGCTCTACTGGCGTCGTTTGAGGTAGGTATACTTTTTCTCGCAGCCCGCGGATAAGGAGGTCCGCGCTAATGGGAATCAGAATGTCCTGAAGCGCACCACGAGTAATTTTCTCGGGGTCCGGTATAGAGACTGGCGCTTGAAGTAAGATTTTCCCATGGTCGAAACCTATCGGCGAGAGAGTCTGGAGAGTTATGCCTGTTTGCTTGTAGCCGTTCAAAATCGCATAATGAACCGGGGATGGCCCACGTAGATCAGGCAGAAGAGATAGATGGAGGTTCAACCCGTCATATTCAGTACTGTTAAGCACTCGTGGTGGAACAAAGAGGCCAAATGAGACGGCTATTATGAGATTAATAGATTCGCCATCAACTTGCGGGAGATCCCAGCCCGTGAAAGTATCTCTCATATGGGTTCTTAGACCTAAACTCTGTGCGGTGGCTATTAATGGCACTTCACGGATTTTTTTGAGACCTCGGCCATATGGCTTCCCAGGGCGGCAAAGGACGTCGATGGACGCTATCGATGAAGGGTCGCGTTTTTGTTCATCGTAAAGAGCCTGGAGAGACGCGGCGCTGACATCATCAGAGCCGCAAAAGAGAATACGAAGAGGCTTCGCTGCTGGGGAACTGTATAAGCGGCGATGGGCGGAGTTGAAGTACAAGGTGCTCCGAGGGACATGAGTGTAGCCCCTGAAAAGACATCCGAGGGCCTGAGTGGACACCCTGAAAATGGGTCTTCTGGGAGAAACCATGGCACACACAGCTGGCACTGCTGGCACACTGATGGCAGTGTTATTTTTGCAGCTGACTGAGGCCGGGGTATTCGCTACCGAGCTCTGGAGCGTGGTCGAGACAGGCCCGACTCTATCTTCGTTGAGTCCTATATTTGCATTAATATTTGAGCGAACTAAGCGAGCTACAGCATACAACCAGCTTACATAGGCAGTATCTTGCTACTCAACTCCAATGTATGCTTTTTCTTCGTCGACACTATCCAGACCGTTGAATTGAGGTTGACATAAATCACGTGAGAAGATATAAAGTGACCATCAGTTTAAGGTGCTGGAAGCGCGATGTGTTCACATTACCCCTGGCGTAATTGTGATAGCCGCGCGGCAAACCCTCCGAACGGACCACCCCGCGCCAATATAAGGTACTCGAGTACAGCTAGGGCTCAAAGTGGATGATCAGCCGACGTCATTCCTGTTATTGTACTTTGGCACAGCTGGCGATACTCTCATCTTGACTTCATCACCATGGAACAATACTAAGTCCCATTCGGGCAGAGGCTTAAATACATTGTTAATCTTGGATACAGCATGGGGAAATGCGATCCTTATACACCGGTGTTGATTTCTCCGTGTCCTTTTGTGCCCTTCCGTGTTACAACCAGATGAGCGTGCAATGTCTCATGCCTCTAGCCACGTTCGTGGAAAAGCTGTACCGGCTCAACTGAAGTTTCTCGCAATATATAACCCCTCTCTGGGCCGAACCGATGAGACGCGACTTAATCAGATCGTTTATTACTACGACGGGACAGGAAAACCAACGCGAAAGACAGGGAAAGATACCCTCGGGGGGTCGAAAGAAGAGGAAAATGAGCGGCTGCGACATATTGGCTTTGCCCAAGGCATGGTCGAATTTGGAAGGGCATTTTCCCAAGGCGGGTCTGTTGATGCGATAGAAACCGAGAAATCGAAGATCATATTACATGAGCTGGAGGTGGGATGGTGGATTTTGGCTGTGAGTTATGTTGGGACAGGGAATATAACATGTGCTAATTGTCTTCGTAGTCAATAGATTTGACTCGCCTTCCTAAGGCATCCAAGCCCACAGGCCCGAAAGATAAAACAACGGACGATGGAAATATCGAATACTCCTCACGAGATGTCAAGCCGCCTGTTCTGCTACTTCAAGATTTGCTACGGGCTCATGCTCTATTTCTCCTGCATCATGCATCGTCAATAGGCGATTTATTTGCTACAACCGCAAAGCCCAAGTTTACCTCCATACTAGGACGATACTGGGACCAGTTTCTGTCGACATGGAATGTCATGCTGCATGGCAATCCAGCCGTGGCTGTTTACAGCGGTATAAAAATTGCAGGTTCCGGTGAACTTGGCATGGGAGTTGGAGAGGAAGATAGGGGAAGTGGTGAGCGCGAAGTACTGGAGGGATTTGTTGGGAGAATTGATGGACTTGTCGACTTAGTCGTTTCGCGCTTTGGTGCAGACTCGGCCGATTCGGATATATCGAAAGCCTCAAATCAAAACAAAGCTCAGTCACAATTAGGACCTAGTGAGCCATGGTTAGGAACTGGATTGGAACCTGGGCCAAATGATGGTGCAATTTTCCTTGGGGTTGGGGCATTGTCGAGAAACTCACTCAGGGATGTGACGCACTGGATGGAAGACGTTTACAGTTGGGGTCCACGTGCCTACGGCGTCAAAGGCAACTCAACACGGACTCGACGCGCACACAGAAATGGGCGACTATCAAGCAAAACTCCGGACAGTAACTCTGCGCGCGGCCATCCATCAAAAGCCAGGAAAACGGATTCTCGTTCATCAGCGATGTCTACAATTCCACCTATGCCAAATGACGATGGACAGAATGGTGATCTTCCAACAAAGCAAGCGTCGGTTCCCATACTTGATGAAACGGTAAATAAAACTAGCCTGGAAGTATTGGACCCCCAACCCGCCGTTGAAACGGAACCCAGAGAGAACCGGAGCAACTCAAGTTCCATTCGAAGCCCAAGTACGTCTAGTGCCCAAAGCACCAAAGGCGGAACACTTGTGGACTATCTAAAACTGGGATATGGGACACATTGGTCACTCGGCGGAGGTACGCCCACGCCACGAGATGCCAGCACGCCAAATGGTACGGGACCAGGAACTTCTGCTCCTAGTGGGGAGGTAACTTCTGCAGGCAGAGATAGCCATACCGAGAGCGGCCCTGCCGATGATTCTACAGGCCATTATTTGGTTGGACTTATTGGTGATGTGGATGCTGATGACCCTGAAAATTCGGGCTCTGACAAGGTGGGAGCTGATACAACCAATCCAAGGATTTCGCTGCGAACGATAAATGCTGAGCTAGACCCAGTGCACTATACCGTATCAGATGAAAATGGAGGGACAAATAATGGCAACCCATCACGTCCAAATGCATCCAGCGAAGAAGCACTTGATACCCAAAACAGAGTCAGAAAAGACCTGCAAGTAGTTGTTTATGCCAACAAACCTTTCCTCTTCACCCTTTTCTTTGAAGTTGGGACCGCCTCGCTCGCCGATTCGAGCGTTTACCGATCTCTGCATTACCAGCTGGCGCCCTTGCAACGGCCACTGTTGACATCAACGCGCCGCAAGCTCCCTCGTCCAAAACTAAGCTCAATATCAGGAGGAGATGTGAAAACTCCAATTTATGACCTTATGTGGGACCCAAAGAAACTTACAATCTGCTCCACGATCCCGGATATTCCATCCCATTCACCCACGTCGAGCAATCTTCCTGTATGGTCTCGGCTCGAGTCACTGAATACCCACATGCAAATCCTCAATACGTTTGCATCAACGCGGAATGAAGGTTCTGAGATTGAGCAGACATGCAAGACTAGTCGCGGATACTGGGTTGTCTGGAGTAGAATTCCAGATCCAGAAGCAACACAGAAGCAAAGGAAGTCTGAGGGGTCTATCACTCCTGTTGAGGGTGATACAACTCCAGCGGCTTCACCATCGCCAGGCAGTGGACATAGCCCTGGTGGAGGATCAGATACAAATAAGACCCTGGCTCAAGCAAGCCATGTTCTCGACAAAGCCAGTGTAGCTGGAGACAAAGAGATATTCCTTGTCAGGAAGTCGAGTGACCCGACATCGACGAACGCATTTGCGAAAGAGAATGCGAATTCGCCAGCTAAATTAGCTCAAGGGATTGGAGTTGATACAAAGAGATATATCGAAGGGTTATTGGATATGTATAGGTGAATTTTATTTTAAATAGAAAAATTCACGAAATATTATTTGTCATATGATATGCGCTCTTGAAAATGAATAAGACATTTGGAATAAATATTACTAGGTATTATATAGTAATATAATAGAAGAATCCCTTTAATAATAGTAGCAAAGAAGCCCTCAAAATATTATATTGACCTAAACTGTATTTTTATACAGTTCTTCTACGCATCATTCATTGAAAGTTTGCGGGAGCCGTTTGTAAATCAGGGAAAGATGTGGCTGAGGGATAAACTGGGGTTAAAGTTACTTTCTCATGAACGGGACCTAGCTTATAGTACAGTGCAAATCTGCAGCCATCAAATCGCTCGCGTCGACCTATAATTACTCTACAAAAATCAGCCAGCCCAGATAAAACTCCTATCCTCAAAAGCCACCCCCAGATACGTCGCTGATTTTGAAATCTTTTCGAAGCCTAAGGAAACCTGGCATTCAGCCAACCCATGAACATAAGCCATCTTTGCCTTGTTCTGGGAAACTGCTGTTATGACCCCCCGCCAAATGATGGCAGGCAAGGCAACTCCATAGCAATCAAGACTCATCCATCTCATTCATCTCATCCTCCAGCTTAACTTTGCAACCCCCACAGACAATCATGCCGCACTCACAATCGTACGCCAAGTCGGTCTCCTTCTCACCCGCTTCAGAAAACCGCATATTGTCTCCTTCAACGACCTTCGCGCACTTCAAACAGAAAGCGCTGCACTCGCAACGGTACTTGCTTGTTTTTTCGTCTAGCATCGTATTTTGTGGACAGCCGTAGCAGAGTATGTGCTTGCCTACACACATCCAGGCCGGTTTGCCATACAAAGTTGTTGGCACGGAGCCTGGCTTGGTGGATAAACCGGTCGGGGGTGTTAGGTATTCAACGTTATAACCCAAGTTCCCCGTGTTGGTTGGCGGCAAGTGCGGTGATAGCACCTTCCAGCAGACCTGGCAGTCTAGGGAGCTGTCATTATGATTTTCAGGGCTCAGAATCCTTCCATTTGAAAGGAAGCCATTGAATTTGTAAATTGGCTTGAAGCTGTGATCGCAGCTCCAAGTATCGACGGTTGGATTGTATGGCTCAGCCCCGAGGTCTAATTCTGTGCCATCTAGAGCCATGTGAGCATCGATGTCTTCTGAATCCAAGTCATCTTCCGACATATCGTCGTCGTCGTCGTCAAAATCGTCGTCTTCGCATTGTCCGTCGCACTTCTTGATGGGCTCGAGGCAGGCGAAACAGAAGTGTGCCCCACAGCGGCATTCAATGTGAGCGCAGCCGAACATTCTCCTCACGCCAGCGCGGCATTTGGGACAGCGCTTGATCTTCCATTTATCCAGTTGAGCGGCGAGAAGTGGGTCGAGGTCGGTTTGGGGGCATGGAGCGTCGGGATGCTGGAGTAGACGACAACGTATGCAGATTGAGGCAGTGCATTTTGGGCACGTGGTGGTAGAAAGTGCGGTTGAGATGGGCGAGATAGAGGCTGTACATTTAACTTCGACATCCTTCTTGGTGAAATATTGCTCGTGGAAGAAAGACAGTGATGGAGTTTGGTCGCCTCCAAAGATGAGGTTCTCATTCTCCGATTGTGGAGTCAAATATTCCAACGAAGTTTGCTCTGTTTGATTTTGCCGAGATGCTTCCTTTATTAACCTGGGCGGAATGAACGTGGAGCATGTTGGAACGGGACAATAAAAGCGGTCTGGAGTTCGCCATTCTTCGAACTTTGCTTTGTAGAGATCGACCTATCACGAGTTAGTGAGGAGCTGCAAACAGACGAGCCAAAACGGCGTACCTGATCCTTGGACAATAACTGAGAAACATCTGAAAGAGGCACTGTACAACAGCAGCGTGGAGGCATCTTTGATTCATTTTTGCAAGCGTCGATGAACCAGTCTTTTAGACATGTGATGCAAATAACCTGCCCACAGAACCTCTCACAGCTGTATGAAAAGTTTGTCCCCACTGATCCCTGCCCTGAGAACTGGTCAAGGCAGATACTGCAGACTTTGGTTATAGTGGTAGTCTTCTTGCCCGCATTCATCATGGCCCTTAGATCTGTCTCTCTTTGATGATGTGGTATCTGATCAAGCCCTTGTCGCCGAGTATCAAGGTTGTGGAAGTGCTCAAATCTGTAAAAGGTTTCGGCTAGGTCTATAAGTTAGAAATCGAGTCAGGCGGATTGTAGGATCAACATGGACATGTTGGACTTACAACCTCTTGCTTCCCAAGGATCCTGATATTGTTGGTTGGCCTGAGGAAAGGATGTCCTGGGTGAGTGCTGGATTCCTGGTGTAAGTGGCTGGTTTGGCAAAAGAGAAATATTTTGTCCGAGGAAGTTAAAGCCTTCACCTGGACCCCGGATGTGTGTATCGGAAGTCTGACGCCCAAGTTGGGGACCGCTGTTCATTTCAAGTGGTGACCTCGCTACAAATGTCGACTGGCTTGAAGTATTCCAGAGTTCGTCGACCTCAAGCATTCGGCGGGGCTGCATATCGCCGTCAGACCGCTCGACAGAAGATGTACATCCCATATTAGGCGTACCGTACGATTCAATATGGGTTATACCTTAAGATTGTCATATCATGACAGTTTCCGTCTAAGAAAGGTTGTGGTTATAAGAGAAGTTGAGAAGAGTGTGAGAGTCTTAGATTGGCGCGCCGAAGATGATAGGTAGGTTCTTTCCACAACTTAGTTTCCTTGTAGTTATGTTGCCTTTGAAGGTTCGTAGAGGGAGTCAGAAAAAGAGAAGAAAGAGAGAAGACCGATAACTGGAAACTAAGACAGTTAATTGCCATATAGGGTACCTACAGGTATACGTTTGTTGTACGACGACAACACCCCGGATGACGTTTTGAGTGGTTGGTAAATAAGACCCGACAACCACCCAACAATTACCCAAGGGCGAAATAATTACCTCGGGCATAAATATCTAACGGCAAGTTTTGTCACTTTAGCGTTCCCAGGGATTTGTTCTAGAAATGTGAAATATGAGTAGGTGATGGATTGAGCTGGCTTCCTTGCATAACCGCCAAGTGTTCCATAGCAAACAATCTATCTATTTCTATATATAGTGCCTGTATGTGATCTTACTGGTCGCTCTGTTTGACATCATCCTTCCCTACCACGTTTTTCTTCCCAGGTTATTTGTCTTGCACACAATACAGACCTCATGGAAAATCGTAGGAGACAAACTACCTGTATGGACATCGTTTCCCATCACTAGTCCTCGTTTCCCATGGAGTCAGTGGCTATGAGGAACAGATTCGCCCACTCCAGGAGTTCCGAAACCATCTATTACAGAATGCAACGCCTTACTCAAAAATAAATTCGCATACCCAAGTTGATGAAAATGCCAAATGACGAAATGCTGAAGAGATCATCCCTCGGAAACACAAATCAAATTGCTGCCGATAAGACCATCCCTTACTCCTCGTACTTCGCAACGTGAGTCTCAATAGCCCTAGGAAACAAATTAGTAGGTATCCCAGTTAAACATTGTTGGAACACTAACCTTCCGCTGGGGTCGGTCTGCTTTGACCATGTTGGTGTCCAGCGCATGACAGTCTCAGCACAGGATGGGGGGAAGTGCTCGTCAAACATCATTCTGTACCAGTAACCCTCCTTGGAGTCTGGGATATCAGCGCCCCATTCTGGCTTGGGGTTCTTCATCATCTCATCGGTGACGTGTAGCTCCGCGTTATCCTTGAGGGCATCAATCCACCCGTAGCCAACACCATCAGAGAACTGCTCCTTTTGCCTGTAGAGGATCTTGTCTGGCAGGTATGGGTCCTCGGGGGTATCAAACGCCTTTCTGAGGATATACTTCTCAATGCGATCTCCGGTAATCATCTTCTCCTTAGGATCAATGTTCATCGAAACCTCGAGGAACTCCTTATCCAAAAATGGGACACGGGCCTCCAATCCCCAGGCAGAGGTAGACTTGTTGGCTCTCAGGCAATCCGACAGGTGGAGGTTCTTAACACGGCGAACAGTCTCGGCCTGGAAAGACTCCTTATCGGGAGCAGCGTGGAAGTAGAGGTATCCTCCGAAGATTTCGTCACTGCCCTCACCACTGAGGACCATCTTAACTCCCATTGCCTTGATCTTCCTTGCGAGCAAGAACATGGGCGTAGAGGCACGGATAGTGGTAACATCGTATGACTCGAGGTGGTAAATGACATCGGACAGAGCATTGAGACCATCCTCAATTGTGAAGGTCATATCGTGATGCTTTGTTCCCAAGAACTTTGCAACCTCCTTGGCCGCAATCGTATCTGGCGACCCTGGAAGACCGATAGAGAAGGAGTTGAGCTGGGGGAGGTATGTAAGAGTGTTAAGGTTGTTATCGTCGTCAATACCAACAAGGCCCTCTCCGTGGTCCTCATCGACATTCTCCTTTGGCGAGGCTTCAATGGCCTCCTGAACCTGCTTCTTCAGGCGCAGAGTCTCACGCTGGGCAATGGCTGCAACCAAACTGGAATCAAGGCCACCAGACAGCAGAACACCGTATGGCACCTCAGCCATGAGACGCTTGCGGACGGACTTCTCAAAAGTCTCGCGAAGGTGCTTGAGGTCCAATGCATCGGTAGGAACTCTCTTCTCGTCATACCAAGTTGGTTCGAAGTAGCGAGTCGTCTTGCCAGTCTTCGAGTCAAAGATGTGTCCAGGTGGGAATGAGATGATTTTGTCGCATACGGGGTGCAGGCATTTCAGCTCTGACGCAAAGTATACCGCTCCTGGTGTCTCGCTGGACCATCCCTGGTAAAAGCTGGTAATGCCGATGGGGTCGCGTGCAGCAATAATTCGGTCCTCCTTCTTGTCGAACAGAACAAAAGAGAACATGCCGTCGAGGTACTTCGGCGCATCGATACCATGTTCAAGATACTAGCAGGAATTTAGCTTGGTTTCGCCACAGAAAGGGTCCGGTTAACCAACCAAAGGAATGATAACTTCGCAATCGGAGTGCGTCTTGAAGTGGTATGGGGTCTTAAGGGTCTTGCGAACGACCCTGTGGTTGTAAATCTCTCCATTGACGGCCAGGGCAATGCTGTCGTCCTCGTTGGTAAGAGGCTGCGCTCCACTCTCTGTAGAATGTAAGCTTTCAGTGTTGGTGGAGTTCGAATTCGTGTTTCTTACCAACACCGACGATGCTTAGGCGCTCGTGAGCAAGAACTTGGAACAGTTAGCGATCTGCAAATATAATCCAACATCTCTTAGACTTACTGGTGTTTCCGCCAACGTAGTTTCCGCCTTGCATGTTATGTTAATTGTTGATCTGTTGCTATCGAATGTTGTGGTGACTCACTCCAATCTGGTCCACGGTGACGGATCCTGCGAAATGTTAACATGCCATTGCCTTCCAAAGAGTTTATAATAAATCACTTACTGCTTTGCCATCCGCAGCGCGGTAGGCTTGAATTTGGCAACATCAGGATGTCTGTTTGGGGAGTCAGTGGCCAACCAAAGGTAAAATCTGTCCGCAACTTCACAAAATGAGGGGTGGAAATTGCCCCGCCATTGTTTGTGTGACAAGGGAAAATGTATATTTTGAATGACTTACTGGTGGCAAGCGAAAATTCCACACATCTTTAAAGAATTGTCTCTTGTTTTCCGTGAGGTTATGAAGAGATAGAACCGAGGTAGGACACGAAGCAAGAATTTCAAGAATACCAAGGGTTAAAGATGGGGTATAGATAAGTCTATAAATTTTTAGGGACAGTCACACTCGCCAACGGGAGGCGGCCGACAATCGGCGGTTGGCTGTGCCGTTGTTCACGTGTGGGGGTAGTCGGAAGTAGTCGAGTTAGAGATCTGCGCGTCATTCGCTCAATGATTTTTCCGGTCTTGGCTCTTGTCAGCGGTAATATTCGAGTGCCAACTGGACGATCATCTTACCAGGTTACTCTACTCCATACAATAGCATTATAATACTCGAGTATGCTTGTCTATTAATATGATTTGATTATATTGCACTTCTTCATGAAAAACTTTAATATGATTTCTTATGGCGAATAGCTCCAAACCATCTCAGTCCGTCAACAAGTACAGTCACAGCATTGACAGAGAGAGAAACCAATATGTATGTCTGGCTCCAAGAGTCACAAAATGCGACGACAGTGAACCAATAAATTACCTATCAACTTGACTAGATAACACCCGGTTTCACTGACTATGCACCATATGCTATCTCCCAAACCGGCTGCAGCAACGAAGACGCCCCGTCACAAATCTGTCGAATGAGACAACCGTTTCCCGAGATGCCACGCATAACAATCGCTGGTGCTGCTCTTCATGCCAAACCACAAAGATAAGGACTCGTGAATCATCATGCTTGAAATGCTGCCATTTTCCTCTCCCACGACGATGCGACATTCTGCCCAGCGCCTAAACTAGCAATCCAGCCTTATTCGCAAATCCGTAAACGCCCATGGAATCCCTTCGGTAAACTGCCAGCCCTAACACCCAAACCCAATCTTTACATCGTGTCTTGAAGTTGTGAATCTACGGCGCAGGGTTCTCCCGAACAATCCTCTTGACCTTTGCCTCGTAAGCCGCCTTATCCTTCTTGAACAGGTTGTATGCATCCGCTTGAGCTGGCGACTCGGGGTTGGGATCGTCGAGGAGATCTTGGACGCCTAAGAGGATCTGCTTGATTGTGATGGCTGGCTTCCACCCTTCCTCTTCATTCAAGATCGACAGGCACACGGTCCCCGAGGGGTACACATTTGGGTGAAAGAGCGGAGGAGTGAATTTGCCTGGTCTTGTTAGCTCAGCACTTTCGCATGGGAAGTGCGCGTATCTTACACTTCGGTGGCTTCGTTGGGTATTCTGCGCAAAGGTCAGTATAGTTATTGATAAGAGGATATTCGAGAGAGCTCACCATCCGGGAATATAACGCTCATTTTGAATAGACCACCTTCCCACAGAGTCTTGTCTTTTCCAGGAATACCGCACTCCCAGTTCTTCAGGTCGAGTAAGCCTTGCGAATTGCGCTGGGGCTTTGCGTAGAAACCGAATGGATGGTCACGTCGCCACTGCTTTCTGAAGACAAATATTAGTTTTAATAGTGAATAGTATTGCTCTAAAGCACATACCTCTCCTCCTGGAGACGATTCTGACACAAAGCCATCTTGAAGGCTGAAGTTCACCTGAACAGAAGTTCCCGTTCTTAGGATTTCACCAAGCTTGCTTTGAAATGGGGCCTGCGCCTTGTAATCTGGTCGTGGAGGTCGCCAAAAGGGTATGGCCCTTCTGTAGTGCAGGTTGTTGCGTCAAGAGGTGTTAAATATGGCAGAGAAGTTGTGGCGAGAGTCTTGCGATTTGGAGATGTGAAGTGACAACGGGAAGTCGGCGGAAATTGGTCGCAGCCCCACGAAAGTTAAATCGGGTACGTGCAGCCTTGGTGTTAGCCCCGCGCATCAACAGCCGCGGCCTCTAATTTCAGATTCTAGAAACTACTTCATGTGTAGATCCCCATAAACTGTTTGCCTCTCATTATCTCATTTACAGTTCACATTAACGATCGCGCAGGCCAAGGCCAGCAACAATATCCTCTCCGACGAATTCATTCCTATCGAACCCCGCTCTCACGAGCCAGGCATCTAAATAAACCGACATTTCACAGGCCCGCTCTGAACATGGCGACAAAAGCGGGGGATATTGACGGCGACGTCAAGGCAACTCCAGATACCATGGAAACCGTAGTTAAAGACACGACTTTGGAAACCACGCAAGATGCAAAAGAAGTTACCCCGCCAAAGGCTGTTGAGCCCGAATCTTTTGAGGATGCGCCAGATCCAGAGGAAGACGACCTGGACGACCTAGACGGTACCTACTCTGCAAGGCAAAGGCGATTTGATTTCCTGTAACTAATATGTTTATTCTAGACATGCTCGATGAATTTTCCCCAACTAAGACCGAGTCCAAAGCTGCAACCACCGAGGCCCCCAAACTAGAGAAATCCACAGCCGAAGGCGCCTCCGATGAGATGGCCGATCTTAATGGCATGTCGGAGGAAGACTTTGCAAAGCATTTACAAGCCGACATGGCCAATCTTTTGGGTGGCATGAATTCGAACGTAAGGACCAGTATATTATCGACAATGGCTTTCGCTAACTAGTACCAGCCAGAACTCGCAGCCCAGTTCGAGGAGATGATGAGCAAGATTGCTGCAGAAGGTGGAGAAGGACTTGGTGACTTCGGGGCTGGCATCATCCCCGAAGCTGCTGGGGCTTCGCAACAGTCTGCGAAATCTGCAGCACCCTCAGCGGCGGAAGAATCTTTCCAAGACACTATTAAGAAGACTATGGAGAAAATCCAAGCCTCGGGGGAGCAGGCTACGGCGGCGGCTAAGGAAGATGATACCGATGACATCCTGGCCGAGTTGATGAAGCAGATGCAATCTAGCGGCCTCGACGGCGAGGGTGGCGAGGAGGACTTCTCAAAGATGCTACTTGGAATGATGGAGCAATTGACAAACAAGGATATCCTCTACGAACCCATGAAGGAACTGCACGACAAGTACCCTGCCTGGATGGAGAAGAACAAGGCAACCACTAGCAAGGAAGACCTCAAGCGTTTCGAAGAGCAGCAGAAGGTTGTTGCGGAAATAGTTAAGAAGTTCGAGGAGCCGACATACACAGACGCAAGCCCGACCGACAGGGAATATATTGTGGAAAGGATGCAGTCGGTAAGTGGAGGCAAGATTTCGGCTTTAACAACTTACTGACAAGCTATAGATGCAAGCCGCTGGCTCGCCCCCGGCGGATCTAGTAGGAGATATGGCTTCGGCACAGGAAGCATTTGGTGCACCACCAGACGAAGGGTGCCCTCAACAATGATATATATAAGAGAACCATTCAGTCACATAATAGTATAGCCTTGATTATCATCCTGTAGTAGTACTCGAAATTACAGAAACGCGAATATACTCCCCAGTGGATATCCTGTCGCGTCTGTCCCAAACCCAAATACATGCTATGCCCTGAACGCCAATTACAGATATGCTTCACTCTTCCGATGTATAAGCTGGACACACGTGCTGCTCTAGCTCATGTCCATCATATCCTGGTCTGCTTCTCGCCCACTTTGTACGGGAGTTGACGACAGGTTCCCACCTGATTCATCAAAGCCTATCTCCATGAACAACTGGTCGTACTCGTCATCATCGCTACCGTATGGTGTATTGTTGTCATCGTGCTGGTTCCTTTGATTCGGCGGTGGATCCCATGACTCGGCGTCAAGCATCGATAACATAGCCTCCATCTCGGCGTCTTCCTGCTGTGCAACCTCGTCCACCATTTCTTCATCTTGACTGGGATTGATTTTTCCAATCTCTGTCGATTGGGCCTCGTCTAAGTCTTCCTCCTCTTCAAGGCCTGCCCAGGCTTGAGCATCTCTCGCACGCCTTTCCTCTCGACGTTTCTGCTCCGCAATCCAGATAGTTCGCATAATCTACAATAACACCATTAGTATTCCAATTTGCCAAACAAATATCCTCCTAGAATATCCGTACCTCGTCATCGCCACCCCTCTTCTCCCATCTCTTATCCTCACTGTCCTGCCTCACGCGTCGTAGGAACAACTTCCGTCGTGTTTCCCGCCCATTGTCATTGTCGTTCCTGTGGATCAAGGGGTTTTTCTTTGTCTGTCTCGCAGAATATGCACTCTCGTTACTTCGCTCTGTCTGGTTCGTCTGCGGCGGCGTCAGGCTTGCCATGTCGAAGCTGAAGATGTCATCGCGATTGGGTGATGCGCGTAAAGGCGAGGATGAAAGCGGTGATGGTGTCACTGGCGCATAGTGTGACGATTGGAATGCGTGATGCGAAGAAGGAGGGAGTGTGGAGAACATTTTGGGTGTGATATGTTTTTGGTGATGGATGTGATGGGAAGGTTGATAACGCGGTCATGATTGTACCATACGTAGACGCGTTCCCGCGTAAAGTGTGGGGAACCACTAAACTGGTCACGTGATATTTGTTGCCAGCCACAAAACTGCCTGAAGCAAGTATTACTTGCTTTAACTTCCAGCCAAGTTCTGGACTCATACGTTGGCGATTTTAGACTCCAGATATAACTAGAAGAAGAGAAATAGAACCAGCTCGGAGTAAGAAGGATTGTTGAAGCATAATCCAGTGCTGTAAAAGCTGGTGTCGACTGGGGTTCAAAAATATTCATGAATGTGCAAGACATGGCTCTCCCAAGCTCACTGACGTATTACGGATGCTTCGGGGTTACTGAGTTCTGACAAGTTTTGGAAACAATTGCATTGAGTAGTCAGAGTTTGTTCGATTTCTTTTAGTCTGCCATTCCCACCACAGAGGAGTGAGGAAGCAAACCTTGAGACATTCCATCCGACTCCAATCAAGCCTCAGCACCAGTTCTTTCATCTTGTCCCAAGCCGTAGAATCTGGAGCACAGTCCAAAACAGGTCATTTACAAGTCGAAGTCGTGCCAGGAGTTATAGCTGCGCCCTATAAATTTCCATCGCTTTCGAATCGGCAGGCCGAAGTATTCACAGTGCATTCAGGAAAATCACTTGTGGAACTTGGAACCGATATGTCATGTAAGCGTTCTCATTCTATAGAGGCCGCCCGTCCAGCCAGATATTGCACCGTGGGACAAAAAACCGTGGCCATGCAAGGTAAGTACAGACAGAGACTCCCGGAAACCGCTTAGTCGAAAAGACCGAAGCCCATATCGTCGTCGGACTCCTCCTTCTCTGTAAATTCATTAGCTCAGTTCGTAAATGAGTGGTAACTTGGGATCTCGTACCCTCCTCCTTCTCCTCAACTGGGGCATCCTCAGATGCAGCAGCGGCACCACCAGCGGCAGCACCGCCGGCAGCGGGTGCGCCGCCGCCCGAACCGACGTTCAGGAGCAGGTCCTTAACATCCTTTCCCTCAAGGGCCTAATCGGTCATGTCAGTTCATATTGCTCCTCCTCATACGTATAGATTGTGGTGTGCGCACCTTGGCGAACAGAGAGGTCCAGATAGGCTCGACATCGGCAACCTTGGCGGCGGCGATCAGAGTTTGAAGCTTCTCGGCCTTTAGAATCTGTTAGTTGTTGTCCTTTTCCCATTTTGCGCTTCATTTCGCGTCCAAGCAGGGTCGGTGGGATCATACAGTGATATCGACACCATCATCGGCGAGGATCAAAGCGGCGTAGGAGGTTGCGAGCTCGGCGTTCGACATTGTGAAGATCTGCGACTGCTGTAATTAGAATATATCTCAAGAGATGAAACCGAATAAGTCGTGGCACTCACTGACAGAATGTTATTTTGTCGATGTACTGATGCGAGTGACAGGTTTATCTTTACTGCGCGTTTCGCTTCAAGATCTGAAATCTGTGCGGCGAATGCCCTAATCGCAGATCCACATCTACAGAGTGGTTATGATTGGCTACAAAGCCGAGCGCTTGGACCATTGTGCGCTTGGCCGATTTCGATATAGCGCGATATTTGACTATTCCCCGCTCACCCCCACCCCTCCAGTGATCAGGAAGTGTCACTCTGGACATGCTGCAACACTGAGTCGACATTAGCTCGACAATTAATCTGATTTACAAATCCCATCTTCACATACCGATACTACTCCTGCATCCCACGGCCATCCATGCACCATCACCATGGCCGACACTCCGGTAATGAACATACCGACGGACCCAAGGGAACAGCCGATTCTCGATGAATTAATGTTGATACGAGCTGATTTGGACCTATTGAAGAGGGACAGAACTACATATATCAAGTCTTCGACAGTTGTGCCTCTATATGATAAGATAGTGGAGCAAGTACAAAAACTGAATGCCGTCCGAGAAGACCGGCCTCATGAGCAGAACAGAGGTACTTGGCATTGCATTCCGTCATAAGTGCCCAAAGGCAGTACTGACTGTATTTCTTAGTTGACCGTGTACTCGATGGCTGTTTCCAACTATTATCCTTATTTTTTATGACTATTGGGAAGAACAACGAGGCGCCGGCAGCATACGCCTTGACATCCACCATCAAGAGGCTACTTGATCACCTCACAGAAACCAAACTCTACTCCGCAAAAGACCTCGACCATGTTTCGCAGACTCTGGAATCACTCGATAATATAATCCAGAATTCCGAGGGCGTCCATTCTGATCGCTTAGTTACTTTACTTGCAAACCGAACGTCACTCTGTCGAGAAGCATGTAGCAGCCTTCAAGAGAGGCTCAAGCGCCTTGATCCCGGTTTGGCTGAGATACACCAAAAATGTATTTCCATCCTTCGGTGCATCTCGCTCGCCAACACAAAATCTAAGTTCTCGAACTCGGAAGTAAAGAAGTTTAAGGAACAGTTGGAAGAGATTAAGGCACAACAGGTTGATGGACATTTCGTGATTACACCAAACGAGATCCCGGCAGGAGACGCTGAGGTCAATGAACTCCTCACGCGGATTTTAGAATGGGCGGACGTGGTTATGGAACACAAGGGCGTGATGCCCGAGAACTTCAAGCCAATCTACGACATTTTAGTCAATATCCGTAACGAACTGGAGAAGCTCTCTCTGACCCAAGCATGGTCATTGCGAGAAACCGATCTCTACGACTACCAACGCCAACTAGATCGGATTGACGAGGCACGGGTCAATGGAAATTTCCTTGATAGTGAAGGCAATCCAGCAGAATTATATGTGCAGCGAACATTACTGTACCTGATCCGCAGGAGCTATGGTTACATATATTACCTAATGGTGTCTTCGGAGCCGGTCTCAGAAGCTCTCCAACCTATATACAATCAACTGCAAACCCTTAGGCGATGTCTAGTTGAGGTTAAGGAAATGGGAGGTGTGAGCTCGCCCCGAGAGCTGTATCCCTACAGTATGAAGGTAAACCGACACACTTCGGCTTCTTATCGATCATCTGCTGACTGTATCTAGTTAAACTCCATCGATAACATGAAGGTTGATGGCAAGTTCACGATCAACGGAGATATCCCAGAGGGCCAAGCCAGCGTCAACGAACTTCTGGCTGAGTGCTTTGATATTGCGTATGAATTGCGGATTGCTGCAGAGTCTGAGGAAAGCGGATGAGATGTGACACCCTGGGGGTACGATTTTTTTTTTCTCTTGGTTTTAAAGGCTATTTAGATGGATAGGAATTGTATCAAATGGTCGGTGGAGGTTTTGGAAGCAAGCCTATATATGTATTGCCAAGCATACTCGATAGTTGCGACCCTGTAATTCTCAAATTCACATACTTTGTTCTTAAAATGCACGTGTAATTGGCTCTAGGCCCTCCTATTCGACGATAATTCCCTTGTACCCGTGTAATATTTGCAAATGCTGCCTTTTGAACGTTGCGACGCCTCTATAATTGTTTTTTCTTCCCATAAATGAGATTCGTTCATCGTTGTGCTGTAATGGTTCATGGGTTGGGGTGGTCCATGCAGGGTCAGCCTGAGGTTGGTTCCCTCAATAGCAACAACTAGCGAGTGCTAGCAACGGACGACTGTCGAGCTTGAATGACTTTACACTTCAACCTAACAAAAACCCTCCCACCAACACTGTTCGTCTTCCATCTACGACACTTCACAGTTCTTCTGTGTCTTACGCCTTCGGCCCCTACGTGTTACATAGTCGGGGTCTCTGGTATTTCCTCCAAGCTTCTGGAATAGTTACGATCGGTGCAGCGATCATGAACATTTTGCTGCAGCAACATCCGACTTTCTTTCCCCATCACCACAACTCCCCGAGACGATCTCCGTCAATATCACGTATGTATCTGTCCTCTTTGAATCTACCCCGACACTACATCAGTAGCTAACGACCGCCATCGACTTGTAGCCACCCACCTCTCTCCCAGAATGTCCGCCCGCAAGCGAAAAGCCGACGATGAACTAGATCCTCGATCTCTCGACGAAGACATGTCTGTCTCTCCTCTTACGTCTCCCGCTATATCATCCCGCCACATCGCTCGCCCATCGAAGAAGATCAGAAACAACGAAGTCATAGGCCGGCCGCTCGAACTGCCTCGCCTCCTCGAAACCCTCGATGCGGACTCGCTGAGGAACGTCCTGCAAACAATATGCGAACGCCACCCTGAAATCGGACAGGAGGTCGTTACATCAGCACCACGCCCATCTGTTGCATCTACTATTGGCGTCCTTGAGCAATACCAGGAGCGTTTACGGCAGGCCTTTCCGTTCGGTGGCAATACCGGAAGCGATTACGCATATAATCGCGTTCGAATCCAACTTACCCAACTGATTGACGCCATCAGCGATTTTGTCCCTCACTACCTTCCTCCACATGAAACACAAGTTACTACGTCTCTGGACTTTCTCGACAGCGTCACTAACATCGTTCACCAACTACCCGACTGGGAAAGCTCGAGCCACAACCACCACAAAGATAATGCATACGACGAGATCTCACGAGCCTGGGCACGGGTCATAAGCGAAGCAAGCAAGCGCGGAGGAGGAATCCAACTACACAACGGAGGGTGGGATCAGAAACTTCAGAAACACAATGCCATGAGTGGCGGGCAGATGCAGGCAGCTGTCAACGCACTGGGATCAAACTTATACTGTGGCGGAGCGAACGGATCCTCGAACTCGAACATGAACTCAAACAATGATCCCAATTCTATCCGAAACCAGCTCTTCTCAGGCACATATGGCACCAACCTTCCGGTGCGTGTGGGACCTTGGTAAACCAATAAACTGGCACGCGGCTCACATCTCACCAGAGACTAAGGTAGACACGGCACGAGGGGAATCCGGTTTATATACCTACAATATGGCGCGAAGGGAAATAGGGAGGAGCAACAAGGCTCTGTGCATGCGTTTTTGCGCCGGGACTTTGATTACGGGGTGGTGTTTTTATTAATTTGATGCTGAGGCATCTCACGACGTTAACGTTACGAATTCATTTGAGAGAGAGAGAGAGAGCAACCGAGTGGGGAATTTTTCTGCATTTTCAGGTACGGTGATTGATTTCCAGTACTTGGTCACGGGCGTTCAACTATCGTCGTCGGCGTTTTCGCGGTTGTGGGCTACGTTGTGGTAGGGCGCCGTTTGCTATTGGAGTAATCACATGCGCTGGGTTGGGGTCGGTTGGCGCTATGATTGATGGGAGGGCAAGGGATGCTATACGCTACGGGTGAAGGTTCCAGAGTTGGAGTTCGTCCCATATGGACGACTCGCTCATTATGGCGAGAATAGAAGACATATTACAGGAAGATGTGATAATGGTTTTCCTGCGATGCGATCCTCCCGTGTGATGAACCAGCCTATTACTATGTCAGAAAACCCATGACACCAATTGTCTCACCGCCTTTTGCCACCCACGATGACATATGATATGGGAAGCCATCTACGGATATAGACCACCTACCAATATAGATTTCATTGGTTTTAAAGAGCTATGGATATTTCGCCCTTCCGTAGTGGCTCTAGGGTTAAAGAATCGACAACATTGCATTATCGTGCGTCGTGCTGGGTCGTGTCACCTGCCGAGGTGGCAAGGCTGACGAGGCTGACGCGGTCGACAACAGGAGGGGTCGATATTGGTCGTGTGTATATTTGGGCAGTACAGTCAGATGGGCTGAAGAAGTGTTTTTGGCTGCTCAGGACAATGAGAATGATGATAGTATCTATACTCGTACTAGATAACAAAGAATAAATTAAGCAGAACTTCAAAGATTTCCTATTCCCACAGTGATAAACACCTCAAAAGTCCATACGTCGCACAACACATCGTCAACAACCTTAATCCCTGAATCCCACCGCCGCTTTGTCAGCCTCTCTCACCTCCCCCACCAAAACGCCAAGCCCCCTCCACCTCAACGCCGATAACCGTCGCCAGCTCACCCACCCTCTACCCATCCCACCAACTGTTCCCCCCCCGCAATGCCACCCGCGCGTCTCCCCCAACTAACTCTCAAGACGCTGCCCGCTCTCGCCGCAATCGCACCCCTCCGACCCTCGCTCCCGAAATCAAAAACGCACCAGCTGAGAGCTATGGCGTCCGCTGCGCCAGTGAAGTGTGATTGGCTGGTTATTGTGCCTGATCAGCCGGGGAAGCTGGAGGCGAGGATGGCGGTTAGGAGGTGAGTGATTTTGTTCTCGTGGGTTTTGGGGGGGATGGGAGGTTAATGTATATGGGGTGAAGTGATCATTTGAAGAATGTTATGCCGAAGGTTGAGGAGGGGCTTTGGAAGGTGGGGGGTAAGTTTAATTTGGTTTTGTCAATCATTGTCCCTCGTTTCCCCCCTTACTTGCTTTCTGGTAACAACAGAAATTGGAAAGCTGTGAACCAAATGCTTCCTGTTTTACCCCGATCGCGAGTTATAGCTCTATACTGATGAATTCGCAGGTGCTACTCTCGATGAGCCGCCAAAGGAGGGAGAGGCGTTGAAGATCAACGGCTCCTGTTTCATCGCTCATGCAACGACGAAAGAAGAGGTAATGGTGGAGCTCAAGAACGATGTCTACGCCAAGGGAGAGGTGTGGGATTTTGAAAAGGTATGTAGCACGTCAGGAAGCCAGGAGCTTGCTAACTCTATAGATTCAAATTATGCCATTCAAGGCAGCTTTCATCAAGCCATAGAACTGAGATCCGAGATGGATGGGTGGTGGATATGAAGGCCAAGGCGACAGGGGTGGAATTGTTGGTCCTATTAGACTTCAGGGCAGAAAATACCTTGGAAAAGCTTGAAACTACTTCATGTGTTATGGATCTCTGATAACTTTGATCATTTGTGATATTTCAGTGCCAGTTAAAGCTTTGTCTATTATTTCACCATATTCATCTTTAAATCGCCATGTTATATTGCAGAACAGTTGTAGTTTTAACTTTCAAATTTTGGAACAAATGATTCCACTTTATACCAACATCCTATAATCTACATATACGGAGCGTAGCGCTCCAAGAGCAAACAAAAACACATCTAATGCCCCCTTTTTTACTTCAAAATAAACCATCCCTCTAAGCAGACTTCTCCGCAGCAGCCTTAGCCAAAAGGTTCAACGCACTGCCAGCGATAACGAAGCTAGCCTGATCAGGGCTGAAAGTGTGCTTCGTCTCAATCACAAACTCCTTTCCACTGGGCTTGGTAACCTTCAGGCTCACCTCACCCTTACCTCCATTCTTCAACATCTCGTACAACCCCACGGTCTCAACCTCGTCACACGCATCAATGGCATCGTAGTCCGCCTCGTTCGCAAACGTCAACGGGACAACACCCTGCTTCTTCAGGTTGGTCTCGTGGATGCGCGCGAAGCTCTTGGAGAGGATGACACGGCCACCGAGGTAACGCGGTTGCAGAGCGGCGTGCTCGCGTGCGGAACCCTCGCCGTAGTTGCTCTCAGCAACAACGAGCCACTCAACGCCCTGGCTCCTCCACCTCTCAGCAAGCTCTGGGATACCGCTGGTGGAACCATCGACATCGTAAGCGACGTTGACCTCGCCGGTGGCCTTGTTGACGGCGGTGATGAGGGTGTTGGCGGAGATGTTGGGGAGATGGCCCTTGTATTTCAGCCACGGGCCGGCCGCGGAGATCGTGTCGGTGGTGCACTTGCCGGTGACCTTGTAGAGGACGCGGAGGCCCTTGAGGTTGCCCTCGGGGAAGGGTGCGAAGGGCTCGAGCAGGGCAAGGCGGTCGGACTTGGGGGATACGACGACGGGGGTCTCGGGGCTGGGGGCACCGGTTATGGGCTGGAAGTCGGGGTTTCCGGTCTCGAAGCCAGACTGGGGGAGCTCGGAGCCGGAGGGAGCGGAGAACTTGAATTCGGCGCCGGAGGGAGTGGTGATGGAGTCGGTGAGGGGGTTGAAGGATGTGGATCCGCCGTAAGCCATCGCGGTGACAATCTCAGGTGATGCGAGGAAGTTCATGGTATCTGGGTTTCCATCGTTGCGGCCGCGGAAATTGCGGTTGTAAGAGGTGAAAATGGCATTCTCCTCGCCCTTAGCCGGGAGAGGAACCTCCTCAGTTGCGGTACGCTTCCACTGTCCGATACAGGGTCCGCATGCATTGGCAAGAACGATACCTCCGGATTCCTCGAAGGTGGCGAGGGTGGAGTCACGCTCGAGAGTGGCGCGAATCTGCTCAGACCCTGGGGTGATGAAGAATGGAACGCTGGGAGTGAGACCAGCTGCGGCGGCCTGTTTGACGAGATCCTCAGCGCGGGTCATATCTTCGTATGAAGAGTTTGTGCACGACCCAATGAGGCCTGCCGAGACCTTCTTGGGCCAGCCATTGGCTTCGGAGGTGGCAGCGAATTGCGAAATAGGTGTCGAGAGATCAGGTGTGAAGGGACCATTCACATATGGCTCTAGCTCGGAAAGATTGATGGTAATAACTTGGTCGTAGTTAGCATTCTCATCAGGGGACAGCAGGTTGCGGGCTGATGGGAACGAGGCGATCATCCTTGCTTGACGGGCAATGGAAGCTCGGTGTGTCGACTCGAGATATGGTACCATTCGCTGGGAGAAGGGGAACAGGGAAGTTGTCGCTCCAACCTCGGCACCCATGTTGCAGATGGTAGCCATGCCTGTGCAGCTTAGCGTATCAACGCCGGGGCCGTGGTATTCGATGATGAATCCGGTTCCACCCCTGACAGTAAGTTTGCCAGCTAGGTGCATGATGACGTCCTTTGGCGATGCCCAGCCACTGAGTTGGCCTTCCAGGCGCACACCGAGAACCTTTGGTGCCTTCAACTCCCAAGGCGCATCAACAAGAGCATCCACGGCGTCGGCACCACCCACACCAATTGCGATTGCTCCAAGTCCACCACCGTTTGGTGTGTGACTATCGGTTCCGAGCATCATCAGGCCAGGGGCTGCATAGTTTTCCAACACAGTCTGGTGGATGATACCAGCTCCCGGTGGCCAGAACTCAATACCGTACTTCTTTGACGCCGACTCCAAAAAGTCGAAGACCTCCTTGTTGCCCTTGATGGACTCTGGCAGGTCAACATCCGCACCTCTCTGACCCACAATCATATGGTCGCAGTGAATACTAGCTGGCACGGCAGTGGAAGGCAGTTTGCACGTCATGAATTGAAGAAGTGCCATCTGAGCAGATGCATCCTGCATAGCGACTCTGTCAGGCTTCAACTTCAGGTTGGCATTGCCACGGATATTCAGGCCATTGTCGGTTCCTGTAAGAAGGGACTCCTCCGGGTTGTCGAGATGGGAGTACAGGATCTTTTCCGACAGTGTGAGGGCGCGCTCAGCTCCAAGCACACGGCGCACCTCTGCCAGTCTCTTAAGAAGCTTGGGGTATGGAGGTGTTCGCGACGAAACATCAGGTTCTTGGGGTGTCGCACTGTTGACAGAGGCAAAGCCGCGCGAGAATTGAGCACGGGACAATCGTGAAGGGCAGGACACCTGGGGATTGGTTAGGTTAAAAGTTCTACTGACAATTGCGAGTGAGATTTTTGACTTACCCGCAGGGCAGACCTGCTGCTCTGCAATAGCCGGCCAGACGTCATTGTGGTGATATGAATTCTGTGGAGGATTGTATGGCGAAGCAACAGATTGAACGCAACTGCGGTCTCGGCGTTACTCAGAACTTTTTCCGGGGCTGCAGGGGACGATCCTGACGCTGGTTTAAGCTTTTATGGTCAGGGCCTTTGTTGCGACGCTGATTGGTTGAATAAATGTTGCCTTATATCGTGCACGGACCAACTGAAATTGAGGTACGTGTAGTGGTGTACCTTCTGTTGAAGCTCGCACGAAATCAAATTCACCCACCGTCAGGGGGATTACATTCACAACGTGTAGTCACTGAACTTCCAAATCCAAGGTATGTTTGCCAGAGTTCATTTGTATCTGCTTCCGGTTGCTTTCCATGTAACTTCAGAACATACATTTACTCAGATCGGTCTTGGCAACGACGGTGTCGTTCTTGCCTTGTTCTCATATCCTGTGTTTACTTCTGGGCTTCACAACGTATCAAGGAAATAGCAAGTAGCCTCTACAACTCTTGTGGTTATGAGGTCTCATTGTGTTTCTTGTAGTCTGATGGAGTGGAATCACCTCAATTTTTTTTTTTTTTTCATCATCAATATTTTTGTTTTCTGTGTATTTTCCCTTTGCAAACGTAGAGGCAACGGTTGACGTGCAGGACCAGCAGATACCAACCACCTTCGACTTTGAAACTGGACACAGAACTCAGAGCCCGTACACCGTGTGGGAGGTGATAAGGTCTGGAAGTATTCCAGGAACCTCCGAGAAATCTCGACATCATGGAGAATGCACTTGAGCCACCGGGAGGCTCCCCATATGGCGATAACCCACCTCAGTTTCTCTTGGACGCAATGATGGTATGATTTAGTGACTCTCCAAGCTCACCACCTGGATAACTTTCATTTTGTTTGTCATACACATGCTAATATTCTCCCAATATAGGAAGAACTTGGCATTGGCAGAATAAATGATCTTTCCTTGGAAGACAACCCAAAGGATAGAAGAAATGTCAACATAGCTGTGGGAGCTTCCCTGGCGAAACCCCCCACTAAGGAGATCAAGAAGATTACCAGCAAATATGGGAATGAGATCAACATGTGGAAATGTGAGGTCATTTTTAGACTACACACCAAATCTAGCAACTGACGATCGAACAGCTTTCAAACCCGATGATGTGGATCAAGATGCTCTCTTATTGGATGACTTGGGAAGCGGCCAGTCACATCGTCTTCGTATGCAAGCAACTCTTGCTGGATCTTCAAACCGAGGGGGAGGCGATCCAAGAGGTGCTCGAGGTGGTCATAGTGGCGCTAGTCACACCAGTGGTAGTTCAAGAGGTGGTGGGGTTACTGGACAGAGGTAAGCCTTTCTTTGACAATATCACCTTTGATCTGCTAACTTTGAATACAGCAACAGAAGGAACAGAGCTCCCATTGAGGAAATTGCCAACCTACTCCGATTCTCGGATCCATTATCAGTTCTCCGTGGGGGAGGAGGTGGCGGACGAGGCGGCAATAATGGCCGTGCTGGTACAACTCACGGCCATTTTGTTCATGGTTTGCACAATAACCCACAAGTGAAGAACATTTCTTCTGGGCAAACGAGACAACAGACAACCACACCGCAAAAGACCACACAAAGAAGACCCCCACAACAGAGACCCGTACAACGCAATTCTTCTCCATTGTTGTCTTTGGCAACCCCAGAGTCCTTTTTCCCAAGTGCCAAAAGAGTTGAGAATACCCAACCTCAGCCAACTACCACACAACCAACCAAGAGACAGCCCGCTACCGGACAACTACCCCCTAAACCACCAACCACGAAACAACCAGCCAGTGGGCAAGCAACTGCCAGACAACCAGCCGTTAAGTCACCAGTCGTTAAACCACCCGCCACTAAACCACCAGTCACCAAGACACCAGCCACTGGACAACCAACCGCAGGACCAGTGGCTCCGATTTCGAAGCCCAACAAACCCCCTCACATTAATTCACCCGCCAAAGTGCCCAAGGACATTGCGCCTGATAATACCAGGACAATACCAAGCAAAGACAATGACGAGGACCTTATCTTCTGTGATCTTATCTCTTTAGATAATGACGGATGGGTGTCTACAGCCACATCCGCTGAAGTTATAGTGGAAGAGCCACCTTCAGCCTATATGCAAGACATGTGGACCTTGGAAGATAGTGCAAATGCGGTCTTCAACATAATGGTAGAAGTTACGATGAAAGGAATGGCCAAGGAGAGGGCAGTTCTCGTGGAAACTATTGCCAGTGGCGTGGTCCCAGATGGTCGGGGGATGGCATCATCTGTGTATGCTTCGGATGAGCCTGTAACCAAAGAATCAATCAAAACCTACTGGGAGACTCAGGGCCCCTCGTTCCGAAAAGGCCTTGAAAACGAATCTATTTGCCTGATTCTCGAAGGTGTCGCTGCCGAGATAGTCAGACGAGATGCGCCTACTTCAAGTGATTTAGGCCAGCAGGATGTATCGGGAAGCGTCTCCGAATACGATCAATCTAACTCCGACGAGGCTATCAATCAAACCGAGCAGGCTGGCACCCCCGGCAGTGTGACTGGTGAGCCCCAAGGTGTTTCAGAACCCGTTGAGAACATTTCTGGTAGTCCAGAGACTGCGGGAGACGTGAAGGAGCCTGAAATTACTTTTGTACAATACGATGCCTCCGAGCTATTGCAGCTCAGGAGCAGAGCTTTGACAGTGGATAAGAGCGCCTTCCCTGACGAGATCCGCCAGTTTGTTGTCAAGGATACCAATGATACCAATGTGTTGCTGCAGAAACCAAAGATTATAAAGGTGCTCGGAGGATTGGCGGACTCAAAATGGGCTAGTCCTTCTAAGACTAACGATGAGAATGTTGCTCCCAGCAAAACCAAGGCTGCCCCCATAAAAACTAATGCTGCTCCCCTCAAAACTAATACCACTCCCGTCAAAACCAATGTTGCTTCGAGCAAAGTCAATTTCGACCCCAGCAAAGCCAGTTTCGTCCCCAGCAATACCTCTCGGCCTTCTCCTACGGACAGCAGTGCATCTAACTTCTTTTCGGAGAAGCTCCTGCCTACCAAGGCTACGAACGGACTGGCAGATTCAAAATGGGCAGACGAGCCGAAGACCCCTGATACTTACACTCCACTAGATCTCGTTTCAGCCATTTTGAGCGTCACAGTGCCCGTCCGTCCCAAGCGTCCTGGCTTGAGTGATTCCATGTGGGCCGATAATCCTCCAAGCAAGGGATCACTGACTCGCCCTTCGATCAACAAAGAAGTTGTCGATAGGATGATTAACCCCCAACTGACCCATTCAAGCAGAGATCGTCGCAAGAAGTCAATCGAGATCATCACTGAGGCGACGAAGAGGAGGACTGCTGTACTTGAGAAACAAGCGGCTGAGAAGGAAGCTGCGTTTGCTAACTATCCCCACTACTAACTTTGACTCGTGGCGGGTTGAGGAGCTGACCTGTGAGACGGAGAATAAAGAGAAGGGCAGCAGCGATTAATATGTTCGGAGCAGTCAACACTTCCAGGGCTCAACAAGGTTGGCGAAACGGGCTGAGGCAGTGAGAAACCAAAGAGATGGGCTGGAGATGAAGACCTTAGATTATGACCCAATGAAGCTCATTCTCGCCGAGAACTAGCCCTCGTCGGCCCATGTTGAATGTGAATGTACTTATGATACAGTAATTCAGCCTTGAGTTATACTCTTATGAAACTCCAGCAAAATAGCCGTGGAAAGAGTGTCATTCCACTCAGGGGAATACAAGTCAAGACACACTGGAACCATTATCCCGCCTTGATAGCCTTAATTGACCAACAATAAATATCAAATTAAAGGGTATATCGCAAGCGCCTAGGAACCTTTATAACAAAACCTCTCTGTACCGTCAATCGCCATAACATCTTCAAGTTCCCCGTAAATCACCAAATTTAATATCGCCCACTCATATCGCCGCTTTCCCCAGATCTCTCCATGCCCCAGCTTGCGCCTCTGGATAACCCTGCTCTGTCCCGGTCCCGCCATCGCCATAACGCCATGTCCGTCGGGGTCCTTCATATTCTTCTCGCTGAGTGAGATGTAACTCGCCATCTACCACCGTCGGTACCATATCTTTTGCATCGAATTCGCCGAATATCTTGTGTAGTGGCAAATCATCACGGCCCAGCACCGCAGGATTGATCTTAAATGGTTGGTTTTGATGTTTGCTCCACGTCGAGTCTACATCGAGTCTGCTGAATACTTCGCCAAATTGTCTCTTTCTGCCTCCTCTCGCAGCGATCTTGGCTTGGATGGATATGTATGATGAATCTTCAGTACGCATGTCAAAGAGTGTTGTTGCTACAAACTCCTCGTCTGAACCGCGGTATTTTGAGAGTACATCATAGAAGCCTTGAGAGTTGGGCTCTGTGCCAAGAGGTTTTTTGGAGCGCCTAGCTTGCACCGAATTCGGGTTCAGGGTCGGTTCGATCGAATCGGGGCACACTCCGATAAAAGGAACGGACGATTGGAATTTCACAATCCCATTATCCGTAAAGTCTCTGTCATCTGAAAGAATCGCCGGGGCTTCTGGTGGCTGCCTTAAAGCAGTATTGGAAGGAGACGTTGACTCGAGAATGGATAAAGGCTTTGTAGGCTGGTCATCTCTGCTCTTGTACGTGTTCTCAGGACCTCGGTTCGTACTATCCGTAGATGCGATGTATTCTGGATGCTGGGAGGGTTCGGGGACAAGAGTGTCCCCGAATAGAAAAGGAGAGTCTTCTGGTAGAGGAGAGCAGTCCAGCATAGAAAGAGAGCTATCTGATAGAAGAGGGTCCTCTAACAGAGAAAGGTTGTCATCTGATAGAAGAAGAAAATCCTCTGGTATATGGGAGCCTTCCGAAACAGAAAGAGCGCCTTTTGACTCAAGAACCAAGCCTTCTGATACGGGAAGAACATCCCCTGGGAAAAATGAATTGTTGGCGCTATTGTGGGCTCCATTTTTCGGCTCCGGAGGGGCTATGCGGCCATCTGAAAAACTCGGCTTTGAATGCGGAATCTGTATATCTGGCAAGGTCGACTTAAAGGACGGGTTGGAAGATGGCGGGGTAGCTAACCCAGTAGCATTGATTCCAGTTGACCTGGCTGCCTCGGAATGGATAATGCTGCGCGATCTTGTCATCATGGGTTCCAGAGGCATAATTCCCGTTCTCCTGGCATCTTTATCTGTCGAAACGTTCAAACTTTCAGCTCCCATTAGTACTTCCGGCGCATTTCCCACATGGTCAGATGACATGTGCAACCCCTGGCGGCCTATAGGCCCTGCATCGGACTTCTGGCTCGCAAAACCTGACTCGGTATTTCCTTCAGTAATGCCTCCGACCTTTTGCGACTTGGGATTTCGCCAGTTTTCGATCTCATCTGCGGCACTGTGTGTATCGTAGGGTTTCCGCTTCTTGCCTCCGTCATTAGGCCCCGCCGTTGGCGTCAGCGGTGAAAAATTCCGACGTCTCATAGTATCATTGCCGCTACCACTCATAGAACTGACTTCGGATCGCGGCGTCCAGAGGCCGCTTTCGGACCTTTTCGGTTTCAACCTCCTCGCTTTCAACTTGGATGTTGCGTACTTCGCAGCTTGTTTGCAAGAGGTACACACTTCATTCGAACTGTCCTCCTGCAGGACGGGTTTATTGCAAGTACTGACAATGCACCTTCTTCCATATAATGGCTCGCCGCTAGGATTAGCCGATGAAACATTTCCGGTAGCCACCATTATATACTCTGTCCGAAAGCTTTAATGAAAAGGTCCTGATTGGGCCTACAAGGAAACTTCCGCCAGCCTGGTTGACTGTTGGCCGCTTAACTGGTGGCCACCTGACTAGCAGTACCTGGGGCAGGTTGCCCCTAGCCTATGTCTGGCGTCTGACGTAGGTTGCATGTGGCAACACAACAGCGTTTGGATACAAGGAACTGCCTAAGGAAGTTCTAGGTGAAACATTAGCAGTGATTCTCCTAGGTAGTGTTGGAAAATAATTGCAATGGGTGCTATTTCAGGTCTTTTCAGTTATTATAGTCAGCATTCTGCGAGTTCAGCGGCTTCGAGCCCTTTCAACACCAAGGTAGCGACCTCGGATCGTCGCAACAAACTTATGCTGGCCCAACGCCCGCCGACCAACGTTTGTTAACACCCACTTTACACCATGCCTTTGGCTCTAAATCACTTGTTTGCAGATAGAGAGCTCCTGAATACAGTCACTTTGATGTATCCTCCAACTTCACTATGAATCCACTAACTTCTGTGAAACATAGTCTTGCCTTTGTTGAAGGACGCGCCTAGACAGCACAGATACGATGTTGCGACGGATCTTCAGCCTTGCGCACATCCGATGTTGAAGGAAGCTGAAACCAGAAGAACTCCTTGCAGTCTGACCTTTTACCAGGTTGGTCATCACCAATAGCGGTTAATGGAAAGATGATTGACAGTATAAAACGCTACACATACCGTATGATCTTGTGGCTTATCGTTTCCGCTGTGCCAAGTCGCAGGACGAGTAAAGGGTGAAAATAACCATCAGCTTTGGTGATCGTAATGTTTGTAATCACATCGATGTTTAGTCCGCTAGTAACTGGCTATGGTCGACAAACACAGTGTATTCTGTCATGAGGCTGCCAGATCCAACTGCTAGGAAACGTTGGACCTTCTTGACAAATGGGTTGATGGTCGGTCGTTTGATGTTAGGGACAGTGATATTAGGTATCGCTATGCATGAAATAAAACAACTAAATCAGACGCTGTTATAACAAAAACAGAAAAAAATAAACAAAAAAAACGTGAGGCCCTTTGAACTCTCTGCACCAAAGAAGTTAGGAGGGTTGTCGTTACAAAGGGAAGCACAGCGCGTGATGGAGTGAAACATTATAATTAAGGTTGGCGCTAACTAAAATACTGCCATCACCATCCGCTGCTATTATGGGACTAGCTTGTTATACCAGTGGTCCGCGAGGGGGGGCTCAATGAGGCCGATTCCATGTGAAGAGGACACAGAGCACGGAATATTGTCGCGGGCAAACAACATACAGCAGCTAGAGTAGCCAATGGATTTCTTAAAATCTGCTGTCGCCTCGGCGATATCTGGGGGCCCTCCTTTTCCATATAGCTTTGGAGATCGTGTGGACGTGGACGACTCGATATGGACACTATATAACGGTACACGAAGAGTAAGTCAGCTCCAGGTCTTTGAGAGTTACATACTGACCACAATTTCAGGAGGATGGCTCGAACTGCAGCATCTTCTCTTTTGATGTGCCTGCAAACAAGTCCCGACTACCTCTGGCAAGAAATGCTGTCAAGAAGCTGCGCACACTTCGACACCCGGGTGTCATAAAAGTGCTTGACACAGTTGAGACCGACTCATACATATACGTTGCTACGGAACGCCTGGTACCATTGCGATGGCACATAAAGCGAAAGAGCATGAGCGAGGAGACTATAAAATGGGGACTCTTTAGTATAGCGCAAACCGTTAAGTTCATCAACGACGATGCCTCATCGATACATGGGAGCCTCAAAGCCGCATCCGTATATACCAGTGAAAGCGGAGAATGGAAGCTGGGTGGTTTTGAGGTGCTGAGCAGTCTAAAAGATGACGAAGCAGTAATATACAGATATGGAAGTCTTGTACCCGAGTCAGCCCGGTACATGCCTCCTGAGCTCGCCAAATCTGGCTGGGAAACCATTAAGAAGAATCCAGCTACGGCCCTCGACGCATACAACTTCGGTATATTATTATTTGAAACATTCAATGGGGATTTCCTTGGCTCCGACCAGGTCGGCCAAACGAAGGGCATTCCTTCCAACATGCAACCGGGCTACAAACGACTCATCAATGCAAACCCAAAGTCCAGATCTAGTGTCGCGCATTTCTTGGATCAAGGCCGACGGAATGGAGGATTCTTGGATACCCCTCTGATCAAACTGACTGAGGGAGTTGACAGCCTTGGAATGAAATCCGAGAATGAGAGAGAAGAGTTTTTGAGGTACTTATTCCTGGCTCTGCAATATCTGAGTCTCTCACTGACCCTCCACAGCGATTTAGACCAACTTTCGGATGATTTCCCGGAAGAATACTTCAAGATGAAAATCCTCCCCGAACTGTTAAAATCAGTGGAATTTGGTGGAGGTGGTCCGAAGGTCTTCAGCGTCGTCATGAAAATCGCCCAGAAGCTATCAGATGAGGATTTCGACGCCAAAGTAACTCCAGTTGTAGTGCGGCTTTTCCAGAGTCCCGATCGGGCTATTCGAGTCTGCCTTTTGGACAATCTACCCATTATGATCGACCGCCTACCACAAAAAATTGTTAACGACAAAATTTATCCGCAGATGGTATGACTTTATGAGAATTTGATTGACCATTGTACTAATCGAGATAGGTTACTGGTTTCACCGATGTCGCCCCCCTTATTCGCGAGCAAACCGTCAAAGCCGTTCTCACTATAATAACTAAGTTATCGGACCGTACAATCAACTCAGATCTCCTCAAGCAGCTCGCTCGTACCTCCAACGACGAGCAACCTGGCATCCGAACCAACACTACAATCTGTCTCGGGAAGATTGCCCGCTCCCTCGGAGTATCGACTCGTTCAAAAGTTCTCATCGCGGCCTTCACGCGATCGCTACGAGATCCATTCGTGCATGCCCGCAACGCTTCTTTGCAAGCACTGACGGCCACTGCCGACTGTTTCACCGATGAAGATATAGCAGGGAAGATTCTACCCGCTGTGTGCCCGCTATTACTAGATAAAGAGAAGCTGGTGCGGGACCAGGCGAACAAGAGCGTCGATACCTACCTCAGACAGGTCCGCAAAGCAGCGAGTCAGATGCCAGACACCGTCCTCCCACCACCAGCTCCAGACGCCGGCCGCACTAACTCGAACTCCACTACCCCACGCATGGGCACGCCCCAACCCAGCGAAGCCGCATCGTGGACCGGCTGGGCCATTTCCTCATTTACCAATAAGATCTCCACAGCAGCGGGCGACATCGAGCCCTCCTCCCCATCCGCCAACACCCTCGCCCTCCCCCCGTCAACACTAGAGACAAGGCCAGTAAGCGCCCCTGTTCGCGCCTCCGCCTCAGCATCCGCCCTCCACCGCCAAGCCATTACATCCCCTCCACCAACCTCAACCCGAACCTCCACATCCTCAGCCTCCGCCTCCAACGCCGCAGATTACTTCCAAGATGCGGGTGATGTTGGCGAGGACGACTTCGAGGCCTGGGGCGACATGGATGATGACGATACGGCGTTCAAGGACGCTGTAGATGAGCAACCCAAGGCTCCTGCCAAGCCCACAGTTTCAGCAAAGCCATTCGAAGATGATGGCGAGCCTGACTTCGCAGGCTGGCTAGCAGCGCAGGCGGGGAAGAAGACTGGTTCGAAGCCATTGCCGAAGGGGCTTGGGAAACCGGGGAGTGCAGGCGCGAGGCCGAATGCGTTGGGTGCCGGGTCGAGGAAGGTGAGCGCGGCGGCGCCGGCGAAGCCTATGGTGAAGAAGGTTATTGATACGAAGCCGAAGGAGGCGGGCGATGATGATGGATGGGGTGATGGGTGGTAGATATTGTCGGGGGTGAGTTTATATGGGCAGATAGCGCATGAAGGATGCATTGCTGGGCGTTTCTGGATACCATTTTGCTTGGACGATGCATATATGATGTATAGAAGGCGCCGAATTTGAATATTTCACGCTACCCCCTTTTTCTTTAGTGACATTAACGCCCCAATGTTCGTGAAGGTGTATCTATGTATCTACTCTATAAACCAAACGACAGCATGGGCGGGGGACCATATTACTATTGGCTTGGAAAATGTCACTGCTCGCATACCTGAGCTATTAATATAGCGGAGATGTTGTTTAATTCTAAGAAGTCTTCGATAAGCGATTTGCTGCAACGTGCTTGCTCGATCATATAACTTCAATGTAAAACCAAGCTGTATAAAGCAGCCACCCATCTACCCAGGAACCAGCCAACCAGGCTTCCATACCAACCGTGGGCATATAGCCTCAAACTCCAAGCGCCTCGCATCGACAGCGTTTACAACTGGACATCATTATTAAGCAACCTGACCTCCTCTCCAGGCTTGAAGGCTGGCATTCCAATGTACGGACAGCCGTCACATCGGAAGGCATCGCCGAGACTGCAGCTTCCACACGACCCAACCGTGCCTTGGACGGTGAAGTCAACCTCCGCTAGGTCCGACGAATCGAGCTTGAGAGCCTTGAGCTTATCGTCGGCAGAAGTGCGCTTCGCCTCGTCTTCGGCTGAAATCTTCTCTGCTAGGCCGCACGAGCAGTCCTTGCATGCGCGACGGCGCTTCCCGACTCTTGGGACACACTCCGGTGCTATGGGATGTTAGTCGTCTACGCTGGGAAGTAAAGGGGGGGGAGACATACGGATAACGATCATGCCGTTCAGGTCTTCCTCTGTGAGCAGGGTATCCTCGTCGATTAGATCGTCATCATCCTCATCCTCGCCTGTGATCTCCTCTCCAAAGTCGTCGCTGAAGTCCACGAACCCCACGCCATTTGGCTTGGCTTGGCTAGGAGTAATTTCCACACTCTTTCGCTTCAGAGTTACAATCGTCGCTGGAGGGCCTGCATCAGACACGGCGTCCTTCTTCTTGTTACGGCCGAAGCGTAGGGGCACTGCCTCGCTGGCACTGTAATCCGGCTTCATCATCCCCCCAGCGCTGTTGGCCACCAACCCAGCAAGGATAGCTTCGGTATATTCGCCACTGGTAGTGGTCTGTCCAAATGTGCCGTCCTGGGACTGTAGTTTTCCGCCCGCCTTGAGCGATTGCACGAGGCTGCTGTATACATCTCGGCTCAGCAACTTTCCGGACTCAATGCGCGTTCCGTCGACGTCGGTGAGGATAATGATCAGGTCGTATGTTGCGAGGGGCAGTCTAGCGAGTCCCGCGGAGATGCGGTCGAGCATTTGGAGGTCGGTGACGGAGCGGTCGTGGATGGCGAGAACGCCGTGGAGTTTTTCCTCATGGCTGGCAATGGAGGGAGGCGCGATGAGGAGCGTGCGGGTAGTAGAGTCGACTGCCTTCTTGGTGGGCTGTGGTTGAGGCGTGAAATCGAAGTCTGGGGTGTTATCGATGGTAACGAATGAAGGCGCCATCGAGACGGAGAGTGGCAACCGCCAAAAATCAGTCTCTGGATCCCTACTCCTTGTTCAAAAATGTGACAATTATAGATTTGCAGAGCTGAGTATGCCGAAATCACTAGTTGTTGGAGTAAAGAGGTGCAGAGTTGACGATGTGGGAGCTGTGGGTTTTTGGGTTCTCTGTTTCCCCTCCCAAATTTATTAATCGCGTTGCTCAGTCATCACCCCGCTATCGGGCTGGGCGGCGGCGATAAGCTGCAATGTCACGTGAAATGCCAAATTCTTATCAATGCGCTCACTCTGATACGATAAACAGTAAGCCTTGGCATTGAATGGGTCCTTCTCCAAGCCAAATTCTGATCCTTCAAATATCTTTATTTGTAATCTACTACAATACCTCCGGCGTCACAAAAGTACACCGCTAGTTTTTGGGAGCCACCTGAGTCCGAAACCTCTTCCCAACGAATTCTGTTATATCTAGTGGTGTCTCCAATGGCTGATCGACCTCGGCAGACCAGCTTTGCATCAACTCTAAGCAGCATAATGGCTCTCGCATAGCCTGGAGATACCAAAAGGTACCATTCTCATGTTGACTTCGCATCTGGTGAGAAAAGCCATGGTCTTTGCCCAATCTTGACTCTTCGTCCTGCAACACCTTTATGAAGCTTGGAAACTGGACTTTAAAGGCACGTCTCTCTTCGGACGACCAGTCCCAGGGGTCTGGATTCGGTAACAACCAAGGAGGAGGGGATGGTTGTTTGAAACTTCTTCCTACCACCTAATTTATGTTTTCTCATTTCACAAATACCTCTTGTAATATCCCCAATAAGCCATAATTGAGGCCGAAACCCCTCGAAAATACATGACAATACCACAGCCACCAACACCGCCGCCAACACGACTACAAACACCATCACAAACATAGCCGCCAATATGGCTACACGGATGAATCCAGCGTTCTGCTCAAACCCATAAATTTCCCGCTAGGCACCAGTTTAGTTATTCTGAACTAATTGAAAGTTGAACGTGTACTTCGAGCGAAGCGAAATGTTGGTATGACTATTAGCCTCATCCTTACCAACACACCTGACCTGGTAAGACTTCACTTCTACAAACCTACGCAGTTCACGGAACGGCAATATTAGCACTATCATGGCGGACCGCGATGTCAAACCCGATGAGTGTCTACTAACGCATATCTTTACTGATAATCAACCAAAGTCCATCTCTATCTTTCTTCAGGGGTGGGACAAATGTGTGTTTAAAGCAGAACTCCCGAATGACCCCCAGAACGATTACACTACATGTGTAGTCCGGTTGGAGAGCGAGGATGAGAAACCCAAAATTTCGCAATGATTGCCGCCATGCAACGCATCGCTGCGACTATAATTCCAGATCTCATCCCAAAGACCTATCAAATCGGCAAGGCAGTAAACGCGCAAGGGCGAATGTTCCACTTCTCAGTAGTTGAACTTGTGGAGGGTGATCTCTTGGAAGATGTCTGGCAGCTGATGAGCGCCGGTGAGCAAAACAGTGTTGTAGCTGACCTTGTTGAAGCGCTCGAAAAGCTACACTCTGTTCGGCTATGTGATAATATGGCCCAGGACGTTCTACGCAAGATGCTTCGTGAAGATGGCGAGGAGCTTCGGCCTTTTTTTGGAAACGCCTGGCGTCTTTGGTGGACCTCATACAGGAGTTTTAAACAGCGGGCATGGATTGCTATACTCTATCATGGAAAAGAGAAAGCTAAAGAAGTCATCATTCTGTACTATGGACCCCGTGAATTATTCACAAGATGTCAGGATCCAGTCTAGTTTTGAAGACATGAGGTCGATGGTCATTAACAATTCCGACATTAGCAAATGGGCAGGAGAATCCGTACTTTGCCACAACGATCTCACACCACGCAACCTAATACTTCAACCACGCCCCTCAGCAGATGGTAAATCCAATTACAAGTTGGCCGGTATCATAGACTGGGAGATGGCTGGATTCTACCCGCCCTCATATGAGCTAGGTCTGCAGGATACATAGTTTTGTGCCGATCGACATGTGTCATTCTACCTGCTACCAAAGGAGCACATGAAAAACATTGTACCACGATCTTCATCACAGATTGCGCTTGTGAAAGCAAATGCGCTCATCTACGAATCACAACAGCGAAAACTGTCAAATGGTACTAATATTTCATCTCACATTCGAAAGAGGGTCATAGAGAACTCAAAGCTAACTCGGGATAATGATCCCTATGTCGGCTGGACAAGAAGCTCACAGGATGGACTCCTTCCCGATTACTCTAGCGCTGCTTTCCAGAAATTAGAGGATGACCTGGTGGAGGAAATGCTTGCAAGGAGGAAATTAAAGGCCGAATTTAATTCAATGGCACGGTCACAGTAACCGCGCAATGATGGGTATGAAATTGTGTAACAAAAGAAGGGACAAGCAGTTTTCAGCAAAATAAAGCCCCCCATATGATAATGACCGAGTGGAAATATGTCTCTGTGAAATGTATAGTATAATACAGAAGCCTACTCAAAGACGCTAAGTGACGACATCACACCCCCACGAATAATGTATCTCCTCATGCCGCCGCAGCCTGGATAATAACGTCGCTCGCCTTTTCGCTCACGATATAGATTGGTAAGGAGATGTAAAACCCTGGGATCTTGGGGAAAACGCTAGCATCAACTACCCTCAGTCCCTCCACGCCCCTGACCTTGAAATTCGAGTCTAGCACCGCCATCGGGTCACCATCAGCTCCAATAGGACATGTGCAGCTAGCGTGATGTCCCCAGGCCTCGTCCTTAATGAATTCCTTCATATCCGCCTCCGTGGTGACATTTGGGCCCGGCCAGACCTCGTTGAAGCCGCCATCGAGGGGAATCAGGCCCTTGAAGATCTTACGCGAGAATTTCATCGCCTCGTAGACGGCCTGGAGATCCTTGTCAGCTGCGCCATTGGCGGTCACGCCCGTGTCAAAGTAGTTAAAGTTGATATTGGGCATGTCGCGCGGGTCGGTAGAACGGAGAGTGACGGCGCCGGCGTTGTTCCTGCTGTGCGCCTTGAGAACAATCCAAGCCCAGTGATGGGCATCGTGTAGGGAGTCACTCGAGTATCCAGGGAAGTAGCCCTTGAACTTGGCCGGTGCGCCAGATATAAGGAGGTCCGGTTCGCCCTCGGCCACAGAGGACTTCTGGACGATGGCGATGGCGATACCATTGGTGCCGTAGGTGCCTTTGGCGATTGGGCCGATGCCGTTAGTCCACCTTGTTAGGCACGGATCTGGCATAGTCTCCATGAAAGTACATTTTTTCGTGATGAAGAAATCAGTCGGGCTGTCGCCGATGATAGTGTTCTCGTAGCGATCTTGTAAGTTGGTGCCAACACCGGGAAGGTCGACGACGACGGGGATGTCGAAAGATTCGAGCTCAGCGGCTGGGCCGATACCACTGAGTTTGAGTAGTTGAGGGGTGTTGAAAGCTCCAGCTGCCAGAATAACCTCGCGTGTGGCATTCACGCTTCCAGAGCCAGTAACTGTAGCAGAACCAGATCGGGGATCGGCCCTGTAGAGGCTTTGACCATCGAGGAAATCAACTCCAACAGCTTTGGGGGTTGGTCCGTCATGCGAGAAGCGAACCTTGGTGACGAGAGTTGTGAGCTTGATATCGAGATGGTACTTCCGAGAACCGTCCTTGTTGACAGCATTGGCTGTATCTAGAACTAAGTTGCGAGGTCCATTTCGTTTTGAGTCAGCCATAGCGAGGGGTACTTGGTAGAGTCCGGCCTTGCTAGATTGTCCTGGGGCATTGATGTCGCGAAGCAAAACTTGACCAAGACCTCCAACAGTGTTGACCAAAAGTCCAAGTAGACCCTTACCCATTGCAGTGCCAGCGGCAATGATGAGCGAGAGGAGCTTTGGGTCTTCAATCACAAGCGACAGGTCTGTAAGAGCTGTCCCAAGCCATCCATCAAAGCCATGGCCAATGATGCTGCTGGGGAGGTAGCGGTTCCTCTCTAGCTTCATGAAATACTTTCTCATCTTGTCTGGGCTCCAGGAATTATCTCCTGTAATGGTCGCAATATTTGTCCAGTCACTGTCGTGTGGATAGATCGTGATCAAAGCATTGTGAGCCGAGCAACCACCAAGTGTTCCAGCTCTTGGGTACAGAATCCCCAGAGGGGTTGAGCCGCTTGGGGGGTTCAGTCCAACATACTGCTCGCCAGAAGTAGTTTGGTACACCATTTTAGAATCCTTCTGTTGTCGTGCCTCATCGGAATAATGGTTGACAAAATAATCCCATCGCATCGGTTCGTATTCCGTTGCCTGCAGCTGGAGAGCAGGAACTTGGTACTGTAACGCGCCGCCTTGGTCGTCTCCAGCATCTATCAGGAGAACTTTAAAGCCTGCAATGGCTAAGTTGGCAGCAACTGGACCGCCGCCGGGTCCCGATCCAACGACGACGTATTCATAATTTTCCAGCCATGTTGTGTTTGAATCTGCCTGGCGCTTAGAATGGCCTTCATGAGGGTGGTTATGGAGGGCACTGGGGCAGTTAGTTCCTGCTTCTTTTTTGAGTGTAACATTTTGAGGTATAACATACGCTGCGAGTACAGTGCTTGTAAAAGACAGAAACACGCTCAAAGGCAATAAGGAGAGCATCTTGCATAAAAAACAAAAGCTCTGATAAGAACAGCAAAATGAATGACTGCGCTCGATGCTTAAAAGCAAAACTGCGTACAACCACCAGCCTCTAGTATTATTTATTTGAGAGGCACAGCTTGGTCCATCCCAACTCCCGCAATGAATGACAGGTACTCTGCCACCAGCCTCGCGGCTGTGCCATTTTGGTCCCCGTAAGTACGAACCATGTCAGCGCGGCCTAGATGCCGCAGTCCAGGAAAGGTTTGCCCCCCACTTGGCTTGACCTGCGCCAAGTGATAGATCCATAAAGTACAGACGGCCAATAAATAACACGGGCCATAAACGGCAGTGGTCGTCATGATGAAAACTGGAGCACGGATGCTTTGTTCGAAATTGTCGCCCTCTGCATAGTCTTGTCATGCAGGAACAACAACCTGATTGAGTATGATCGCTGATAGGTGCAATTTGAGCACTGCCGGTTCCTTGGAAGTTTTCAAGATGCCGTGAGCCCTAAGCTTTCTCGAGGGTAACATCGGCTTTATTTGAAAGTTCCTACATATCTAGTGGATCAAACCGAACAGATGGTATATTATTATAGGAGGTCGTGGGCAGGCATGATCCACGAACTCCTATAACTCGAACCCCGAAGGATAATATAAATTTGTCTGAAATGCAAGCATACTCGTACTCCGTATGAACCGAACGAGGGTACAGGGAGCGAAATTTCAAGCTATGAAACAGTGGCGTCGTCCGGAAAGTTCGTAGTCGGTTATTTGAGCCATTATTGGCAGGGAAGTGGATATGTCGTGCGGGGAGAAGATGACTATGAGCGTGGCCCGCACCGAGCCCTTGCCACGCCGTGTGCGGCAGGGATAGAAATTGCGGGGATTCTGACAATGGCGGCAAGACTTACATAAGTGTCATTTTGACAGAAAGTCACTAACCCAACAAACCTTACGCCTCCGAGTAGTCTCCACGCCGTAAGATTGCACAATTATAATGAGAACAAGGAGAATAAAGAGGATAATGTCATTCCCCACTTATATTTTAATATGACAGAAAGACCCGATTAGTCTACAGCAACGGGCTAATTTTTTTGTGGCGGAGCTAATCTGCACTCCACTCTACACTGGGACAAGCCCCTTTGGCCACCCGCTCCCACTAGTAATATGTCCCACAATCAATCAATACATATGTCTTGCCAATATTTACATCAGAAATGATAAGCCCCGTATCCCTATCATACATACATAATCGAACAAGTTGAATGGCAATCGGTGGAGGGGTACCCCGTCCCTTTGCCCCTTAAACAGAATTCTTGTACCTTTCGTCCTCCTGACGATTGTCCACTGGTACGAGTCCGATCACCGACGAACTTCCCTCGTGCTTCGATAAATTGGCATAATCGGATCTGCTTTTGCTTTGTGGCGTCAATGTAGTTGATAGCCTTCCTGTGCTTGACTGGCCCTTCTGAGTTGTCCCGAAAATGCTGGGGAAGACATTGCGGAACAATGCTCGGATCGAAGGCATGCAGGCGCATATCACGCCAACTGGAACCTCAATCGTACTCCAATAACCTAGTTCCACATAGTCCTCTGTAGTTGCGTTAGCTGTGAAATATCATTTGCGGGAGTTAGAAAACCTACGTGTCAGATTTGTCGTATTGGCATATTTGGTGAAAGCTCGAATGCGCACGACACTGACGATGGTGACGCTACGAAACAGGATTAGCAAAATGTTTGGGGTGAGAGGTTGGGGAAGCATACAAGACTCCGACGCTAAACATCATCATGATCTGAATCTTCTTCTTCATCGACATGTCGAGTTTGTAGAGCGACGGCAACGGCAATATCAAAGTTAAAACATCGAGAATGATACTGAATGTGGCAGACATCCAGCCCTGTAGATTGACGTTGCGGCATTTCGCCGGATAGGTACCGTCCCACGCTCTCCATGCTCCCGGAATAGGCCAGCATTGGAAAATAGAGATTGCTTCAAATGCGAGGAGATAGGCCACGTTTGCAGCTATCAAGGCATAGGCAAAGTATAGGAAACTTTTCTCGCGAAAGATTCGGAGGTATAGAAAAATGATGGAGATCTTCGTGAGAGGTACAATTGCAACGTACATCAACTCGTCCCAGTAATATATCTATTTATTATCAGCGATATTTATTGAAGATTGTCCAACCTGGGTCTCACGTAAAGAATGGATGTAATGTCGTCAGGATGGACGTTCCACATGTCTCTGCCCAGGCCATGATTGGCAACTATTCGTATTAGTTGTCAGAGAATATATGCTATTACAACTCAGGTGTACTTACGAAGGACTGAAAAGGCACAAAAAGGAATAGTGATGGCCTAAATTCAGTCAATATGCGTAGCCCCAAATATATATCAGGGTAGCCCTACCATGGTCACCATGATAGTATAATCGTCTATGCCGAACTGCCCCCCAGCACGTAAAACCTTTGATAGGATCCGAAGACCAACTGTAATTAGAGCCAGGACGCCAAATGTGACTCCAACGATAGAAATGATCTTGGTTCTATCTTGTGGTACAACACCGCAGTAGTCATTGGAATACTTTTTGGTTGCGAGTTGGTCTCTGATTGAACAACTGGTGCCAACGCAAATGGTGATGTCTTTATTTAACTGAGCGTTGGTGCAGATGCACGTTTTGTCGGTGAGCGAGCACTCTGAGGCAATTATCAATTCGGTGATACATGTTAACTGTTCGTCCGAGTAAGTTTCTGAGCTTTTGATCGGAACTTGGTGTATATCTTACCCCACATGATGGCGGTGGTGTGCCTTTGGGCGGCAATTCCACACCAGCAGCCACCAGGTTCGCATTGTAGACTGACAAAAGAACAGTCACGGCTATGGTTAGAAACTTCATGGCCACAAAGTCCGGTGTTGAATTCAAACGCCAAAGAAAAGAAGAAAAGAATATAACATGGCAAACATATTTGCAAGGTAAGATGGTATATCTTGTAGGTGGGTGAGCAAGACATTCAATGGACGGACTTAGCCTATCCAGTGACAGGGAGTACGAGCAGGCAGCATGTCTCTGGCCTCGACGTCAAGGGTCCCAAGTGCCGAGCATGAGTGGCTGGGACCGTGTCAGTCTGCTCCTGTACTCTACTCCCCACAAGTTCTATAGTTTGCCCAGCCCTACTGTGTAATAATTCTGTTTCTCATACGGGGCCGTGCATTGTAGCTTCCCCAGTTGTAAGCGGCAAGGATATTCATGGCCGCCCCAATGGCACCACCTGTGCAGTATCTATTGACGGGTAAACGAATATTTACTCTACGGGCGGGTGAGATAGATTCTTCAAGGAGTCCAACGGAAGACATGCCCTAATTCAAAACACTGGCCGTCATTTTTGTGGATCGAAGTAAGCCGTTGTGCAGGACGTCCTGTATGTCCAAGGGGCTGCCCCGCTTAAGGTTGCATGGCGGATTTTGTTGGTGGGTGCCGGACCAGTTCCCGCCAGCTTGAGTAGATCGGCACTGCAGAGTCTGGGGACCGTAGCGCGGTCCCCAGTAAACCAATTTCCAGGGGGCAGGGCCGAATTCCACATGCCCAGCTTCCACTGCGCATGGGGCAATTACAACGACGAAAAACGTGCACGATGATCCGGACTTTTGGGCTAACTCAATCGATTCGTGGCCGGAATTACGTGCTGGCTGCGCCAAAAGGACAGGCGCCGTCGATGTGTTTTGATATCTTCTGTTTGCTCTGGGCATTCACTCTTGTCATTCTTTTTTGAGGTCGCGATTGAATTGTTTTTGTTTCAATATGAAAATCATAAGCTCCCTCGTTTCGCTTTCCGCTTTCAGCAGTGTCGCCTCTGCGTTTCCCTCCGTGGCCGGGGATTCATTGCTACCAGCCGATGTAATTACCAAGTTGGCTGAAGGCCTACGTGGCGTTGCCCAAGAAAGCCATGAAAAGCGATTTCTGGTTGACCCGTTGAGTACGCCAATTGACGGTGAGCAATACCCTTCTGTGGCCTGGCCAATATCTAACATATCAACAACAGTAACGGGAGACCATTCCTTCATCCCTCCTGACTTTTCAGCGGGTGACCAGCGTGGTCCTTGCCCAGGACTTAACGCCCTGGCGAATCATGGATATATCGGGCGCAATGGCGTCACAAATGTGGGTGTGGCTTTATCATATGCGACAGGTACTTTATCCTAACGAATTATGCAGGTGATAGAGGCAACTGCAGCAATCAATAAAGGTGAGTGCTGGCAATTGATTCCGGATTTATGCACCTACTGATACTAAAGCAGTGTTCGGGATGAGTGTTGAACTGGGTGGCCTTCTCGCCGTCATGGGGACGGTTTTTGTTGGCAACCCTCTCTCTTTGGATCCAGGATTCTCTATCGGAGGGGAATCGACTGCGGTGAGCAATCTCCTTGGCAATCTGCTTGGGTTGTTAGGTAAAGTTTCCTCTGGAGTTGCCATTACCCCTCGCACCACTAAGACGTTTTACAGGAAAGCCGCGGGGTCTGGTCGGCTCCCATAACATCATTGAGTCAGATTCGTCAAATACTCGCAACGACTTATATTTGACCGGTGATAATGCCAACCTAGAGCTTAACCAATTTTCAGAATGGTTTAACATGTCCAATGATGCTGTCGGCGACTTTAACATCGATGTCATGGCTGAGAGAGCAAATGTACGCTTCCAGCAGTCGAAAGCTACCAACCCGAACTTCTACTATGGTCCATTCACCGGCATGATCGCTCGCAATGCCGGATTTATTTTCCCCACGAGGATGTTTGCCAATTACTCCAAGGAGAATCTTTCGGGCTCGTTTAGTAAGATTGTCCGCTGGACTCGGAGGGATTGTTACTAACTTCATCTAGCCAAGGATATCATCAAGAGTTTCTTCGCCGTCGAGGGAGAACCAGGCAATTTTACTTACAACCAGGGCTGGGAAAGGATTCCAGAGAATTGGTATCGCATTCCCGTCGACTATACTCTCGTCCAGTTGAACCTTGATATTCTCTACTTTGTTGCAAAGCACCCCGAGCTTGGCAGGTGAGATTTGACCCCTCCAATTATATCGCTTTTTATTCAGCTCTAACAACGCTGCGTAGCATTGGTGGCAACACTGGAACTGTGGATAGTTTCACGGGCGTTGACATGGACGACCTGACTGGTGGACTCTTGAATGCTCAGACTCTTCTTGAGGGCAACAACCTTCTCTGCTTCGTCTTCGAGGTCCTCAAGACTCTCTCACCCAACTCCCTGTCAACCGTCTTTGATATCATCGAAGTCCCTCTCCAGATGCTCTTTGATACCGTTGGTGCTGCACTTCTCGACTTGACTTGCCCAGCTTTCAAGGATTTGACGGTTGGTGGCCAGGGCTTGGGGGACGCCATAGAGTCTATGTTCCCAGGAGCTGCAAAGGGCAGCATCTAAGAGGCTGCCAGCAAAGATACTCGGAGTTTGGTTTTTCCCAAAGATTGATATATTGTCACATAGATTTGTCTCGCCGTGGACATCTAATATTGACGCGCAACGCTTCTATATGACGAGATAGTTACTGTTACATAGTGGTTCACATGCCCTGAGGTTCACCTATTACGCCTGATGGCATCGGCAAAACTGTTACTGTAGTATTGTATAATATAAAATAAATAAACATATAGCCCGAACTCCTTCTAGTACAAAATTGACAGCCCCGGACAAAAGAAAGAACTAGTTCATACAGACTCCCAAATTTCGCCGACTACAGATGCTGCCTTGGTATGCTATCTCGGACGAAAAGGGATAGCTGCTGGTCTCCCAGCCCGGCGATCGACCCCCCGAGGCTGGACCTTGATTATTATAGGCCGAAGGTTGTCGTCTTCGTCTTCAGAATGGTGCTGAATCACTATTCGGGGCTGTGGCGCCATCTCCCGTCGCGGACGGGGTGCGGACTCTCCTCGAGGCTGGGGTGCCGCGTCTCTTTGCGGCCGGGGCTCCCATCGTGGTTGAGGCACGGCTTCTCCTCGAAGCTGGTGTGCAGGCTCTCTTTGCTGCCGGGGTGCTACCTCTCGTCGAGGTTGGGGCGCGGCCGCTCTTGGCTGGTGTCGCTCATTGGTGTTGAGAGGATAGTCTTTCAAAAGATTGCGACGAGCGTCAGATGCCGTCGCCCGAAACTTTGGGTCTTGCTCCAGGACGCAATATAGACTCTTACAAACGAGTTTGTAGTCTATCAATGACTGGATTCTAGAATGCCCGGGTTGCATGTCAGGCTACCGAGCACTGGAATCCGTCGTGTCTTCATAGTGGGCGTAGTTTTTAACATCGAAAGACATGTTTGAATCTCATGTTTATATAAGCCGAGAAGATGGCCTGTCGACTACTTTTTGCATCTTCAAATCTATCAACTCTCGCGATATTTAGCGGTCTTTTCAAAACATGCATTTCTTCAAGATTTTAATGCTTGTAGCTATCCATCTTGGGCTTGCGTCAGCTCAGAAGCATTTGGTTAGCATTACGCCCCTTGCACCCTTTGAATGGGAAGTCTAATATATAATAACCCTCTAGGGTGATTTATACAAGGATGAATCTTGTGGTGGCAAGGGAGCCAGATCCCTCGACGAAAATGCCTGCACTATTATGTCTGATATGAAGAGTAACCCCCCGCATCCAAACTCCATCTATCCAGTACCTTCACTAACGCAACCGACTACATATCTATTAATTTTGTGGGCAATAACCTGCTGTGCTATTGCTACGGGTATGTTTCTTCTTAGTACCAGCATCCGCCACTCACCTTATTTGCCGACCTCGCTATACAGCAATGAGGATTGCACCGATACTCTCGCCATTAGGCGTGAAGACGATATAGGTCAAGGATGTAATGACTTTGGAATAAACTGGGCGACAGTGCAACCCGAGTGGCCGTATAAGTCGCTCAAATGTTTTGGAAGCTAGCATAGGGACAGCAATGAGCATAGACAATAGGTCTGGTCCACATCATGTGGATGGAGTTATGGTGGTGGTACTAGAAAGTTGAAGACTACAAGCTGAGATTATAGAAGAGCTATAGGTAGAATCTCAAATAACACAGTGGCTGTTCACTTTATGGAGACGGACCAACAACAGCGTGAAGTGAACGATTCTTTGATGAAACAACCAGATCTTCTGGTGCACACCTTGGTTTTATAGGACAGACGTATGTGGTAGTTTCAGTTCAGTAGCAACGTTGCTGCTTGATCTCAGAGATATTTCTTAGAGCGTCTCGTTATAGTCGTGCAATGTCACACGAGGAATCGCTAGGCTTCTCTTTGCGTCGCTACTGTCTTTAAGGAAATGGTAGGAGCGCGACATGATTAGTTGCGCTGAAACAAATTACCGCCTCTTCTAAGATTCAGCTTCTCCGGATGCAGTAGTTACGCAGCCAAATCCAAACCAATTGTCAGTATTGTAGGTAAAACACGGTGGTATCTGGTGTCTACATAAGCTGAGACGATTTCCCATTGACATCTCTCTGCATCTCCAACTTGATCTATCAACTCTCTGCATTTTCAACTCGATCTATACGTCCCTCTCAAATATTTGACTGACTTTTCCAAACATGCATTTCTTCAAGACGTCAATGCTCCTGGCCATCCCTCTTGGGCTTCTGTCAGCTGCACCGGGTGATTAGATCGTTAGTATCTAGCCGCCCCTCAACCATTTTAATAAGAAAGCCAATACAAACTCTACCAGGGCTATCTGTATGATTATCTAAGATGCTTTGGAAGTAGCGCGACCATAATCGACTCAGGTTGCGTCACCTTTAAACCAACTACTCCCCAGTATGAACCCCTACATAAAACTACTATTGACAAATCCTACTATCCTGGCTTATCGTTGGATATATCCAGTTTACTACAGCTGTCTATTGCGAACATTTCGCGTATGTTTTATCTCTAGCTATCTGCATTTCTGCTTTTTCTAATACAATCCCCCTCTAGTCTTGGCTGTTGCCCGCCAACTGATGGCTATACATTGAAGAAAATTGAAGGGTGCTACGACGTTATACCCGAGTCAACTCCCCATTCGATTAGATGTCACAAGAGGGAAAACTAGGTTTATCTATGTACGCAGGCAGAAAGATGGTTAATGAAGAGGGGCTAAGTGCAGTGACAGCTATTACCATGGGGAGAAGGCAGCTAGGCTTACAGGGGAGTCATAGGGTCTAAAATGCCAGAATTTGCCAAGGCAAACGCCAAACGGGCCAACCAGCTCTTCTTTTTCATGTCTTAATTCAGTAGCACATGTCTACGCGTCAGTTTCACATCAGCAGCAAAGTTGCTAGTAGAATCGCAAAGACGTTACCAATAGCATCTCTCTTGCGGACCAACTCTAAAGCTGCTGATCTTTTGATACAACGTTGTTGGCTTCCGAAAACGTCAGAGTATAGATTCAGCTCCTCTACCACGTTTATATAACATATCGAGCAGAGATGGATATATAAGGTGGACTGGTGCCCCATCGACCCCTCTCCCATCTCCAAACTTTGCACCTCAAACTTCTTAGTATTGAACGGATTTTCCAGACACGATGCACTTCTCCAAGACTTTAATGGCTGTGGCTATCGTCCTTGGGCTTGCTTCGGCCGAGAAGAATCCGGTCAGTGCTGCGTCCCCCATACACTGTACATAAGAGGGCTAATATAGTTATCCATAGGCTTTTCTATACACCGAGGAAGATTGCACTTGGGTTTATAACTGAAGTTGCCCGCCGCGGTGTCTGTACCACAATTGATGGTGCGAAGTATGGACGCTCTTGTCCCAACACCAATATACATATTGATCCCTACTAATGCATCTAATCATAGATCTATTAGCCTCGATGGTGATGCGTTAACCTGCTTGGCTTACCCGTAAGTCTCTATCCCTCGACATTACTACCGGCCACGCAAACCCCATCCTCTAATCCTAGTATAGCGGCAATGATTGCAGCTTCAGCCATATTAGTATCACAGTGGCAGAAGGATGTACTTCCTTGACGACGGATGACTGGCAAACCGTTGGATCCATCTTATGCTCTTAACTGGGTGGGTCGGATTAGGGGTGGATGTCAACAGATGGTGGTTGTGAACGGGCAGAGGAAGGTCATGATGGTCGTTGGTTTGTTTTCAGGGCTCGGAAGCTGGCAGGTGAGGTTGTGGAGGAGTCGCAGTTAGTATCTAAAATGCTAGGATTTACCGCGGAAAAAGCTAGACGGGGCGCTCAACTCCTCTCCTGTATGTTATTTGTATTTGGTCTCACAAGACAGGCTTGCGTGCTGGTTTCAGTTCAGCACCGAAGCTTCCGCCAGATCGCTAAAGGTATTGCTGAAAACGTCTTTTTATTGAGTAATTGTGATACTATATACTATCGATCTTTTGTTAGGGCGTTGACTTAAAGCAAATTTGCAGTCAGTAAGTCTTATTTGTAAGCACATTCAGCTGAGATGAGTATATAAAGTAGACCCGTGCCCCATTGACACCCTCTTCTCCTTCATCAACTTCTTCACTTTTACAACTACTTCGCCTTTATCAACTTCTTTACTTTCATCATCTCCTTTGCCTTCATCTCCTTTGCCTTCATCAGCTTTAGTATTAAGCAAGCTTTCTACACTATGCATTTCCTTAAGATTTCAATGCTCTTGGCCATCCCCCTTGGGTTTGCGTCAGCTGCACCAGGTGATGATATAGTCAGTACTTCGCCTTACCAACCTTTTAAAATAAGAATGCTATTATAAGCGCTATTAGGGCTTTTTACATGATAGTGGCTCTTGTAACGGAAACAACATCATCGTAAAGGACTCAGATTGCATTCCTTTCCCAAACACGACACCTACTACCAAGTATGAGCCCTACACGAAACCACTCGTCGACAAACTACCACTAACCTACTTAACTCTAGTTCCATTAATTTCACTACAGATGTTTCTTGTACCTATTACCTGTAAGCCTCGCCTCACACTCAGCTGTCAATATATGGCTTTTGTTTGCTAAGACGCTCCTTATATAGTAATAGCGACAACTGCACGTCAGACCAAACTATCGACTGGCAGGGAGGGGTTGCATGCTACGATGTGCCCTACAACACGGATCCTCTTTCGCTCAAGTGCACCAAGCTCACAAACTAGCTCGGTGGTAGCCATTGTCAGTAGGAGAGGACAGATGAGACTATGGGGGATTCGTAGTTACTATCTCAAATAACAGAACTTGCAAGAGTTAAATTCTCAACGTGGCAGCAAGCTGCCCTCTCCTATATGTTATTTGGTCTCACAAGACAGGCTTGCGTGCCGGTTTCAGTTCAGCACCGAAGTTTCAGCAAGATCGCTACGGAATTACCTATACCGCTTCGCTGGGGTTCGCGAAATGTCTCACGAGAATTTGGTCTAGATGTCTATTCGTGATGTTTAATAAATAATAACTAGGAGTGCGGCGTGATTAGGTTTGATGAGGCCTGATTAGCGTAGGTTCTGATGTTCAGCCTGTCGAGATGCGATGCTATTGAGTGAGGTATGGTGGAACGTGGATTACTATAGCTGAGTGTAGAACCAATTGTTGGTATTGGATGTGAGACATTATTCTAGACGATATCTGTATGCTTCTCCTCAGACCCAGGTGAGGTTTATTGGTGCTTCGGAATCCATTGTGCAAATCACGAAGTAAGATAAAGGCAGGAAGGGTTCAACGATCCCGCTGTCGAATCGCAAACTGCCACAGTATTAAATCTCAATTCAGACGATAAGGAGCAAAAAGATAGCCAGGTAAATCGATATCGTCAGAGTGGACCTCTCCTTATTACCCAGCCGGGTATTAGTGAGTGATTAATATCAATTTCCCCCTCGACACGTTGAGGTTCATTAACTATAACCACATGGAGACGTGTCGTGGTTGGGCTTGACGTCATCGCTGTTTGATCTTATCGATCTTATCGCGATGGGGGAGAAGCTGAGCTATTTGTGCGACGACGACGGAAAGACATTGGGACGTGCTTCCAACGCTCATCAGCCATTGATCAGGCTCGTATTGCAATTAGTAGATTGATGCTCAAGAATACATACTGTATATGCATCCCATTATACTCAAATGACTCCATCCCAACTCCTACACTCCGTGCCAAAACACCTCAAGCTCCAGCCCACCACACAGTCCCCAAGCACGCACCACCCGCGCACTCCCCTCTCACCCAAGCACTGCTCACCCACGTATCCGGGCCAAAGGTATAGTAAGGTGGGGCGGGGGAAAACGGCCCTAGAGCAGACGCGGTACAGTATACAAGGGTGCGAGGGTCCTCTTGGTCCTTTAGCGTCCTCAGGCAACAAAACAAGCGGTCATCGTGATTCAATACTGTCGATGCTGCTGGAGTGAGAGGGTTCTGAGTCAAGGTGGCTAATCCGAATGTGGGAAGGCGTAGGGAGTAGAGCTGGCGATTGGGACCCACTCTGCACCAGCACCCACCCCTCAATTTATGTGGGTCGCTGAGGTCGAAAAGGCGGGGGAGGGTCGTGTGCTTTGGTGAGCTGGGGATGGGGGGGTTTGGGGGTTGAGGGTGTTTGTATGGGTGTTGTATGGTGATTGCGTGATGTTATAAGGGTGTTTGTATAGGTGTATATATAGGTGTCTATATGGGTGATTGTACTGAAACAGTATTGCAACTGTACTGCCAGTAAATAGAATCCCATCAATGCGAACAAACGGCATAGAATTGACTGTACCGTACTAAACAGCATAACATCATCGCCACCCCACCCAATACACACATACATTCCAATGCACCCTCCCTTTGTCCCTCTGCACACCTACCTACTGGTGCCTCTCCTCCTCCCCCAATAATAACCAATTGACTCACACAAAACCGTGCTCACATGACCTCCCTACCTCCGTCCTTGCACCCAGACCTAATAGGTCTCAGGTACTTGAACAGGTACAGGTTAAAGCTTTGTGGAGGTGTACGAGGGGGATTTTGGGTGGTTTGGTGCAGTTTGGTGCAGTTTGGTGGGGACATGTCATCACCTCGCTCTCTCACGCGATCACTGTGATCACGGCCCCGGTCTGTATGGAGTCTGTATCCTTCCATCGGCTGTAACCCGGGAGGAGGTACTGGGGACTTTAGCTCAACAACCAACGATAACCTCCAATAGAGCTTCAATCCGTTCCATGGTAACTTATAGTATATAGTATAAGTATATAACCGGCACTTCCTTCCCATTCGCAGTTGCTATCTCTATAACCTCTTTTCTTTGTACCAATACACACATACAAGTATCCCATACCCAGACATACACACAACATACTCAGACATACCTCCAAAGGCGTCTTCCGCTCAACCACCACCACCACCCCGGCTCGCCTCCACCTCCTATACACACGCAGCACCACCTCACCCCTCAACGTCAGCCTCCATAACTCATCCCCTCCTTCTTACCCTTCTACTGCTTCAATCAGAACAACTCCGACTAGAAACAATCAACATACATCAGACGAAGCGAATCCAATTGATTTTCCATCTCCACCCTGATACTATACTCACAATACACGAAACAGATCTCCCAACACCCTTCTCAATCAGTAAGTTGCACCACGTTTGTCCTGATGAGTGAGCTGGGTGACACAACGCCGAGGAGTTCCACCTCATCTTGATCCCCAAGCAGCTTCATCGACATCCAGAGAAGTCTCGAGGAGTGCAGAGCTGTGCTTGAAACGAGAGTGGAAACAGGTAGCTAACAACCTTATCAACAGTGACTCGATCCCACAAGCTCAACGACCGCGACCACGCGGGTCTCGCTGATGGCACTGCGAGTGCTGAGGAGCATCTACCACGCTACTTTGCCAAGGCAGGTCATGTTGATGCTGATCCGAAGAAGACGAAGAAGAATGGTGGTGGTAGAGGAAACTGGTAAGCTTATCCACATCCCTCTCTCTCTCTTGCCGTCCATCTCTCCCTCCTTTCAATCCCTCCCTGCCTCCCTCCCTTCCTCCCTCCAACCCAACCCACCTCCTTCGTCCTTCCCTCCAACTCCCCCTCCATCTTCAAAAACCCCACACTAACACACCACCCACCCACAGGGGCATCGACGGCGAAGAAATCCAAGACGAAGGCTTCAACATCACCAACGCCCGCCGCCGCTCCAACAGCTCCTCCTACGCCGCCGGCCTCAAAGATTTCAAGACCAAATTCGAGCAATTCGAACCCGACCCAGTGTTCGAGGAGGACATCCACGGCGCGCGCCCCGAGGACGATATGGAGGGTGCGAGTCGGGTTACGACGGCTGAGAGCTCGGAGAGTGGAGGGAGTGTTGCGGATGAGGAGGGGGGAAAGAAGGGGATTTAGATGAAGAGGTGGGCTGCTAGTCCTCACGCACATGTGGGAATGGGGTTCTCGCGTGTGTTTTTTCTGCTGGTCGGACTGGATGAATGGATATGTCTGCTGGTGGACGGGGGGCACGGCTTATAGCCTGGTTTTGAGTGATGGACAGAGAGGAAGCGGATGGATGAAGAGGAATTGTAACACTAGAACTACGTTGATGATAGCTCTCAAAGCAAGATGCATTGCTCAGTAACCCGCCTGCCTCCCATCTCGCCATGAATCCGCGTGCTGCACTCCCACTTTCAACGGGGCTGGAAGGGGAATGACAGCTCGGTGTAACGATATGAAAATAACTCAACTCTCCTGTACCCTCTCACCCTCTCGTCATCTCCCGTCCACAACGGCCTGGTGCAATTGTGTTCCAAATAACCCCGCCTTCTCGAACTCGACCGCCTGGGCGTACAGAGGCACAAACACCGGCTTACCCCGCATCCAATACAGCTTTGTCGTTGCACCACCACTGCTGTCTACTGGTGATACTGTAGTCGTACCGTATTATGCCATACAATCCAATCCAATCCAATCCAATCCAATCCAATACAATCACCTCCCCACACCCACAGACCGACGTCCGTCGAGAACCGCCGCCTCCTCGGTCGGCTTAGGCTATGCCATTCGGGGATTGCGGAAGTGGGGCAAGGCTGACGAGCCGCGGTGTTCTCATATCCCCCCGCGTTTCCCCCCACTATATATGTTCCCCTATCTATATTTTAACAACAGCACAACACACAACTTCACATATACCGCATATACCGCATAATTTACGCAGTTTGAAGGAATTGAAAAAGAGAGGATAGGAAAGATGCCATATGAACTTAAGGGTCGTAACGTCCTCGTGACGGGGGGTTCGCGGTATGTTTTGTCATCTTTTTATCTCTCAGCTCGGGCCGGTGGTCGGCTGCGATTGTGACCTTGCGGGGTATCCAGCACCAGCACCTCCCTCTCAACACCACGATTTGGACTCACAACCCCAAACTGGACGTGGACTAATTACTACGCATGAACAAAAGTAGCTAACACCCCCCAAGCGGCCTAGGCGCACTCATCTGCGACAAATTCGCCAAAGAAGGCGCGAACCTAGTCATCAACTACGTGTCCAGCGCCGCGGCCGCTGAGGAGATCGCGAAGACGATTGAGAAGGAGTATGGAGTCAAGGCTTTTGTGGTGCAGGGGGATATGGGGCTCGAAGCCGATTGCGTGAGGGTTGTTGAGGAGTCGATTGCGAAGTTGGGGGGGTTGGATGTGATTATTTCGAATGCCGTTTGTCCTCCCATTCCCCCCCCCCCTTTTCCCCCTATCAACCGGGATCAAAACTGTAAGATTGTTTGCTGACCGTTGACATGGGATCCCACAGGGCTGGACGCGCTTCTCCTCCATCCACGACCTCCACGCCACCACCGCCGCCGACTGGGACACCTGCTACGCCGTCAACGTTAAAGCGCAGAACTACCTCCTTCGCACCGCCTTGCCAACTTTCAACGCGAACCCCGAGGGCGGATCGTTCATCATGACCTCGTCGATTGCGGGGATGGCGGTGTCGGGGAGCAGCTTGCCGTATTGTGTGACGAAGGCGGCGCAGTTGCAGTTGATGAGGGTGTTTGCGGCGAGTCAGGGGCCGAAGGTTAGGTGTAATGCGGTTTGTCCCGGGTTGCTTTTGACGGAGTGGGTGAGTAATGTGTTTTCTTTTTGCTTGGGTGGGGGCTGTTTGAAGGGGGGGAAGGTGGAGGAAGGGGTGGGGTGGAAAAGGGGGGAAGGATGTTATGATGCTAATATGTGAATGCAGGGCCAGAAATACCCTGAGGCGACAATCAAGTTCATGGAGGAGAGGGCGTACTTGAAGAAAGTGGTGAGTTATCCAAGATCAAGTCAGGAAGAAGCTGTGTTGATGAGTGGATAGACGGACCTTGAAGACTGCGCGCAGTCATTCATAGATACTGCACGGAACTCGTCCATGACGGGCCAGAAGATCGTTGTTGGTGAGTTTTCCCTTCCATTTCTGTGTCTGGGATGGGTGAAATGGGGACTTGAGCTGATGATGGTGGTAGATTCCGGGTTGTCGCAGTTATAAGGTGGGCGATGAGCTGGAAGGAGTGGACAGAGAGAGGAGATGATGAGAGGTGGATCGTTTTGGACGAAGGTAAAATACTAGACGTTTACAGAAAATGGAGACTTTCCAGCTCGAGTACGGCTCCATTCTCAAGAATGACGTGAAGGATGTGATTTCCAAAAATACCAATATAGAAAGAGTATATAAAACCCGTTTCCCTCCAATTCATCCCAGACCAACTTCATTACGATGGACTCCAATACTATACGGGAGCGGAGGTTCTTCGGCAGAACTTAGGGCGCGTGTTTACCCAGCACGTAGCAAACCGTTCGAGCCAAACCACAGAGTTGCCTAACACAATTTCGCCGCCGTAATTCCTGTTGTTGCCGTTGTTTCTCGTTAGCGCTTTACTGCTGCCGAGCTATTCTCGCCGTCGGCCGCCTGTTCTCACCGACCGCAGTTTCCACTACCATACAAGTATACGAGCCGTAAGATGCCAACTTGGAACCAAAGAGGAGTGCGGTCGTTGACCATGAAACGTAAAAGGAAGCATATGCCTGATGCCACCATCCGATCAGTCTGGATTGAGGAATTTATCCCTGTACAGATGGGGGTTTCTAATACATATATAGTTGGTGATGTAAAAATCCAATCATCGCCCTGATCTTCCGAGTCTGAAATCTGCTTGGCCGCTCGACTTAGTATATATTCAAAAATATGCGATCATTATAGAGCTGAAACATTTAAAAATTGTTTATTAACACACTTCACAATACTAGTCCTTGCGACTTACGATACCACATCGAAGAAAAGCTTAATATAATAATACACCTCTCGCATTCGTATTATAAGTGTGAATCAAAGAATGAATACACCAAAATACAGTGCAGAAAGAAACCCAGCCTGTTTATCTATCGGCCAGACACTATCAAATTCGTCCAAATACTCTGGTTGATAATGCCCCAATTGGGAATACCCCTGTTGGAAATACCCCAATCGAGAACACCCGCGTTGATGTGGGGTCTTTCGCGCCGATGAACCCCGACAACACCGAAGCGGATCTGCAGTAGTACGATTGGGAGCACCAGGTCGCGGAAATGTTCCACGACGCGTCAAGCAAGCTTGCGAAAGGGGAGGTGGGATGTGGGGATGGCACTCTTCCGACCCCACACATGCCATTCCTTCGGCAGATATTGCTCGACTCCATCACCTGCGCTCCACCTCAACAATAATCCCAGCTGCACGCGAGATAACATATGCCACATGCTTCCCCTCATTTCAGCATCGCTGGAGCTTCTGACATAAATCCTGACCAGTTTTCAGTCTTATCGCTGACATTACTATCAATATGGCCACATTTGTCGACGAAAAGGCCTCACCGGAGCCTGCCGCCACAAGTGATAACGATGGCCTGGAAGAGAACGCCACCGGAATTATCGAGGCTCCTGTCGCAAAAACAGCCGCAGACAAAGCACTCATTTTCAAGCAGGATTTGCGCATTGTACCTCTATCTGCGGGGATTTACCTGCTCTGCTACCTTGACAGATCAAATATTGGTAAAACATCCTCACTACCATCTTCTGATCATGTGCTGACTTCTGAAAGGCAATGCCAAAACATTGAATTCCAACGTCCACCATGATCTTCTTTCCGACACAGGAATGACTTCGTATCAGTTCACGTGAGTAGTTTAACCCTCCTCGATTTGATGACTTGTCTCTAACAAGGCGAAAGAATCGCACTAATGGTCTTCCTTGTCGCCTATGCCGTTTTCGAAGTCCCATCCAACTACTTCTTGAAAAAGTTCAGCCCGAGCAAATGGATTGCCTTTCTCATGTTCTCCTGGGGAGTCATGACCGTTGGTCTCGGTGGAGCCCAATCATACGCCTCCGTCACTGCAGTGCGGTTCCTACTCGGCGTTTTCGAAGCAGGTCTCTTCCCTGGATTAGTGTACTATCTGACCTTCTGGTATCGAACTGAAGAAAGATCGATGAGAGTTGCCATTATCCTAGCATCTGCAACCTTGGCTGGAGCCTTCGGTGGTGCATTGGCATATGGTATCGGCCACATGGATCAGGCTGGTGGTCTCTCCGCCTGGAGGTGGCTGTTTATCATCGAGGGCATCCCGAGTGTTTTGTCCTCCGTAGCCGTCTTCTTCTTCCTGCCCGACTATCCCGAGACCGCTACATGGCTCACGGTCGAGGAACGTGCTCTTGCCGTTGAGCGCCTCCGTGTTGAAGGATCCCACAGTCACGGTGAGAGCTTGACTTGGGCTCAAGCTAAGTCTACATTGACCGACTGGCGCCTGTATGCTCATTTCGCGGTAAGAATTCTAATTCGCATCCTCTCGAATCGCTCTGACTGGAAGTAGATCTACTTCGGCATTTCTGTCCCATTCTCGTCACTATCTCTGTTTACGCCAAGTATTACCGCTGGACTGGGTTATGCCAACCTTGAGGCCCAGCTGATGACTGTGTCGCCATACGCTGTTGCTTGTAAGTCTCTTCTGCATTTGGCAATCCACCCAAGAAACAGTAACTGACGGTTGATTCAGATGTCGTGACGATTTTCGTCTCATGGTCTGCCGACCATTACAACGCCCGCGGCCTCCACACCGCTGGCGCTGCCCTCGTCGGCGCATGCGCTTTCATGGCTAGCGCTCTCCTCCCCGCCACTGCCTACCAAGTACGTGCCTGCCCAATTATAATAATACCCCCATTCCAACCACCTAACCTCCAAACCAGAAACGGTACGGCTGCCTCATCGTCGCCTGTTCGGGAGCATTTGCCACCATCCCGCCCCTGCTTGGCTGGCTCTCCTCGAACGTACAAAGCACAGCCGCGACCGGTCTCGCCATCGCTCTCAACATCTCGTTTGGTGCTCCGGGTCAGATCACGGGGGTTTGGATCTATACTGCGGATGAGGCGAAAAGGGGGTATCCAACTGGTCACTGGGTTAATGCTGGGATGTTGTTCTTTGTTGCGGTGGGATCTGTGGCTCTTGGGCTTTACTATAGGATGCTGAATCGCAGGATTTTGAAGAGGGGGGCTGTTGGTGGGCAGACTGTTGAGAAGTTGTATAGGTATTAGAATCAGAATTTGACTGATTCGACAGATAGATAGCTCTCCATCCTTTTTGGGCGGATAGCTCTAACGATGTTAATGACTCCTACAAGAATATGGATCAGTGAAAGGAACTTTCTGCACAACCACAACTTTCCCATTGACAAACCCCGTCACTACGCACAGTCATTTGTGGATATCGCACAGAACTCGTCGAAGACGGGGCAGAAGATTGTTGTTGGGGTATATTTGAGGCTATCGCAAATATAGGTTGCACTGGGATTGGGCGGGGAGGAAGTTGTTGCTGACAGGAGGAAAGTGAGATAAGAAGAGGGGACTTTACCCGAAAGGGAATACCAGAAGTTTATTGAGAATGAACATCTCCCAGCTGCCGCTCCTCACACTCGTATTGGAATCGTGGAATGACGGATGCGTCGCCCAGACACAAATATATAAGTCTAACTACCCTCTGACTTGTCTCACAAGGCCACTGGATATCAAATCCTGCTTGAGATACCCGCAACTGTAGTTCAAGCCGTTATCAGCGGCAATCATCCGGACATTGCTCAGCACCCCGATGTTCGAGCTTTCCAAGAATACCAGGTAGCAATCCAGAGATTCGTGATCCGGACGTGGAAATTCCTTTCGTTGTTGTTGCTTCTTGTCGGTGCTTCATTTGCTGCCAGGCTATTCTCACTGTCAGCTACTTACTATTACCACCAGCTGCTCCCACCACCTTTCAAGCCAACTGCGAGCCAAAGGCGAGTGTCACCGTTGATCACGCAGCGTAAATGAAAGCATGTATCTGTTGCCATCATCCAGGCAGTTTGAGCCGAGGAATACCGGCACAGATGGGGCGTTGCCAAAGAGTTTGAGTTCTAAGATATAAAGAGTCTCTAAAAATCCAGTCCGCGCACTCTTCTTCCGAGTCCAAAGCTTCCTTTGCCGTGATATCATATTTTTTGTTTGAGAAATTTTTAATCAAACACTTCACTATACAAGTCCTTGCAACCTATCATATCACATCGAAGAAAAGTCAAATAAGTTTATCTCATTCGTATCGCAATCATGAAGTAGAGGATGTGATCGCCAAAATGCAAGTACAGAAAGAGAATATAACTCCCGTCTCCCTTCCATATCGTACACAGTCAAAATCAAATCCCCATACTCCAACTCTGCGGCAAAATCGCTAGCATCATAAAACCCCATCCAACCTTCCCACTTCCTCGATATCCCCAGCCTAGAATTTAGAAACACGGGTTCTGAGTTCGTTCGCACCATTCACCATCCCGTCTGTCTTCTACCACCTCCCAAAAACCATAGTAACAAAACCAACATGCTGAAGTTATTCAAGAAATACAGGACGAAGTGTCGATGCCAAGTAAAAAAGCAGACTGACGGGCACTACTGGCCACAACCAAAGTCGATGTAGGAGCAAGCAAGCCGGGATATCACGATCTCGGAGAGGGAAATCGTGATGGGATTAAGAGTGCGACACACCACATAACCCTCGATGGCGTATTGGCTAGGAAAGACATGCTCTTCTCGGAAGTCGGCTTCAGCGTTAAACCATATGAGCGCATGAGCAACCACCGGAACCATACAGCGAGCACCTGTGTGATGAACTTGGCCGAGGCTTGCGCGCTCAAAACGATTGTTGCCGTTGATTGCCGTTGATTCTCGTTGTCATAGCTCTTATTATATTATCGTTGCTTCTTGTTCTCACCACTTTCTTCTCTTTGCCGTTACTTATTCCCGCTATCACCCCCTCCCGTCGCCACTACAGTCTTTGGCAATACCTGTACCCTCTCCCCCATTCTGTTGTGCACGCACATTTCGAAGCTCACCTCCTCATCCCACCCCCACCCTCTCTCTTTCACATATGAATTTTCTTGAAGGGACACTGCGCTGGCACTCACTCCCACCTCCTCGGCAAGGCTTATCAACTGCCCCACACGTCGGATACTCTCTTTGTCTGCAAATGGACCCTCGAATACCAGCTCATGTAGGTTGGGAATGCATTCCTTGTGACGAAGTAGTATTTCGAACGCCCTCTCCATCCCATCTTGCGCACCGAGGAACATATAACCTGCATGGGTAACGTATAGACTCTTCAGATTCGGAGGGAATGCCACCCGTAGAATATTTAACATCTGGTCCTCCTCTAGAGACCCAGGCTCAATATAATCTATAAGGACCGTACGTCCGAAGAGGAAGACAGGAGCCACACGCAAGTGAGTGAGGGCAGTAAAGCCGACGAAAGAGAGTGGCTCGGCGCGGTCGCCGCTGTCGGCCTCCGGATAAAAGTAGAATGGATGTTCATCCTCGTGATCAATGGCAAGGCGACGGAGGGAGGTGGCGTGGATTGCAAATGCAGAGAGGATATCGCGCGTGCGAACAGTAGTTCTAGCATAAGGGTTTCCAATGTGGTATATAAGTGTTTGTAGGGACTTCAGAGGTCTAAGTATGACATGGAGGTCATCATCGTGTAGTTTCGAGTGGCGGAGCTCCAACGTCTCGATTGTAGTGGCGCCAGTGAGCGTACGTAGCTGAGCTCGGTCATCCTCAACTCCAAGTCGGTTCCCGTAGAGCCTCTTAATCGATGGTAGTCTACAACATGCTGTGAAAAGAACATATTGCGCTGGATAAATATCATCACTCCCGGTCAACATAATGTCCGTAAGACGGGCGAAAGGCGGGTCGGTGATAAATGGCGCCTGTGAGGAGGCAACCCTGTTGAAGGTGCGTGCAAGGAAGTTGAGCTGAAAGGTGGTGATTTCCAAGTCGAGCAGACGTAGGTTTGGTAAAGATATCAGTAGTAGTGACAAGATAGCATCGTCGACAGGTGCGTATTGAGATAGAACGGCTTCATTCCATTCTTCCTCTTCATCTTGTGAATGGGAAATTCTCTTAATAAGTCCCCTGAGGAGATCACTGCGCTCTACATGGTTGGGCCACGGCAGCCGTCTGTCGTCTTCCTCCTCGTTGTTAGGAGCAAACGTAAGATTCTCTTCATCGTGAAAATGCCCACGGAATGTGAACGTTCTGACAAGAGACGCAATGTGCGGCTTTTGCAGAATAATAAACGCGAAGGGAAGCATATGCCTGATGCCACCGTCCGGGCAGTCTGAGTCCAGGAATATATGACGGTAAAGATGGGATGTCGCTAACGAGTTGTATTTCTTAGAAACTAGCGCAAGCTGGAACAGAGCTGAACGGGGCTCTATGGAGCTGACGATATTGTCTAGTAGCTCAACGCTCAGAGATTCCAGGGATGGAGCCATCTTAGACAGAGAATAGAGAGTCTTGGCTATGGTTGATAGCTGGGTTTGTATCGATCGGTTTGTGCTGATAGGTTGTAGGTTTAGTAGCGTATTCTGCTACTTAAATTTTGAGGATAGGATTGTAAATAGTAGCTAATTAGAGGTTCAGAGCATACTCTGCCGCTTGAGAGTTGGAACGGGGAGTGAATTATTACCCATTAGCGGCTCAGAGCAGCCTATAAATCCTATTGGTTCCCGAGCTGTCCACAGCAACTATAAATAGCTCAGAAACTATTAGAGTCATTCAATTCCTTAGTTACTAGGGATTTTAGGTAGTGGAATAGGATTTATAAGCTTTAACTACAGGTAGGAAGCCTTTGCCGGGTATAGTCGATTTGGGGGATTTTAGCACAACCGCCAGTAACGAAGAATTAATACCAGCATTTAAGATTACAGAAATTATAATTTTGCTATTATTTTCAATAACCATGGCAATACAACCCCGAGTAATAAAGATAGTTTATTTTTCTTATAGTTATTGTAAGTAGTGCTATCATGAACAATCTCCTCGGATTTTTTGAGCGGGAGGAGTACTGGTGGGGTCGCTCTGCCAAGAGTCCCCTGGGCCTTCCTTCCCGCGTTTGTGGTCCGTGCCCAGGCCGCCTTATGTGGCTGAGGGGCTGGTTTTGGAGGCACTGTGGCTTTAATACCAGACGACCCAAGCGTGCGTCGTATGCTGTCCTTTCTAGACATTTTTTGATTGCCATCCTCCGACGACAACGAAACAACAATTTCCCGAGAATAATATTGGGAACACAACTTCGCACACCGATGATATCTCGCTGCCAGAAGAGACATTAGTCGCGTTATCGACAGAAACGACATTGGAAGCTGCGATACCTGCCGCTGGGCGCAAGGATGCGTCTCTCCTCGATGCCGCTTGGGGGGCTAAGGGGCACAGGTCTATCGATATGCGCGATTCTATCAATGCTGTCGCTGCCCTCAACAGCAGTGGCAGAAAAGTCAGCTGGGGATTACTTTGTTCATTCGTTGCCTGGGGCGCCAGAGGGCCCCTTGTTGAAGATGCACGCTGGGTATGTCTCCCAAGGTGTCTGCCTACTTCGTTGCTAATTGTTCGCCTTGCAGCTTTGTTGAAGTCGACCCCGAACACAATGGCAATCTATTCTTTTGGCATTACCAAAACCGACACATTGCGAATAGGCAACGGACGGTGATCTGGCTCAATGGTGGCCCCGGGTGCAGTTCTGAGGACGGTGCTTTGATGGAAATTGGCCCTTACAGACTGAAGGACGATAAGACCCTCGAATACAATGAAGGATCTTGGGATGAGTTTGCAAATATTATGTTTGTCGATAACCCAGTGGGCACAGGGTTCAGTTACGCCGATACGGACAGTTACGTCCAGAGCTTGCAGGAAATGGCAGATCAGTTTATTATCTTTCTGGAGAAGTGGTACAAGCTGTTTCCAGAGTATGAGCACGACGATGTAAGTTGATGACACTTTGCATGACTATTCAATGGGGGTTGGAGGCTAATAACAATAGCTATATATCGCTGGCGAGTCATACGCCGGTCAGCACATCCCATACATTGCCAAAGCTATCATGGACCGCAACAAGAAGTCTCCGGTTCACAAATGGATCCTCAAAGGATTGCTCATCGGAAATGGCTGGATCTCGCCCATCGACCAATACCCGGCATACTTGTCCTATGCATACAAATCCGGCCTCATAACCGGAGGCACTGAGATTGCCAAACAAGTCGAGGCTCAGCAGAAAACCTGTATTGAGGCCCTCGACAAGAATGACGGCGCAAACCGCATCGACACAATGCAATGCGAGAGGATACTGCAGGAGATCCTGAGGTTAACCCAGGTCAAAGGCGCGAACGGCGAGATGGAATGCGTGAACATGTACGACATTCGCCTGAAAGACTCCTACCCAAGCTGTGGCATGAACTGGCCTCCGGACCTCAAGTACGTGGAGCCATACCTTGCTCGGCCAGACGTCCTCCAAGCGCTCAATATGGGCGAGATCCAGCAACCCGCCTGGACCGAATGCAACAGCGTTGTCGGCGGTGCCATCCGCCTCAAGGAATCCAAGCCATCCTACCAGATTCTACCAGAAATCCTCACCGAGGTCCCAATCGTCCTCTTCTCCGGCGAACAGGACTTGATCTGCAACCACATTGGTACTGAGGACCTCATCAACAACATGGAATGGAACGGCGGCAAGGGCTTCGAAGTCTCCCCCGGCACGTGGGCTCCGCGTCGCTCCTGGACCTTTGAGGGCGAAACCGCGGGCTTCTACCAGGAGGCGCGCAACCTCACTTACGTCTTGTTCCACAACAGCAGCCACATGGTCCCCTTCGACTACGCACGCCGCACACGCGACATGCTCGACCGTTTCATGAAGGTCGACATTGCGAACATCGGCGGCAAACCCACCGATAGCCGCATCGACGGCGAGAAAGGCCTCGAGACGAGCGTTGGCGCACACCCGAACAGCACGCTCGCGCAGGAGACTGAGAAGGAGAAGCTCAACGCAGCGAAGTGGAGCGCGTACTACAAGTCTGGCGAGGTGGCGCTGGTGGTCGTCGTGATTATGGCCGCGGCGTGGGGATGGTATATCTGGCGCGACAGGAGGAAGCGGGCTGGGTATACGGGGTTGTTTGGCGGGTCGATGGAGGGGAGCTCGGAGAGGTTGAGGGGCGCGATGGGGTTGGAAAATTCGAGGCATAAGAGGGCGGATGTGGAGACGGGGAGTTTTGAGGATGAGGAATTGGAGGAGCTGCATTTGAGACCGCCGGGGGAGAGGCATGCGACGGTTGAGGAGAGCTTTGATATGGGGAGTGATAGTGAGGATGATGATGAGAGGGTCAATGGGAATGGTATGGATAAAGGGAAGGGGGTAGAGAAATGATGAAGGGCGAGTATTCATACGGATGTCAGAGCCGCATGTCCGAGCTACGAGTATTTTTTTTATCTGTTATATATCATGGCGGCGCGGAATGTACCACTACTTAGCATAGACCTTTCTTTAATGTGATATGATGAAATCCAGCGAAGAACATACACAGAAAAGTGGCCGGTAGAAAATATCTGGGGAGGAATTCGCCTCTCGCTACAAGACCAAAAACCCCCAAAAGGAGAACTGCAGCCAAATGTAGGTGCTGCTGAGTAGATCGTCCGACCGTTCAAACCGAAAATCCAGGCATTCACACGTGTTTCTACACGTCCCTACACACTACGTTTCCTCGTTCGATCTGTTCTCGCAGGAAACGTGGATATGTTCAATCAGGTCGGCTGGCGGTAGGAGGAAGGACGATAGTGAGGTGAAGCGACGGCGAAAAGATAACAACAACGAGAAGCAACGATAACAGCAGGAACTACGACAGTGAAACATCCAGGGCAAAATACTTAGTTCAGCTTGAGCATAGTGTCTGCGCGGTCGTCGTGGTCAACGGCTCCCACAACGCGATGTACATTCGGATATTTTCCAAAAGGTGACTGATGGACTCCTCCGTCAGCTTTCCTGTTTTTTTTTTATCTACGTATGGAAGAGAAGTCCACCCTTGGCGTCGGGTTTGCAGGTGAACTTCCTGGTGGCGGTGTTGGTAGTATACTATTTTGAAATTGGCATTTGGTCATCACGCCCTTCACGATGTGCACACAATAAGGGTGTGTGAGAGAAATAGTAGCTGTGGAAATGCTTAGAGGACGCATGTATATATGTCTATCAGGCCGACCCTCTTCACATGTGTTGTGCTTTCGATATCCAAGACAGCAGTTCAGTCTTCAGTACAAGTGAGCTCCCAAAGCTATCCAATGCATAGGTTACGGGGCCATAAATATACCAAGGCTACTTTAGTCCATGGGTCTCTGCTGCCTCTCAACATACCCTCTCCGTTGGCTTCGGCATTCGTAACTGACCCTTCTATATCCAATTGGGCCAACCTGGCCAATAAAAGCAGGCACGTGCCTATGATATCTAACTTGGAAATAGCATCATAGAGTTATATATCTCAAAAGAGATCTCCAAAGCCCTTTTCAGAATCTGCCTTGATCAGATCGATCATTCCCTAGGCATGGTCAGCTAGGTTCAGTGATAGCAACGAGAGGATAAGGCTGTCTCGACTTACCTCAGGCACCGTAATCTCTCCGTTCTTCCCCTTGACGTAGCGGAACGGCATTTCAACGCTCTCAACTCTGCTAACCTTGATCTCGGGGTTGTCTATCCATGGGATTTCCTCCAGAGGAGCTGCGCAGCAATCAGCAATTGATCTCGTCAACACGTGAACGAGTAGGACTTACTTCTATCTTGGGTAACGATTCTCGTCACTCTGACGGCAGTATCGGTAGTCATCTGCATAGCGCCCAAACGGCGTCCCTCAAACCCTTTTTTTCTGAGCTCAGAAGTCCGATCTCTTGGCGGATCGTCACCTTGTATAGTCAGTAACCTATCAACCCCCACCAAAATCTAAATGTAGCCATACCGAGGATACCACCAAACAGAAACACATCAAACGTATCCCCATCCTCAGGAGCCAACTCCTTCGTCGCCGACGGATCCAAAAGACACACCCTGCTCTTCTCAGGGTACAGCTCCTCCACGCTCTCCGGCTTCGCCACAAACCCAGGCAGCGTTTTTAGCCGCTCCGGCAGCTCCAGTGATGCTGGGACTGACGTAAGGAAGAAGGATGCGCCGTTCTCGTGGGACTCCTTGGCAATGGTCATATACTCCAACTCTGACCAGGCGCCGAGCTCATCGTCGAGGTGCTCGACGATGTACGTCTTTCCCGTGGACGCCATTGGCGCGCGTATATAAGCAAGAGTGCTCGGGGTTTGGTTCCGAGGGTTTGGCGAGTGGTTTGCCTCGCGGGATTTATCTGCTAGAAATGGTAGGGCAGATGCAAAGGTGATGATGGCGGTGATGGTGGCAATTATGGCTTCAAATATATGAAAAAGCGTGCAAGTCCCGTGAGCTGAAGATTCTATGCTACTATGCAATCATTAGCCCGTGACAAAACGAATAGGTGAAATCCTGTCTGTTCAATGGGCAAACTGCATGGGAGAGATAAAAATGCCTCTTACTCTTGATCCGGCTTCAAGCTAGAAGGTATTCCGTCCCGTTCCTTGCTCCTATTTTCCCTTAAACTTGATGTAATCCCGCGTCAATGGGCTGTTCACTGAGCTTTTTTAGCAATATATCGGCAATTCGTCTCCACACAATGATCCCGCCTGGCTCACCAGCCTCAGTGGCTGAATTTTTCCCCCTCCAACGGCGAGGGACCAAACCACCGGCAAACAACCCACTAACCACCGCCCACCACACTTTCCCATCCCACCAGCCAGTTAACTCCCAGTAACGCCTCCCTGTCCCCCATCAACCACCCACTTACACCACTCCCACTCCCACTTCCACCACTCCCACCCACTCCCGAGAGAGCCCAAACGTCTCGACTTTAACCCCTCTTCTACTTCCATCCTCATGCATAACGAACCAAAAAGTCATACAAAACCTCCCACCTCATCTATATCTCCAAAACTCCATTTAAATTCTCCGAATAAAAAGAGGTTTCCGGTCACTTAAGCCCAAAATTCCCATTGTTTCACTTTGAAGCGAAATCACGCCAGAAATAGACCCCTTCGTACTCTCTATCATTTCATTCTGCTACAAACTTGGGCACTAATCCCTGGTTGGTGGCCGAGCGATTTGTTTGGACGGGACCATCCATCATCGTCAACGACTCCACAACAACCGACAGGGCATCGAAGTGTCGTAACACCCAATCCGACTTACAAAACAAATTTGGCCTGCAACTAAAACAAGTAAACCGTTATAAATCAGTCATCTGAACCCCTTCGATATCCTCTGCTCCGATAAACCAACTCGCAACGAACAAACAGCAGCCATGAATCCCCACCAGAAGAACAAAGTCGACATCGCCGTAAGTTCACCCCGCTACAATCGACAAACAACACCCCACCTCACCACACAATCCATACTCCCTCACCTCCCTCACCTCCCTCACCCCACTCACTCTCCTCACTTTGCGGTATACATCCACTAACACTCCCTCCCTCTCCAGTCCCTCACCCCCGACGAGCAACGCCTCTTCCGCCTCTACGGCAAGCTCCCCTCCAAAGCCGACCACCTCGCCAAGCAACTCAAAGAGCGCAAATACTTCGACAGCGGCGACTACGCGCTCTCCAAAGCCGGCAAGGCCTCCAGCGTCGACACCGGCAGCGTCGGCTCCGAGCACCCCCTCCCGGAGAACATCCCGCACCTCACGTCCCCCGGCGTCAGTGGTGTGAATGGCGGGTCGGGAAATGGGAATGTGCAGATGGGTGTTGCGGGGGGGTTGGCGAGCGGGAGCCCGGTGAAGGAGAGTAGTTTCTTGAATAGGGAGACTAGTGTTGATGATGCGGAGGGGAAGGAGAATTTGCCGAGGGGGCAGACGAAGAGTGTTTCGCCGCCGATGGAGGGGGAGGGGATCCCGATTAGGGGATGAGCTGGGAAGTCCGTTGATGAGAAGAGTGGTGTGAATGATGGGCTGAGGAGGGATTTCACCTGTAACTTGGTCCTGAAGCCTGGATTACCAGATCCGAAGCAAAAGAATTGGCGAACGGAACAAACCAAAAAAAACACACACACAAAGTCGAGACGGGGGAAGCAGTGTGGTCGGGGAAGGGGGGACGTCATTTGTAAACTCGCCGGTTTTTTACGGGTTCCGAAAGCCTTTTTTGTTTGTTTGTGGAAATGATGGATGGATGAATAGTTGCGGAATGGAAATGATGCGAGGGATGGATTGGGAGGAAGGGAAGGGAGGAACGGCGGGGCGTAGTCTGGAGTTCTTTACGCAGACCGCGATGACGGCTGCTGCTGCTGTGTCTACTTGATTCATGATGACTTTACTTTTGCTTTTCGCGCCATTACTGGCTCTTTTTCTGACTTCACTCACTCTTTCTTTTTTCCTTGTATATCGGTTTTACCCCGTCGCCAGGTGACAAGAAACACACACGCATGGCAAGACACGGGCTTCAGAAAGCTTTGTAATGGCTTTTTCCTTTCTACTTGCCTGAATGAGAACTTCAACGGTTGGTTTTACAATGTTTTGAATTATGGGGGGGTTTTCATGCGTTGTCGCGTGTTCAGCGGGTCGGATTGGGTGGGCGTTAGTTTATAGTCACAAGACTGAATTCATGCAACGAAACGAACGGGTCTTCTTAGTCGCGAAATAAACAGGGTGTTATTAATGTGCTAGTACTCTATGGGACTGCGATGATCGCTGTAATGCTCTACTAAATGTGAACCTTCAATATGGGGGGTCAAAGTATTTCGTCGCGATTTTGGGGCTTCGTTTTTATGATGAACTATCAAGAGTTCTACTTTTTGCCAGAGCCCAACGCCATACAATAATTATATCCCAAACGCCCCTCAACCCATGATTGTTTTGATACGTTATATAGCTTTTTAACCCCATAGCATCAACTACACCACCCCCTCCATTTCCCCATCCCCACATCTACTCCAACGCCTTCCTCGCCATCTCCATCGCCCCCTCAAACGTCTTATTCCCCCCAATAAACCCCGCAGCATGCACAAACACCCCCCCGGGCACCCCCGTAATCTCATCCAGCTTCTCATCCCTGAACCCCCTCCACCCCTCCGGCAGCGGCTTGCGGCTCTCAAACGAATCCGTCGTCACGCTCACAGCCTGGATACGCCACTTCGCGCCCGCCGCCGGACTCTCGGGGTACAGCACGTACACGACCTTCGAGTCGCCTCCCTGCTCCGATTCGAGTCTGTATAGGTGGTCTTTCCAGGGCACGGATTGGCCGTCGAATACGAGGATCCTGCCTTGGGAATCGTGGTCGAGGCGCTTGGAGAAAGCGGTGCGGACGATTTCGCGGGCGGGGAGCCAGGAAGTGGTGAGGTAGGAGAGGGTGCTGCTGAACTCGGCGCCGATCTTGGTGGATGCCTTGGAGAACTTCTCATCTTCGATTGCTTGCCAGGCGGCCGGGTCGGAGGGGCGGGGGTCGTTCCAGTTGGGGTTCAGACGACCGACCATGGCGCCGAGTGTGAAGCCGCCGTCGGAGAAGCGCTTCTCGATGCCTGCCGCCTGGAGGGCCTTGGTGTCATACGCGCTGATGCCGTTGTCATGAGCGTCGAGGGCCTCAATGAAGTCCTCATAGATCTTATTCCAAAGAATCGTGACCTCATCCGCCGACTCCTCAACACCAAGGCTCTGCGCAATAATCGCCTTCCCGAAGTGCATATACACCAGCCCCGCGGAGGAGAGTTTGGTGGGGCGGTTGGGGAAGGTGGTGGTGAAGGTGCGCTGGTGGTGGTCGTAGAGGTTGCGGGTGGCGTCGTATTCGCCGCCGACGTCGACGACGGTGTGGCAGGTTGCGAGGAGGGCGGGGTCGCGCGTGCGGATCAGGCTGGCGGATTGGTAGGCGGGGAGGAGGCGGAGCATGTAGACTGCGAGGGCTTCGTCGGCGTGGAAGTGCCCGTTGTGGGTGCCGATGGTGATGTCGGTCTTGAGACGCTTTGCGGTTGTTTCGGCCATTTTGAGGGCGTTCCGGAGCATACACGTCAGGTGGGAAGTTGGAGGTGGTGTATTGATTGCTTGTATGTTGTGGGTAGTGGGTGGAAGTGAGGAGGTTACTTGGAATGGAAGGAAGAGTATATTATTTTTGAGCTTCGAGGAGCTTGTAAAGATACCCCGCCAAACACCTACTACGCACAAAGCGTCTGATCATAGGTGCCTTATAATTCAGGTAATTATATAGCATTTCGCCTTATATTCCAGGCCATTATGTAGCATTTCAGAGTAATTCTCGAGCTTGGCGCACTTAAAAACTACGGAGCTTGGTGCGCATAGCTGTCAAATTCATAACGGAGCTTCGAAGCTCCTTGTACAGTCGTAATAATAGTAAATAAAATAAGAACCTCCATCGTAAATTTCGGAGGATTTATTAAAGATATACCATGTACCCCCTCGAATCGGAAAATTGATGCTCACCTGTCCCAGCCCATCCCCGCCTATCCAGCCTATTTTCTGTGTGGCGGCCATACAAAGAAAACAAGGGTCGACAATCTCGATTAAACCAGGTTGTTATCCCAGTTATCCAGTTATCCCAAGAGTTATCCCAGGAACAACGAACGAACACGCGACTTGTATTGGACGAGAACCTTCATCTGGCCCCCCAAGGCGGCTCACCACCACCATCACAATCAAATCATCAAATCACAATCAAATCACAACACACAGACAACAAACACACTCCACCACGCCTTCTTCTTCTTTCCCATATCCCATAAAGAAATGGTACCTTATTAGCCACCAACGACGCGACCGACACAAGACCGACAGACCGCATCTTTCTTCTCTTCATCTATCCATCTCCACAACGCCGCTTTTTGTTGTTGGCGCACACGCACAAAAAAGAGAGCCAAGCCCACGCGCCTGAAACCTTTGATCCCTTTCACCGACAACACGGACTTCAACATCCCCTGTCCCCAGATAAAGCTTGATAAGAGGGGGGAGCTACTCCAAGAACGAGAAAAAATATTTCCACACCACACCACACCACCAGGCCTAACTGCCTCCCACTCAACCCACCGCCAACACACCGACACCACGCTCACCCGCGTCGTCCCCAGGTCCCCGAAAATCTCTTTTCCACCGAGCTGCCCAGTGACCGACGACAGCACGGCGGCTTCCACCTCGAAACACCACCCAACCCTCCACATCCAGCTGGGCGCGCTTCAACGCACGCTCGGCGCCACAGCGCGCTATGTGGTTAATCTTCCGGCTCATCGCGTCGATCGTCTTCCTCCTCTCGATCATCCTCTCCATCCCCATCGCCTTCGATGTCGGCGGTCGCGACAGCGGGCTCGCGCACTCGCTGGCGCTGTTCTGCTTCTACTTCGCGTACTCGACGCTACGGATCGTGACGCCGAAGAAGTCGTGGTTCCGGTATGCGCTGGTGCAGATCGTGGGGGTGTCGCAGTGGGTGATCATCCCGGCGCTGTTGATCTGGAGTTTGAATCGGTTTACGGTGGATTCGAATACGGGGGGGGATTGGCTGGCGAAGACGTTTGGGGGGAAGAGGTCGAAGGAGACGAGTATTACGGAGTGGATCTTTGGGCCGGGGGGGTTCTATGATGTGATGACGGTTGGGACTTGGGATAAGGTGTTGACGTATTCGACGCCGTTCTTTCAGCTTGCGGAGGGGTTTTGCAGCTTGTTGGTGATTCAGGCCGCGGGCCAGATTACGAGGTGGCTTGTTAATAGAGGACGCAGTGATACGTGGATGGTAAGTCCCTCGCTCTACCAGTTCTCGACTGAACAACGCTGACTGACATACCACAGATCGGACTCCTCATAGTCTCCGCCTCGATCATCTCGAGCTCAGTCTACTTCCTCTGGCGCATCACGAACTTCCCCGAGATCGGCAACGTCGACGCCACCCTCATCGGCGTCACGATCACAACCGCAGTCTTCCTCTGCGCCTGGGGCATCGGCAGCGGTCGCGGCAACCCAGTCGAGAGCTCCCTCCTCTTCGCCTACGTCGTCCTGTGCATATACCAGATCTTCACCGACTACCTCCCTTCCCCCGAAGCCGCCGCGGCCGCCGCAGCAGCAGCCGCGGAATCATCACAGCCCGAGTTTCCCCCCTTCCCACCTATCATCATGGCTTCCTACTCAACCCTCATCCACCTCCTCTCCACCCTCCCCTCCGCCGTCCACTCAAGCTTCACCTTCCTCCACGCAGCCTTCCAGACCATCACCCCCTCCGTCATCATCTCCCTCGCCTACCGCATCTTCGTCTTCTACGCCGCAACCCGCATCATCCCGTCTGTACGGGACTCCGGCGCCCGCGGCCTCTCGCGCGAACCCACTCTCGAAGATGACGATGGCGCAGGCTGGTTCTTGGGCGTGCTCAGCTGGTTCAGCCCGTCGATCCTGGTGGCGGTGTACACGAGCCTGCTGATGCAGCACTTCTCGACGCTGTCGGAGAACGGGCAGGCGGCGGCGTGGTGGACGTTGCAGCAGGGGGGAAACGCGGCGGGGGGGAATAATGTGTGGAGGTGGGTTAATGTGGCGGCGACGATGGCGTTGTATGCGTTTGAGCTGTATTTGGGGAAGGAGGATACGGATGGGAGTTTGACGGGGCATTGGAAGACGGATTGAGGGGGGTAGTGGTGGGATGCTGTGCTTGGTTAGTTCGGGTGTCGGTTGCGCAGTTGGTTTGAGGAACTGCGAGCAGGAGAACAGACGGATAGTGAGTGGTTGGAGATGAAGGGAAAGGGATGACATCGTGCATGCCTGAAGCAAAATGGATCTGGAAATGAACAGCGGGCAGCCCATCCCAGCATACTTCTCTAATAGAGAGAAGCACACGAGGAGAGAAGGGAATGCAGCGTCGATTGCATGTTGTGAGCCACCGCCATCTCGATAAGAGAAGAGAGAGAGGAAGAGAAAGAGAACGATAGATACCCTCGGGATGGCCCTTTTTTTTTATAGGTATATATATATATTTGCAGGTGGGATTGATTATAACAATAAATACGGATTCTACTCTCTAGGAGTACAAACAAACCAGTTGAGTCCGGCGTGTGCTCAACAAACAAACACATGACTTGATATCTCAACTCAACTATATAGCGTCGTCCTATAGTGTTCCTCCGTAGTAGTGTACCCTTTTCCTTTTCCCCCCAAGATCGTTGAGTCCACTCCCTCCCCGCCCTCAAGTCCCTGGAGCTACTTACTACTCCCCCTTTCTCCCCCCGGTCAGCCCTGCCCTGTCCCCTTCCCCGTTCGTTGAACCCGTGACCACAACAACCTCTCCTCGGATCCCTCCCCCAATTCCTCCCGCCAAGACCCATCACGCCCATCACTGTGGGGTCCCCCCCCCCCCGATACCGCACGCTACTCGCCCAGTCTAACTCGTCTAACGCCCAGAACGTCCCCCCATCCCTCCTATAAGCAACTGCACTCTTACTATAAGCCTACCGTAGCGACTCCACACAAGCTCCGACGCCCTGTAACCTGTGTTCCAATCCCTGGCGCTTCCTCAACGGGAGGAGCATCCCGGGTCTGGTCTCACTGAGGCGTCGTCTGGGCGGTGGTGGTCGTGCGCGAGGGTAGTTTTTTGTTGAGATGAGTGAGATGGCGGTCTGGGTACTGTACGTCGCCGAGGATGGGAGGGAGGAGGCGGTCTAGAATGGAGGCGTAGGGGGAGGGAAAGTGCATCCCCGGAGTACTGTACACTACACTACCTACTTCAGCCAGTGTGGTATGGGTACACACATCTCTCCTCCTCTCACCCTCGAGAAAGTAAGGTAAGTTACTTCTACGACTTCACCCGCCCCCCTCGGAGTTTAGGACGGTGTACTGTGTACCTCGGTGTATGGGTGTTGTGGTTGTACTGTACATACATCCCGCCCGCTCCAGATCTTCGGTGGTGACTGAGGTAAGTCAAGTGGGCTCAACGAATCAGATGGGGCCGGAAGGGGAATACACACCCCTCACCATTGGGGACTCACCATGGGGATGTATATGGTGGTTTGTAAACCTGCTGTGTTACAAAGTCTAGGTCCATCTCCCACATCTGCTTCTGCTTCTCCTTCTTCTTCCTTTCCTACTCTGGTTTATTCATCGAATTCATCGGATTCTATACTACGAAGTATCACAATCGTCGTTGCCGTTATCACAGTCATCATTGCCGTTATCATCAGAATAGTATCACTCACTCACCAACCTCTCAACAACCTTACACAACCACAAATCATGTCATCACGCATCACTCCCCGAGCCATCCGCTCCCTCACCAACACCACCGCCTCCCCCGCCGTACGCAGACAATTGGCAGCTTCAACTTCAAAAGCAGAGGTATGCTCTTCCAATCCCCCATCCCCCCTTCCTCCCATACTCCCACAATCCGTCCCAACCAACTAACACTCTCCTAGCAAACCACTCGCTCCTCCAGCACCACCACCACACGCCCTACCCCCTCTTCCAGCATTCCAACCCTGAGGCCGTTGATGCAAGGCTTCCACTCCACCACCTCCTCCCCCGCCCCCTCCGCCGCGCCCTCAATCGATTTCGTATTCTTCCCCACCCAAGACGCCATATCCACTCCCCACGTCTCCGCCCTCCGCGTCCCCCTCCTCCCCGACAACTACACCCCCGACCGCTCTGTGGGCTCCGCACACGCACCAGAGGCAGAGGTGATGCCCTTGGAGAGGAGTGAGATTAGTATTATTGCTGCGAGGCCCGAGACGGTGGCGAGTGCGTTGACGGAGGTGGTGGGGTTGGGGAGGGAGATGGGGTTGGGGGAGTTGACGAGGGCGTTTGGGGAGGAGGTGGCGAGGGTGGAGGGGGAGGTGGTGGGGGGGTTGAGGGGGTTGTGGGGGGATTTGTTGGATGATGTTTTGGGGGAGAAGACGGTGGCTACTATTAGGGCTACTTAGGTGGGGTGGCTGACTGGGAGGGGGGGATGGGGGAGGAGGGGTTATTCTTGTACTTGATGATTGGGGGGGTGATGAGTGGTATTAGCTTTTAATGATATGAATATATGACAGGATTTTATGTACGCAGTAAGGCTTTGAGCGAGTCCCGGGAGTACGAACCAGGAACGAGTTTGTTATGCTCGGACTGAAATTGTGCCAGTGTAGAAGACGGAGCTTTTGAGGGATCGGTGCATAAGAATACCGTCATGCGAATTACTCAGAGCGTACTCGTAACAGCAGGACGGTCGACAGTGAGATATTGTGGTGACAATCGAAGTGCGGTGACAAGAATATATCGACGGCAGGTAAGGGAGTGGGCAAGAACAGGCACGTAAGAACGGCAGCAGCAGCGGCAGTTCCCTCTTCGTCAATCCTCGGGAAATTCGTTGGGCCACGGGTTACCAGAAAACGTATCGGGATCTTGATTTCACGGTTTGCTCTTGTGGAATGAATAATGAGAGTGAGGGCCTATTTATAACAAAAATAATCCCATGTTTGAGCGACTGCATGGGGATAATATCACTTTAGCAATGATTAAAGTAGTGAATGCAAATGCCTTCATCCAGCGTGTTCAATTTACGCCATTCCTATGGCTACAACTCCGTCCTATTCATATTATACTCAAAGAAACACCACAAGACCGTAGAACCACACAACCCCGTCTCACCCTCTCCCTCACGCCTTCATAGCCTCAACAAACAACTCCCTCATCCCCTTCAACAACCCCCCCAACTCCCTATTCTCATTCAACCTCTCCACCACCGCCTCGACCCTCTCCCTATCCACCACCGGAAAGCACCCCCCAACCTCATAATCCCTCCTCTCCGTACACAGCTCAAACCACGCCTCCCTCTCCCAATCCCTCTCATCCACACACGTAAACACAAACTTAAGCCTATCACTCATTCCCGCCCCCTCAATCCTCAACCCCAAATTACTCGTCCAGAAATCAAGCTCCGGAATATCATGCACCGCCATCCCAGCAATCCTCTCCGCATACTCCATCTGCCCCTCCCTCCTCTCCCTTATCATCGCCTCCACCCTCTCGATCTCCCCCACCAGCCCCTCCCTCTCCCTAACCTTCGCCTCCCTCTGCCTCTCCAACCTCGCCACCGCACCTTCCATCTCCTTCGCCTCCGCCTCCTCCTTCTGCAGCGCCTGTGCGTGTCCTGCGGCTTTGAGTTGCAGAATCTCGATGTCCTTTTTGCGCATGCGACGGTCTTCGTGCGCTTCGGCGACGGTGGAGCGGAATTGGTTGCGTTCTTCTAGGACGCGCTTGCGGCCGGTTTCGATGAAGGCGTCGAAGCGCTGGGTGAATTGGGACATGCGCGTGCGCAGCTCGTCGAAGCCGAAGTTGATGGGGGGGAGGGAGTCGGCCATGGAGGGGGCGAGGGCGGAGGTGAGGGGGGGGCGGAGGGAGAGAGTTGGTTCGAAGGTTGTGTTCATGGTTGCGGTTGTTGGTTTGTTGGTTTGTCGCGCGGTGATGTTTGTATGCGCGCAATGGGTGTTTATATGCTTGAACGCTTTGAGGGTTTGCTTAGGTTGCTTTTTTGTAGCTGGTATTTTCTTTGGTGAGGGTTGAGAGTTGTTGCGACAGATGCGCGCGAAATGTGACAGTTGGTGTGTTGACGTTTCCCAGGGTCTCAGTTGCCGAAGCAACCCCGCGACCCAGCTCCCGATAAAGTGGGCTACATTAGCGCGAATATCTTTATCGCTGACGAAAGATAAACCAAAGCTTCGCCAAAAAATTTATATATAATTCTTCTGCGGCCCCTTTGAAGGACATTTACTTGTTCGGATATTCCCGTGCTGAAGTACAGTACTCGCCGAAAGTAGCAGTATCGAAATGTTGGCGCGATTTATTACGGCCTTAGGAAGACGGATTCATCGCTGCCCAGATGACTGACCGGCGATCGACTGACCATACGTACGGTCACCTTGGGGAAGCTACTTATGATACTGTTGAGAAGAAATGGAGTTTCTCACGTATTCCTGTTTTATGTACGTTGCTCGGGATATTTAGTCTTTCTGTTTGCAGTTGCTAACAGTGCTCCAGCAAGCATAATCCGACCAATCCAACCATTACAACCATGCATTCCGCCATCTGCGCAATCGAAGCCCGAGGCACAAAGGAATGCTACAGATAGAGCATCTAACAGAGCTCGCGACCAGAAGAGGTCGCTCATCCGAGAGATCCCCCAAATAGGAGCTGCGGCTTCCGTGTTAGGGCCTCTTGTACGAACTGCGGCAGTCGGGGCCTCCAAGACACGTCCGACGGGCGGTGACCTGGTCGCCAGCGGGACTGCCAAAGTACTGTCGAAACACCACAGTGACCGCTCCATCAACGTGCTAGCCGTTGCGCATGGCGAAGCCGGACATGTCCTGCGACTGATTAAACCCCGGCTTGAGGACCACACCTGGGATGGCGACGATTCCGTGAAGCTGCGTTTGCTGAACCCCAGCACCTCAGAGGATGGCTACTGGCTTGACGGCGCCGGATCGATTGAACAAATCGTATTCTCGTCAGGTATAGAAGGCGATAGGTCTTGGTTGGCTGTGCGGAAACTGGCATCGACGACTATACTACAACCGGTATATCAGAGAACACCAGGTCCAGCACGAGTGCCGCCGGGGTTTCAAGATAAATATAGACCGTCGCTCTTGGATCCGAATCCAGCGGTTACTATCACGAGCGTGATGACGAATGGGAGGAATCATGCTGATGTGGCGTTTAATCCTTGGTATCCGCGCCAGTTTGCAGTTCTGGATGAGGAAGGGTACTGGAGCGCTTGGGATATTGAGGGTCGGAAACGCGCTGGGTCAAAGATGGCTACTCCAGGAAAGTCGGGGTATATACTCGATGACAGGGCGGAGAGTGATCTTTCGTTGGATATTGCTTCGAATGGATGGGGCAGGATACTCTGGGCTGGAAATGTCAGTACGATAGTGGTGTGCAACGACCGTCACCTAGCGGTGTTTGATCTCAAAGCTCATCCCATACGACTGCGGAGCCCGGACTTGGTGCCCAGTGGGTCGTTTGGGCGTATTCTGGAGGTCAAGCGCAGCCCGCTTCAGCATGACAAAGTTTTTGTTCTCACGAACAGTCGATTATTCCTCCTTCAGATAAACACAGCGGGAGAGTGGCTCGATGACACCGATAGGACGGCCGGAGCGAAGATTATCATGTCTTGTTTGCATTATCGGGAGGCGCAGGGGAATTTGCTTAAATTGGAGTTGCATGAGGAAGGCGATGTGTGTACGGCGTTTTTGGTTTCTTCGGGGATGTTTTTGGTTAATGTGTATAAATTCACGACGACGCCTGATGCGGCAACACCGGTGACGTGGTCGACAGATGCGTTCTCCTTAGAACGTGGGGCAGACGAAGATACGCTGTCAAAGATTGTGGGATTTTGTGTCCTTCCAGCACCTCTTGAACGAAGTGATGAGCGGCGCGCGTCTCGTATGGAGAGAAATTATCTGGACCATGGGAATTTCCTGCAGGCCTTCGCTCTTGGAGAGAATTTGGAGATGTCACAAACCCTGCTTGCCGAGTGCCGCATGGTGGCTGCGCCTGTGCCTGGAAAGCCGGCAATATACGAACGGATATCGCCACCTTCGGAGAGTCAAGCTGCACCACCTGAGGCCCATTTTCTCTCTTCTCGGACAATTGATGACTTTGTCGTTCCTGATGGGTTTGAAGACTACGAATCTGGAAGCGAACGAAAGGCACCAGTCGTGAGGCTCTCGATAGAAGATGATTTACCCGAAGAGCCAGCGCCGAAAGTAATCGACGCCCAGCGCTGGTATGAGCTGGCGACTAAAGGAAAAACTACGGAACCGCCTAGTCAGGAAGACTATCACGATGTAGAAATTGAGATGGCAGACTATATCCAGAATATTGTCGGCGGGATTCAGCACAGGAGACAAGTTGGGCTGGAGGGTCTATCTAGCTTTCACGATTTAGCGGGCTTTGAGAAATTTACTGAAGACGTCGATGATGGAGCTGCGTTGCTACAGGATTTCATCAATAACTTCGAGGACAATTATGCGGAAAGTAGCATGGCGGTTACTTTACAATCCTCAGGCCTACTCAGAATGCTAGACCTAGAACCGGATGAGTCTTCCACCAACAACTTGCCGAACCTCTCAAACGTCTACGACAAGCTCGTCAACCTCTGGGTTACATCTCTCCCCCAAAACACCCCCGGCATGGCACGAATCGCCAAAGAGAAGGTCGTCCGAAATGTAGCGACAGAATTATGTCTAAGTTCCATCCACGTCTCCATCCGCGACAAATCCGTTCCTCTACCTACCACCGCAGCACCCCAGGACCTTGAAGAGGGACCAAGCCTCACCCTACCCATCCACGGCGGCCGACCACCTCTTTCACCACGAACACCCTCCCGTTCGCGCTTCAGCAGCCAACCCCTGCAAGACCACGGCTTCGAGCCCACCTCCAGTTATGCCACTCCTGCGCCCTCGGAATCTGCTCTCTCCGGTGAACCTGCTGAGGATGCCGCCGTGTCGCGTCTCCGCGGGTACGCTCTCTCTATCAAGTCACTAAAACCCCTCGGGCGGACATGCGCATCCATCCTCGCGCAGTGGCCCGAGACACCCGGTTCCGACCCATCAACATACATCTGGCGCCCCGACCAAATCTCCGGCGCCGCAGATGAAGAAGGAGACAGCGGCGAAGAAGCCGCGCGGCAGCGAGAAGAGAAGCGACGGCGACGAACAGAGAAATTCCTCAAGCGCCAAAAGGGGGTAGCGAGTCCGCGACTGGCAACAGCAGTGCAGAGTAGCCAGCCGCCGCCGGTGGTGGAGAGCCAGCCGGCGTATAGGTTCGCGGCGTCGTCGCAGGTGATGGTTCAGAGCTCGAGTCAGGTGGAGGGGGGGTTGTCGATGACGCAGCCGAGTGCGGGGGCGTTTGGGAGTAGGGCGGGGGTGGGGAAGAAGAAGAAGAGGAAGACGGGGTTTTAATGGTGGAGGTGGGTGGGTTTTGGATATGTAATGATAATGATAGGTTTTTGGAAACATTATTAATATCTTGAGGAAATCGTACAACAGTGACCCCAGTTCATAAATATGGCCCGAGAACTTTCTGGGTATGCTCCCAAACCTTTCCTTGTGCTTTTTCTCGGAGCACGGGCATGACCTTCGCATTTGGCGTAGTGTCGCACTTAGAAGTGACGAGAAACAACCCATCCTCCCCTGTCTTCATCTGACTATTCACACCCGCCTTCCCCTTCCAGGGCACCCCACGCCCCCCAAACGCAGCACTCGTACTCTGGAACAAATATCTCTGCCCTGACTCCTCGTCACTAAACGAAAACAACCCAATAAGCGGCTCCAAAAACAGCCAGACCAGCCAACTCTTAATCGTCAAACTCGCATCCAAGCCCCTATTCACATTCCCCGTGTTCACCCACCCGGGACACGAGTGAATGAACGTCACCCCCTGATTCTCAGCAGCCAGCTTCTCCATCGTCGTGGAGAGCATAGCCACATACTGCACATGCGTGTTCACCAACCCGAAATTCCCGGGTTTCTTGAGATCCATGTCCTCCAGGTCGACAGTCGTGCGTTCCATCCCGCCGCCTTGGACGCTGACGATTTTAGGGGCTTCTGATAGGCGGAGGAGGGGGAGGAGGTGCTGGATGAAGAGGATCCGGGAGTAGTATATCAGGCTTTGGGTGATTTCTATGCCCTCTGCCGTCTCGTTGCGGGCGCCGAAGGGGGCGTAGCCAGTGGTGAGGAAGAGGAGGTCGATGCGGGACTCCTTGCTTTTGATGATCTCGCATACTCTCTTCGTTTCTGACAAAAGCGAGATTTCGCCTTCTACCCAGATGATTTCGGCTTTGGGATTTATGGCATTCAGCTCCTGGATGAAAATCCGCGAGCGCTCTTCAGAGCTTTTGCGGCCGATGAGGTGGATTCTCACGCTGGCGCCGGTGGATACTAAGGCGCGGACGGTGAGTTGCCCGATGCCAGAGGTACCGCCGGCGAAGACGGCGACACGGGGGGTTGTGGCGTCGTTGAGGAGGGCGTTGGAGGCGCGGATTTCTTTGTAGGATACCATTGTAGGCGATGAGGGTTATAATGGTTATTAAATTTTACATGTTGAATTTGGAATCATGCTGTACTCAAGAATATGTAGTTGCAGATATGTGGTCGGAGCTATGTAGTCGGTCGGAGCTCTTTCAACGTCCGAAGGACCCCGCTAAGCACCCTGGGTTACACGCTGACGTCGCGCTCCCGTGCCTACAGCGACGACGGAATACTCGAGGGTTTATTTATATTACGCGGTTAATTTGTGTTTAACACAGATAATATGCGTTTTACCCCATATGGTAAGTTACGTTGTAACTATCATATTCCACCAAGTTATAGATCTTTATTATAAACATAAACCGGCATCGAGTCCTCCCACATGCTGTCAGTGACCAACGTCTTATTCGACCCATCCGCATTCATCACCACGATCTGTCCATACGGCTGGAAGGTATTATCGTAATTGACGCACTCTTCACGGAATCCGTACATGCCACTGGTATACATGATGCGCCCGTCCGCAGACCAAGCGGCATGTGCATCATTCGCACCGCTCGTGGTGAGCTGCGTGAGACCCGTTCCGTCAGGGGCGATGGTATAGATGTCGAAGCTATCAGTCGCTCCAAGATCCTCCCAGTTAATGTGATTGCGGCGGGTAAAGACGATGCGCTCTCCGTCTGGTGACCAGCCTGGGTTGTTGTCCCAGTCTTCTGTGAGATTCCTGGTCATCCTGTCAGCGAGATTCAGTATGCGTAGTCCCAGACCTCCCTCTGGCCCGAAATCACGGTATACGAGCTGTGTTCCATCGGGTGAGAAGCTGGGGAAGCCGGAATTCACCTCGCCGGGGATGCCGAAGGTGAGTTGTTCTGAATAGGAGCCGTTCGCAGCAGCTCTGTAGATCCATCCACCAGAGAAAGCACGCTGGAAAAACCAACTTCCTGCACCGACAGCAATCCATTCGCCGTCTGGTGACCATGTAGGCTGGAAGGCACCAGCTAAACCCTTAGCAGTATCATCAGGATCAATGTTGTCTGTCGAGAAGACAAGCTTTAAGTCTGTTCCGTCAGGATTCATAGTCACAACAGACGAATTGCCAAGCTGCTTTTGCGTAATAGCTAAGATGCCCTGGTTTGATAGGGTTGGAAACACATCAGTGAAGCGGTATTCCCAGTCGCCATCCCAGCTGTATAGTGGCTTCTCCATGGGACGATTGGGCGCTTCGAGCTGCTTCTCGTAGACTACTGTTGAGCCGTCTGGTGACCAGGAGGGATTGCGCATTGCACCCAGCACGGCAGTGTAGTTTTCGTTGGTAGAGGTATATTTAAGCCCTTCATTTGTGCCACCTTTGGCGCCGAAGCCAACAACATCCGCTGTAACCCATTGTGCAGAAACTTTGCATCCAGAGCCCGAGGTGTGGTAGATATAATCAGTTCCAGTGGCGACGTCGACAGATGCAATCTGCGAGGTAGTATCGCCTACCGACTGGGTGTGAGAATTGTATGTGTCTTCTCTCGTTATTTCATAAAAGAGGATGCGCGAGCAATCTGGAGACCATTTTGGCGAACCGAGAGAGTAGTTTTCCTTGGTAACAAGCTGCTTGAAGTCTGTCCCGTCGGGCCTTATAAGATAGATTGAAAGGGTTTGTGTATGCTCCCAGCCAGTTCCGTTGCTATGTCCTGTCCAGCCTGTATTGCGATCGGAGGAAAAGGCGATCCATTCTCCATTTGGTGACCAGCTGGGACGGAAATGGCCAGTTGGACTAGTGGTATCTGCAGCGGTAGAAGCTGTATTCGTCAGGTTGAAGGCTTCCCCAGTCTCGATATTCTTCAGCCATATATTTGTTGTAAAGTTTCCCCGTGTAGACACATAGGCCAGCAGGCGGCCGTCTGGAGAAAGCACACCGGCATCCTCAAAGGAGGGTGTTGCAACCAGTTCCTCTAACCCAGAGCCGTCCTTCCGAACGCGATATATATCCGACTGACCATCTCCACCGCGCTCACTAGTGAAGGTGATCCATTCACCGTCGGGAGAGAAAGACGCATGGTACTCAAACGCAGCGTCACTATCGGATAGCAGCTGGCGTTCGTTGCTGCCGTTTGCGTCAGCTAGATACAAGACCGAACTTGAAGGAGCGATCCTGTTCATGAACATGACACCCAACTTTCCCCCAGTAGCCGGGCCGCGATGAAAGGAGGCTCCCGAAGCCACGTGAGAGGTTTCTCTCTCCGCATACGGGCAACCTCCTTTCTTGGTCGACGTTGACGCATAGGGGCAGATAGCCAGGGCTTGTCCCACGGCAAAGCCAAGAAGTGACACTGTGGAAAGACGCATTTTCTTTCTCCGAGTGATGCAACAAGAACGAGAGACGAGGTCTACTTACTAGCAATAGAGGTCCAATGGATCTCATATATACTCCGTATGCGCTTAAACAAGAAACCCCCACCAGACGCGTGGATGTTAGACCCTGCGCTTTATATGGCCAAATATTCATGTAGCGTCCGGAGTATTGCCAAGTAAGGAAGTTATCTGCCGATCGAAGGGAGGTGTTTTAGCAAAGATGGCACTATAGTATGCAAGGCACTTTAAACCAGACAGGGCTAAGCATTTCTACTAAGCCTATAGCATTGCGCAAAAACTAAACGCTGCATTAACTGCACTTTTAAACCTAGAACGCGATTTGTGGTCCGCTGTATTACCAGGACATATCGCCGAAAATTAGCTCATTTTAGGGTCCAAGGGTCCAAGGGTCCACTGGGAATGCGCTATTATTTAGAGTTCAAGGTTAGCTCCCCACAGTGGCTATTGTGGAGAGCTAAGGACACTGGCTGTTTTACATATCGTAGTTGTGTGGGGACGATGGTTATTGGCCTCCAGCAATTAGCCATAGTGTTGGAAATTCTAAGGAGCGCCGTGGGATTTCAGCATAACTGTATAAATTTGATGTTGTTCCCGTAATTCGGTATTTGCCTAATTGGTAGGCATCTGTGATCTAGGTATGTGGCGAGTTTCGGGTTACAGCTCGCTGGCGTTGATATCCATAACAACTAGGTCATCAGCAGCACGTAGTGTAAGCTCCTATTCATTAACCAAGGCAACATATAGGCAGGCACCTCGCTGAAATGTATATAGATAGAACTCCATCTCTATGCAGTACTATTTCGGGCCCGATTCATAGGTGGAAGGAATAGCTGTCGGAGATAATATTACGATCAGATCCATGACAAGTGGGCGACAAGCAATTGCCATAACAAAGGCAGTTGGCGGAGCTGCTGTTCGAAGGGAAAGACTCCAAAACACTCAGAGTACGAATCATTATTGCTATCACTTTTAAGGGAAGCCTCGGCGTGGATATCTGTTGTTATTTCGTCGATCAGCTTCCAAGGCAGGGGCAATGAACCCTAAACACTCCTGATATTTATCATATTTGAGAGACGTCCCCAAGGCACGTTCTTTCTAGCTACTACTGTACGAATCCCAAAGGTTCTCGTTAAGCCTACGTACCAACTACAGCATGCAAGTACTCTATCACCACACTCGGTCTCTGATCCATCCCTTAATCCCCTCGACATTCACCCCTATAGACTCTCTTGCCTCCAAAAACGGCAGAAAGACTTCCTTCACAATAACCTCAGGATCTAACTTAGTCAGCCATCCTCCTTCTTGGTTGGGGATTATAGGCTGAACCACCAATGGCTGTCCTACTAAAATATTATGCTCGCTAGTTAGAACTTGAGAGAACTGATCTGTCAGGTTCTGCGACGCGGACTTTGCAGCAGACAGCGACGAGTACGACGGCATTGGGTTTTTATCCAAAACTCCTCCTGTCACGAGGAGTAGTGGATACTCCCCTGTTGGGATATGGTCTTTGTTGGCGTGCTTTGGGAACCATTGGCCAGCGACCAATAGACCGACAGCGGCGATCTTGAAGTCGGCTGTCAGGACTTCAGGAGTAAGACTCATAAGGTCAGTTGGTCCGACGACAGCAGCGTTGTATCATAGGACGTCAACTTTGCCATCTAATTGAGACGCTGCCCAGTCGAGAGCTGAGAGGATGCTCGAGGGGTCCGATGCGTCGGTTGTGCGGATGAGCACTGGCGGAGCTGAAGGGTACAGTTCTGCAGTTTCAGCGGCATAGGCTTGGAGCGTCTGCTCAGTGCGGGATATGAGGACGATGCGCCAGTTTTAGCTTGCGAGGTAGTGACTGAGAGAGCGGGATATGAAGGGCCCGGCGCCCACGATGATTATATGACGGTTGCGATTGGGAGGCATGATTATGGATCGAGGGATAGAAAGTGTAGATAAATAGACTTGGTGGGTATGTTATTACGTGTTGGTGGGACTATGGTATGTATATATATGTTTGCTGACATGTACGTCTGAGAAAATGTTATAACCTGCAGCCGCATGGTATGTTGGCAAGAGGAATGTTCAGCTGGACCTGCTGACATGAGATTTGACTCAATCAAGTCATCTCACGTCAGATGTCTAACGACGCAGACAAACCAAAGAATTTATAAAGAGGGCCAAGAAAGCTTGTTATATTGGATCGTCCCACTCGTGCTCCTCCAACGGGAGCGTTCCGTTGTGAGAAATAAAACATCCGCCTTCGTTAGGCAAAAGAGTCCTTATGTTCGCATTATTAAATCCCGCAAATCCAAATCTACATGGATATGATTCGCTCGGACACTATTGACATCTAAATTATCCTAAAATATAGGTCTAGTTCAAATATGTCCATCGCGCATTAAACCAGCTGATTTGCTCGCTCCTAAAATCATCCTTCTCAACATGCAAGTTGAGTGTATCGTCCAACGTCGCGTTATACACAAAGTTCTGCGTGCTGCCAGCATAGGCTGGCCATTTCGGGATCCAGTTTAGGTGATGTGCGTTGGGGTCCCCAGTAGCTGCAAAAGCAACGAAGTGTGCTTGCATAGCGTAGCTAACGTTTCTCATAGCTGGAACATCTGGGATGGGTGGATATGCTGAGCCGCTGAGGAAACAAAATTGTAAGCAGATGAGCGTGGGTTAATAAAAGACAAGAAAACGAGACAACGAGATATGAGATGGGCTCACCTGACATATGGCAATCGGAACTCAAAGCTCAACTCGGCGCCATGTTCGGCAAAACCAACACCCAACCCTGGGGTGTAAACAAGCGGCAACCTGGTCGGATCCACGTCCCAACGGAAGGAGTATGCTTTCTTGCCCGTCAGGGGTGTCCATGACGCAGCAGTGAGTCTCCTTCCTGACATCATAGCAAAATCATTGATAATCCCATAAACCCTTCTCGTCTGCGTGCCAGACTGGATTCCCAATGCCGCCGTCAACGCGGGCCAGTCCAGTGTCATTGGCTGGGAGTATGGCGGATACTGCGCATCTTCAGGGTATAAGGTCAAGATCTCATTGGCAACGGTAGAATCAACACCTAAGCCAGCAGTGAGGAAATATTCGACCTCGGCCGAGGTGTTGAAAGGCGTTTGGGCACCTAGTGCCTCAGACATGCCTTCATCCGTGTTACAGCCAGTGATGATATCCACCGGGGCGATAAGAGGTGGGTTTTGGGCGTAGGCGAAAGAAGGAGAATTGCGGAGTATGTCGCCGTCGAGTATTGGCTGGAAGCCAAGAAGATTAGCCGGGAGATTGGTTATGGTTGTATTCAAGGTTTCGAATGGTACTGCCATAGATATTAACAACACATCTCTTAGAGTGCAAGAAGAACTTACGTTCTCGTAGACACTGGAGTGAGTCAATGGCATGGTTACACCCGGTATCATTCGTGAGAGCGTTGTATGTTGATTGAGCAAAAACCGGATATCCGGAACCAACTCCAAACGACGTTCCGCTCACCATAATCGCTTTTTGGAAAAGGTTGGAATTTTGTCCTCCATAAGCAACTGTAAGCCAACCAATGGAGAAGGCTCCTGCACTCTCACCCCAAACTGTTACCTGCTTCGGATCTCCGCCAAAGCCCGCGATGTTCTCATTGATCCACTCTAAAGCTTTCCACTGATCTCGAATGCCTAGATTCGTGGCTCCCTTTGATTGAACTTCTTTACTGAAAAGAAATCCAAAGGCGCTGAGACGGTAATTAATAGAGACAATGATCACGGGTTTTCCTATTTGAACAGACGTCTCGACCATATAGCTTGTGTTGAACTCTCGATCATTAATGCTTCCCTGTCGGAATCCACCACCATAGATCCATACCATCACTGGCAACTTTGCATTTGTCTTAGTTCCTGACGGCCGAACAACATTAAGATTCAGGCAGTCTTCTCCGACCTCCAAACCGAGGAGGTTATTAGAGCCATATCCGCTGCACGTCAGACCTGGTTCGACTGCTTCATGGGTGCCGCTCCAGGACGAATTTAGTGACTGTGCTAGTTCAAAGCGTGGTGCCTGCGCAAAGGGGATACCATGAAATATGTCTTGAGATAGCTGCGGAACTGCGAGACCAACGTAGGTTCCATTCCTAGTCTTCGCTGTTGGGGCCTTGGCAGGGTGAACGGTGAGTTCTGGAACCCCAAGGACAGCTAGAAAGAAGGAAAAATGAACAAATATTGAGAGATGCATGATTGACCGGAAAACGGGCTAAAGGGAGCCAATGTCTTACTGGCATTGGAATATGGCGGCCATTGGAGCATCTTATACTCCGCTTGGCGGGTAGGAACGTGGAGGTGGAGCTCATTCCCCGCCTACGACCTATTCCCACAGTTCGTAACTCACCAATTTAGTGCGCGTCATATCAAATGACGGGATGAAGAACAATAAGCACTACCAGTGCATAAAAAGAGTCCGTAGTACAGCCGAGTGATCCTTCGACGCGTGTGGAAACCTAAACCTCAAGCAACCGAACGACGGACCGAATAGGAGAACTCTACAGCATCACGCAGATATTTTATTCACTTTAGTGGCGTTATTCAGGTGATTTCATGGCAGAATTTTGCCGATTTAGTAAAGTAGATGAGAAGCTACTCAAATAATCAATACTCCAATGTAACGTGTGCTGTTTTCTGTTTTGATACCTGGGGATACGATAAACGATAAACATAAGCACTGGGCTCGGATCTCGGGAATATAGTATCCCCGACTAGTGTTAACGCACCACCTAAAGTAACCTCGCTTCCATCCGCAGCCTTGCAGGAACACCCCTGTCGAAAAACACTCTCCTCGCAGCCTCGTCTCGCCTTCCAAATCCCAACGTCAACAGCATAATCATATCAACAACCAAAACCACCCTCACCAACCCACCTCAAATCCTCCAAAATGGCCGACCGCCCCCCACCCTCTGCTACGGCGATCATAATCGGCACTGCCATCCTCTCTCTCATCACAGGCTACATGATCGGCACCGCCACCTCGCTCAACCTGCTCCCATCGCCCTTCTCCTCCGCCCCCGCGAAGACGCGCTCCCGCTCTGATACCACCGGCTACGACGACGAGGAGGAGAGCAGCGAAGAGGAGATTGAGGCCGGCGAGGTGCTCGACCACGCGCCGAACTGGGCAAATGGGCCTGAGGCGGATAAGCGCGATGGGCTTACCGTGGCCGCGCCAGCGCCGACGAAGAAGAGGGAGGTGGTGGATGATAATGAGGAGTGCAAGTTGGTTCTTGTTGTGCGCACGGATCTGGGGATGACAAAGGGTATGTTCCATTTCTCTCCCCTCCGCGCATCCGCCGCCTGACGGCCATCTCTTCCCCACCATACTTGTTGTGGCAGTCGCGCTAACACTTCCCAGGCAAAATCGCTGCCCAATGCGGCCACGCGGTGCTCGCATGCTACAAGTCTTCCCTACGCACGAACCCGTACCTGCGCGCCTGGGAGCGCGGTGGCCAGGCCAAAATCGCGGTGCAGATCAACAGCGAGGCGGGGATCGAGGAGCTGGCTGCCAAGGCGAAGGCGGCAGGGTTGGTGGCGGAGGTCGTGTGCGATGCGGGGCGGACGCAGATTGCAGCTGGGAGCATGACGGTATTGGGTGTTGGGCCGGGGAAGAGGAGTTTAGTGGATCAGGTGACGGGGGGGTTGAAGCTATTGTAATGAAAGCGAAATAGAGAAATACATGTTTTTATGATGGTATTGGGTGCGCGTGTACGCGTTTGATTATCTAGCTGTCATATTCCCTCCGTGACTCTTATGTTTCCCCTTGAACCTCTAAGCAACATCTATCGGAGCCACTCTGCTCTTCCGCATCTCCAGATACCATTAGCCCCAGGTCACTTCGTCCCATCACAACACAACCCACCCACCTATACCAGCCCAGGCAGCGCCGCCCATCTCCCCTCCACTCCAGGAAATCTCTCAACATACCACTTCCTCGTTGCTATCGCCCTCGGCAACATCGTTGACACCTCGGCAGCCACAAAGTTCCTCGCCGGTAGCGCCCCGCCTGTCGCGATATAGAACCCAACCCACTCGATCCACTCGCAAAGGTAATGTGGGCTAAGCACCCATCTGAACAGCCCTCCTGATGGTAAGACGTAGGTCTTCTTGCCACCATGGCCATCAGGGACCGTGTGGGTGGTTTCGGCTTTTGCGGGTGCCCCCGGTTTGGACGCGGCGCGGCGGCCACAGCGTAGGATCTCGTCGTGCGCGATTGTGCCCGCGAAGCCGAGGGCCCAGATGGGGAGGCCGAAACCAAGGCGCGTGGTCAAGGTAGGACCGAGGCCGGCGAGGTGGCCGCCAATGGAGACTGCGTTTAGCAAGTTAAACACCCAGGCCCCGAGGAGGATGATGGGATGGATGGGAGACATGGAGGGGTTGAGGAGGGGCGCAAGAAGCGCGCGGTAGATGTAGTGTGTTACCTTTCGGAGGTTAGCGGGCTTGGTAATTAGGAATCGGGGGTCGGGGACAAACGTAGATGCCTGCTAGGACGAGATTTTCCCTTGGAGGCTGTGGGAGAGTGGCACGCAGGCCGGTCATGGTGTATACCAGCAAAAGAGGTGCGGGGAGTTCCATGAGCATCCAGGCCAGCTTCCCTGGAATATTCAGGCACGAGGTCGTCGACGTCTTGCCCATGGGATAGTACGCAGTGAGCCATTGGACGGCAGTCACCTGGGGACAATCATTAGCTAAGTTGGCGGTGGGGGTGGAATTAGAGTAAAGTCAGGGTCAAATTGGTGTGAAATTGAAGTGAATGAGGGGTAGGGGAGGAGAACGCACGACAGGAAAGTAGGTGAAGGTGTTGACGATCAAGGTCCAGTTCCCTGGCGAAGGCGGAAGCCAGTCTTGGAGAAGAGACATATCTGACAGAGTCGTATATAAGCTTTATTGAAAAGAAACTCTTTGGGTTCGTCACTTCTCGTCTTATCAGCAACAGCTGTATCTTCTTGCAGCCTATCTCGAATGGTTGACGGAACGACACCACAGTTCTCCTGAAAGCAACTATTTGCCAGTCTGACGACTTAGCGTCTTGACAACAACAACAATAACAACAAAACAACACTTCACTCTGTGAATTGTTACGTTACTCTGCAGTTACACAATATTACGCCCTCAAATCGCTTGCAAATACCACGCAATCATATACGGATAGATTTCGGCACAAGATGCAAGGTGGAGCTATGGAGAACGATCTGCAGTGTGATCCGTTACCGAACGGGTCGCTGCTGGTGGGCGCCACTCCACGATTTAAACCCTGCAGGTGCTGCACATTTGACCCCAACGACTGGCCCCAAAGTGACGCCAAAGTCAAAATACGTTCGTGCATGACGACCTGTCCATATTGCGGGGTTAGGTTTGGCAAGGTATCGCATCTGCGGAAACATATCAGGGTCTCAGCGCTGCATGGGCCACAACGACTTACAGTTGTGGCTACGAGGGTTAGGAAGTGAGTTGAACTCTTATCATGGTAACAATAGCTAATTCATTGAGCAGCCTCTACCAGGCCGCCTACGATTCTTCGGTGCGCCTCTTTAGGCCATGTCAATGCTGCGTGCTTGACCCTGATGACTGGCCTCAGAGTAATGCTGAAATTGTCATTCGCCCATGCATGACGGCCTGTCCATATGACGGGCATGTATTCCAGAGCTCTTGCAAGCTCCGAAGACATATTGCAGAGTTCCAGGCGCATAAAGCGCGGAATCTCACAGCCAGGGCTATGGTCGGTCGGGATAGGAAGTGAGTCAATCTCTTACCGATCGTGGCTACAATAGTTAATTTATTGAGTAGGCGTCCCAGCACGGCAGTGGCGCAGAACGAGGCCCACAACGCTAGCAACCAAGGATCTCCTCTGGACGAAGACTCCGCAGACTCTGGGGATGATAGTGGCAATGACGGCGACTTTGTCGAGAACATCCTCCCGGGTCTTTCAGCTGCATCGCAGAACAATTCCCACGAAACTGGCAACCAAACGTACCCCAGGAGTCAAAGCCCCCTTCTATCTATCCAGGGCAAAAACGACCATGTTCACCTCACCGGTAGCCTAAGTTCAAGCTTCTCCTCAACCGCAGTACAGAACGGCGCGCTCGACACTGTGAAGGAAGAATCTCCCATCAAGCACATATCCTCCATAGGACGAGGAAAACCCACTTTGCAGGAAAAAATTATGGGTACTTTGACTTGAATTGTCTCAAAATCTGCGCACGATTTCATATCTCTTATATTTTTGTATAAGCCAAGTTCCAAGGCCACTGCTGAACACCCTGAACCTGTCCTACCAAAAAATCACGTCTGCTTCCATTCAACCCAGACAGGGTGCTCAAAACTATACTAAAGCCCCTCGCTCAATTAACCATTCCGCAAGCTGGTGACATGAAGGTGGGTTCTTGTCTGCAAGACGAGGTACTAAAATCGCCTGTGACTCTAGTGTTAGCAGAGGCTCTTACGTCGCTGCATAATCTGATTAAAGAGGATGCTCGTACGCTTGATGGGATGAGTACACAGCGCCAGCAAAGGCGTGTACAGAAGCTTGCCAATGCCGCCCAAATATCCTTTGCCGAAAATGCCCTTCTTCGGGATTAAAATCAAATCTTGACCACAATAAGCAACGAAGTCAAAGTTCGCAGATCGGTCAGGTCAATAGTACTGGGGAAGGCCAAGGTGATGAGCTATGGGGACATCGAGGAGGCACGAGCAAAGCGTGCAGCGAAAGAGATAATAAGGGGCAAGGGAAAACGTGGCCAGAAGCGTAAGAGTGCTGCACTAGAGGCAGGTAAGCCAGAGCTAGAACTAGAGCCAGAGCCAGAAGTGGAGAGTTCTGCGAAAGAGGCCATAAAGAGCAAGGGAAAAAGTGGTCGGAAGTGTAAGAGTGCTGCGCTGGAACAAGAGCCAGAGCCAGAACTGGCGCGGATGACGGCACTAGTGGCGCGGATGATCTAAGCGCAGGTTGAAATGACAGTTCGTTGCAAAACAATCAGGCTCTTAATGTAAGACAAATATTGATAATTCCATTGAAGTCCAGAGATCTTTCCAGAAGTCCATTGCATAGTGTGTGTAGTGACTTGAATTGACAAAGGCCTTGGAGAAATGCTCTTGCGGCGTATGTCCTATAATATGACATTCCCCTATGCAGATTAAATTTAGAATCCTTTCCTTACGGTTGATCCAGTGCTGGTTTTTGGATTTCTCTAGTTCTCTTTCCACAAGGTAGTCGGTTTTGCGCTCGTTGTCCGAAATTATAACAGGTCGAAAAATAAACAGTCGTTCAATTCCATGACCACTTGGGTGTTCGGGATGATTGCGAGGCAAGTAGCCGACAACGTCACCAACTGCTGTCTCATCTAAACAAACCCCAAAATATGGCGGTTCAGGTGAAGTGATGCCACTGAAGTGGTTATTACACCTAAAGAATGCCTGTCTTGACATTACACTTGTGCGTCCGTACGACTCATTGCACGCCATATCCCACAAGGGACTCCTTAGTTCTTCATCACTAAACAGGTCTGAAGAGTTAACACTAAAACTTGAAACCGTTCCAATTGGACAGCCCTGTGTCACCAGCAATGACGCTTCTGGAATCACTACAGGACCCCATACATGCAAGATTTGGTTGGGCATAGGTACAGGCCATCCGGTATAGCCTTCCCTTATGTTAAAGCACTTTAAGCTCTCCCAATGTAAAATGGAGGTATCTTCCATTTGGGGTTGCCTAATACTTGATGACCAGTTTGGTACCCAAGAAGGCAGACCAGATTTGGAGCCTACTATGTTCGTCTCTGTGGCCAAGGCAATCAGTAAGGATGTATCGGAAAGGAAGGCTGTAGCAGCCTCTATATAAACATCCCTGCATGACTTTGAATAATCAACCATGATAGAACGCGACATCTTAGACGTGTTTGCAATACCTAAGAGTGCAAATATTTGATCTCTAGGATCTGATGCCTTTGACTGTCTCCGATGCGCAGCTAAGAGAATTTCTCTCAAGTCTGGCCTTTCCCCTGCAGCATGGGCTTTCCTTGCCTGTTCATATTCGATAAAGCTTCCCCATAGACCCTCATAGCCATGAGAAGACGTATCATCCAAATCCCAGCAGTTGTACATATCTCTCCACCGCATTTTCAATCTTCCACACTGGATCCAGGGATCTCGAGACGCAATCAGCTCTTGTAGTACCCAGGTCCTTGTGAACCATTCCCGACTCAAGATACCCATCTTAAAGTCCTGCTTTCGAACTATCCACTCAGCGTCATCAGGATAGAGGAAGTTAACTTCGATAGCTTGGTCATGCTCTGATTTGAGAAATAACTTATGTAGCTTTTGAAGAACTCTGATTGATCCTGCTGACCGTTCATTACTCTCGCCAAGATAAATGATTGTGTGGGTTGCGGCATTGTAAACGCGTAACATCTGGCTGACTTGATGTTTTCGCTCATCTATATCATGCTGATTAATGCAGATGGAATCTATCCATAGCGAAAGAACTCGTGTTGTGTCTCGGACACTTCGCAGAACTGACTCTGCATTTTTTGTCACTTGATAGTCCCTATCATTCACCGATATTGATGCCATTTGACTACGAGTACCCCAACAATATGACACAGCAGTAAAATGCTCTATCAGTTCGTTCTCATATTCTTGAAGGCGCTTTTCCTCCAGCACACCATAAATTCTGCTTGTGGGATTCTCAGAAGGTTGTAGATTGAATACTCGAAAGCTGTCTTCATGGTGGAGAGCACTGGGATTCCAGTTTTGCGGGATTGGCTGGACAATAACATCGCCGGTGCGCGTCATTCGATCATATGTGGTTGGCGGTATCCTCGTTTCTGCCATCATAGGAAATACTGGTTTCTTGCTAAAGGATATGCTCGAGTTAGCCCATGAAGAAGTAATACTCAAGTAGTTACCAGAGCGGATGAAGTAAGTTACAAGCACTGGCAAAATATTACGAACCAAAGTTTGACCAGTGAGAGCAAGCAGCAACGTCGTCGTGAGGCAACTCTTAGATTGGCTAGGTCGCAACACAGATCGATACTAATGCGAGAGTATCTGTTGATGTTACTGTAGCCACCGGAGAGCTTTATTTGACTGTCGCATGCGAAGTTATTAGCTAAATGGGGGTGGATGTGGGATCCAGGCTAGCGTTTATTTCGGAGAAGAGCGGGGGACTCAGCCGTTAAAGGTTTCAGTGGGCAGGCTGTTGTCGTCACATGAAAAGAGGATGAGATACACGAGCGGGAATGCCTGGATGCACATGAGAACATTGCGGATGGTTTGAAACCTTATTCTCACTGTCACTTCGGTCCCCAATTTCGTTGCACAGTCTCTCCTAGTATGGCTCACACGTTTTGTTACATTAGTAGTTTAGCCTCGCATAGCCACAGTCCTAATGAGCCACAATCTAGCCGAATGACATGATGACACAAGCGAAATTACATCATAATTATTAAAGGACGTGGGGGTCACTGTACACTAACCGAAAATTGTTAGTTGTATTGAATTAAAGTATTTATCTCATGGCGACTATGCTATGAATTTGCATAGACACCCGCCACAAGGCTAATGACGATCTCCCGCTTTGTAGTGTGGCCCTAGAGCTTAGATAATACCGTTTTATAAGTATTAGAAGTGATAAGGGCTTGATAGTGGAGCTATTATGGAGGAACTCTGTTACTCTATAAATGGAGATTCTCCGCAAATCAGTCGTGAGGGTAACGATGCGAACGTAATTTTCTAGTGGGAGGGGTTTAGGGTGCTCAGGAGTGGCCATAGAACACGGCTTATGCAAATATTTAAGAGATGTCGATGTGTACACAGATTTTGGAATGATTGAAGTCAAAGTACCAATCATTTTTTCCTGCACAGTGGGTTTTCCTCCACGAAGGGAGGGACGTTAAATGGCTAGATCTTTCTATTACATTCAGAAACGGATATAATGTATTACCTGCAACGAAAATTTCCAACCTATAAAAATAATTTGGCCAAAGAAATATATTTATTTTCGGAAACAATATGAGTTATTATATAAATATATATAAATATATTTACAATCCTTCCCTACAATTTCCCATCTTTATTAATAAGCTTATTAATCTCATTTACACGAATTAATATCCATCTGCACACACATCCAAGAGCCACCCTAAACCCGTTAGGCTGACTTCCCAAGATGGTTACACTCTTCATGTAAGATTGTATTCTAAAACGTGACAACAACACCATCTACTCTAACGAATCGTTAGTAACGATCATAAGCCTTAGCTAAATTCCCACTCTACCTTTAACATGACAACTACGCCGGATCCCCGCCAACTTTCTCCGGACCCTCGCCTCTCCTCTCCAGCCACCTACTCACGCGAAGTCGCCATTTCCAGCATCATATCTCTGTACCAGAGCATACCGCACATTGACCCTGCTGACATCCAGTTTCCGCCACACGGCGGATGGCCGGAAATCACCACTGCTTCCCTCGCGGAGCGGGGGCTACACAAGACCGACGAGGTAGTGGAATTATTGCAAAACATACCTTTCATTGCGGGCATCCGTCCGTGGGTAGCGCCTGACTCGTTTGCCCTTGACTACCGTCGCGTTCTAAAGGAGAAGGGGAGAGCAGCTGTGTTCGTATGGGAGTTGGCCGGCTACGATGACAGTGAATCTGTCCCGCCGTGGGTGGTTCAGATTACCACTGGTAAGAGTTAATTGGTCTGCGATGCTGTATTGTTTGTCCCCTTGCTGACGCCGAGACAGGCACCGATCAAATGTTAGCGGCTTACATGCTAGACACCTCGGATGGCACGTTTACAAGGTACATGCAAATAGTCGTGTACCCCGAGCCGACTAGTTTATACAGCACGGACGACCCGCGCTGTTGGCGGAATGTGTGCGACGATCAGACTTGGCCAGTTGAACAGCTGGTACAGGAATGGCAAGCCAAGTATCGCAGCCTAGAGTGGTTAGGTTTACCGGGGAACATGAAATGGCCAAGCGTTCTGGTGTACGACGGCGAACCAAATGGTTGGTTATCTAAAGAGTGTATTAAGATGCAGGAGATTTACCGCGAGCATGGATGGCCTCACAACTACAGGGGCGGCGAGTGCCGCGCGGCCGTTCAGAGTTATTGGGACAACAGGCATAATACAGCGCATGCCCCGCCGCCAACCCTTTAACCACTGAAGCAAATATCTCGGCCGTAGCGTCAGATGCCCTACTAATAAGTATCGGACGGGAGGCTGCGACGACGAGGAAACAGAGGTGGTCCAGGACACTAACAACCACAGCGAGAATGGCGACCAGACGTGTACGGGAGGTATTCAGAGCTACTGCTGCAAGAGGAGCTTCCTTTCGAGAGCTGTGCTGATGAAACCTGCTCCCGTGAGATAGAGGCGCTTGAAAGAGTGGTTCAAGCTATGAGGGAGCAGGCCGAGATTGATGCTACGCCCCTAACGTCGCCATCTGAGGTTTCTGTTGAGTTGGCGACACCTGTTACAGGAAATGATGCCTTGGTTGCACCGACTAGTCAGCCTAAGTCGGGGTCTGGGAGATACTTGGCTCATCCGCGACAGACGGGGGTTTCTTATGTGTAAAAATATAGAGAATGTAAGAGGGTAGTCTCTCTATATAAGAGGGAAATATAACGTTATATGTTATAATTCCCTGTCTATATTTTTTCATCCCTATTAATAAGCCTATTAATCCCATTTATTCATATTACTACCTATTTTCGTACGTAGTTTAAGAGAGCTTCGTGCTCAGCCCAGCATAGTATTTTGTTACATACAATAACCACGTTACTCGACGCTTATTTGTCTAATCGCATGTGAAACACGTTATACTGGATCGTCTCTCATCTTCCTTTGCACCTCGAACACTCCATTTAGTGCCACATCCCGACCCGTATACTGAGCAGGTTTTGGGCTACCATATGCCTCAGCCACTTGCGCAATAATCTTTCCCTCCCAGTCGTCGCCACTCCTTTCTCCTAACGGGTCCGCAAAGCTCATTGGCACGCTGCTATCCCAAACCCCCTGTATCGTGCCTGATAGATTCTTCAAAAAGCTCGCTAGACCGCCTGCGCCCCCACCCATATTGTATGATTTGAAAGGACCTTGCACGGCCCATCTAGGGCCGATACTAGCTTCGACGAGGAGATCTAGATCCTGGGCACTGATAATATCGCGATCGACTAAGTAGCATGCTTCGCGGAGGAGAGCGAATGCAAGTCTATTCCCGACGAAGCCTGCAATCTCCCGTTTGAGGACGATTGGCTGATGGCCGGATGCCATCTCTGTGAAATACTTTTTGGCGAAGTCCACCTCTATTGATTTCGTCATTGGGGAAGGTACAATCTCAATAAGTGGCATGACATGAGGAGGGTTAAATGGATGGACAACCAAAAGTCGAGTCTGGTCATTCATATCCTGGACCTGAAGCGAGGCTGCGATTCCCGAGGTCGAACTCCATAAGTGAGTCTTATCGGAAACTAATTTTTCCACTTGGGGCCAGATAGATCGTTTGAAAGATAGGTTCTCTGGCCCTTGCTCTTGGACGATTGTAGCATTCTGGCACGCTTCCTCCAAGGACGAACAAATCTTCAAGCGGCGTGTGAGGCGAAGTTGAGATAGACTAAGCGCAGCGTCTTCGGAATCAATGTAGCCAGGTAGGACTGAATTGATGTACTCTTCAAGATCAGGCCGCGTATCGTATACAGAGACAATTGCACTTGTGTGTTTAATATGGAGGGCAGCGAAGGATATACCAATAGTTCCGAGACCGATCAAGGCGACATTGTGCTGAGCGTCTGACGACGATGCTGGTGTCATATTGTTCTGCTTTTATGGACAGACCGACAAAAATGAGGTAGACTACAATCAATGAGTGGTAGGTTTGGTATATCTAGACATATTCATCACGACCCCGCACCGCCGGCCGCTAAAATAACCCAATTCAGGGCCCTGGTACCACCCCCTCGGGTCCCGAACCATCGACGTCACAGCCGAATCAACCTACCACGCCTCGGGGTACACCACTCACTTACAGCACATGGCGTCCCGAGTATCACATTGCATCCTCCCAAGTCTTCGCAAGCACTTTCTCGTTTTCTCATCTTTAAGACTCTCTGTTTTCCACAGTACAATATATCCACCCCACCACCGCCGCCACACACAACAAACAATGTCCCCCTCCCCTCCCTCGCTTCAAATCCTCACCCCTACCCCCCCACCATCTACCCCAAAGCCAAAAACCCTCTTCATCCTTGACTCCTCCTTCAACCCCCCCACAGTCGCACACCTGCACCTCGCGCGCTCAGCGCTTTTCTCTCGGGATGAGGAGAGGTACCCGCATCCACGGCGGGTGTTACTGTTATTGGCGACGAAGAACGCCGATAAACCCGATGTCGAAGCAGGGCGGGAGAATAGAGTGACGATGATGCGGGTGTTGGCTGGAGATGTGGTGGGGTACCGGGGCGCGGGGAAAGGGAAGGAAGGAGGGGAAGAAAAAGATAGGGAGGGTGTCGACATAGCCCTCACGCCCCACGCCCTCTTCATCGACAAAGCGCGCGTTATCGCAGAGGAATCGACATATTCCGGCGCGAAGAAAGTTTTCATCCTCGGTTTCGACACGCTCAAACGGCTACTGGAGGTGCGGTACTACGACCCCCCCAGTCTATCGGGGTTGGGGCCACTGTTTCAGGGGGGTGTGAGGGTGCATTTGCGCGCTGGTGGTGAGGAAGAGGAGGGGGAGCAGAGGAGGTGGATTGAGAGTCTTGGGGGAGAGGGGGGAGAGATGGAGAGGAATGGGGGGAGGAGGGAATGGGTGCGGGGGATGGAGGTGGTGGAAGCCCAAGAGGGGGAGGTAAGTTCGAGTGAGGTTAGGAGGAGGGTTAAGGCGGGGGAGGGGGTGGAGGGGTTGGTTACGGAGGGAATAGAGGAGGTTATTGAGAGGAAAGGGTTGTATAGGGCGTAGAAGAGGAGGTTGAGATATGAGGGTTGTATAAAGAAGGTTTATAGGAGGAGAGAGGGGAAGGAGTAAGAGAGAGTTACGAGAGAGGAGTACATGAGAAGGGAGGGAGTTACTGTATATAAGAGGAAGGAGCCCGTAGACGAGCGACTGATATATGAGAAGGGCCTGGCAGATAATCAATAGTGAGGCACCCTGCCATTGAAGTTACCCATCATCGAGTGTCCCTCCTGTATGTACAGCATGCCAAATGATGAAATCGTGATGCGCCGTATCGCCGTCGCCGTGCCCGTAAGAAAATAGTCCATAGTACTATGCTCTGTGATGTATACCCGGACATTATGTTGTATATTATATCATCTTGCATTGGCACGGAATTGGTGACAGAAGTGATAAAAAGTCTGGATGAAGAAGGGACAAATAGTCGAATACGATGAGCAGATAGACAGGGCCGAAAAGCGTCTCGCAGTTTCGGAGGTTATATGGATTTTTCACTACCGTGTGCGCAATACAGGATCCATATGGTCGGTCGTCAATGGTCAAAGTCCTTTATATTATGTTATGCCCATCTTGCTGACATATCCACTCAATCTCGTTTACAAGCAGACAGAATAAAGCCAATCCAACCGGAACTCCTATACGGACCCATACTATACTCGGATACGCCAGTTAAGTCCGTAGTGCGCCTAGCCATCACCCGTACCCGCACCATAACACTAACATAACCCACAGAAACACCCACGCCCATACAGGAACCTTAGATGGCCCACGGCGGAAGGCGGCGGACGAACATGTCTCGCCAATTTCGCGCCCACAAGCCCACAACATCCCAGCCGCTGAGTCACTCGCCGTGGGCGGCTAAACCCTGTTCGTCGTCTCCCATTTTGCGGGAGCGCTCTTCGCTTCTCTCGCCGTCGCAGGGCTTCGAGCGCCTTCCCCCGTCGGCGGCGGAGGACGGTGCGAGGCTCCAATGCCCATAGTAAATTATCGAAGGGTCGGTGGTGACGGTCCTGTCGCAGCCTCCGCATCCACAGACCTGTGCCGATCTAGATGCGGAGAGAGGGATGAAGACTCCTGCCTTATACGTTCCTTTCGGTGAGGGAGAGCACGACAACGCTGTGCGGCGGCCTGAAACTCGACGCTCGGTGGGTGGTGATAACGGATTGGATTGATTGTACTGAATGTACTCTACATGTTGTACTCCCCGATGCATGCTTTTGATGCAAGGAGTCAAGAGTTTTACTTTGTGAGTTATACGGTGAGTAACAAGTTCATGGGTTTATGGAGTTATGGTGTTATGATGGCTTTACCATAGATCTCCATATGGGTCTAAGATTCGGAGATAGGAGTGGATGCTCAGGGCTGACACAACCACACCATACTTAGTCACAATTCCCTTCTCTCTGTCTCCATCGCGACGACATAACGCGCTAAGTTAAAATAAAAATACAGGCAGTACCGCATTGATAGTACTTGCATTACAGTAATATTCTCACCTATACGACATGTACCTCCAATGCGGAATTCCTGTACAGTTGTACAAATAATGAGCGAGCATGAGTGATGGTGACTAGTAGTGGATCATAGTGGGGCCGTCGTCCCTCTCCTTCCTCTCTTTTCAACACCATAACGGATCCGCTGAAAGTGGTTCTTACATCCAACAAACTCTATTTTCAAATTGTACTTCTAGTGGCAGGACGAGTACCGATGTACTCTATTCCATAGCTGAATATGATGGATGGCAGGTCTATCTATATATATGTAGGTCCTCTCTCCTTTGTCATATTCTTCTCTTTCTTCAATATAATTCTCACATTCGAGCTTCGACCTCTCCTCCACCTCCTCTCCTTCCCTCCCCTTTCTTCACAGCCCCCACTTTACCTGCCTCACTCTCTATTACTTTTCATTATCACATCATACAACAAAACACAACACCGCACAACCTGGCAAAGCTTCCACTCCACCAACACCCTCGATGACCGAGCACATACCCTCCTCGGCGACCTCCATGGTCGACGAAGAGAAAATGGAGAAGAAGCTCGCCGAATCCACCACCGACCGTCCAACAAGCGGCAGCGAGGCATCCCTCAAGGATGGCCTCTCCGCCGACAATGCAGTCCCCGAGACCGTCTACCCAACCGGTTTCCGCATGGCCGCCATCGTCGTCGCTCTCGCCCTAGGAATCTTCCTCGTTGCCCTCGACATGACCATCGTGGCGACCGCCATCCCCAAAATCACCGACACAAAAGGCTTTGAGGGGCTTGATCTGATCGCCTGGTACAGCTCTGGCTTCTTCCTGACGCTTGGTTCCTTCCAATCTACATGGTATGTCCTCCCTCCCGCCTCCTCTTCCCACCCCTGGCTCTCTAAACAATAACTAACATACTCCAGGGGCAAAATCTACAAATACTTCCCCTTAAAAATCTCTTTCCTAATCTCCATCGCCGTCTTCGAGCTCGGTTCCCTAATCTGCGGCGTCGCGCCCAACAGCACCGCCCTGATCGTCGGCCGCGCCATCGCCGGTGCAGGAGGTGCCGGTATCGCCTCGGGAGGTTACACCATCATCGCCTTCTCCGCCTCTCCTAAGATGGCGCCTGCATTTACTGGACTCCTGGGTGCTAGTTACGGAGTCGCTAGTGTGATTGGTCCGCTCCTTGGTGGTGTCTTCGCTGATCATGCGACGTGGAGGTGGTGTTTTTATATTAACCTGTAAGTCGCCCCCCCCCCCCCCAAAAACACCCCTCTGCCAGTTCACGACACTAACCCCAACCCAGACCCATCGGAGGCGTAGCAGCAATAATCATCTTCCTCTTCTTCCAGACTCCCCCCGCCGCGATCCCCGCCGCGGCCCCTCTCCGCGAAAAGCTCCTCCAAATGGACCCCCTCGGCAACCTCATCGTCCTCATCGGCGTCGTCTGCTACATCCTCGCCCTGCAATGGGGCGGCGTCACCAAATCTTGGTCTTCTGGCCCTGTCATCGGGACGCTCGTCGCTTTCGGGCTATGCATCTTCCTCTTTATTGCCGTGGAATACTACCTGGGCGAGCGCGGGATGGTCGTCGGTCGTCTGCTGAAGAAACGCACAATGTGGGTCCCAATGTTGTACTCCCCGTTCCTGGGGGGTGCGTTCTTCGTCCTGCTCTACTACCTCCCTATCTACTTCCAAGTTGTCGGCGGAGTTTCGCCGTCGGAATCTGGGATCAGGAATCTGGCGATGATTATTGCTACTTCCATTGCTACGATCGCTTCGGGGGCGCTGATTAGTATGTTCGGACACTACGTGTACATCCTCATCGCCGGCGGCGCATTCACCGCCATCGGCGCAGGCCTAATCTACACCCTTGGCCTCGACTCCCCCGCCTCCCAATGGATAGGGTACCAAGTCCTCGCCGGTCTCGGTGTAGGTTTATCAATCCAATGCGCCATCATCGTCGCGCAAAGCACCTCCGCGCCCGCCGACGTCTCCTCCGCCACCGCAATGGTGCTCTTCACCCAAACCATCGGGGGCGCATTTTTCGTCTCCGCCGGCCAAACAGCATTCACCAACATCCTCCTCAAGCGGGTTCAGATCTACGTTCCGGGAATTGATCCCCAGAGAATCCTGGCTGTTGGAGCTGGGCAGATTAGAGAGGCGTTTGAGGCGGATGTGGTGGAGGGCGTTATTAGGGCGTATTTGGATGGCCTCAGGGGGGCGTTTGCGATTGCGGTTGCGTGTGCGGCGATTGCGACGTTGGTTGGGGCGGGGGGGAAGTGGGTTAAGCTTGCGGGGATGGCGGGGGGGGCTATGTGAGCTCGTGTCTGCTTGATCGGTTGCAAAACGGGGAAGAGTTGTTTGATAGAGAGAGAGTGGAGGGGGTAATGGTATAGACCGACTTGTGGTGCAAAGATTGGACCACAACTAGATATGGGTGGATTCTTCTCTGGCGTTTTTTTGGGGCGGGCATTATTGGGTATCCTATACTCACTTAGCATTGGCGAGGCGTTCTCTTACGGATGGGTAATAGATTGATAAATAGACGGATGGGACAGGACAGGAAGGGACGGATATACAGGCTCGACCAACTCAGCAGCTGCATATTCAAAAAGACATATCTTGTATACCAGTGCTTTCTTATTAGCTTTCTGGGTTAATACTACACTACTCTATACTTGGCTGTTTCGTCCACTTCTGTATGATATATATCTCCGGTGGGGCTTTTCTGCCATGTTCTGTATAACGTAGGCTGGTCCCGATATCAAAAGTGGTCGAATACTCGTACTGGTTTTCGAGTACAGATGTCGCTGTCATGCGCTCAGCTCTCGGGGTATCTCCATATCTCGCGCCTGTCGGGTAGCTGGGGTATCTCCATATCTCCGCATCGCCTCCTGTGACGCCAGCACCATGCTGAAGCGTCCATCACCTCATCAACACCCCAACCATTAATACTTGATCCTCGCAGAATCTCTCGATCCTTATTAATAACCCATCATCATCCACAACCCCCCCCTTTCACCCCCCAACCCTCCCCCCCTTCACAACCCCTCCACTCACCCCCCCCTCCCCCGTCATCCATCCTGGCATCTTCTCTCCCTCCACAACCCCTCGTTCCACCAACCCCCTAACCCCCTTAAACACATCACTCCCCCTGAACACAACCCTAACACTCGGGCACCATCCCCCTTCTTTCTCCCCAGGGAACGGGTCTTCAATCCTCACATCCACCAATTCAAGCGGGGCACTGGGCACATCCCCGAACCGCGCCTGGGCAATGAGACGCCGGCGTTTCGCTGTTTCCGCACCAGGATCAAGGGGGCGCTTCATTCCCTTCCCTCTCCCTTCGGGCACCTCGTGTAGCAGATCCACCTCCTCCCCTTCCTCCTCTTTCCCGTCCTTCTCCCCTCCTCCGACGAGTTTACCCACTTCCCCAGCAACATTCCTATTCGTCCCCCCCACAACCTCGCGAAGCACAGGCGCCACAGATTCCAACGGCGTATCCCCCGCTTTCCTCCCACTAAGCGCATACCCCCCCCATCCACCCTGCGCCTTCCCCGTCCTTCCCCCGCCACGAAGCGCGATCATCGCTTCGAGACTGCGGGCGGAGAGGTTGGTGGATGCTAACGTGTAGCGTGCTCGCGGCCGCGAGAGGGCGGTGGGGAGACATGCTATGAGTGTCCTCCTAAGATCGCGGGCCGTGTTTTCATTTGCCGTGGTGGCTGTGCCAGTAGTCGGGGGTGATGATGCGGCGGAGAGGAAGATATGCGGACTTGCGTCTGGGAAGGCGACGTAGACTACCTTTGCGCCTGAGAGGGAGGGGGTCGTGGCATATGGTGTGTCGAGGAGCATGACTCTTAATAGTAGGAGTGGGAGTCCGGGGGGTCGGTCGAGGTTATAATGCGCTTTGATATCTGGCGGGAGGGCGCGCTGTAGTGCTTTGAGGAAGGTGGGTGGGTGGAAGCGCGGGATTGGAGGCGCGGAGGGGTGGGAGGGTGTGAGTGCATAGGCGGACCATTTCTGCGATGTTGGGTGCGTTTGTAGGATCAGCGTGTCGGCCATGGCGAGTTGGTAGAGTGTGAGGCCATGACGATAGTCTCCTGTTAAGAGGCGATCGAGTAAGGCGGTGCGAGTGCCGCGCGTGGATTGGAGGTCGGTATAGAATTCGCGCAAATCCTCCAAGCTGGAATGAGGAGGGTAGAAGTCCCCAGCGTGTAGGTCATCGGAGGAGTCATCGGCGGAGGCGAGGTAGGGCGCGCTAAGGGGCTGGTTGCGGTCGTCAAGCCAGTCGAGGGTTAGGGAGATGAGGGCGGGGCGGGAGAGTTTGGAGAGGATGCGGGGGATGGCGGGGTCGGTGGAGGGGATGAGGAGGGAGGGGGAGAGGGCGGCGGAGGTGGGGACGGAGAGGGGTGGCATTGTCGGCTTTGGGTGTGGAGTTTGTGTGGTTATTGTGGTGGCATTGGCGGGTTGTGATTGCCCCTCGGTGGTGGTGTTGATGTTGTGTTTCTCTGGGGAATTGGTTGATGGGTTTTGCTCCTGAGAGCTGGTTGTTGAATAATTCGCTTGTCACGAGTATGAGAACAGCGTGTTCTAGGTGGTGGTGCCGTGGCTCACCCGTGGATCACCTCGTTGGCATATTGTCGCGGTTTGTTTACGTCGTCGACAATTTCAAGCTCGGGCAGTTATCATGATCGCGTCAGGGTGCATATTTATTTTATCCTAGTATGTAAGGCATACTCACTGATTGTTGGTGGATCCATATCACGTGGGTAATTATGGCCAAGCCTGTCAGGCATCCAAATAGTAGTCCGTGATTGGTGACATGGTCTAGACTTCTCGTTGACGTTTGTGCCACGATAACCAATGAACGACACTGCGCAATATCACCCAAGGCGCTCTGTATGCCCAAACCCAGTGAGATATTCCGTGAGATGACATGGAGGAATTTAGTGCCTGATGTAGATCTAAGACATGTATTTATCACGTGTTAGGAGTTTTCATAGTTACCTTGTCAACAAACAGCTCAATAACCACTATACACAACTTCCGCCAACACCCACCTAACTAGGCCATTTATTGCCTTGCGACAATATTTAATTAGAAAATCTTGTACCTCTCAAAATGGCAACTCGCACCCTGGAGGCTAGCTTCAAGGGTATGTCTGTCAAAGATCAGCATGACTCTAGTGATGAAAAGACGGTGTATCCTCAAGACTAAAGTTTGTACCAAAGCTCACTCTATAATATAAACAAACATATTCTAATATAGTTAGGTTGCAGCCTCCTTAAACTCCCAATTATCGAGGAACTCAGCTAGCGATCAGAACGGGTCTAGTTATGGAAAGAAATCATATTCCAAGTCCATAGTTTGTTTACCAACTTTCTCTATGGAGACATACTCTATTATGATTAGACCGTGACTTCTGCGGCCATGCGATTGTCGAAAGCATCACTTACTAATCACTCGAACCTTCGCAAGGTTGCCTTAGAGAATCAAAGCACTATGTCAAAGACTACGGCAGTCCCTTCGCAAGTCGTGCAACTGTCAAGCTCGAGCGAGTCGGTTGTGTCCGAACCACCACCGCAAGAAGCCGCTGCCGAATCATCAGAAGGGTCACAAAAATCACGGCCCTCCACAATGCAAAAACAGCCTAATGCCCCGAAACAATTCCATCTCGGCATGTTCGAAATTGGCCGCCCTTTAGGAAAAGGGAAATTCGGACACGTGTATTTAGTGAGGGAACGGAGCAGTGGATTCATCTGTGCTCTCAAGGTTATGCATAAAGATGAAATCAAATCAAACGGTGTTGAGAAGCAGGTCCAAAGAGAAGTTGAAATCCAGTGTAATCTTCGGCATCCAAATATCCTTCAGCTTTACGGCCATATCCACGACAGCAAGCGAATATTCTTGATTTTAGAACTTGCTAAAAAGGGAGAGTTGTATAAGCATCTTCGTCGCGAGCGCCGGTTCCCAGAATGGCAGGCTGCGGCGTACATTGCCCAGATGGCCTCGGCGCTAAAGTTCTTACACAGGAAGCATGTAATACATCGAGACATCAAGCCGGAAAACATCCTGGTCGGTGTCCATGGTGAGCTTAAGATTGCTGATTTTGGATGGAGTGTGCATGCGCCTTCTAACCGACGTAAAACAATGTGTGGAACTATGGACTACCTTGCGCCAGAGATAGTCAACCATTACACCTACAATACAGCCGTCGACTTATGGAGTTTGGGGGTCTTAATGTATGAACTTTTGGTAGGGGAAGCGCCATTTGAGGATACGCCAGTCCTCACATACAAAAGAATAGTTCGTTGTGAAATGACAGTGCCGAGTTTTGTGTCTCCGGAAGCTAAAGATCTAATTAATAATGTAGGTCAATATTCTATGCGATCAGCGTTCAACGTTAATATTATAGCTTCTGGTTGTCAACCCAGAGAAGCGTATGCCACTTGAGGACGTTCAAAAGCACCCGTGGATCATCAAGCACTGCAAGAAGGGAGAATTCGATAATGTAAAGGAGTTGAGATTAAGCAAACAACAACGCAAGTCGGTGCTTGATAGCGCGAAATGAATACGCTACTTCACAGGGTGCTGAACGGACCGCAGGATATGAAGCCTTTCACAAGTAGCACCATGAGGAAGGCGGATGGCACCCATGCATCATATAGAAGTGCTGGCAGTTTGTAAAATATCATCCTTCGCCTTATACAGCATGGTGAACAATAAGAGCTGAGTATGCATGACTTAGGCCATACAAATATAAATCGCACTAAAATAGATAGCAATTAATCCAACGCCGTTTAATATTCACGGGGACGTTAACTTGATACTCACGGTCAGCTCTAAAATCCATGCTATAAAAGCCATATCTAGCCGGTCTAGGAATATAGATTTTTATTAATTTATACTTCAATTTTTCAATTATCAAACAGTTTGTAGTATTCTCAGATTTCAAGCGTTATTAAGTGGCCAACCTATTTATATTGAAAGAACGACTAAATGAGACAATAACGTGCTAAATGAGTGTACCCCAACTACTTAACTCGACAAAAGAAAAAGAAGAAAAACAGAACCGACCCCAAGATTCTGTCTATGATTGCTTCCTTATATAGCCGTCACATGGCCTCTATGCCTGTTGTGGTCGTCATCATCATCATAGCCACAGACGCAAGCAAGCTGCATCTTCTTAGCGAAGAAGATTCCCAAAGGACTCTATGAAATCACTATATTAAGGATCGACAATTGGGCTCAACTTCTTGTCTGCATCCTTTAGGAAATTGAACTCATATGGATGGAAAGTGCCAGCAGTAGCATGGGATGGTAGGCCGTCGTAGTCAGAGGAGGAGTAGGTCGGTGAGCGCCATCACGGGAAACCCCCTTTTTCGATCGATCGATCAATCTGTCCTGTTGTGTTAAACTGAAAAATATGATCCGTGCTCTGTAAGCATAGACGGCAAATAGCCTACGGTAAAGTATCGGAAAGGGCGCTCTATGATCTCACCACGGCCACAAATGTAACCGCATCATACCCCAAAGAGGAAACGAGGCAATGCACGCACGGCCTCGGATGTACTTTAGTGGGATGCTTAACAATCACGATCACTCAACATGGGATGTCACGTGACGGGTTAACCCCACGAAAAAAAGAAAAGAAAGGGCAAGACAGTAAGACAGTCGAATCAAGGGAGGGAGAGAAGTAGCTAAGCCGGGTAATTACGCCGTGATAATTAATTTGGGGTGGGATTTGTGCGTATATTCCGTTTACTGATATTTCCGTTTACTTGTATCTGTATCGTGTATGTAGAGTCAGTGAGGGGTATACTGTTTTTCGTCTGAAGTAGAGTAGAAATGCGCAATAGGGTGAGGATGGCATAGTTTTATTATTCTCCTATTATACTCCTCCTATTATACTCCTATTATACTCCTATTCCTATAGCCGAGTTAAATACTGACGGATATTCTCTTTCCCCTACCCTTTTCCTAGGTGGCAACGCGATTAATAGTCCCTGATTTGATAAATAACGTTCCTTGGCACCTGAGCCTCGATAAAAAGAGGGCTTTTCTATTTCCCCATTAGGATTAGCGCGCACTCCACCGGCGCAGGTTAAGGCAGGTTATCGGCAGCCGACGCCCATCATTTTGTATTTTCGTACTGTAATACTGGTAATAAATCGTAAAATAATCACTCACACGTGGAAATTCCCCCCCCACGTCCCCCAAACTGCCCACCACCCACCCACTGCCAGCCACTGCCAATCCTGCCCACCACCCACCACCCACCACACATTCCCGGTCAATAATCAATCCGTACATGATCGTTCCCTCGATCCCTCGATCCCTCGAAACAAAGGAAAACCCCCAACAACAACTTCTGCCGCCACCATCACCAACCACACTTCTATAACAAACTCGACTCTCAGAAATAGTCGACACTTACAACAACTACAATTTAATCGCCGTCAAATATCGACCCGGCGTAACCCATTGGCAAGAAGGGTGGACCGGCTTACCACATCGAGTCATAGTGCCCGCATTTCCCCCGGCCGGCTACGGAGACAAAGAGCCTTCATCGATACTAAGACCACACATCTCCAGCGTCACCTCGACTTTCCTCACCCCACAACAAAATAACCGCGAAGGCAACAGACTTCGATCCCGCGCAAGACACAGAAACAACGCAAACACCTCGATCCCCTCTGCGGACAAACACTCGACAAACGGAGATCACCTCCGATCAACCCCTCCATCATGGCGAGCAACCCATATCACGACGGCCAGCGGGGTCCAAACGTGGCCGAGTTCATCGCGAACCTGAATGCCATCCCGTCGGCACAGGACCTGGCTGCGCAGCAGCAGCAGGACTTCAACTTCGATGACGACCTGGCCATGTTCACCAACGCCACCTTCTTCGACTTCGATATCGGACAGGACGCCGACCTCCAGCCCGCCGCGCTCGGGTTCGACGGCCAGCAGCGCGGCGGCGACGCGCAGCTGCAGAGCTCACAAGACATGGCAAAGGCGAACATGGACTTTCTACAGGGTGAGTGACGCTTATTTTACATTTTTACACGGTCTATCTGTTTTGCGCATTGTCCTGTCGTCGCCTCTACCTCGCCGTCGCCTCGCCATATTCCACCACCACACACGACCTTTCAAAGTCTTCTGTGGTTGGGTGCTAGGTGGCGAGGCTACAGCTACCGGAGAGTGCGAGCGCTACCCCCACGGGCCCTCTGGTGCAGCGTGCAGGCCTGTTGTGCAGCTGAGCAGGGGCGAGACCCTTACTCCTGGGCCGGCTCAGCTCCTGAGCACGGGTATTTGCCCTCTGTTGGCCCTTCCCTGAGCACCCCAGTACGGGTTTTCGCGGGTTTCCAGTGCTGGTTTTTTCCCAGCTAGCCATTTGCAATCTGGTCGATCTTTCCGCGCTGTACCCTGTCCCAGACTCTGCCCTGGCGCGGCCTTGCTTTGTTCAAGCGACGAGCGAGGATTGGGCTGTGTCGACTGAGTGGGGGGTCAGTACGGGGGGGTGGCTGGCTGGTGGGCGGGCTCTTTGTTGGTTACGAGTGCTTTTGGTATGGGGCAGATGAGTTTGTTTGCATGGGCGATGGTGTGATGGGCGGCACTATGCGACACGCTATGGCTGTTCAACCCACCAGCGCGAATCAGCAGCGCCAGTAGCGCACGTAGTGCGTATAGTGCGAATAGCATCACCTCGCAGCGGAGTGCAAAGGGAATAGCCTGCAGATAGTTTCTGCAGGTTTCCACCTTGCGGTTTCGATAGTCAGACAGTGGACAGCACTGCTGTACTGTACTGTGCTGTGCTGTAATTTGCTCTACTGTACTGTACTGTATTGTACTGCATTGCACTGTACTTCACTGTCTCTGTACTCTGTACACCAGAAACCCACGACTTCCAGCCAGCGCAATCAATGTTAATCAATGACAATCAATCATCCTCGGTGCAACTCCAATGCACCTAATCTATCCGGCGTCGGGGCACTTGTCTCTTTTTATCTTTTATCAGTGAAAAGATACGAGAGACAGGCCTCGGAAAGAGACCTGGGTGGATTGCGAAGACTGGGAAGACTGGGAATATCGGGAAGGTGTGCGAGGAAGTGACGCGCCGAAGCCGATCCTGCCACAAACAAGTCCAAAACATCCCAAAACACCCCACGACCCCCAATCTTCCTATTGCTCAATTAAGTCACCCCCCTCATTTCCGACGTGGGAGTCCCGGCAACCGTGCGATTGCGTGCTGTCGCTGCTCCTGCGGGATGCCACAGGCCCAATTAGCGTCGGTCAGCCTTAGCACGTCTTTTCACGTGATACACCATCAAATATCCCCCTCCCGAAATACCACACATCTCTTATTATGAGAAGGCGTTCTCCAGTTCTGGAGTTCCCCCTCCCCCTTCCGCCCCCCCGAAAAAGCCGTTTCCAAAAAAACCCCACGTTTGCTCCAGCCAAAGGGCTTCTCCCGTGTTGCGCCACCATCGTGAACCTCAACCGATCGTTTTTGCTGACGATGTGATGGCTCGAGTAGGCGACTTCGCGTTCCCGGACTTCAGCTCCTTCTCGCAACAGCACCAGCACCCCAACGACGGCTACGCCGTGAACGGGGCCCAGCACGGCAACGGCCCGCAGCAGCACCAGCAGCTGTACCCAGCATCGGGCGACTCCAGCTCGTCACCGCCCTCGGGCCTCACCAGCCCGCAAAACGGGGAGAAGCGCAAGGCCTCCGACGCCCTCCTCGACGGCAATGGCGCCTACAGCGCGGGCTTTGAGGACTCGTCCCGCGTCGCGGCCGAGGAGGACAAGCGCAGGCGCAACACGGCTGCCAGCGCGCGCTTCCGCGTCAAGAAGAAGCAGCGTGAGCAGGCGCTCGAGAAGTCGGCGAGGGAGATGAGCGATAAGGTCGCCGCGCTTGAGGGGCGCATTGGTCAGCTCGAGACGGAGAATAAGTGGCTCAAGAACTTGGTCATGGAGAAGAACGATGATAAGGAGGATCTCGCGGCGTTGTGGAGGAAGTATAGCCAGGAGACCGCCGACAGGAAAGGTGACACGCGCAGGAAGGGTGTCGGAACATCGGAGTCGTCGGCTTAGGCTTGTTCGCGCCTGTGAAGCTACTCGACTGTCGATTACATAGGGGTTGTCTTCTTTTTGGGGGGCACCCCACACACGATCGAATCAAAGCAACAAACCACATTTTCTCCGAGCCGATATTTTCGAGAACGACGATGGGATTCTATCACTCGCCGTCCTTGCATACTTCGGGTTTATCTCAAATCTTGTCTATATAGTGCTTTTGTTGTTGCTGCCATGTTATGATCGTGGATTTTTTTCCTTGGGATCTATTCGTCGAGTTTGGGATTTTAGAACTTGTTTCTGGGGTGCCGGCTTGGTGGTGGATGGGGGTAGGGGTCAGGTGTTGTCATTTTTTTGGCGGGCCTGGCTTGGCTGGGGGAGGGAGGGCGGTGCATGCATGAGTGGATGAATATATGATTTTTCAAGTTATGTTCGTTGTGTTCTGTCTGTCTATATACCGTGATGTGAGATGCCTGTAACGCCTGTACTCTATATACACTCTATCGCTTGCGTCTATCCTCGCATATCCAGCCCACGGTCACCTTCATCTAAATCTATCCCTCTATCCTTCTATACCAACACCCATAACCACCCCGCCACAATCTCCAACCCCCTAAACCACCTCCTCCTTGAACCCAAACATCCTCCTCGAATTCCCCCACGCCGCCTCCGCCACCTCCTCAACCCTCACCCCCTTAATCCTCGCCACAGCCACCACAACCCGTCCAATCAAACACGGTTCATTCCTCCCCTTCACCAACGCCCCTTCGACCCACTTCTCCTTCTTAACCCACCTATACCCCGCCTCCCTCTCCAACACCTCCTTCGCTACCTCATCCTCCTTCCCCGGCCCGTCGTAACTAGGTCCTACGAACGCGGCGGATGCGTGAGTAGGTCGCATCTCGCACCACGGGCCGTCGGTCTCGACGTGCAGCCGCTCAAGGGGGAGGGCGCGCACGACGTCTATGCCTTCGGCGGCGCGGATGCTGCAGCCGTTTATACCGACATCCCAGCCTGCTGCGACGAGTTCTTGCATTTCTGCCACGGTGCCGGTGAAGCTGTGCACCACCCCCCTCTTGGGAAGTTTATCAGCACGCAACGTCAACTCGTGTAAGAAATCCTCGTGCGCGGCGCGGGAGTGCAGGAATAGTGGGGGGGGAGAAGGTAGAGAGGCTGCGAGGTCGAGTTGGGTGCGGAAATGGGTGAGTTGTGTCTCCTTGGGGGAGAGGGTGAGGCGGTCGTAGTCGAGGCCGATTTCCCCGATGGCGACGAAGGCTTCTTTGGGGGCTGAGAGGAACAACTCGCGCAGTTCGTCGAGGAGACCCTGCGGACCAAGGGGGTGCGTGTCGAAGGCCTGCGTGGAGCAGGGGTGCACACCGATTGTGCAGGAGAGGAGGGTGGGATGCTCTGCACATAAGTCCAGCGCGGCGTGCGAGGTGGGGAGGTCAGAGCCGGTGAGGAGGAGGTGTGTGAGGCCGGCGTCGCGGGCGCGTGAGAGGACGGCGGGGAGGTCAGGGGCGTGCCGCGGGGTGCCGTGGTGGATGCCGTTGTAGACGGGGTCGGTGAGGTTTATTCCGATCTTGGGAAGTGTTAGAATTGGGTTTTGTGGGGAGGGGGGGAGGGGCATACGTCGATGAAGCGGGGTTTGTAGGGGGTGGAGGGCGGGGGTGGGGGGGTGGAGGAGGTCATTGTTGTGAGTGTCCGGAAGGCGGAGGGGATTGAAGGTTTTTGGTGATAGAGAGGGCGCGTGGGGAAGCGCGAGAGGGTGCGCAGGGTGATGCGCATAAGGATAAGTGAGTGATCTTGAAATTATTCCCCGGGTATAAACACAACGTTCTCGAACATATAAAAAGCCCGGCCCACCTAAAGGCGTGCCTGGGCGCGGAAGCGGATCATTACCTCCTCCGAATCCTTATCCGCAGGGTCCTATGGATCGGTGAATCGCGGGCCCAGGAAAAAAAGTGTTGAGGGGTGGCGCGGCCGGTGTCGGGAAGTGCCGAGGCGCCGCGACGGCGAGGACGGATTAAATTTCTTGTATCGGCCGCGCATGTGGACGAGTCGTGTCGCTATTGACGAGAGAACAAAAACCAACCGGGCGGCACTTTTGTGTGATTTTTTTTCCTCTATGGAAGGGCGATTTGTGGCCGGTTAACGATTGATAGGATGAAAGGGCTTAATTTTGCGCAGGGCTTTGCCAGGGCGCCCTGGACGTGTCGCGCTTGCACGAGGCAGATAAGACAGCCGCTGCTGAGGGCGACGGGGAGGAAGGGTTATGCGACGGCTGCGCCGACGGCGAGGAGGGGGTTGAGTACGGGGACTATTCTGGTTACGGCGACGGTGGGGTCGGCGATTATTACGGCGGCGGTGTATCCGAATGATGTGAAGCATGCGTACCAGGCGTGTCAGAGGTCGGGGAGGGTGGTGGTTGCGCTGGCGAAGTGTATTAATGAGTAGGTACTCCAATGGAAGATGGGATGGGGGGATGAGAAGATGCTAACCTGGGCATAGTTATCGCGTTACCCTCAACCACAACGAGAAGACACCTGAGGACGAGGATGAGAATACAAAGAGGCTGAAGGCTTGCCACCAGCGATGCGCCAGTCGCACACTCAGGGTGCTGGAGCAGAATGGAAGCATATTTATCAAGTTGGGACAGCATTTGTCGTCCATGAACTACCTCTTACCCGAGGAATACTGCAAGACGATGCTGGTTCTCCAAGACAGGTGTCCCGTCTCATCTTACGAATCGATAGAGGAGATGTACCTCCACGATACAGGCGGAAAACTTCTCGACTACTTCTCCGAATTCTCGCCTGAGCCCATCGGCGCTGCGTCTCTCGCGCAGGTGCATCTGGCTACCATAAGAGAGACGGGACAAAAGGTCGCAGTCAAGATGCAACACCCGCACCTGGCTCAATGGGCAAATCTCGACATGAAGCTCACCGCCTACACCTTCTCCGCGCTGAAGTACTTCTTCCCCGAATACGACCTCGAGTGGCTCTCAAGCGAAATGGAGGTCTCCCTCCCCCAAGAACTCGACTTCAAGCTCGAAGGCCAAAACGCCCTCCGCACAAAAGAATACTTCTCCCACATCCCCTCTCTACCTCTCCTCATCCCCGACGTCCTCTGGGCCAAAGACCGCATCCTAGTAATGGAGAACATGTCCGGTGCCCGCCCCGACGACCTCGCCTACCTCGACGCCCACGGCATCGACCGTGATGAGGTCTCAGCCGCGCTGGCGCGCATCTTCAATGAAATGATCTTCGGCACTAACGCGCCCCTACACTGCGACCCGCATGGCGGCAATCTTGCTGTGCGCCCGAGCACACGCCGCGGCGGACCGAACTTTGAAATCATCCTCTACGACCACGGTCTGTACCGCGACATCCCACAGAATCTACGCCGCGCGTATGCCAAGCTGTGGCTCGCGATCCTAGACGCCGACGAGGCGGAGATGCGGCGCTGGTCGCACGAGGTGGCTGGCGTGACCGATGACGATTTTCAGCTCTTCGCGTCTGCGATCACCGGCCGTGACTACCGCGCCGTCGGCACAGGGGTAGCGTCCGCGGTGCGCACGGCCGAGGAGAAGCGCGAGATCGGGGATCAGTTGGCGGAAGGGATGCTAGCGCAGCTGGTGCAGATGTTGGGGAAGGTTCCGCCGATTATCCTCTTAATTCTAAAGACGAATGATTTGACGAGGAGCTTGGATGAGGGGTTGCAGACCAGACAGGGGCCGGTGAGGACGTTTCTTATACTGGCGAGGTATTGTGCGAGGACGGTGTGGGAGGAGCAGGTGGAGCAGATTAGGGAGGCGGGGAGCTTGTTGAGGCCGAGGAATTTGGTGAGGCTTTTGGGGGCTTGGTGGGGGTATTTGAGGGTGGAGATGAAGTTGGAGGTGTTTGAGAGGTGGTTGGGTGTGAAGAGGGTGCTGGGCCTCTCGCTGTGAAAGATGGTATATAAAACTTGAGAAGCTGGGAAGATGATGGGCTAAGGATAGGGGTGTTCGGATAACTTGTAATATTAGCGTGCATTATAGAGCAAACATAGAAGCAACCTAGTTGCAGGGCAGCCATCATATAGAATTGGGTAAATATTATATAAACTAGCGTACGCCCAAAATGCTCATATCCATTATGCCAATGTAGTGCTCCACCATAACTCCATAACTCCATCTCATAAGTCCCTCCCAATTGCTTATAGAAAGTCTTCATGATTTTTGTAGACTCCCCCATTCCTTCAGCTTTGCCACACAGCGTGTATGATATGACTCAATCGCCTTCTTATAATCCCCCTCCAAGTCTCCCTCTAGCGCCTTCTCAGCTAGCTCACTGGCCGCGCGAAAATCGTCGTAAAAGTATAACTGCTCGATAGCATGGATGATGCTCTGGAACTGCTGCTTCGAGGGGTTGTTTATAGGGAGGTCGAGAGTTTTGTAGATCTGTAGTCCGTTAGCTTTTGAAACGTAGAAAACATAAAGTATATCTTACCTCTCCATTGTCGATCGTAGGCTTCCATGACGCCTTTTGCGCCTCGTAGTCCTCCTGCGACTGAAAATCGCGGGGTACCTTCACCTCCGGTGCAGCGCCGGACTCAGAGTCTGAGGACCCAAGGTCCATAGCTAGAAAGCCGCCATCATCTCCGTCTTCCGCCATATCTTGAACTTGGACACGTCCTGTCGTATAACTGCGAGGGTGGACGTCGAGCAGTGTGGTTCAGAGTCGCATCATCTGGAAAATAAGGTAAGAAAGCTTATCGTGCAGCGGGCACTAAGTGAACCCGCGTTACACGCCTATCTTACCCCGCCAAGGTCCCCCGCACCTACTCCGACTCAGCTGCGGCTCCGTTCTTGTTTCAACGTTGCGACGTAAATATAAGACGATATGGAGGAGCAAATCACTCGTTTGGTAGATAAATTAAAAAGTATGCATACCCCGGATATTTAAAGGCCGAGCCACAGCTAACAGACCGCGGCAGACAAGGTCTCGGAGCTCCAACCGGGCTCCCGATACCTCGTAGCCATCTCTGGCATCCCAGGCTCTGGTAACTATTCACAGCCTTATCCAACCCATTATGACTACAAACTAACCACACTCACACAGGCAAGACAACTCTAGCCTTGGCCATAACCGCACGCCTCAATGCCTCCCACGCCGCCTCCAACCCCTCTTCCCCCCCTTTAGCTGTCTATGTCCCCATGGACGGCTTCCACCTCACCCGCGCCCAGCTAAGCGCCATGCCCAACGCCGCGGAAGCTCACGAGCGGCGCGGCGCCCCCTGGACCTTCGACCCGCAAAAACTCCTCGATTTCGTGCGGGCGATGAAGGACCCAGCACGGGGCACCGTATTCGGGCCGTCGTTTGACCATGCGCTCAAGGACCCGGTGGAGGATGATGTGAGGGTCGATGAGAGCGCGCGGGTTGTGGTGCTGGAGGGGCTGTATCTGAGTCTGGAGGTGGGGTTGTGGGGGGAGGTGGGGCGGGAGATGGATGAGCGGTGGTTTGTGGATGTGGAGAGGGAGGTTGCGACGGGGAGGGTGGTGGAAAGGCATGTTAAGAGTGGGGTTTGTGCGTCCAGGGAGGAGGCGGTGGAGAGGGCGACGGGGAGTGATGCGTTGAATGCGGAGGAGATTATAGCGGGGAGGGGGGAGGTGGAGGAGGTTATTAGGAGTGTGCAGGATGAGAAGTGGGCGGGGTTGAATGTTGAGGATGATGAGTAGGGAGGGTGCAGGGCGCGATATTAGACGGTGTTTCACTACCAAGGCTATCGTAGATGAAGCGATATGATATTTATTGGAATTCGGGGTATCAGTTTCAAAGGGGTTACTTGCTCTCGGATTCGGCACTACGGAGTAATCGCAGGACGTCAGAGACAAGATATAAACTCCCTGCGATAACCAGGGGCCCACCTGCAGCAGTATCAGCCGCCCAGCGCAGTGCTCCCGAGACATCGCTGCCAGCGTCATGCTGCTGTGAAGTTTCCACACCAGCGCTAGAAATACTGCTGAGGATATCCTTCGATGACATTGGTTGTACCCACGGCATCCCATCAACGGCCCCGAACTCAGTCGTCACCACGTTGTCGCCAGGCTGCACAAGGGGCTTCAGAATGTTATCGAGCTCTTTCCCAGCTGATGCGGCGAGGACCCATGTCACTCTAGAGGACTTTGAGCGCAGTTTGCGATCGACGAAAGCTCCGAGGGCTGCTGCTGATTGCGCATTGTGTGCGCCATCCAGTGTAGTCAGCTCCTGACGTCCGGTAATGGCGCCGATTCCTATTTGTTGCAACCTTCCCGGCCATTGCAATTTCCGTACAGCAGGCAGGATCTGATCCAAGGGGGGGTTGGGGTTCCTGGTTGCTATCTGAAATGCGTTGTATGCGCACGCAAGATTATCCAACTGGTGCGGCTCGAAATTAGCTTCTGATATCTCTTTAGCGACTTCAGAACCCATTGCGCTCAGAGCGACCTTGGTGCCAATGTCCCGAGCATGCTTTTCCACTACTTCCCTCACAGAAGGGGGGTTGGTGCTGTCTAGCACACAGGGTACTCCTGGTCTCATGATGCCTGCTTTTTGCAGTGCGATTTCTTCGAGAGTATTTCCCAGGAATGACTGGTGGTCAATTCCCATCTTGGATATGACAGTGACAGCTTTATTCTCTAGGATATTTGTCGCATCCAGTCTCCCACCCAACCCAACTTCTATCACGCCCATCTCGATCTTCTCTCGCGCAAAGATTTCGAATGCAGTGGCGGTCAAGAGCTCAAATTCAGAGGCACCAATCCCCTCATCCTTGTTCCGGTTGTTGACCAGGCGCTCAGCCTCGAGAAATACCGACTCCTGCACCGCCTTATCGTTGATCGTGATGCAGTCCCACCTGTCGATGAGATGCGGGGATGTGAAACGGCCGCTTCTGACGCCGCTTGCCTGTAGCATGGCGGAAAGGTACGCGCATATTGTCCCCTTCCCATTGGTACCCGCGACGTGGATCGCCTTCCAAGTCTGAGGCGTGTGTTGAACCAGGCGCGCAATGCGCATCAAGCCAAGCTCTATCATATTCCAGCTGCTGTCGCTCGCATTTCGAGCAAACGAAACTTAGAATTCACCTCCGAGTCATCGCAGTCGCCAAGATACCAGGCTGCTGTCGTCGTTGTTGCAGCTGTTGCGGTGCTGCTGGTTATATTTCAGACGTGAGTCAGTATCTCTAGAGCACTGAGGTCGTATCAATCTATAGAATCGATGATGATGTTCCTGAAATATTTTAGCGCGAGTCCTTAGCGCGATTTCGGAACAAAAGCCACAGGTACAACAGGGTACTTTTAGTGCTCTACTGGAGCATTGTTACCTCGTGGGGGCGCACGATCTGATTGGCTGAGGAATTGTGTCACCCCGTCACGCTTGGCTTTCCCTCCGATCTCCAGACATCGCCCGCCCGCCTCCCCAATAATCCGTCGCTTCAGGCATTATCTCATCTCAAAATCAATTGACGCCGTCGACCCCGACGTCTAAGAATATTATTTGAAATCTTTTTGAATCTATCGCGATTTCTATAACCTCAATTCGCGACCGTCCTTCACTCCAGAAATCCAAACTCTTGTCGAACTCTACCCCAGAGTTGACGCGCCACATCTGACATGGGCCTGCCGTAAGTTGCCTTCGCGATTAGCCCCAATCAACACGCTCTACGGTTGCTAACATGAATTCGCCAACAGATTATTCGTAACGCCTGCTGATAACGGGATATCGCCGAGGCCTGGCGACAAGGAAACTTCCAATGAGCGAACTACCATTCGGAGACAACGCCCCGCCCGTCGGGGGCGCACTATCTCCAGCAGCGAGCGCCTGCGAGAGCACTGGGTCCGAAATGGAGGCAGATTCTCTTTCCAGGAGCCACCGAGCATAACTTCGCAAATGGAAGAAAGCGCTGCCGCTGCTTTAGAAGAAAGAATCACCAGGACTACCATGGAGGAGCGCCGCCGGCGCGCGCAAATGCAGGGCGCACCCGTCGCGATTCCTTCCCCTTGGGCCGACCGTTCCACGCCCCCTCTACCTTCATCAACGACAGAGAACCCTGCCCCCCGCGTCATGCCGCCGAATCCTTGGGGCTGGAACTCGCAACCCGATGGACCACTTCTTCCTCCAGCGCCAGAGTCTCCCCCTCTATTCGCGGCCCGGGCAGCTTGGAGGAGTGCGCCATCCAGAGGATTTACCCAGCGAGTAGATATCCAACAGCTCTACAATGATCGTGCACACGCCCGCCGCGCAAGGATTGCTATTGCCGCCCGGAACCACCCTTCGAGAAGCATAAGGCTGTCTGTTGCTGAGCAAAATGCATTTCTAGAAGCACAGAATGAGTTGCTGAATTCCCTGACGGAGGAACAATTGATGGCTTCGGATGCTGACCCTTTGGGGACGCCGCCTCCTTGGATGAACAGCTCAATCCTATCCCAGGTCAGTCCGCCATACTCATCGATATAATTTGGTTTTCTAACGTGACATCTAGCTAAGAGATGAACCAAGTGCAAGCGCAAATGCCTTGCCGCCTTCAGAGAACAACTCTACAGAGAGGCGCCGGTTCCGTCTACCACGCGTCGATGGCCTTGGCGACCGTGAGCGAAGCTTAAGCCCTGACGGAGACGGAGCATGGGACACTTTGCTCACAACCATCAGTCCCGATCCCCAACCGCCAAGTGCAGGGTCGTCTTTTGCATCGACGTCCGCCTCTGAAGCCGCCTCGTCGGTACCTACTTCCACGTCTTCCGCTACATCAATAGGACCACCGATAGAAATCGACTACGGTGCCTCGTTCGAGAACATTTGCGAGTATGTTGAAGCTAATTCGCCATCATCGGATCCAGACGAGGAGGAGCAGGAGATGTTGGATTTTTTTGATGCCCGTGAAGCTGGAGAGCGATTCTGGCGTGGCTACACAGATGTTGTGGCAGCGCGAGCTGACCGAGTCGCTAGACACGCGAGTCAAGCTGATGGGGAGAGTATGGGAGGCATGCAACGCATTGTCCGGCGACTGGCTCGCAGACAGGACATTCCAGATGAGTGGTGGGCAGAAGTTGGGCTTAGCCGGACTATTCCTCACGAGCTGGTCCAGTCATGATAAAAGCAGGAAAAGTCTCACTTTTGTTGAAATAGGGGAAAGGGCGCATCGCTGATATTCTCGCTTCTGGGGTGTCCAGGCCATGGGCGGCGTTAGAGAGGAGGAAGTTCCATTATGGAGGCGAAGATTTGATATCACGGTCAACAACGTATGTAATACACATGTAAAGTAACTTGCTTTAACTGCAGAAAAGCACGATATCCACGGCGACCTCTCGTTATTATAATAGCTTAGTTACTTCGCAGACCAGGGGAAGCTGGTACTTGCCTTGGTTGTACGATAGCCGACATCTTGCATCATTAATTTTAAGCAGATAGAAGGTTATCATAAATGGACACTCAATTCCACTGTGAAAACAAACTTTATAGAAAACTGCAGCTTACTTGAGTTTGTGTATCTTTCAATTTCTCGAGTCCTTTGATATTATCCCCAGAGTGTATTTGTGTGGTTATCCCTTGGCTCCACTTCGGCCTCCGGATTAACATGTATGGGTCACGACCACGATCAGAGGACCATCCCTTTTCGGTAGACGCAAGCCACATCCTCAGCCTTACCTGGTGAGACCCCTGCAACCAAGTATACTGGCCGTTTGCCAGCTCAATTTCGGAATCCAGCTCGTACAGACCGGCCAATGCGACTGACTCCCTAACCGATCCTCCCATAGCCCTTCAAGCTTGAGGCTACGACCACCAGACCACGAAATCCCACGACAAGAGCCCGAAGAAGCCGTGCGTGCTCCTCCAAGACGAACTGCCCCCGATCCCGTCGATACAGCCGCGACCCTTGCCTATAAGCCGGGCCCCTCCTCCGAACTGCCATAGGTGAAACGCAAAGACGAGTTTCGTGGATAGAGGACTGAGGCAGGGCAGATGATGTGATGAGACGTTCTCCAGCACGGCTTGCTTCGTTTCTCTCTACCGGCATACAATAGTGTTGCTGCCACCGCGAGACGCATGGTCATGGTTTCCCATGCGCCATCGTCAGGGGAGCGGCAGGCGAACGGCAGAGCTGGGGCACAGGGACGCGGAAATGGAAGAGTCGAGAGGGCACATGGGACACCGAGGAAGGAGGGTGCGGTGAAGGAGAAGGCGGTGCAGGATCCCGGGTTGAAAGACTACGTGAGTTTCGGCGGTCACACAACAAGGGCATATATGGGCATTGTCTGACTTACTGTGCTTTCAGCGTTTAGGAGAGTGTCTCGGAAAAGGCGCGTTTGGGTCGGTTTATAAAGCATTCAACTGGGGAACTGGGGAGGCGGTGGCCGTGAAGCAGATCCGTATTGCGGACTTGCCCAGGAGTGAATTACGCAACATCGAGGTATGCTCAGAAGTGACTATGCCTCAGACTGAGCTGACATTAGCAGGCCGAAATCGATTTATTGAAGAACTTGAATGTAAGTCTTTGTCCACGGTGGCTTTCGTCCCTGTGGACGGCAAGGGCCGAGCCGGTACTAACTGTCTCAGCATGATAATATTGTCAAGTATCTGGGTTTTGTGAAGTCGCCAGAGTGTTTAAACATCATTCTCGAGTAAGTCTTGTTGCTCAATTGGCCATAAAACGCTTTCTAAATATGTTAGATATTGTGAGAACGGCTCTCTGCATTCGATATGCAAGAACTTCGGAAAGTTTCCCGAGAACCTGGTTGGAGTGTATATGGCACAGATACTGCAGGGGCTCCTTTACCTGCATGACCAGGGTGTTATTCACAGAGACATCAAAGGTGCCAATATTCTGACCACCAAAGATGGGAAGGTAAAGCTTGCGGACTTCGGTGTGTCCACGAGTACACTGGCCGCAACTGGAGACAAGGAAGCTCAAGTTGTAGGCACGCCTTACTGGATGGCGCCAGAAGTTATCCAGCTTTCAGGGGCAACTACTGCTTCTGATATATGGAGCTTGGGCTGCACTGTTATTGAGCTTCTGGAGGGAAAGCCACCGTATCATAAGCTTGCACCAATGCCTGCATTGTTTGCCATTGTCAATGACGACCATCCTCCTCTTCCAGAGGGTGTCTCTCCTGTAAGTTGCTCAATCCCTCATACGTTGTTGAAGTTTCTCACGGCGAGTATAGGCGGCCCGCGACTTCTTAATGCAATGCTTTCAAAAGGATCCCAATCTCAGAGTTTCAGCGCGCAAGCTACTAAAGCATGCATGGATTGTGGGATCTCGTCGAAGTGATGCGCCGATACCTAAGCCTCCAGCGAACTTCAATGAAGCCGTTGAGGAGGTTAAACAATGGAACGAAGCTCTGCGATCTCCGAACAATGGATCTTTGAAGACGTCTACCAGGTCAAGTGTTGCAAGCCCTCTTCCACAAAGAAGAGATGCCCCTTTGAGGAATGTGCACAACGAGCAACAACCGTCTGCATTGGGAGTATCTGCCAAGGGCCCCTTAGTATTAGCAAAGCCTCGGATTTACGCTGAGGCTTTTCGGTCTCCTGAGGCAATCGGTAAGTTGCTTGTTTACTGCCTCGCCTACTCCCACTAATAATATTTGAATAGGTGATGATAATTGGGACGATGATTTTACCACATCAATCTCGCCAAGCTCTCTCCACCTTCCACACCTCAAACCACACGACAATTTCGGAGGATTGTTTTCCTCAGACAAGTTGAAACTGCTTGCTTCTGCTGACATGGGATTTGATTCCGGCAGTGATAACTGGGATGAAAATTTCGAAGGCGATTTGATTACTATCAAGGGACCTCGCCGCTTCGCTGAGCCTGACTATCAAGAGCTCGAGACCATTCGCCCTTATCCTATCAAACCAAAGACGAACCACGATCTGAAGCCTCCCGCTCCTACAAACCTAGTTCGCAAGCGTTCCATGACGCTCCCTCAACCCCCGAAGACAGCTAACAAAAACCAACCTACTTCTAAATTTGCCTTGCCTGCGCGACCAGCAGCGTTGTTCCGGGAACAGACTATCGAAGATTATTCTGACCTCTATTTCGAGAACGAAAGCGTGTTTGATAGAAGGATGAGTGCTACAAAGGTAACTTTCTACTTTGAATCATACGTATATGTTCTAAGCATCACTAACGGCCATTCAGGACGACTTGCTTTCCCCAAAGCTATTTCATCCATCTGACTTGACACGCGCACCGAAATCCGGTTCGCCCGTCATCGGTGGGAGTGTCAGGAGACACATTACGCCACGACAAGATGTAGACGAACTGTCTATTCGACGCGCAAACTCTTCCGTTGAAATCCAACGTTATGCTGAGGATGAAGAGGATGAAGATTTCTCTGCTTTGTTCGCGAACGGCCCCGCCGTCTCAGAGCGCGATGTATCCGATCTTGGCTCTGAGGATGGCGCACTGATGCTTCACTCGAAGCTTTCAAACAACTCCTGGCTTGGAGATGAGGATGATGAAGATGACCCATTCGCGTCCTTAGAGCAGGGCTTCGATGAGATGGACCTGCAGGCAAACATTGCGCGCGACAAACACGCGCGTCTTTCTACCTTGGTAGAGGGCTTGATTAGCTCGCTGAAGACAACTACTGGCGAGGAAATCCTGACTGACAAGTCCGAAGAGCTACTCGATGTTCTATACGAATCTCCAGAATCGAAGGCCATGATCATCAGCGCTCATGGTATGCTTCCAATCCTTGAGATCTTGGAGCCATGTACCGTCAAGACTCGCGAAAGCTTGATTCTCTGTCTCCTGAAGGTTGTAAATGCCATCATACTCGGCACTGTTGACATCCAAGAGAACTTGTGCTTTGTCGGAGGCATCCCAATCATCACCAAGTTTGCTGCTAGACAATACTCAAACGAGATCAGACTCGAAGCTGCAGCTTTTGTCCGCCAGATGTATCAGACATCTACCTTGACACTTCAAATGTTTGTCAGTGCCGGTGGTCTCAATGTTCTGGTTGAGTTTCTAGATGAAGACTACGACGAGGCTCGAGACCTTGTCCTGATTGGTGTCAATGGCATTTGGAATGTATTTGAGCTACAGGTAAAGAAATATCGCTCTCGTTTTGGAATAACACAAGCTAATGAAGCATATAGGGGCCAACTCCAAAGAACGACTTCTGTCGCATATTCTCCAGGAGCAAGATCCTCTATCCTCTTTCTTTGGTCCTTAACAGGGTCCTGGATGAAGAAGGAGAAATCCCCGAACTCATTGAGGGACGCATTGTGAACATCTTCTATCTATTCTCTCAAGCTGAGAACTACGTCAAAGAAGTTGTTGCAAATCGCATAATGCTCAAGGGTGTCTTGAAAGATCTTCGCCGAATGTCCCCGATTCATCAGATCACTATGCTCAAGTTCATCAAGAACTTGTCCATGTTGTCCACGACACTGGATGCGTTGCACTCTTCGAACGCCATCGAACTACTCATTGATCTCCTTGGCTCTAGCAGAAGGAGGAACCAAGTTCATTTCCGAGAGATCTGCAACCAGGTCCTAAACACAATGTATAACTTGTGTAGGTTGAGCAAGGTTCGACAGGAAGACGCGGCAGTAAATGGGATAATCCCACTGCTCAAGAAGATCATGGAGGGCGACAGACCACCAAAGGAGTTTGCACTCCCAATCTTGTGTGACATGGCTCACTCTGGAAAGGTTGGACGAAAGTATCTGTGGCAAAACCAAGGTCTTCAGTTCTACATCTCTTTGTTGGCAGACCAGTATTGGCAGGTTACGGCGTTGGATGCCATCTTTATATGGTAAGTACAAAGGATTATATTCAATACATTGTTACATTGTGCTAATCGTACTAGGCTCCAAGAAGAGACAGCTCGAGTCGAGAAATGCCTTCTCGATGGTCATTTCACAGAAGCAATCGTCAAATGTTTCAACACTCCGAAGGCAAACAACTTCGACTACAACCTACTCGAGCCACTTCAAAAGCTTCTTCGACTGTCACCACCAGTTGCCGCTTCACTCGCCCGCTTTGATATGTACTCCGGTATCCTTCAGAAGCTAAACCACAAAAAGGCCGTCATCCGTCTCAACTTGCTGAGGATCGCCCGCAGCATCTGTGAACCAAGCGAAGAATGCGAGCAGGATATCAGATCCCACCATCTCTTCGAAGCCATTGAGGGATTGGCAGATCACGATGGTGCAGTGTTGGTGAGAAACATGGCAAGCGAGCTTGTCAGGTCCACGTTTGAGACCACAGGTGTCCGTGAACAAGACGTGCACAGCAGTGCCAGCAAGAGCCGTAGGAACGTTAGAAGGCAGAGCTCGTTTCCTACGCCGAGCCAGAGAATGGCGAGCCCCACTACTCCTACACACGGTGGCCGTGCCAATATCAGCTTTGGAACCTTGATGGATTCGTTCAACTCACCAAGGCGCCCTGGTCTGAGTGGAGAAGGCCGTTCTCGCCCAAGCAGCAGGGATGGCCCACAGATGCTGAGCAAAATGGCAAGTTCGGAGTCTATGGTTGGGACTCCTGTTATCAAGAGCCGCCTTCCTAGGACCTCAGCTGCGTTGAGAACTTCCAGGGCATCCCTGGCTGGACCCATCCCACGGGATTCAAGGGTTGAGCCAACATTCAGCCCCAGGAAGAGAGGAGACAGCGGTGGAAGCCTGACCAGCAGCAGCAGTGGAGGGAGGGTCAAGAGCGACCCGAAACAACCAAGTGCCAGTATGAGCCACCTGGTGTCAAAGAGAAGGCCAAGGGCCCCAAGCGGCGACATCAAGTGGTCTTAAACCGGGAAAACTCGATGATAGCTCCAGCGGCACAATCTGCTGGCTAGTTATCATGTCGAAACCAAAAGCAACAATTCGGAATATGGGAGCGGATGATGCTCCCATGGGTCTGGTGGGTATAATTGTTTTTACGCCATGTTCGCCAGGGGCGTTTGTATTATGGGATACGCTTTTTGCTGCATAGATAGCGGAGAGGGACGGGGATGGATGGCCTCAGTGTTATGGATCACAGACTTATGGATCAGAGAAACTTGTTATGCCGGTGTCTGTTCAAGCAAAAGACGCAATGAGATTATAGGAATTAGCTAAACAATCCTATAATAAATGACTATTTAAATTCAATCTTTCGATCTCACAAGGGCAAGTAAGAATCATGTTTTGGGGGCAAGTCCTCACTAGGAAGATGTAGCTCAGCCAAACCAGGAGAGGACAGAGCATATTCATTACTTGACCAAGTCATATACTGCGCACATATAGACCTCTGTCCGTTCTTAAGCATTTATAGAATATATAACCTACGTGTATTTATCCAGTGTTGCCCGAGTACTA